TGCTCTTTACATTTCCAAAGTGCCTCCCCCTGCCAAGTGGCAGTAGTAAAATCCTAGGTACGTCTAGGTAAGCCGAGGACGAAAAGGACTTAGACGACCCCGTTTTGCGCAGCGTACGTGTAGCAGCTGGAACTGTGGAGCAGCTGCTCCCGTACTGGGGCCTGGATTATTGGTCTGTCACTGCATAGCGTGGCATGGCAGGTGGCACACACATACACATACTCACACACACATACACATACTCACACACACACACACAGACACAGACACATACTCACACACACACACATACACATACTCACATACACATACTCTCACACACACACATACACATACTCACACACACATACTCACACACACACACACATACTCACACACACATACACATACTCACACACACATACACATACTCACACACACACACACACGAGCCTAACATTACGCCACGACAGCACGACAGCCTGGTGAAACAGTCAGAAAGGCAATTGTTGCAGCAGCAGCTAGAGTTGGTTTTTCTCTTTCTAAATCTCTAAAAAAATCAAACAACATGCAATTCAGTGACAAACGGCGCAAGTTAAGTGGAAGTTAAGGGATGATGGTCAAGCACTGCCTAAAACTGCCCTTGAAGTGCCGCGTGTGCGGCACTTCAACCTTCTGAGTTGCCTTTGCCTTTCTGTGTGAGCAGCAGCAGCAGTAGATCCAGCAGCACCAGCAGCAGTAGCAGTAGATTCGCGCCAGTTTGCTGTTGAGTGTCACGACATTTTAGCGTCTGCCGTACGCACGTGTTTTGTCGATGTTACCGTCGTATAACGCGACATGAGCTTGTTTTGATCCCCCGCCCGAAGTTGTGTCCATTTTACTAGGATGTGCCTCTGTTGGTCGATGACGGCTGGCGAAGCTGTGTGTTACCAGTCGTTTATGTTACAAAGAGAGTGCGGCTGGGGCCGCCGCCGCCGCCGCCCTCGAGAGCGGGATCAAGGGCAGAACTGCTCGCACGAACACACCGTCACCCACAGAGAGCTAGCTACGTATGGCACTACCTTCAGCAACGCAGTACACACCACCGGCAGGCAGCTGCCGGTTCCTTTTGAGAGACGACTTCATCATCAGTACATTTTACACCAATTCCCTCCCTCTGGGAACAAGTTCGTGGCCTTTATCTCACATGGCCTTAATCTCGCTGATACACTCTTATACAGTAACGAGCTTCAAATCCCCTCAGCTGCCCGAAAAACAGCGCCAGCTTTCCAAAACGTTCCTTCGTCCTAAAACCACGTGCGAAACACCGATACGCGCCGAACCCTTACACATAGCGAACAGAGAACAAACGTCCAGCAAAACACCGCCAAACAAACATGTACTAGGTCATTTCTATTAGCGCCGTTAACGAAGTATATAATACAGTTGCACGACTACTGCGCACACAGATGCAAAAGGACTATGGAACAAATGCCTATCACCACCATCTTCATCTTTTGACCATCATGAAAGCGACAAAACTTGTTACTCGGATGTGCAATACTGACAGACAAAGCTGTCAAGGAGTGAACAATACGCGGCGGCATAAGCGACTTGCAAGGCCGCTGCGTATCGCCTCCCACACCGCCTACGAATGACGACCGTTTGGGTGTCTCAATCCAATCGTTAGCACCAACAACACCGCAACATGCCACGCCGAGCGGAGCTGAGCCGAGGTGGGGTGAGCCAGGAACCAACCCTGCCCCCGCTTTACTCTAAGATATGGCCGTGCGACCCCCCAACCACCCCCCACCTACATGCTCCTCCTCCTAAACCATCCGCAACTGTCAACCATGCTGGAATGCAGTCCAATGCTGAGCAAAAAAAAACAAAAGAAAACATCCTAGACCAGGCTCGTCAGACAGCGACAGGCAGGCAGGGCGCAGGGCTGCTCCGCGGTCGCCTGCGCGGCTGTTGATACGCTGCCACTGCTGGTGCTCTGCTCTCGTGCCATATGTCGGCGTCCCTCCCACCACCGCAGGAGGTCAACTAGGGGGGTATTAGTACTGGCGCGGTGCTGCCAGCTGTGGCCACCACCGTGGGCTTCATGTTGATTGCGGCCTCACCCCAACACACAGGACGCCGGAGGCGCGCGCGTGTGTGTGTGTGTGTGTGTGTGTGTGTGTGGTGTGGTGGTTGGTGGGGGCTTCCTTAGCAGCAAAGAGGCGTAGTGCACGGTCAACGTGGTGCACGTGGTGCACGGTGGTGAAGACCCTGGACCGGCCTTTCCTCCCCAGCCGCGCAGCCAACATAACCCCACAACGGACGCCGCCGCCGCCGCCGCCGCCGCCACCGCTGTGTAGGACACGGGCAAAAAAACACGGTGCTCTCGTATCGGTGCGACAAACCGGCGTGCGCGCTGTGTCCAGCAGCCAGGCGAAATTATGAGACGTCGCAAGGACGGCTTGGCTGGCAGAGGAGGCCATTGCTTGTATTCAGTAGCTCCAGCGACTTGTCTGCCTCAGCGTGTTGCGCCACCACCACCACCACCAGCGTGTTCGGCCACATCCCTCAGATGCCCCCTCCTCTCCTTCCGGACCCCTTTACAGCGAACGAAGGCAAATTAGCCACCACCAATCAGATAGTCTCCTCTCCTCCCTCCCCCCTCTCGCTCTCCCCCTCTGTCGCTCTCCTTAGTACTCTGGTTGACACGCTCTCTCTCTCTCTCATATTCCCAAATGCCCTGCCGATCTCTCTCACGCACGTTAAGGCAATACACCTCCGCCACGCCTCGCCTCCCTACAGGCTGACCAGCGTGCCTTCAACTGCTGCGCTAACAACCAACCACGGTGTCAGCCATCAGCCGCAACCGGCGCAAAAGTGCCTCAACAGGCATATTCCCCAAACATCGTTTAGGTGCAGCACGCAACCGTCAGGCGACGAGCCATCCTCCTCCTCCTCCTCCTCTTCCCTCCTCCTCCTCGTAACGCAGCAACCCCAGCAGCCGGCCTTCGGACCGCCACCTCCTGATTCACACAAGCGCGATGTCATACACACTTTGCCCATCATCCGATGCATAGCGCGGATTATGATATATACTTTGTACCGTCGCCACAATACCGCATCATAGCCGCTGGTTCGCTCCCAGCTTTTCCCAACAGGCGTCGCAAAATCCATGCAGGCTCGTGTGTCTGGCGGCTCCTCTCAGCTATATAAATTAATTTACATCGCAGGAGTTACCTGGGACCAACTTAATAGGTTCTCGGAGCGCAGCGCCGCCGCCGCCGCCACGCCGCCATCGCACTGCGATCATGTGCGTGCGCGACACTCCTGGAGGCCAGACAACCTTTGGTGTGGGACACCTTCTTGGGAACCTAAGGGGGAAGATGGTGGTGCGCCTCCGCATCCTGGCCCCGGCTCTTTCCTTCACCATCTCGCCGATCCCGCAGCGCCCTCAGCCACACCCTCACCCCTCATCCTGCACCAACCAGCCTCCACATTTAAACATCTTCTTTCCCGACGGTCCTTTACACCCGGTGTATGTGTGTGTATGGGGGAAAGACGAACCACACACGATTGAAGGGTGTATGGGGGGGGAGGAGACGAATCACGAGCGAGTGAAGCTGCTGCTGCAAGGAAAGCTGCTGCTGGGGGGGGGGAAAGGGAGACATCAGGCATATAGGACCCCCAACGCCCCATGCAGGTGGCGTCTCTCAGACCAAAGGTACGAACCAAACCTCGACACCTCGCCCGCATCCCGCACAGCCACAGCCCACAAGCCCAAGCCGGGGTACATGAAGGGGAGGTGGCTCCAGGAGAAAGGACCTTTCCATAGTGCCGGCTGCGCAATACGGCAGACATACATCCGTACATTAAAACACATCTAGGCATCCGTATGGCGCGCCGCGTCAGGTCTCCTCGGGTGTCGGAATGTGTTCCACGACAGATCCAGAAAGACCTTCACCTTGCAAGCCGGCAACAGCGGCGGCGGCGACGGCGGCGGCTGCGCAGGTTAATCATAATCATACAAAGTAGCACCATCACATTAACACCGAAACCCACCATAACAGCATTTCCAAGTTTTGTTGTAAAGCCAGGGCTGGCTCCTTAGCAGTCCCATAGCAGCCAGCAGCCGCAATGCCGTACGATACACAGATCAATATGGTGGCACACTGATGGCCTTGCATGGAGCAGCAGAAGGAGCAAAGCGAGAATAAAAAAGAAATGATGTTTTAAACGAAGGCCCAGGCAGGCCCCGAGAAGCAACGCGAATCTGAGGGACTGCGCGCGCCCTCGCAAATCCTGTTATCAAAAACCTCATGCAGACTATTGTACATACATACATACACATTTCAATTGGGGCGTTCGAAGCCTGTGTGGGACCGTAACAACCACAGGGGTCACATGATATGCCATGACATGGGTAGGGCCGAGTATGCGCTGCATCAAAGACAAGCCAGCTGCTGGCATCTCTGCTGGCGGTCAATTTTAAGGCATCATGGCCCCCTGGCGCCCAATGAAGCCGGGAGGGCAACCCCCTCCTCTAGGGTCCTCTGGGGGCCACCAGCCAAAACCCAGAGGTCGGGGGTTAGCCTCTAATCGCTCTCACCGTCATATCCATTTTCTCATCAGCCTTCAGGCGGAGTCACGACGGTAACGTAACCTCAGGATAGGCTCCTTCTCACTCTCATGTTGCCGTTGCCCATGCCGCTTTTTCAACCCAAAGCTGCCAGCTGCACGTTCATCCCCATTAGCAGCAGCAAACAACAACCGCAGCGCGCGCCCAACGCACCCAACCCCATCCTTCTGCTCATGAATATGATGCTTTTCCCCCCACCGCCCTTTCCTCCACCTGCGAGGATCAGTGCCCATCAAGGACACACACACACACACACACACACACGCACACAGCCATGCATGGCACCGAGTCACCGAAGGACGCCCGATGAGGTGGGTCCGTCGCCGCCGCCGCTTCATCCAATCGCCATCTCATGTCATCTCATACCGTGCCGGGGGGTTCGCAGCAGACACCCTCAGCGCCGCGAACCGAGTGCTGCCCGCTGGACTGGCAGCGGAGCCCGCCGACCACCGTCACACTCTCCTTCCCAGTATCCATCCATCCACCCATCCACCCATCCAACCACACGACCCCACCTTACAGGCTCTATAAACTGACCCACATGATAATCAACGAGGTGGCCCCCCGGTGGCATCTCCTCCTTCTCTTCCTTCAACAACCAGTGCGCCACCACCCGTCCCTTACAGCCTCTACCGCAAAACACACACGCAGCCTACTACTGCCCCGACCTCCTATTCCAGTGTGCAAAAAGCAAACCCATCACCACATATATATACCACATAATAATAATAAAAACAACAACAACAGCTGCTTCAACCACTCCTTTGTCAACTGAGCTCGCGCTAACAAAAAAAAACAAACCTGAAAACTTGTTGCGCGCTCCTGAATAATAATCCGCACCAACACACAGCGCCCTACACTAAGGGGGCTTTCCAAGCCCGTCTACAATACAACATCCTGCCATCGCAGGAGGGGGAGGCCTTGGACGCATCAGCGTTGCAAATCCATCTCGCAGACTAGCGCAACACCAACTCGTTTACCCCAGGGCAGGATCGGGCAGGAACGAGTCTCTGGAGGGGCTCTGCTGGCGGAGGTTCCCTCCCCCCCGGTCCGGGTCGCATGGCACTTCGTTAAACAATGTGTGGCCAACTGTGGCCCTCGCAAGTCACTGACACTTCGTCACTGACACTTCGTCACAAACCAATTCAACTTCAACTTCAGCATCAGGACCACCACCAGCAGCACCTTGTCGCCACGCTAGTGTGCGACCAACAAAGGTCTCCAAAATTGCCCAGGGTTTCCACACCATGCAACTCGCCCCCAGGTCCTTCTCCTCTCTACATTTGCTGTGGCGGCGGCGGCAGCTGCGTCTCCTGCATCACCACCGTATTGTCAACTGCAGCCTGCTCTTCCTCCGCGGCTGCGAGCGTTGCCACCGGCGCGGACCGTTCCGCCGACGTCGCGGAATGGAGCTCTGCCAGCACGTCCCGCAATCGGTACCTGTCCACCATCGCCTTCGCCTCCGAGGCGAGCATCTGGGACGCCGCCTCTGCCTGTTCGTGTGCACTGGCCGCTGCCTGTCGACGCTCCGCCACCACCGCCCCCACCGCCTCGCACGCCACATTGGCGTGATGAAGCTGCAAGCAAGCGCGCTGGAAGTCGAGCCGCAGTTTCGCCAACATCTCCAGGTCCTTGGCCGATAATGCTGCAGCCGGTAGCGCCGCCATTGAAGGCACCGGCATCGGCATCGGCAAAGGTAAGGACAGCGGCAGGACGGGCAGTGCCAGTGGTATTGAGAATGGAGACGGGGTCGGGTGCCGGGTGAACGCGGCTGCTCCTGGGGCCAGCAACGTCGGCGCCGCTAGCGCCGGCAGGGTGAGAGGACTGCTGCTGGTGCTGGTGCTGCTGCCGCCAAGAAAGGGCGGCGACGGTGCTGTTGTTGCCGGCAAAGGGCCGACGACAGCAGCAGCACCTCGCAGGTCTGATATGAGAGCTGATGACAGCAGTTGCCGATGGCCGCCGTAGGGATGGTCACGCTCGCCTTGCTGCTGCTGCTGCTGCTGCTGCTGTTGCTGCATGATATCATCTGATGCCTTCGCCAAAACGGACGCCAGCCCACTCTCGGCCGCATCCTGCAAGGGGAGAGAGACGCCGTGGCATCACACACAAGTAAAAGTGTCCATACACAGCGTGTGACATGATGGGTATCCACACGCAGATATCCGCTGTATAGAAGCCGCACGGGGCCCGGAGGGGAGAGACAGTGCTCACGCAGCGGAGCTAACTAAGTACAGCGCTCGCAATGAAGTACACAAGTACACGGCAGGTACCAAGTAGCGGTGCACCTGTGTAAAGGGCAAAATCCTCCATGGCATTTTTTCAGTAGTCCTTCCTTCCGGGGTGGGTCCTCTCCGAAAACAACAACAAGCCAAGCAATGCGATCTCATCAGCGATGATGGGTCACTGGAAAAACACACGGGTGCAAAGCACCGCAGCGCTGCACAGTGGCCTTCTCGTCCGCGTCACATTCATGACCCGTTCCCTCTTCCCCCCCCACGTTGCTCCATGTTGCAAGGTTTGCTCCTAGGCAAAGTCCTACCCTACCCCATGCCGTACCCTTACTTAACCTGCCTCCTCCCGCTGCCCCAGTTGGTTCTCGCCTTGCTATCCCTCTCCACCACGCGGCCGCGCCCTTCATTGGCCTTTCTTATCTCCACGGGTCCCGTATACCAATACACACGCACGGGCTGATGCGGGCCCCCCCCCCAACTCACCCCCCCACACACTTACCTCGGTGGAGGATAACGGAGAGCTCCCCAGCAGCACCTGACGAGTCACCACATGGTGATGATGCTGGTGATGATGCTGGTGATGGTGGTGGTGGTATGGCAGCGAGCGGGGACGCACTGAGAGGGGCTCCGATGGCGGGGAAACCGACATTCTGTGCCTCTTGCACCTGTCGTCCTCAGCGCCATCAGACGCCTCTTCCCCTTCTTCGTAATAATAAAAGTCATCCGAACGACGAAGGGGTTGCACGTGGCGGCGCGTGTTGTGGCCGTGGTGGCCGTGGTGGTGGTGATGGTGCTGCTGCTCTGAACGCCAGCAGCTGGCAGGCGGGGGGTCGGTGCTGGGGAGCCCGCAGCCAGAGCCGCACTCAACACCGGCGAAAAATAACAAATCATACGCGGCGCTTTCGTCTTCATTGCAGCTCTCTTCAACCTCAACAGGCGCTATAAGCTGTTGCTCTTCGTGCTGTTGCTCTTTGGGATGCTGATGCTGATGTTGGCGTTTCGCAGGCATGCCGGTCGTCCAGTCGAATTCAGTTTCGTCGCTCGAATGCTCCGAGCCCGATGCTGCGCCGAATGGCATGTCGTCCGACTCCAGGGGGGATGACTGTACATGTGCGTGTGTAGAAGGGGAAAGAGTGCGCGCATGGTTGGAATGCGTGCAGGGGCAGGTATACGCAGTCTTCAGTGTTATAGTGTTCGCGCGAGCATAATAATAAAAGGTCGCTCCAAGCACAGTTAGGGGCGCAGGACATCATACGGGGGGTTTCGCTATGGGTGGGGCATGGCGCATGGGGCCACCAACCGCACCCACTTGTGTTGGCACACAAGAGGTCAGGACTCCCATTCGTCCCTTCCTCCCTTTCCCGACATCCCAGTCCCCCAGTGCCTTTCCGGTTGTGTCCTCCCTTAGCAGTGTCCTCCCTTAGCAGCCTTCCCTTCATTTGCGTACCGAAAACATGGAGCGGCCCAGTAGCCGTCTCCGTGCCTGCACAGCTGCGACCGGGGCCGTAGGAATATTGCCTGACGTCGCCGCTTGCTGCTTGCGTAGCAAACGCTGACGACGTACCCCACAGGCATTGCACAGCGTCTTGGGCCCTGCAGATCAATTTAAAAATGTTACGTAATTTAAAACAAATAAAGATCTTACTCGGAAGAGGGAAGCCACAAGAAGCGATTACTAACTTAGGGAGTCAGCACTTACCCATTGGCCCCTCGCGCCATTGGGGTGTTGAAGTTGCACCGCATTCCACGCAGCAACGAACTCCTTTGCGGTTCGCCTGCAGGTCGACGATGAGTAATGTCAGCAGGCGCGCAACGGACTCGTCACATGCACATGTCAGCAAGGGCAGACGAACGGATTACCTACGGCAACGCAGTGTGAAAACAATCCACCTTTGGATTAATAATTTTAGGCCAGGTACCCATTACTCACCACATCAAGAATAGCGTCGTTGAGGGCCGGTTGGGGTTTATTGGCGGCGGTCGCAACGGCGGCCGCACGTCGCTTGTTTCCACGCATAGTTGTAAACGAGGACGCTACGAATACTAGGTTAAATCCAATTTTGGAGTCACTCTTCTCTCCTCTAAGCTGGTATCCTGCTCGTTACACGGAAGCTATGCAATTCTGTAGCGTGTGTTCAACCTGTGCTAACTACGTAATGTTCAGGCGATCTTGGCCGCAGTGCGGCCCATAGTTGTTCGCGACGCTGAAGGTCGACATGCTGCTGGCCCCGCGTCGCCTCCAGGTTGCCGAGCCAACCAAAAAACGGCGAAACCTGAAGATCAGAACATAACAAATCATGCAGTTAAGATCACGGAGGACCCAAAAGCTCATAAGCCATTTGAGCAGCGTGAGTCCTGCTTGTCACAAGGGACGCTCCGTGATAGAACCTATGCTAACCTAGGCCAAGTCCTTTACAAAGAACACAGGAGGAAAGCTGCATGGCCAGAGCACATCCTAACAAAGCGGCATTTTTCCCGATTGCCGATTCCTTCTCCCAAACCCTACCTGAAACGTAGCCGCACAAAAGCAGAATGAAGGTAATCAAGATGAATCTAGAACTATTACCAGGTGCTTAGATTGTACGTACTAAGTGGAAAAGGGCCAGCATTCCTAACCGGCGCAGAGTGAATTTCGCACTGAGTGCTGCAGGCAGTAAGCGCTAATATAAAAGAAGCTCACGTTATCAGAAGACGAATACTGTGTATCAGAATTTAGCCTCACCTGGATTGATGTGATCGGTGAAAAAATAAAATACAACCCGTACTGCCGTATGCAATCTCTGGAAGGCCGGGCCGCTCTGAACGTGGCGGAAGAAGTGTCATATTGAACACATGCGTATGTCCGCATTTTCTCCAGCTGATATTTGTCAACTCAAACATCTATGTTGTTGTTGCCCAATCTCCGCCGCCAAACTGAAGTCCACCAGCGACGATGTAGCTTAGCTCATATTAGAGTCCTCCGCGTCACATAAAAGCTGCCAGCCCCTGCAATGACCATAGCGCAGCCTGGGGTCGGGGGCTCAGATGCCCCGAAGGGTCCGCCGAAGTCCAGGAGCGGCGAAACTTCAGGCGGAGCAGGACCTGTCCTCCCATGGATGTGCGTGCCCCTGACTATAGAATCTGGGAGTGGTATTCCTGTCGAAAAAGTGCTAGGCCTGGATGCTCGCCTGGCCTCTCAACTCCGCAACGGTGCGCTTTGCCCCTTCCCTCTTCGCTCTCCCTTACCCCGGGACCAGCGCAGATACACCAATCCTCCCATCGATCACATGTTCACTCAGCCACTCGGTCCACGGGTCCAACCTCTCCAGCGAAACGCGCAGGCCCGCCAGCCCTGGTCTTACACCTTTTCCCCCCTTTCACCCCGTGTATATCGACCAGCTTTTTTTCAATATCTTTTACATTCCCGAGCCCTTCCGCTTGCTCGCTTCCGGTCTAGTGGTGCTAGGCATGGCGGTTTCTTAATATTTCCAACCACAACCTCTTTTTACTGTCATGACCCTCCGTCGCGCACTTCCATCTCCTCTATAAGGCCCATCATGCTAAGTTCTCTGTCGTTTCGTCCCTCTTTTCTCCCCTTGTTGCAAAACCGCTCTCGCGCCATTGCTTTGTTTACTCTCCAGGGTTTGGGTTTCCGGAACTGTTCCCTGTGCAAACAGCCGTGTGGCAGCACTCCGCGGGGGGGACCAGCACCGCACACGACCTCTGTGTAGCAGCGCCCACCGGCAGCGGCAAGACGCTGGCGTACGCGCTGCCTGTCGTCAACTCCCTTGCTGAGTAAGTGGCGTCCGGGACGATTATTAAAAGGCGAGCGGGGTGGAGGGGTGTGTGTGTGTGTAAACAACAAAAGCGGGGGATGTAAGGGGTAAGGTGCGGAAAGGGGATGCATGAGGGACACCGCCGACGTCGGCGTTCTGTCACAGGTTCGGATTCGGGTTAACTGCCGGTGGCGGAGTATGGCGGGGGGCATTGTTGTAACGGTTTGGCTCTTCCCCCACGCGTTTGGGCCCGCAATCGCTTGGAAGAGGAAAGAGGAAAAGAGGACGAAATCAGATGAATCGCAAGTAAACTGCGGAATTCGGGATTGGTTCGAGGGTGAGGTGGGTTTACCGCCGCGGGTGGTGCAGAACATGATTTCGCTGTCCTCCTGAGAACTCTCTTTTCTTCCTTGCTTCCTTGCTGATCACATCACCACATATCTCCTCTTCCCCGCTTGGGGTTACATCCCTCCCTTCTCGGCCCCCCGTTGGCAGCAGCTTCACTCGCTCGTGGTGCGTCTTTCCCCCCTCCTTGCTCCCGTTCTCGTTCAGGGTGCTGCCTGGGCGCAAGGCGAGTGTGGGCTGTCTTCGCGCACTGGTGGTGCTGCCCACCAGAGACTTGGCGGTGCAGGTGCGAGGAGCTGTGCTCGGGGGTGTGCTGGGGGTATGGGGGCGGGATGGAGGAAATACGGTGCCTATCTGTGCGCGCGCGCGTGTGCGTGTGCGTGTGTGTGTTGTCTTCAGTGAGTTGCATGGACAAAATCAGAAGTGAATTTACATTCTTCTTCATTTGGAAGCCAGAGGATACTGCTGTGTGTGTGTGACGTGTCGTGTGTGTGTGTGGGGGGGTGTATGCGGGGGGGGAAAGAGCCGGGGAAAGGGCGGGAATAACAGCATCAAAAGAGCTAACGGAACAAGTCCCCCCTGCCATCGCCCCGTGGGAGAAAGAGGACAGAAGGGAACGCGGGCAGGGGGAAAGACGAACCACGAACGAGTGACGCTGCAGGAGGAATCGGACGGCGACGGCAGGAGAAACTCAGACGGCGAGGAAAGACTCGTCAGGATGCGTCCAAGAGAAGGAATCACTCCTTAAGTCAGCACTTGCTAGCAAGTGTCACGGGGGGCCCCATGATGCATTGCATGTGTGTCTGTAATGTACGTGCATGCGTACGGCAACGTACTAGCGGGACTAAGAACGGACCCGGGTCCCCGCCTTGGCCCCCGTCCTACCACCCCGCGTAACCCTGGCACCCGCAGGTATACGACGTTTTTCGGCCGCTGTGTGATGCCGTACAGCTTAACGTGGCGCTAGCGGCGGCTCGTACCTCAGAAGCGGCCGAGGCGGCGGCGATTGTGGGGCTGCCGGCGTCGTCGTCGTCGTCGTCTCCGTTCGTCGCTGGCGGCGGCTCCGCCGCCGCCCCTGGCTGCCGCCGCGGCGCGGATGTGCTGGTTGCGACTCCTGGTCGGCTGATGTCGCACCTGAGTGGCTCGCCGGGTGTTTCTCTGCGGCACCTGCGCTTTCTGGTAAGATCCGCAGCCTACCACCTACTGCTACTGCTGCTACTACTGCGACCGCTACAGCCTCTGCGGATAAGAGGCTAGAAGACAGCAAGACACTCCGCCCCGTCCCTCCCGCGGTTTCCCCACCTCCTCCACACACCTGGCACTTGCCTGCACTTCTAGCACTCTCGGACTTCTCTAATCCGTCCACCTTTCCCCCACGCAAGGTATGATTTTTTCGTATGGCCGTGTCTTCCTCTTCTTCTTCTTCCTCTTCTTCTTCTTCCTCTTCTTCTTCCTCTTCTTCTTCCTCTTCTTCTTCCTCTTCTTCTTCCTCTTCTTCTTCCTCTTCTTCTTCCTCTTCTTCTACCGTATTCTTCTACCGTATTCTTCTTCTACCGCATCGTGCAGGTAGCGGACGAGACCGATCGTCTTTTGCGTCAGAGCTACCAAAGTTGGTTGCCGCGAGTGCTGGCCCACATCGAGCCGCTGGCACAGCCACAACATCCACCACGCGCACATCACACTTACCAGCAGCAACATCACCAGCAGCAACACCACCAGCAGCAACACCACCAGCAGCAACATCACCAGCAGCCACCGCAGGCGGGATTGCCTGACGGATGGCCCTCCGGGGCCCCAGCGGCGGCAGCCTGCGACCATTTCGCGGCTTTCTGGCCGGGGGCTTCCACTGGCAGCGCCCTCCCGTTTGCCCAGCCCAGGTAGGGGGCCGGGTTTGGCCGGGGCTCGCGTCGGTGTTGGAGGGCTTGGGTTGGGAGGGGTGTTGGAGGTCGTGCATTTCCTTTGTGGGAGCTCGAAATTGGGGTTGGTTGGGGCAGAAGCTACCAGAAGCTGTTCCGAAGCCAAAGCTCCATATATCCCCCAGTGACTCCCCTATTCTCTTTGGATCACTGCCCCGCCGTTTTGCTGGCGGCCGCGTCAGAGGCGGACTTCGGAATGCTATACGGTCTGCTACGGCTTAATTCGCTAGGGTCAGGTATTACAGCATATTACTCGGACCGCCAACCTTTTTCTCCGCAGACGCGCGCCGCTCGGCTTCGTCACAGACATATATACCGTGTACACATGTGATGTGTAGGGTGGTCAAGATTGTGGTGTCTGCCACTTTGACCCGCGACCCAGCCAAGCTACAGCGTCTGGCGTTGCACCATCCACGATTCGTCGCCACGGCGACAGCGGCCGGCGGCGGCGGCGGTGGCGCCGCAGCCGGGCGGTACTCACTACCTCGCAGCCTCTCCGAATACCGATTGATGTGTTCTGCTGCCCGCAAGCCGTTGGTGCTGTTGGCATTGCTTCAGGAGTGGTCGGGGCAGAGCACCATCGTGTTCACCTCCTCCTTGGAAATGACCCATAAGTGAGGAGGACGGGGTATGCGGGCGTGTGGTGAGGAGGACGGGGTATGCGGGCGTGTGGTGAGGAGGACGGGGTATGCGGGCGTGTGGTGAGGAGGACGGGGTATGCGGGCGTGTGGAAAAAGGGATGTGGATAGGGCCTGTGACGCGCGGGAGAGTAAGATGCCGAACAGGCAGCTGAGGTAAGTGTCCTCCTCGGAAGTAAGAGGCCAGTAACGATTGACTGCCAGTATGATTGCCATATGCTTCGTGGCGTCTTCAACGGACAGCTGACAGCTCTGAGTGAAAGAGGGGTTGTGGGCTTTTACGTTTATAGTTTGTGGGTGTCAGAGGTTGCCAGCTTTTGCGTGTAGTATTGTTGGCAAGTCCCTCCCCCCAAATCCTCTTTCCCGGTGCCCTTTGCAAAACCTCGCAACATGCCGTGCCGGTTTTGTGGACTGTTTTACTGTAGGCTGTTCCTCATGCTGTCTGCCGTACAAGACCTCCCTGATGAGGTGGTCGAGTACTCCAGCTTGGTGCCGGTGCGGGCCCGGGCAGCTGCTTTGGAGCGCTTCCGAACAGGTAGCGTTGAGCGTCATATGCTCATGTGCAAAAGCATCTGTCGTGTGCTTGTCAGAGATGGGGGAGTGCGTGCGTGTTTAGATGTGTATGGATGTATGTATGTACGTATGAATGTGCGACAAACCAATGCATTTCTTGCAAAAGTGTGCAAAGCGCGATATATGTCCACTCGCCCTCTGAAGACTTGAAAAGGCTCCGGACTGAATGCGGCATTGAAAAGAGAAAAGCCGGCAAAGTGACGAAAAGTCTTTCCGGGTCTTTCCCACCAAAATCCTCCGAGTGCGAACACCGCGGCAACGGTACACGGCTGCCGGACATCGCTCCAGCCAATCCGGTCTTCTGCTGCTGCAGCAGCTCCCGCAGTCACTCACTGCTCTCACCTTTAGCACCTGCTTAAGGTTGTCGCTCCCGTCTCATGCGACGGTTATAGTCAAGAGAGCTCTTTCTGAACATAGGGTCGCTGTCGTGCCCGCGCGACTAAATGTTTCAACGCGCTGCATGACGCTGCATGACTGATGAGAGAACAACATCCTCACCCCGTTTCAACCTCTCCCATCTCTTTCCTTGCCCTCCGCACCTCAGGCTCCGCAAAAGTGCTCGTGGCCTCGGACGCCATGACGCGTGGAATGGACGTGGACTGCGTGCAGAATGTGATTAACTACGACGCGCCTGTGTACGCCAAGACTTATGTGCACCGGTAAAGATGGGGACGGATGTCCTAGGAGGTTGGTGGTGAAGGGGGCCCTGCAGGGGGCCCTGGAAAACAGAGCCGGCAGGAGCCGCGTCATGCAGGCTTTGTATGGTGCGTAGGGAAGTGGTAGCAAAAGCTTCATGGTTGGTGTCAAGGCCTTGTCAACTTTCCTGCAAAAGTCTTTTTCGACGGCTTCAACGCGCGCATCGTCTTCACGCAGATCGAAATGCCAGGTCTCGCTTCCCAACTCCCATCGTGCGTGCTTGTACGTGTATCTGCGTGTGTGCAGTGCTGGCCGTACCGCCCGCGCCGGCAAGCCCGGCCGTGTCATTACGCTGCTGCGCGACGAGGACATGCGGCATTTCAAGGCCATGATCCACAAGGCTGACAACAACTTTGTGCGCGAGTATAAGCTCCCGTCGGAGCGTGTAGAGGCGCTGCGGCCTGCGCTGACGGGGGCGCTGCAGCAGCTGGAGGAATTGTTGGCAGCGGAACGAGCGTCGGACATGCAGCAGCAGCAGCAGCAACAACAACAGCAGGCAAAACAGCAGAAGCAGAAAGCGGTGACGCAATTGCAAGGGTTCGAGAACGGAAAGCCTGAAGCGTTGGGGAAGGGCAAGCAGAAGGGCGTGGAGAAAGGGCAGCAGGCGGAGACAGCGGCAGAAGTGGCTGAGGGAAAGCGGCAGCATCAAGCTCAAAAGGATTCGGGAGGGCAGCAGAAGCACCCGACGCAAAGCGTGAAGGAAGGGGATGAGGCACCGAGGCAGCGGGAGGAGGGGGCTCGATTGAACGGCGCAGTCGGCGGGAAAAAGGGTCTGAAGCGGGACCGCGAGCAGCTTCCGGACGGATCTCGAAAACGAAAAATACGCGGGACAAAAAAGTAGGGGTTGGCCGGAATATGGGCTGCATAGGGCCTTCATAGGCAATATACCTACGATGAAAAGGGCTCGGGTGCAGCATCCTTGCATTCGTTTGGTGCCATGTCCTTTCGCGTGTATTGAAATACACCATGGCTGTTTTCATTCTCATGATTTTGGTGATAGTAATATGGCAAGGGGACACCGCTAGCAGCGTGAAGAGCAGCGGTTACGGAATAGCATCCGTGCCCAGCCCCATGCGTCCGTTGCGCGCCGGGGCGGCGGTGGGCTATCACCTCCTGGGCTGCTGGTGCTCAGTCGCAATCGGCTGGAAAGGGGCCACCTTTGAAGGGGACGAAACGGCTGAGCCGCGGACAAGATTGGCCCTGATTGACGTGGGAACGAATGAGGGGAGGCACATGCCCTAGATGCGCTGGCTGGCGCTTTCGTAGTTTTAACGATGACTCCTACGTAGCACTTCAAGGCCGCTGCTGTACACACGCCGAGAGTAACACAGCGTTTTTACGAGTGCAATGTCTAAGTTGACCGGCAAGGGCGGTGTCACTAAGAGGCATGTGCGACCTCAGGACTATTGGTGTTGCAAGTAGATATCGAACTGGTGAATATGAGGTATCGAAAGGGATGACGACGGTAAACGCGCGCGCCAAATTTTGTTTCGACAGAAAGAGTTGAAGGAGTCCGGTGAATGTTCGCGCGCTTTGGCGTCGCGCCGACGCCGCATGCAGGTCAGTTCATCTTCTAAGCGTATGACGGCTTTAGGTGGACGGTTAACTTGCGTGACGTGAAGTAAACACATCATATAGTTTTAAGCATCAATTTTGGAAAGGTCCATTACAGCAAGGTTTCTTGGGGTTTCGTAGGTTTTGGATACATGGTGGGCGCTGGCGCGCGCCAATTGTCCGTATGTTGTGCGGATGTTGCATCAGTAAAACTGGTGGTCCGCTATTACAAAAACTTGCATAAAACAACTTTTACAAGTGGATTACATGATATAAGTCGTTTTACCATCGACACTGACATACAGTAGCGACGTTGCAGCAGCTACATGTATCAATTTCCCTAGCGCGTGGCAGCACATGTGCTTAGTAGCGAACCGCACCCCCAAGGAAGGCCAGGGACCACTTTCCCTCGTCCTTCCCAATACCAACATCAAGATAATTCCAAGAACTTGAGGACATTTATCTCTCAGCGCGAAACAAGCACAATTTATGATTATGTGTTATCAAATGCATTACGCGAATAAAACCGCGCAGCAACAGGCTACGACCTAAACTTTGCAAGCATCATTTACCTTGAACGTATAACACCAGTCTGCGCCAACACAACTGAACACCTAGGCGTGGCGTCTAATACAGCACCCGCCAATTCCACCAAAATGCACAATACACCACAGGGCTACTCGCAACGCACACATATACACACACGTAACATCGCAACGCAACGCGTCAAATCGCTACCTGTCTATTTTTTTTCGCAGCTCATGCAACAAAATGCAAAGATAAGCCCCATTCTTCCTCTCTGCGGGCATGTAGTGCCAAGATAGACCCCGAACCCGCCTGAGGCTCATCCGAGACACCTCCGGGAATACACATCGGGAAGTCCAGGCAGTAGACAGCGGACGTGGGGACGCGCCCATGCAAGGTTTCTTTACTACCGTGCCGGCACTGTGCTGCCCTTCAAGGGCGTTGCGGCGCCAAAAGTCAAACCGGCAAGCAGGAACAAGCATTCTTATGCAAGTTATAAGTAGTTGTAAGTTATATATAAGCCTGGTGGTTGCCCATCGATGTGTGTGAAAGGCGCGGTCACTAAGGACAGGTCGCTAAGCTACGCGCTGCATATGACCCCTCTCGACATTTGCAGAGAGAGAGAGAGAGAGAGAGATATCAACAGCTAATGCCCCAACGAGGGGCTTGCTCTTCCTAATTGTCTTCTTCGCAAGTCTGCAATACAACAACGCGAGGGGGGCGCTATACCCTATACACCGCTGCTCCAACCGATGCACATCTGCACCTTGTCTGCATCATCAGCGAATACACCCCGTCTATGCACCGCATATATTGTTTCGCCATAGCACAAACATACATACATACATGCATACAAGATATTGATATATGTAACATCCGATCGCGCCCCCAGTAAAACCTTTTTTGCACCGACCCGATCCCATCACCGTCAGTAATTCGGTCATGACCGAGCAGCTGCCAACACGCCCTGGCACCGCTGGGTGCCTGACAACGCGGAAGAGAGCAAGCAAAAAGTTCCTAAGACTTCTGCGTCATGTATGTCGACGCTACACTTTTTTAAACCTCTAGGACAGGACAAACGATTGCGCGCGTCCCCAAAGCTCTCGCAACTCACAACGGGCTCAACGTTTTAACATCGAAGCCCAGAACCCGTTCGCAGCTTGCTTGCCTAAACATCATAGATACAAACGTTGTCACAATTTCACCCCCGCGCCGCCCCGCGCCGCATCACTATTCATATTGAGAATGCTCAGGTCCCGTCCGAGAGGGCCCCAGTCCTAAGCAATTTCCCGCGGAAGGCCGTCCCCTTTCCGGTGGTGTTCTAACGGCGCCAGAGAGGCAGGCGTACCCAGGACATGCGAGGCGCCCGACCCATGGGGCGACTGACGCAAGTCCAGCACACTGGTATGCAAAGCACCCGCGGGCGATAGCGGGTCGTGCCACCGGGTGGGTCGTGCGTACCAGCTTCCCGCGCCGTCGGTCCGTGCGGCCAGCAGCCCCCGCAGGCCGCCACATGCCTCCCCACCAGCGCTGCCACCACTCCCAGGAAGGCTCCTAGGCAATTGGTTGGGGGCTGCAGCCTCCGTCGTCGGTGGCGCCTGAACATCCCGACGAGAAGAGGTCCGGAACCGGTGTGCGACCCAGTCAGCCAGGCTCTCGTTCTTGTCACCACCGTTGCCTGCAGCAGCCGGTCCACACGCATCACCAGCAGCGGCACCGCCCGCCACCGAAGCGGTGGTGGCCGCAGCAACTACGCTTAGGAAGCCCTTTCCGCTGGGGCTAGTCGCCAGCAGGCTTGAACGGCGCGACGCCGATGCCATGGGCTGCGGCAATGGGGGAGACGGTGCAGCTGCCGGCGGCGGCGGCGGTGCCGCCGCCGTCGCCAGTAGCAATCGCAATCCTGATAGGCCACCAGTCCCTGCCGCGGTGGCAGCGGACGAGGAGGCAGGTTCACCAGGGGCCCTGTTGCGTGGGACCACGGGCGGCAGACGGGGAGGCTCCGTCCCCGTCCCTGCCCCCAGCACCGGCGACGCTCCTGCATTTGGGCTAGCTGCGGCGGCCGTTGCTACGGTGCTATTGATGTGGCTCCCTTGCCGTAGCCGCGCGCGAGCTGCTGCCACTGCCTGGAGGGCTGCAGCCACCGCACCTATCCGAGGCGGCGGGCCAGTCGAGCGGCGCTCTGGTTCGGGAGCACCGGGCCCCGACACACGGGCTTTAGGAGCCGCAGCATTGGCAAGGCCGCGGTTGCCCTCTCGTTCTTCCTCCTCCTCCTCCTCCTCTTCCTCCTCGCTATCTTGGTCGTCATCATCGGTGATATATTCACTACTTTCGTCCTCCGTTGTGTAGTCGCTGCTCATGCCACTGCTGGTTATGCTACGGCTGACGCTGCTGGTGCTGTCATCGCTGCTCCGCCGTGCCGCAGGGGCACGGACAGACTCCTCCTCCTTCTTATTGCCCTCGTCGTCGTTGACATCGCCACCATCTGCCTCGCGATTGCCTCTGCGAGAGCCAAGTCCCCTCCTGCGAGAAAGAGTCGAAAACCCGCTGCGGTTCCTGGCAAAGTACTGGCTCCGGGGCCGTGGCGGCGCGGCCGTATGGACGGCAAGCGCGGCCGCGAGGTGCGCTAGTTTGGCAGCCTTCGCGGCCGCACCGGCGGCGGGCACAGGGTACAGGCGCGGTTCCACGGGCCCGCCGCCGCCGCCCAGCATCCGGGTCCCGGCCCCTGCGAGGCGCCGCAGCAGATTGTGCGGGAGCAGACGAGCGAAACCGAGTGAATGAAACGTCGATGCGTGATGGCGATAGGAAAGCAGCGCAGGAATGTAGGCCACGTATACAGGGTTAATATTAACATGGGGGTCGGTTGTGGACTCTTATCCTCACCGTGCTTGGGTCGTAAGCTCAGGAGTAGGCCGTCCGCGTCAGGGCCGCGGCCCGTGTCCGCATAGGTGGCTGGGAACTTAGGAAGTCGCGGGCCACAGCAATCTCTCACGACAGTTGAAAATGTAACTGTGGTGTGTCATGCGAAAGGGATACAGGTAAATGCCGACAGCGTCATAACAAGACGTGATGACATTTAATGAGGCGCAGAATTGATTAAACTCAACCAGGCTAAGGGTAAGATCATTCACAGCCTGTCTATGGCTTCGGCACGTGGCTGTCAACAGGACCGGCCGCGCACGCCGATGTTCGCGCAATGCGGCATGACCATCCACTAAACATAAGGGCTTTGCCAACACTTGCATCGCCATTGCGTGCAGGACATGTACGCACCGTGCCGCGCCGAAGTTGCTTCGTGAAAGGTTCCTGAAAGTGAGAATGCTTGGTTGGCTCTGCTTTAAATATATACCGCAAGAAGGACGCGCTCCGTCAGTTTACTGGGAGCACTGTATTCAGCCTTACCTAGTGAGTAGTAAGGAAAATGTCAAGGTGGACAGGAATTTCCAAGTTATGCGTACAAGGAAGTACTCTTGCAAAAGAAATCCTAGATGTAACAGTTGGGGTTGTGAAGGGAAAACGAGGATACCACAACAAATATTACAACAACTCTCGTACGAGGATGTGTAGATGGGGTAAAGGAACATTGCCAGATGGGTGTAAACTGTTGAAAGGATTCATGTTGAACCTTGTTCGGGAGGAACCCTGTTCTTACATTTACAGGGCATAGCTATCTTGGCGCCGGTGACGCCTCCCTGATACCTGCCATACTTCAGCAGCTTTTCCAACTGTGACTCCTTCATGCGGCGGATTATCGCTGTGAAAGAGAGACAGCATCTGGGTGCACGAGGGCTTGCAGGCTAGGCCAGCCGAAACCATGGTGGTCACTTGCGGCTGCCCGGTGAGCATGGATTGCTGTCACAGATGCAATATTACAGGTCTGCCTGGGATTCCTATCCATGAAACTCGTTTGGTCTGAGGAGCGTCATCCCCGCCGCGAGGGTGCTGACACCGCCGCGGTGCTGCAGGCCTGGAACAACAGCAATAAATTATAGCACGTGGACTTCTCTGTATCATGTCTGCTTGCAGGTCTCAACGCGGCGCCGCTGCTCTTCGCGCTGTGTCTTTAGTCCGTCCTGAAGCTAGCTTGCAGCTCACACCAGCAGCAAACACGGGCATGCAGTCCGTGACAGCAGCTGGAGTGATGGCAGCGCAGCCTGATTCGGACTTGGTTACCGTCTGCACGGATGTAACTGAGGGGGGAACGCTCGTTCGCGTCGTTGCTCCCTCAAGGCACATAAGGATGGTTGACCTTATGCCTGTTTTTGAGGCGCTTGACCTCAACTTGGTCAGCTACACCGCGGAACCTGACCCTGACGCGGTCGCTGGAGGCCTGCAAGCTCGGCGCAAGCACAGCTTTCGAGGTCGCTTCTTTGTCACAGACGCAGACGGGTGCAACCTCAGCGATGACATGTTGGACGCACTCGTAGCGGCGTTGCAGGAGGCCTTGCACGTGCGCCTCAGCCGTATGGGCCGCTGCAGCGCGCAGGCGCAACAATCTCGCCGCGGCAGTGTCGCCTCCTACGCAACGGACGCGAGCATCGATCCCGACTCGCCCTCCTGCACTAGTGTTCCATCCTGCAGCCTGCACGGCCAAGCGAGCGCCCCTAGCTTGGGCCATATCAGCTACATGCACAGCAATCTGCATCACAGTGCATCCCAACATCAAGGCTATCCCACGCAGCCGCTCTTCCCGCAATCCCAGCCCCAGCTGCAGACCCCGCTGCAACCGCAGCATCACCCTAGCCTGCAACACCAGCAGCCTGACTTGCAACAGCTGCAGCAATCCCAGTACTCCTTACCCCAGTGCCCTTACCAACACCCCCAGGAGCACGCGGCCTCGGTCAGCAGTATGCTGTTATCCGAACACAGCGTCAGCAGCGTCGGCTCGCTCATGCGCGCACCTTCGGGTGCTGCCTCCGACCCGCCGACGGTGCCCAGTCCGCCTTACAACACGCCTTATGAGAACCCGTCTTTCACCTTCCTGCAGCAACAGGCCGATGGGGTCTTCCTCGATACTGCAGGGCCGGGACAGCTCACGACCTCGGCCGCGACGTTCGGCATGGGAAATGGCGGTGTGGTTATGGACGAGAGGTCCGGCGGCGGGGTACCCGCAACGCCCTTCACAGCCGCAGCTGGCATCCACCAGCACGCGCACGGCCACCCGCACCATCATTATACGCGCTCGCAGCCGCCGCTGCAGCCCCAGCTCCAAGCACCTGACATGTACGATCTCTCTCTGGCGTTCCCTCAGCGGGCGTCCTCCACCTCGTCCACGCCCCCCCATGTCAGCGGCACGCTCCCCACCATTGCGGCGGCGAGCCCGCTGCCGGAAGGCGCGGGCGCGTTCGGACTGTCGGCTGTGGCGACAATTGCGGCATCCAGCCGCGGAGCACAAGCCCACGTCAGCTTTCTAGTGCCGTGTGCAGCGACCAGCGCCGCACCGGCAGCTACCACGCCGCTTAACAGCCGCCCACCGTCCAATGGTTCACTTGTGGCGCCAGCTTCCGGTTCTATGCCTTTGGCCAGTGTCAGTAGCTCGGCCGCAATGTCGACGGATACGCAAAGTGAGGCTGCAGCGGCGGCAGCCGCTGCCGCCGCTGCTACCTCTGACATGCACGCGAGCGGCGATGTAAGCCAGACGGAGGAGGAGGAACGCGACGGATCGTACACTTGGTGGTCGACGTTTTCGGCGCAGGACAGTGTGCGTCACATCATGTCACAACCTGCGCGCTCTATCTCGGCGGAGGCAGACCTGGGCCAGGCCAAGCGGCTGATGACCACGTATAACATCTCGGCACTGCTGGTCAACACTGGCAACTCGTCGCCGGGCTTCATTACCAAGCGCGACTTCCTGAAGGTGCAGTTCTCGAAGAACTTCAAGCGAACGAAGGTGCGGTGGGAGGGGCCCGGGGGAGGACGCTGTGAGCCACGATTGAAAAACGTCGCATGCGCACGTGTGGAAAGGGACCAAGAGCGTGGCTCTTTCTTGTCTTGGCGTGCCGCACCACCCGTCCCCCCGAGTTATTAGTGGTTGGTAACGTCCTGCAGTATCTGTCCAGTCATGGAGTATCCATTTGTCTCTGGTATAAGCTGCTTCACTTCTTTGTGGTTCGTCTTTCCCTCCGCCCGACAAGAACGCCTTTTGGTCAGTTCTACTTCTTGTACACTCTTGCCCTGGCAGCAGCTTCACTCGTTTGTGGTTCGTCTTCCCCCCTGCCCGACATACCCCGCTGTCGCCTGAAAAGCACGTGCATTGGCTCCACGTCGTGTCTTTGAGGTTTCATGCATCCCCTCACAGGCGCGTAGTGTTCAAATTTTAGGCATTGTCTTTATATTAGTCGTTCTGATATTGCCTTTGCCGAGCTGTGCTGTACGCTTGCGAGCAGTTGACTTTCGAACCTTATCGCGCAAGTCACTATTGAGCACGGTTCAGGGTGTTTATGCATTGGCACTTGCCGTGTGGGTCCCCACAGGTCAAGGACGTGATGACGCAGCCTGTTATCTTTGTGGACATCAACCTGCCCATCGAGCAGTGCTCTCGGGTGCTTGAGGCGCATGGGGTGCGGCGGGTGCTGGTACACGACCTGTCGCGGGTCTCTGAGGACGATCCGCTGTCGGCGTTTGTCGGCGTGGTTAGCGACGCGGACCTCTTCAAGTGCATGGGTGCGCCGGCCATGTCGCCTGGTGGGTGGAGGGCGATGCAGGAACATAGTCCCTGGCATCGGCTAGGAGTGGAGGGATGAAATGAGGAAGGTGTCACGGGATGCTGTAAGGGATGGTCGACAGGAAATGCTGGCCGGGAGGGGCTTGTCGGCACCATGGACACGCTTACAGTGCGTGAAGAGGTTCCTTGCGCTGCAGCTTCATTATCAAGGCATGCAGAGACCGCATTTTCCTGTCATGCGTATAATTGATGTGATGCTTTGCCCCCATAGAAGTGCATGTTTGCCATGGCGGTGCGAAGTGCGCATATGATGCTGCCGAGCTAGTTGTGATGCCTTCATGTGGACATGTGGTCTGACGAGAGCGCTTGCAAAGATTCGCTTTACACTTCCAACCCGTGACGGCGGTGCATATTTTGAGCTCTCCGCCGATCCGCCAAGCTGCAATCCTTTTGTTTTTGTTTCCGTTTATCGCCTTCAGTAACCCCCGTTTGTCAGTATCTCTGCAGCAAAAGAACGCCGTGTGATACTGCTCCCCCTCCTTGCCCCAACGCCTGGCGTTGCCACAGTCGTGGGATCTATCGCCAATTCATCAGATCAAGCGCAGCCCATGCTCGCAATGCTCCCCGGTGGCGACGGCACGCTGCCCACATTGCCCGCATTTCCTCCGCTTTGCCAGCAAAGCCCAATGGATCGGCATACGCCCGGGCAGCAGCCCCACTCTCAGCTGCAGCATCCGCAGTTTCAGGCCCATCCCCAGCAGCAGGCGCAGTTTCTTCTGGCGCTGCCGCCGCCGCCGCAGCAACAACAACAGCAACAGCAAGCCCTGCAGTCGTCAGTTGGTTCCTCGGCGTCTGCGTCTGTCGCCGGTTCAGCGGGGCCTTCGCACGCAGCCTCCATGGCCACAGGGCTGGCATCGGCTTCCGATGCCGCCAGCGCGGCTGCACTGGCGCTGGCGAACAGCACGGCGTCGGCCGTAGCTATGCGGCTTAACGCGGAGCCGTCTCTGGCGGATCGCTACCGCTGCGCTGCAGCGCTTTGGGAGCTGGACTTCAATGAGCTGGGTGGGTTGGGCTGAATGAGCTGGGTGGGACGTGAAAGCTGGCTTAACCGTGGGATTAAGATTCGTATGTAGTCAAACGGATTTTGCACGTTGCAGAAAAGCAAGGGGTGCATGAGGGGTTGGAGGTTGTTCGGGCGGAGCTGTGAATTCGATGTCATGTGAGCTGGACAGCTGGAGGTTTGGATTTGTGGGTGGGAGTTGGAGCCGCAAGAGGTGCTGCCTGTTGACGGCTGCGTTGGCTATGGGTTGGATGCGGACCTGAAGGGGATGGTGCGGGGCATGCCAATTGGGTGCTGGCTGGTCTGTGATGGGGTCAACGGGACAGTCACGAAGGGGCTGTCTGGGGTTGCGGAAAAATGCGTCCAAAATCGAAAAGGGTCCCTTGGAATCGAAGGGTCCTTCTTGCCGCTCGTAACTGCGTGTCAAGCCAGGAATTCTCTCACGGCAGTTTCCTCCCGCGGCCCATCCTCCCCGGCATCGCTCCCTCGGACCCCACGCGCCTGGCATCCTGATCTGACCCGGTCCACTGTCCATACCTGGTTACGCGCCGCAGAGGTGACCCGTCGCATCGGGGAGGGCTCCTTTGGAGAGGTCCTGCTTGCCAACTTTAGGGGCACCAAGGTGGCAGTGAAGCGGCTGCGCGGCTTTGATGTGGGGCCCGACAATCCCGACACAGAACCGGGGCCCTCGCCCACGCAGATGCCCATTTTCCGACAGTTTTTCGAGGTGAGCTGACGGGCGAGGTGTGCAAAAGAAGTCTGGAACCCTTATTCGGGTTCCACAATTACGCATGTTGACATTATAGCCAAAGAGGAGGTGCCTTGTATGTCGGGCGGTGAAGATGGGAGGATAGGTCTGGGCCCGGTTAACTTGCTGGCTTCCGAGGGCGTAGTTGGGCCATGGCCACCTAGAGGGGCAGTGATTGGATGAGGAAGCAGTTGGCGTGATGCGTCGATCGCGTGGGGAGCCAGTTAGGAGCAAGGTACGTGTGGTTCCGCGGCGTGAAGTTACCTCTGACCCAGTCGTGCGGGGGGCGCTGGAGCTCTCACAGCATCGCTTTCGGCACGAAAATACCGTGTGACCTCACCATGCTCTGCAATACACGGCTCCCCAATGCTGCAGAGGGAGATTGAAATCCTGGCTACGATACGGCACCCGAATGGTAAGTGAGTGCGGCGATGGGACAGTGTCAATGCTGTAGCCTCGCGGCGAGGTGTGGCGTTGGGTGCTATGAAGCGCTCCTTTGCTTCGGGTGCCTGCTTTCCCGCCGCCTGTCATGGTGTTGACAAGGTGCCGCTGTGAACATGTTCAGTTTACCGGCTAGTTAAGTTAAAGCAGCTCGGCTCCTGCCATGTTGTTCCTGCCATTTCTAAGCACACCTACAGCGCTGCGGGCTCCATGGCCGTAAGGAGATGCCTTGTGCTGTCCCATTCTCCGTGCTCGTGTTCCTGTTCTTACATCCGGCCCTTTCTGTTGTTTGCCGCGTTACCCGTCCCCCAGTTGTCAACTTCATCGGCGCCTGCCATACGCCCCCCAACGTGTGCCTGGTGACGGAGTACTGCGCACGAGGCTCCCTAGACCACCTGCTGCATAAGTCGAGCATTCCGCTGGACCTTCTCAAGAAGGCAAGAGAGCCAGCGTCGCGGCGTAGGGGACCATAGGAAGGGAAACATGTGGGGCCGCATGACATGCTTAATCCGACACGGTTCTCCCTCCAGCTACCACAACGAACTTCTTTCATCTTCACGCGGCTTTTTATTTTTTTTATAATCCCTCCAGGGCGCGTTGTTCGGCTGATGAGGGCCCCTGTGTTGTGAGGAGGCGGGTGCAGGTGCTTTGTCCCCCGTCCACGCCGCTTTGTGTCCTAATATGCAACTCCCACACCTTGCCTCCCTTTCACATCAGGTGGAGTTCTCCATGGACATTGCCCGCGGCATGAGCTGTCTGCACTCGCAAAAGCCACCCATTATCCACCGCGACCTGAAGACCGCCAACTTGCTGGTGTCGGCAAGGTTTGAGGTCAAGGTGCGTGCTGGTGTTTGCGTGTCGCGACGGATTAGGGAAACATGCAGGGGATACTGAAAAGCTCTTGGGAAACCAAGCGAGGGGAGAGAAGGATGGTTTGGGGGAAGGATGGAACTTGGATGCTGCGATCGTGTTGTGTGTGTGTGTGGCGGGATGGAACGAGGTTGTGAGATGCTGGCTGGGTCGTAGTCGCATGCCCCGTTTTCATTATTTATACCGGCTGGGCCCAGTCTTGGACGTTTAGAGCGGATGTCGTGTCTCCGGCTTGCGGCAGATATGTTCAGGGTTTTTTTTGCATGCGTTGAGCAAGGATGTGGAGAGCTGTCTGCTTGTCTGGTTACTACTGTAGCTCCTCCGCGCTGCTGACTGCGGCATCGGTGACTGACCGTTTTTCCAGGTGGCGGATTTCGGGCTAAGTCGCATCAAGGACCACGCACAGCTTATCAACAGCCGCGCCGGACTGGAGGGCACGGTGGAGTACGCTGCACCCGAAGTCCTGCGGGGCGAGCCATACACGGAAAAGTGCGACATCTGGTCGTACGCCGTGTTGCTGTGGGAGATCATCCACCGCCAGCGGCCGTACGCGGACACCGACGTGCCCATCTACATCTTGATGTAAGGGGGCAGGGCAGGGCAGGGCAGGGCGGAATGGGGGCCCAGGGTAGCATGACTATTGGCATTATACGCATTATTGGCATTATACGCGCGCGGTGCTGGGCCATTATTCCGGTATTGCGCCCCAAGGCGACTTTGAGGCGCCAATGTGTGTGTGCTGATCGTTTTCCACTTCGGAAATTCGCCCTATGCACTCATAATCTTCATGCCAAGTGCACCTCCTGAGTCGCTTGCCCAAGAAGACATATTTCACTGCATCCCTCTTCGTTCCATACTCCCATTCGCTACCCTCAACCCAATCCCCGAGTCCTAACACCCAGCAAAAAAATGTTTTCATCGGCTCTGTCCTGCACTCTGTCCTGCACGTTGCTGCACTCTGTCCTTTATATTCCTTTTTGTCCTTCTCTCCCAAAGGATGTCTCTGGGCAACGGGTCTCTGCGACTACCTGCCGTGCGGGAGGATCTCGCCACGTGCGGCCTGGTGCGGCTGGTGGAGCGCTGCATGGCGTGGCACCCGGCGGACCGGCCCAGCTTCCGAGAGGTGCTGCACGCGCTGGAGGCGGAGTACAAGATCATCCGGGGCAAGGCGGCAGGCAAGCACTGTCAGGGGGCCCGACCGGGGTTGTGCCGCGTGCTGAGGGTTGGGAAAAGCAGGATGGCAGATTTCTTGGAGACCTAGAGGCCTGGGATGTTGTTCTAGGCTAGAAGAGTCGGCGGTCCAGAGGGCCTCGGGAAGTTTTGGCACACGTGTGACATCCTTGGGTCTCTGAGCAAGTCCTTGTCCTCATCCCTTTCCGCTCCGAAACCCCGCAGCCGTGCCGCGCTCAGACTCCGCCTCTTCCATGGTGGTCTTACCTGGCGGCCAGGCCCGCGGCCCAGGTGCAGACGGGGCGGACCCACACCATGCGCAGAACCCGCAAGGGAACGCAGCAGCACCCGGGCCTAACGCCGGTGCCGGTGCCACGGCAGCCCGGCCAGCGCCTCCGACCCCTCAGACGCAGCAGCAGGCACAGCCGCAACCCCAGCAGCGGAGCTCCAAGCTGGGCCTCGGACCAAGCCTGCAGAGCCCCGGGCCCAAGGCTGGCGATGGCAGGGAAGGCGGCGCGGCCGAGGCTGGTGGCATCTATGGAAATCCCCATCCCCATCCGCACGCGCATGTGCATGGACATGGCCTTCAGGGCGCAGGCCTGAACGCTCCCCACCATTCGCAGCATCCTGTCCTACACCCGCATGAGCACCCGCCGTCGCAGCTCGCCAACCAGCAGCAGCCCCAGCAGCCCCAGCATCCTGGCCGGATTGTAGCACGTGTGAAGCTTGCGGTGCCGGTGCAGGCCGCTGGGCAGCAGCTGCATAGCTCCCAGACGTCCGGTGGGACAAGCGGAGGGAACCCCTGCGACACGCCCGACCCTGTCAGCCCCGCGGAATCGTCTTTGCGCCCAGTCTCGGGCCGCAACGCCGGCACCAGCACCGCCGGCCGTGGCACAGGGGGTTCTGCCAAGCCCGGCAGCGCCGGGCGACCTACCGCTAGGTCGCTACGCTCGGCGGCCCGCTCGAAATCCATGCCGCTGCCCGAATTTGAGTGGTTTGGCGGCGAGGAGGGCTCTGATGAGTACATCGACACGACGACGGATTCGATCGCTGATGATGACCCGGCATCGGGGGGTGCCTCCGGCAGCGGTGCCCTGCCAGGCGCAGCCGCCGCGGGGATCCAGCCGTCGCACGCACGCACATTGTTATCCCCGGATCGCGGCGGCATCCACAGCACGCCGTACCCGGACGATCTAGCGCTCCAGCACAAGACAAGCGCGGATGACATTCAACGACGGGACGCGATGGAAACCGTCGCAGACGCGGCCGTGGCTACGCAACACTTGCCGCACCACCTAGTAGTTCGTGTGGGCCGACCTGACGAAAATGGCGCGGTATCTGCTGCGGGCATGGCCGGTCGTGGCGGGAGCTTCAGCCAACTTCAAGAGCTGGCACTGCCGCCACATCAACATCAACAGCAGCAGCTTCAGTGTGAAGTCCGGGATCAAGCGGCGTCCGCAATAGCAGCACCGGACTGGGTCGTTAGAGCGGAGGACGTGGAAGTCTCGCCACCGCGCGTTGCGGCGGTGGCGCGGCAGTCACCATTCCACTTAGCCGCCAACAGCCCCTTCGCAGACGCTGCGGATACACCGTGGTCGCCTCGCGGCTCTGAGGATGCTGGTTCCTCGCCCTCGCGCTTCGGCTCACACGCTATGTCGGAGTCTGCGGCGAACTCGATAATGCAGCTGCAGCAACAGCAGCAGGAGAGCCAGGCAAGGCTGGAGTGCGACCAGCAGGTGTCGTTGGCGCCGCAGGCGCCGCCGCGAAAGGCTGCATATGTGAGTCCGTTCGCGCAAATGGCAAACGAGCCGGCCTTGTCCCCTCGCGGTGAGGAGGAGGAGGAAGAGGAGAACCGCTTGTGTTCGGCCGTGGAAGCGGAGCGTGACAAGCCCGAGGGGTTGTGGCGGCAGCTTACGATCAGTGGCGGCGGTACCGCTGCCACCCCCGCTGCGTCGCCGCTGCCACTGGCACAGCGGCCTATTGCCGCCGCGTCTACAGCCGGCAGCACGGACGTGAATACCGCGGTGGAGAAGGACCAGCAGACCGCCTGCTGGGGCATCATGGGGACTTGCAGCAAGCCGCCTTCTGGTGACGTGTACCCTCCTAGTGCGGCCACCGTTGCCGGCGGCCGCCTGCCCTCACCCCCTGCCACATCTAGTGTACCGTCACTCGCGTCGCCATTCACGACGCGGTGCGGTGACGCGGACACGGCTGCCAACGGTACTGTGTCGTGCCGGCGCCGGCGCCGCGGCAGCGGCGACGCTGACGGCGTCGACGGCGATAGCCAGGAGGGCGTCGTGGTGATGGGGGATGATGGGGAAGTGGACGACGCCAGCGGGCGCGAGCAGCGATTGGTTGCGGCATTGTCGTCCGCGTCTGCGGGTCTTGAAGCGCTGTCTTTGGCGATGCCGGCTGTGATGGGGTTCGCAGGGGGGAACCTCGCGGGCGTGCGGTCGGATAGCGACCAGTTCGATGAGGAGGACGTGGACGCCACGTTGCACACTACTGCGTGGGTGCGGCTGTAGGCCACACAGGGGAGAGGCTGCTAGTTCGCCTTTTGGACCGCTAGGTGGCGGTCGGGAAAGGAGGGAAGGTTGTTGGGCCGAGACGTGGTGTAGCAACAGTGTAGCTGTGGCGGCCAGCTGTGAGCCGGTTGGCCGCTGTCTGTCCTCCTCGCAACGATGTAAGTGCAATAGCTAGATGGTTGGCGGGAGGCGCGGCTGTCCCACCTTACTGCGAACAGAGGCGGTTGCAAAGGCAAGTCATGTTAGGTAGACTAGGGTTTGCAGGTTTTGATGCGTGTGCGTTTGCGTATGATGTGTATGGTGTGTTTGATGTCCTTGGTACCTTTTTGGGCTGGTTGTTACTAAGGGTCTGGGACCTGGCACGTCAGAGACGTTGGTGGCTCAGCCCGCGAGCGGTGGGGCGCGGTGCAGCGTCGTCGCTGCGCCGCCGCTGCGTGTGTAGTGACATTCACTGCCACGAGAATGCTGCTGGGTAATGCTAAGTTTGAACAAAGAACGGACGAGAGGTGGTGATGGAGAGGCGTGGGAAGGGCGTGGCGTCTCCCTAGATCTCTCCGCTCGTGGGTTGTGTATAGAGTCTCTCAACCCTTTCATTCCATCGCTGTTCTGCGTGCGCTCTACCGTGACCCGCCCTGATTGTTTTGCGGGGCCTGCGACCCAGGTGCCCGTGGAGGACTCTCTGCATGTGCATATAGCTGTGCACATGCATGACTTCTTACAGAATTCCTTTCTCCCTTTCCAATGTCTTTCTCGGGAGTGGCTTGATGATAAGAAGGGCCCCCGTAGCTTGTGGTTTGCGTACGCGTGCTTACCATACAGTGTGTCGTACCGGATGATTAGGAGCTGTTGCTATCGCCGCCTCCGCCGCTGTTTGCTTTATGGTTACACAGTTTACAAAGGTACTGCGGTAGAGGATGGCGTGGGATACCGAATATACGCGGATTGCAGCCTTGGCGAGGTGGCGGGTGCCTTGAGACACGGCGCGTTACAGGTGCGTTACAGAAGGGCGCCCCACAATGAGGAGGAACGCACTTGAAAGAATAAGGGTTCGAGGTGTTGGCTTGAGTCCCGCCCCGGTGGTGCTGTGTGGGATGGGATGCAAGTCGCAGGAACGCGCGGCGACTGTGTGGGGATATGAAACGGCGGGTCGAACCGTTCCGATTGCGAGATCCCTCCTCCTGCCGCTGCGCTGCTAGCGGTGAAACCGGAGTCTTGCCCGGGGTCGAAAGTATTCGCCCTGGCTCGTCTGCTCCGTTTGCAGTAATACTAGCAACGCTCCATGTTAATCTTGTTTCGGAGAGAGGGTGTTACGCGTAACCTGGGCAGTGGCGGCTGGTGCAGGTCGTGATCGTGCGTGTATGCTAATATGGAACCTTACAGCTGCTGCCGACCGTTGTGCCTGTCAGTTCGTGTGTTTTGAAAAGGAGCCCTTCGTATTGGGAGTGACTCGCGACCTGGGGACCATTGCGCAGACGGACAAATATACCTGGGGGGCACACGATCCCACAGGCGCTTTTCGCTGCGCCACTTACCCACATGCCGTGTTCATTGGATGGGTCCAAAATAACAACATTGTGGATTGGGCAAAAGAGGCAGTCAGATGTCGTACAATTAGGATGAATCGTAAAAATATCGGTCCTGTTTTGCTGGTTGTGAAATATATATGGCGAGGGCTCTGGCAGACTGCGGTGGTTGTGGTGGGAGTGGCGGTGGTTATCACGGTTTTGGCCGTCAGTTCAGCGGTCCCATTGCGAACTGTGCTTTTCAGCGCTGCGTCTCGTTAAAGGCAAACAGATCCTAAATTTTATTATGAGAGAGGGCGGAGCAGCGGCGCTGGGCGCATCTGCTGGCTGGGCTAGCCGTTCCCACGGTAAGCAAAGAGAGATGTTGTGAGAACTGGAGAGTTCGGGTTCGCTGCAGGCGGTGTCCACTGTGTGTACCGTATTCCGGATGATTCTTCCAGTAGTGAGGCTTCCTATGAGAGCCTGGCTGTGCCACTCTGGACAGGGCTCGGCGCAGGGGTGCAAAACTGGCGCGTCAAGGTCGACTTCCCCGCCTGCCAGAGTATTAAAATCGGCGTCAAATGTAGGAGATCTTTTTAGCTTTTGTACACACACATCGTTTTTTCTGCTTCTTATACCTTGGCGGATTGATGATTTTACCGGCCGTACAAAGAGGGGGAAACAGGGGGCCGCCTGTGCGATATAAATGAGACAGCACCGCAGGGAGACGCGGTGCGGCTTTTTGGCGATGATGACCCCTCTGTCCTTGAAAGGGTGCGCAAGCTTCCCCAGGCCGGGATGATCATCCCCGGGCCTTTGCGTCCTTCCCATTGCACGCGAAACAGATCCGGTGAAAACGGGATGTCAGGGTTTTTCACGAGTGGAACGCTTATTTGCAGTCCGTGCAGTGTTTGTTGTCCGTGTAGCGTTTCAGGGCGCCATCCAAACGTGCACCTGTTGTGATCTTGCCCTGATGTGTTATGTGCCATCGTGAGCTCGTGACCCAGCAATGGAAGTTGGATGACGAGACTCGTTTGATGCATGGCCCTATTTTTATGGTGAACAGTAGGTGGGAGAGACGGAAAAAGACCCTGAGGCCTGCACCCAGGGCCAGCCTGAAGTCACGTACAATGTCTTGATTAAGAAAAATTGCTGCCGGTGCTGCATCCTATTCGCTGCTCTATATGGTTATACCAGCGGGTTCCCTGCGCCCGCTTTGACGGCCGTAGACAGGCGGCACGGCGGATGCACAAGGACAATTTACACAGGCGCACGTGTGCACACGGTGGTAGCCGCGCATTCGCGGCGACCGCGGGTGGCGGCGTTCCTACCAATGGATGCATTCTTTGCTACGAGCACACACCGCAGACAGTCCTTCCTTTGGCCTGGGGACCAGGTGTTGATGGCGAAGGGTGGTATGGAGGACCAACACCGCTTTGCCAGCGGCGTTGGCCGCCGGCAACCCAAAGGGGCGTGTGCGGTGGCTGGGGGTTAGGACAGGAACATCGTACCTATACGAGGGCCCAGGGGCCCATTGGGAGTGTACTTGCACGTGATTGTAGGTTCGAGTGTTCATGTGTTCTCCGATCTGGGAACCTGACTATGACAGCATGTTTTGTAAACGTCGGACTCCTGCGGTAGCCTGGGCTCAATTGTGTTGCACAACAGTTGCAGTACAGTCCATGTACCGCTGTCGCTCAGCAATGATCTTTAGGAGATCCAGCGCACCCTTTTTATTATTAAGTTACGTGCATTGCTACGTAGAAAACATAAACACGATGATACGGATGAACGATTGATACCCGGATGCCCTCTCCTTGCCACAACCGTGGCAAATGCCATGCCACAAAGCTTGAGCCGCAGTTCATTATTAAGATCCCAACGCGCCGGACTTCCTGATGTTCCTTTCATCAGGAGGGACAGGGCAGGAGGATGCCTGCAAGTCAGCCTCAAACTCGACTTGGTTTGACTTGCAGTTGATGTTCCATCCTCCCTCTCCCGCTAATGGCCAACTACCACCTGGTGACACCCAAGGGGGGTAAAAACAGGATAACAGCAGCCATTGAGCCGCCTGCCATAACCCTGGCACTTCGTTCTGCAGCGCATCCAGCCTATTTTGAAATACCTCGCCTCAACCACCCACACACCAACCCACAGCCACCCGTATAACCTCGCCACCATATACCCACGGTGCTTCGTTTGAACCCCCCAGAAAGCGCCTCCCTAATGCCCACTGGCCTCTTAACCTCGCGCGGCGCGGCTCAGCCGACCCAGCAGCAAGAGGACGGAACACGTCCACTTGCCTCCACAGCGAACCACTAGCCAACAGGGCACCGCCTCAACGACCATCAGAAAGCCACCCAGGGCCCCAAGTCAAGCCTTTATCTTTGCCTTATCCAATCTCACCCAATCCGGCTAAGCAGCCGAGCAACCATGGTCCGCACCTGCTGCGGCGTCTTGAACTCGCTCTCCGAGATCGCATTGGCCACCAGCACGCATGTCGCGGCTGTGCCTGCTGTCAACCACACCCGCCCATTCAGACCAACCGCCATCTCAAACTGCAGCCCCGAGCCTAACGCCTCCAGCACCGGTGCCGTGGGGCTTCCCAGCAGCTGTCGTGCCAGGGCTGAGGAGATGGAGAGCACCATGCCGCCCTTTAGGTGGCCGAAGCCGGCCGCACGGCCCGCAGCATCCACACATGAAAGCACCGGGTCCGTGTCGCGGTGCGCCTGGACGACGCGTGCGTATACCAGGTCGCCAGGGTGGATGTTTGGTCGGTTACGGCGGGTGGCGCCCTCGAAGGAGAGCTGCGGCAAGACGGCGTTGAATGGACCGCCAATATCGACTGTAAAGTTCTGGACATTGGAAGGAACGGGGCACGATGCGGGACAAAGGGTTAGGTGGACGGGGCCCTACCGAAAGCGCGGTGCCAAGGGCGGGGAAACCAGGACGGGCCGGGGTAGAGGGACGGCCACTTGTCACGTCCTATCAAGCGTACCTCGGAGTGCTTGTCAACTATTACCCCGACCACCACGTCTCCCTCCACGGGTATGTACCTGCACAACGCAGGATTGGGCACATCCAGGCAGCGCGTGGGTCGGCGGGTCGGGGGCGGCGACAAGCTCGGTCGCTCCAGTTTACCGTTTCTGCCGGCCTTCCAGGTAAAGTTGACCTGTCCGTGTTGCTTTTAGGATACCACCCTTGGTAGAAACCACGGCACCTTCATGCGTCGTAAGGCCAGCTGACAGGCGGAGCGTGCCCTGAGATGGAACTTCTAGTATCTTGTCGCCAGGGCCTACTACCTGTAATTGAAAGTTTTCACTATTATGAAATTCCTCGTCGGGACAATCCGTGGTCGGCGCAGAACGGACAGATTCACCTTTCCAAGCGCGGGAGGTGCTGACATTTTGGAATAACAAGGATGTTTGAGCTCATTCAATTTAGGTTCTTAGCCTCAAACTTATGACGTCCAAGTTACGGTTAAAGCATGGTAAATTCCAACGACCACCGAAAGACACAATTGCAAGCTTTTGGTATTATAACCTTTTCGAAAGAAGTATGCATACATACCTAGCTGCATAGTACACTTTCTTGCACAACGTTTCTGCCGTGAACACATTGCATATACCATCGCACGGCTGCGCACGGTTCACTCCGATGCGTAGAGCACAGCCTAGCAGCAGCGGTGTTCAGAGATGGCGATCAGTCGCGGACAAGCTTGTGCCTACCGCCTCCTGCTCCGCACGTTTCCAGCACCTTTCTAGAAGGCCATCAGTTGCCGTCCACGCAAGTGGAGTGCGGGCGCGCTGGTGCATAGGTAAGTTGTCCTTTCCATTGGCACTAGCGTCTTTCGGTCACGATTCTCCCTGCAAAGTTGATACGGCAGCTGCTGGTCCCCCCTGCTGCTCTGAATGTTGGCGGGCTGGGCATGGCCCAGCCGGCATGGCCCAGCCCGCGCCGCGCGCCACGCTGCGCCGTCGCTCACACCTCGTAGCCCCCCAACGCTTCCTGATTGATGGGCCTTCACCCGCAGATGTGGAGTACGGTCACAAACAGACGGTTACCGCGCTGCTGCAGGAGTGGGTGGCGGACGTTGGGGCGCTGGCTGGGCTGACCCACACCAACACCCGCCTCAGTAGCGGCTCTGTGGGCGTGGCGGAATCGCGACTGGAGGTGCGATGTTGGCTCTGCCATGATGACCCTGTGCCCCTCGGCGCCTGGCGCCTGTTGCCCGACCGTCCGCTTGGATCCAGAAGCCCTTCTTACCCGCTTTCCTAACCAACTAACAGACTGACCAACAGATGGACTGAGTGAATTGATTACTTCCTTGTTAAGGTTCCTGGTTTCGTTGCTGCCGCAGCTAGAGGTCACCTTTCCCTCGCTGTCCGAGTGGGAGCACTTCCTGGCGGCCATTCCAGCTAAGGAACACAGGTGAGGGACTCGGGATACTTCAGGCTGGATTCAAAACAGCCATACATACATACATACATGCATGCATACATACATATATACAGCATACATACAGCCATACATGCATACATACATATATACATATACGTATGTGGCTTGGGGGCCAGCCCCGGGTCCCGCCAGGGGGCCGGGTGTAGACCATGTGCCGAACAGCTTTTGCCCAAGATGAAGGAGACTGGTGATATGCGCGCGTGTGTGCGCGTGCGTGTGTGTGTATGTGTGTAAGTTGTGAACGAAGGCGAAAACCCAACAGCATACCGCACTGATGAGGTCCCGAGCGCGTACTGATGGCGGGACAGTACGACAGCAGTACGACAACCCGATAGCCCCTTCACTTGTTCGTCCAATCCCATCCGATGATTTCCGTGATGTGTTTTGTGACAGAGTGTGGTCACTTGCCGCTCCTGATTGCTGCGCCGTCCTGTATTGACCCAGTATTGACCCTTCCTCTCTGCCACGGTGCGTCTGTAATTTGGTCACCTCGTCCGTGCTCCTTGACCCACGTTCGGTCACCCTGCAGGGCTTGGAGCCAGCGGGTGCAGGGTATGATTGTGGGGGGCTCCCCGCGCTGGGAGCTGTTCCGGGCAGTCCCGGCGTTCCCGGACGGACAAGAGCAGGCAGCCGCGGCCGCCGCGGCGCCCGCCAGCAGACCCCTGCTCGCCCTGCCCACCGCCTCCACTCAGCCCGCATCCCGGGTAAGAGTACCCGCCCTGACGGAAAACCTCCCTGAGACTCGAAACACCACATGGACCGAAATGGCGACTTGTTGGGGTTGTGGTGGCTTTCATGTACAGCGGTGGGGGGTTTTGGGGCGGCTTGGGGCTCGGGTGCGTGGTCAAGCGAATTCGCCCAGGGAACTTGAGATTCTGCCGAGCTGCTTCCGCCGCTGCTGACATGCCCGCTGCCTTTTGCTTTGTAGGCCGCTGTCGATTCGGTTCCCGTAACAGCCAACGGAAACGGTGTCTCTGCCCCTGGTCCGACCAGCCCGGCCGGCGGCAGTAGTAATGGCGGTGGGCTGTCCATCATCGATAGCCCGCAGGACGCCGAGGTGGTCCTCGACTGGTGAGTGGCTGGCTGGCTGGCGCCCAGTGAAGCGGCCTGCTGTAGAAGTCTTAGCAGGGTCTGTGTTCCAGCTAGTTCCAGCAATGGAGCAAAATGTTTTAGGATAGAAAAACAAAAAATCCTAAAAAAAGCGGAAAGGACGGAGCAGCACTCGGATGGGGCTATTTCTCCCTCGCTTCAAGGCTTCCTCTTTCCCTCCCTCCCTGTGTGCAGGAAGGGAGAGCCCATGAAGGTGAACCCCGGCGACAAGCTGCCTTTCAAGTTCCTGTGAGGATGACGCGGAACAGGAGGTAGACGATGTAGAAGGTGGAGCGGGAGTGGCGGCCAACGATGTGGAAGGGGCAGAACAGCAAAGAGGTCTCTCCGATATCGGGAGACAGCGCTGTTACTTGTATGAATGCCGTACGTCTTTACTCCTTTCAGCTTAAGGACGGGGTTGTTGTGCACAGCTGCCGTGACGTCGTTGTTGAGATTCCACTGTAATGCTTGCAAGATACTAGCGTGCCGGAAATTGGTTATGGAGCTGTTATGATGCCACCTGGGGTGCGGTAGCTGTGGGGGCAGTGTCACGGCGGCACATGGTGTGACCAATGGTCCTATGCCCAAATATACGGATGCTGCATAGGCACTTAGCGTCGTGCTCTGCATGAACTCGTGAGCTGTATGTCGGTCGAGCGTGTTTTGTGATGACGGCAGGTGGTATGAGATGCTTTGGTGCTTGTGAGGAACGGGATTGCTGGTAAAGGAAGGACCGAGTGGCAGTGCGTGCTGGTGGATGCAAATGTCTCTGCTTGGTTTTGGGGGTTGCTTTCTCACTTCGGCGCTGGAGGTTCACGGTGGATATAGTGGGCGAAAGAGTAGCCAGAGATGACGGGGCTGAGCTTGATACTTGAGTTACATCATTGTGCATGAGGGTGCAAGCAACCATAATTACTCTAAACCATGAAGAGCGGGCCCCCGACTTGCGTCCCGTATGGTAAGGCGGGGACTACAAAGTGTGTTATACAGGCCCATACAAAGCTTAAGCACAGCAACCTTTTTACTGCGGCACATTGCGACGAGGCCAAATGCGGCTCGCTTTCCCGCCGCTTTCCCCCCGCTTCGTGCGTGTGCAGCCCCCGTGGTTCACTCCTGGTCAACATGCGCAGCCGGGTCCCACCCGACGAATACGCTGCCTCCATGAGCTGCTTGCGCTCGCACGTTGTTCCAACAGAGATGAATACTTCTCAGTTGCCACTAGGGATATATCATCGACGGAAAGCGGGTGGGTGAGCTCATCCCCAACCAGCAGTGACCCATCCTGACCCCGTAGGACTGCGGCCCAGCGCTCAGGAACGCGCAGGCGGCATTCGATATCGTGCACATTAATATGGTTGGCGACAAACATAATGATGAAAAGTCCGAAAGTGACGCACTGAAAGGGCATTTCTGCTTAAACCAGCGGCCAACCGAAAAATCGGGTCCAAGACCTATCTTCACGCGGACCTTGACTTCGATATGCCTAGTCGTAAGGGTGTCGAGTATGCGCCCTTGCTGACCATATGCTTCTTCTAGGAAACACCTAAGTGAGGCCTTACTAAAGTCTATCTGCATCACGATAAGTAGTCTGGTGCCGTTCAATGTCTGCCTAGGATTGGTGCCCTGCAGGGTAAAGAAATGGTGCTCCGTGCCAAAGCCACTCCTGCATCCCGCCTGACTCGCGGCGCGTGTACCACAGAATTGGTTAAACGGGCGCGCGATAACTGTGCCGTACAACTTGCGCAGCAGGGTCCCCACAGCGATGCCCCGATAGTTATGACAGCAGAAGGCATCCCCCTTCTTAAAGACGGGGAATAATGTGTTGATCGTAAAGGAGCGTGGGTACGCACCCCGGTACACGCGGTTGAATAATGATGTCAGGTGGGGTGCAAGCATGTGCCTGGGTCGCCCATTAACCCCCTCGCAAGTTGCACATTTGTAGTGCTCAGCCCGGACGCCTTCCAGTCCTGCGGATTTATGATTTATACGCACGGCAGTGAATAGACAGAATCTCCCTAGGATTCACGGAAAATAGGATGGAAGGTGCGGGATTACAGGGTTTTGTAAAAAATGTTCGTTGCCATTCGGGAAGTCCAAAACTTGTTCGCCAAAAGTTTGTCCGTTTCTTGCCCCTATCCTGCCCGACAGCATGGCTGCAAAGACTTGCATTGTGTGCTCTGGTTGCCAGGTTTGCCCCCAGAACGTTTTAATCCTCTTCAGGCGCCAACATGAGGCCGTCGTACCAAAATGGACTGGATTTCGACACTGCGCGACTAAGTCTGTCGCCGGGTGCTGCGGCGGAACTTCGGTGTTACTCTCAAAGGATCGTCCGGTCCTTTGGGCTGCGCTGCCATCCATGCCGTCAGGGACAAGGCAATAAGCAAAGCGGCAACGATGGCGACGAAGGCCTGCCGTATGGGGTGGTTAGCCGTGAAGGGCCAGTTGATTGTGGTCAGGGTCGGTTAGGCAAATAATCGAAATCGAGAGCAACCGTACCCATAGGGCTTGCTTGTGTCCTGCACGGTTTGCTGCCTTGCGTGCTTTGACCTCCTGCTTCGTCTCTGGCCGTCCCCGCCCGCGCACCGCGCGCGGCATCCTCACAAATTTAATACCGGGTAAGCTTCACAACGAGCTTTATATTTATCGTATAAGAAAACTCGAAGGGATCCTGATTCCTAGGATTTCAGCACCGCTCCATGTACGACAGTTTGCCTCATGTACATGCAAAAAATAATGTCCTATTGAATAAGTCGCACTTTCGGTCTTACGTTTCAGAGAGGAAGTTGATCCATTTGCCAAACTCTTGTGGCGACACGCGACGGTTGCTTTTGGTGCATGCTTACCTTTTAATTGCTGGCTCTAATCCTAAAAACCGAATGCCCGGCAAGCCTAGTAAACAGCAAGGGCTGTTTGATGATGGTTCTCTTCTCGGGTTCCTTCAATCGACTCTTGAAGCGGTGGGTCATCTTGGGCTCATGATGACTGATGTCATGCAGCAGACGTACGCATAAATGTTTGCAGATGGAGACGGCAGCTGGGGGGCAGCTCACAGAGGAGCGTGCCAAGCTGCAAGAGTTGCAGCTGGCGTTGGGCGGACTGGGGTTAACTACACCCACACCCGCAGGAACGGACGACCTTGCCCTCGCAAGGCAGCTCGACAAGTAAGACGCACCATGGCAAATATCCTTGCTGCTGTGCCTGCGAGCTGGCCCCCCTTCCGTTGCATATGATTCCTCCCCCAACATTTTCCTTGCCGGCAGACTAGAGCAGCAGCTGGAGGACGTGGAGGTGCAGATCTCGACAGCAGATGACACAACGAAGCAGTTGCTGACACAGAGCACTGCGGTATGGGCTGGGCTGCAGCAAAGCAGCGATCCTAACGCAGCTACTGCCAGTGGCAGCGAGGGCCATGGTGCCAGCGGTTCCCCTGCGACAAGCGTCGGCCTTTCTGGCATGTCTGCCAGCATCCCATCGGCAGATCAAGCACTTGCAACAGGCCTCCTTCCGGTCGCGGAGGAAGCGGTTGGCGAGGATGCAGATAGCTGACGTGGGTTGGATAGCTACTGTGCTGCTGCAGCTCATTGGGCGCAGAGTGCCTTGACATCACCCAGATGCAAAGGTGTCAATAATTGGCCACCCGACAGAAAGCTGTCTCATTCGGGGCCGAAGCGTCAGGCACGTCTATAGAAGCCCAGAGCTTATTGGAATGCTGGGGTCTCAGCGGAGCTGATTACAGGTCAGGTGGCGCACGCTGCACGGATTAACGCGCATCTGTCAGATGCTCAAGTAATCACACGGTTCAGTTCAACGTCTGTGAGTTGCCTCTTGACACACACAAGGACATCTCATTCGTCGTGTCTGTCCAAGGCAGTGAGTCTGGCACCCGTGTGGCAAAGCTCGTGAAGTCGACACGGCAGTGAGGACTCTCAAACACGGATGGGATGGCGCCAAAAGCACCTCCAAGAGGCCCCTGCTCAACGCTGCTCACTACCAGGTTGCCTGTTACAACGTCAGCCGGGCACAGTTCCTACAAGCGGAGCAGTACAAGCATAACTCCCACGGTGGAACCGCACACATTCAGAGCCCTCCCCAGCATACCCCAGTCTACACTCGAGCCAGTCGTCGGGTCAGCCAATTTCCAATCAGCTCGCTACACTAGCGCGCGCACAGCCCAAGTAGTTCGCTCAGTAGCCCCCGGTAGTGTCATCGTGTCCGTTTGTCGCTGGAAGGGGGTCAACTGAATAGGTTGCGCACCGTCTCCTTCTGCTCCTCCGTCAATGATGCTGGGAAGGACACGGTGTACTGGACCCACAGGTCGCCACGCTTGTGCTCCTGGCCGTTGATGGGCATGCCCTCGCCCGAGATCTGGTGCCAGTCGCCGGGGCGCGTCACCCCAGAGGCAGCCAGCGTCACCTTGTGGCCGTCCAGGTGCTCTAGTGTGTGGCTGAAGCCGGTCAACGCGTCCACCAGGCTAATAGTGAAATTATGGAGGAGGTCATTGCCACGACGCTCGAAGCGAGCATCGTGGACCTGGCGCACCACAAACACCAGGTCGCCTGGCTCGCCATCCACCAGCGGCTCACCCTCCTCGAAAAACGTTATTTGCTGTTGGCGTGGGAGCGGACAGAGTGTAAAAGTGAGTGGAAGTTTAGGCAGAAGGCAGGAGAAGTCCATTTCAGGAAAGTCGTAGGCAAGACTGCTGAGGCGCTTTATATGCGAGGACGGTCGTCGACTTAGGTTTACACAGGAGGTAATAGGATCCTTAAACCCTCTGAAACGCCGACTGGTTGCGTCCGTATCAAAAACATCGCAAAACATGTATGGAGAGTAAAAAGCTGAACAAAGACGATGTCACTGACGAATTTGTGCCGGCGAAGTTTGACGCACGTCATTGCATGTGAACCAAATGCGCGTGGAAAAGCAGAGGGGTGTGCATATGATGCCTTTGCTGTAAGTGTGAACGTTTGGGCTACAGTCCTCAGCCGTTTGCGCCAGCAGTGTAATGACACATTGTATGGCGTGGCATCGTACAGAGGCGGCCGTGGCCTGCCAGCAGCAACACGACTTGCATTCTCCCCAATGCAGCCGCGCTTCCCAGCATTACCTGGCCCAAGCTCACATGCCAGCGCAAATGCAAGGCAGGATTCTCTCCTTCACCACCGGTAGCTACCTAGGCAACGATGCCATGATAGCGAAAACGCGACTGTACCCTATCCGATTACCATCAAGTGCAGCCCCTGCCCACCCGCCCTGGCATATATATTGCATGCACCTCGGACGCACCCACCTGGCCGTCGGTCATGCCCGGCTCAATATGAACTGAGATGGGCTCCTGCTCGCGTTCTAGCTTCACCGCAGGACATGTACCGCACTCCTGCGTCTGGAACTGCTGGAACATGCCTGGGCCCAGCTGCCGGGTCATGATCTTTGTCTTGCAATTGCACTTGCGGGTGCCGGTGGTGGTGCGGATCACTGCTTTATCCCGAACCACCTGCGCTCAATAAACCGTGCAAGAAGGGAAGCACGTGCGGGAGCTCTCGTCGTACATTTCATACAGATAGCATGCAGACTACACGAACACTAAGCCAACGAAGGTTACGGCTTTATATACCCACTATATCGCATGTATACGGCCAATTTCAGCATGCCCAAGGGGCGGAGGACAGGAACTGGGTCGTAGTCGGCTGCTGCCATCGCTCCGGGTCAGCCGTAACCTCGCAACACATGACACCTAAGACACCCAGAGTTCCTCAGGTGTCCGAACTTCCTTGGGGATTCGCGCCATTCCTTGAAGAACAAGGCCCTTCGCTGGGCTTCGGAGCACAGGCACGTGACAATATCGCCCACAGCCCCATACCCAGCTGCCGGGTGCCCCAAGGAAACACTTCAATCGTTCGCCACCCACCTGCAGCTCCCGGCCAACGTAGAGGTCCCGGAGCGTGGCATGCAAATCTACATAAATAGTGTGGCCCTTCCGGACCTCCTCCTCCTCTCGCCCGCCACCGAAGCCACCACCCCCGAAGAAGCTGCAATTAGTACAGGAAACCAATTTCAACGGCCCAAAAGGCTCATGCATGGCTGACTTTCTACCTTTAATGATGACCCAAATCAAGAGAGCTTCCCGTCCATGGGCGCAGGACCCCTGGTTGGATGCAAGACCAAACCCCGAACACATTTGTTCTCCCTCTACATGCGAAGCTGTCACGTGGAGAGACTCTGCATGTCTCGACCTTTCTGACACACCCGCTGCACTCACAAGTCAAAGATGTCGTGACCTGATCGCCCACCACCCTGTTCGCGCGCCTGTGCTTGCTTAAGTCCGTCCTCTCCGTACTGATCGTAGATTTTTCGCTTCTCACTATCCGAAAGCACCTCATAAGCTGCAGCAGTTGGGGCACGAGCACGGAAGTTTATATTGCATCACTCGAGCCGTTAAGGCCGACGTCTTGGTCCGTTATCCCTCCCTCCTGGGAATGCTGCGGACTTGTGCCTTTCGGGCCTGACAAAGCGCAAGAGATCGTAGCCATTGCCGTCACTGATGGCCTTTGCCTGGCCACGTAACGATAAGCCAAGACCCTTGGGACACGCTTTCCCCCTCCACAACGGGGTCCTGCCCTTGTGCTACAATTGAATTACCATGGTTAATATCCGCAAACTTCTGAGATGCAGCCTTTTTCTCCTCTTCTGTCCCCGTGACTTTGTCCTGTGGAAAAACCGGCCGGGCCACGCGAGCGTGTTGCAAAGTCTGCCAGGTTTGGCAACTGTGCCAACCATAGGTTACTTACCGGGTGATATTGAAGCGCAAGCTTCCTATATGCACGTTTCAGTTGCGCGTCGCTGGCTCCTTTCGGTACCTGCGGGAAGCGCTTGGTCAGGCCTCCGGCGTCTTCCAGGCTGTGCACTATTAATTATTCACCTGTAAGAGCTCGTAATAGTCTTTCGCATGAGCGTTGTGAGCTTGCAGCAAAATGCCTAACAATACCAAAAGCGCAAGCCATGGTCGTGAACACATTGCGATCGGAGCCAATTCAGCAATATCAGGATTTAGCCTAGCACCAGCGCCGTTATTGAAAGCCACCAAAAGTGATCCTTTCTCAAGGACCAGTAATCACTTTACGCTTCCTCGTCAACGGGACAGAGTGTTTCAGTACGGCCACAGTACGGGCATCCAGAACTTTTAACCTCAGGATAATGCTAAACCTCCAGAGACCCAGACCTGATCAAGCCTTATCCAACAACGCTGTCAGAGGAGTCTCCATCGCGCAAATGCGGTGGCCGTCAGGGCCACAGTTACATGTCAGCACCGCTGCCCGAATACGTGCTGCATTATCAGGTGTTAGAACCGTAGCTTTATGAAAAAGTGTTCGATGATACACACTGGACGACTGACGCGTCTCTCAGTACAGCATGCCTGGCCCAGGGGACATTGAAGTGTCCTCCGGTAGCCGGCCATGTTTCTCACCTAACACACCAATGGTATGCCTGCTCGGCATCAAGACAACGTATGAGAGATTTCTAAACACACGCTACCTTTGTGGGCGGCCTCATATGCTTCATGCCGATCCAGTCCGGCACACTCCATCCCGCTTTAAGGCCTAGCCCTGATCCAACAGGCGCCGCTGTAGTTGCAACAATCGAGCAACCTCAGGTAGCACGTCCAGAGCGGGATCCTCCAAAACCAACTTCTCTATGTGCTGCACGGTGAAATGCGCACTTGGGTCCGTGGGGTCAACAACAGCACTTGCACGCGCAAGCATCACCGACTTTCGCGTGGGCTTTTCCAGCACTTCCGGTGGTGGCCTGGCGTCGCGCAGCAGACGCTCTGCCTCTTCCCGCGAGGAATCTCCTCCTCCCACGTCGGATTGTCTGTTGCTCCGCGTACCATCTGCCATCTCCTCTGCGGCAGCTGGCCTTGGAGAAGGTGCTGGCATAGATGATCGTGCCTGCATAGCGGCCGGAGGAGGTTCCTCTGCTTGCGGTGCCGCACGTTTGCGCGGTGGCAGCAGCTGTAAATCCTGGTGCCAACGCTCTCGCTGCCCCTCAGCAAGCTGGCGCTGCAGATCCTCCAGCTGCATTTGGTAGCGCAGCTCAGATGCGTGCATGTGCTGCATGGCGGCGGTGGCGCGCTCCTCGGCAGCCTCGCGGGCCTGGCGCTGCTGCTGCAGTTGTCGCTTGATGTTCGCAATTTCGACCTGCAGACGGACACGGGACGTGTGTGGGACGGGACAAGGGGTTGACGCTAGGGAACTCGACCATAGCGACTTGTGGACTGGAAAAAAGTTGACTTGAAGTAAAGCCAGATGTGTCCCCAAATGGGCGTTTCGTTCGTCGAAGTTGTCGTCCAACGCCCCTTACTAGACAGTTGAATAACCCAGCTCCCCTATCGCATGCTCACAAATTGTCCGTCTGAACATTGGAATCTAGCGTTGGAGAGAGCATCTAGGTCGATATGGTATTCTTGCGTGTATTTTCACCCCACCCCATCACCTCCACCCCACCTGCAAGCCGCCATGCTCCCGCTCCATGGCATGCAGACGTAGCTCGGCCGTCTCCGCCCTGCCAGTTGCGGTCGCCAGCTGATGCAGCGTGACCAGGTCCATGTCCGCAGCAGCGCCTACGCCAAAGGCAGCCGAGGAAAGAGACTCAGGCCGCAACAGTAAAGAAGTGGACGTAGCAAAACAAGCTTGATGGGCGCGTCCTATATACTGTAAGCCAATATACTTCCTATACTTTAAGCCTATACTATAAGCCTGAACAGTCAAGGTGCCGAGGACATGGTGTCCTAAGCACACCGTCTCACAGCAGCGTGGTTGCGGCCATGTTTATGAGCAAGACTTAAGACCAAAAGAAGACACGTGGATGGATACCTGCCGCCGCTGCGCCACCGGCCGCTGCGGCCGCGGCTACCGCCAGCTGCTTTGCGCGCTCTGCCGCCGCCGCCAGCTCCGCCTCCGCGGCGCTTCGCTGTCGGTCCAATGCAGCGCGGAATTCCGTTTCCGCGGTCGCCAGCATACCACGCAGCAGAGCCGCCTCTTGCTGGGCTCCCGCTAGCTGCTGCTGCAGCAGTTGCCGCTCTGCGGCTGTCACAGACGCTTGCGTTGTTTCCCGGGTCTGCTGTTGCATCGTGGTCAATAGCTGGCTGCGCAAACGCGCGACTTCTTCGCCTGTGGGATATGTGTGCAGAGCAAAGTAGCTTTCCTCCTCTCGAAACCTTCTAACGGGAAAGGCAGGATTGCTTGCTGACGGAAAAGAGGTCTGCGTAGGAGATTCACTGTGCAAGCGCGCGACGGCCCTTAGGGATGGCATGCGTACACACCGTAAACCCACGGGTAGCGCAGCATCACATACAGTTCCCAAACTCCCGAAGTTGGGCCACGAAGCACCGGCCAGGTCCATTGCGCTGGCAAGCGCCATTTCCCAACGCTTGCCGAAGGACGATCTTGGCCACGGCGCACAGCCACGATGATCATGCATGACCTATGCCTAACTGAAAGAGGTGCTGCACACTCACGAAGATCGCAAACGGTGTCGTGCATGTCCCGCGCAGCTGCCGCTACCTCCTTTCCGCCTTCGCGCGTCCTTCGCAGCCGCCGCTCAGCCGTCGCCAGCGCCAGCTGCGCCTCTGCTGTAGCTGCCTCCGCCGCGACCACACGCACCGATTCGGCCGCCAACCGTGCCTTAAGGCGATCAATATCAGCTAGGGCTGCATTGTGGCGGGTCACCAGTTCCGAGGAGCCCTCACGCAGCATCTGCATACGGCCGGGCAGCGGTCACAGTGGCACGAGGTGGTTCCAACCACGGAACACTACACGGCGCGAGGGTGTCCACAAGGCATAGGGAGCCTTGGCTTAGGCAAGATTTGGAGTCTAGATATCGAACCCAATCGCGGATTTCTTAGGATTGCGATATGAAGGAGTTGCGAGTGGTAAACTGCTCTGCCGCCCTTTTGTAGGACCGCATTCCTGCCCCTCGTCGCCCATTCTCTCGGCCGGCACGTGCACCTTCTTCCGGGGGCCATCCTACCTGCAGCTGGTGCTCCGCCAGCTCCGCCCGATGGCGGGTCACCGCCAGCGCCGCCTCCATGTCCGCCATACCCGCCTGTGTGGCGCTTAGCTGCGCGGCGGTAGCCATCAGCCGGTACTGCTGCGCCAGGCCAGCCACCAGTGGGGGGCTTTCCAGCAAGTGCATGTCCAGCAAAGGACCCATGGGCCCGCTGCCGCCCAGTGCCACCATCACGTGGCCCACCAGCGTCAACGTGTGGTACGCCCGGGCAGTGGGCATGTCCTGAGGGCCGCCTGGCAGCAAGACGAGCGATCCATTTGATTATACAACAGACGTAAGTCCAAGCCGTCAAACACCCTTCAGCCTTTCTGCCGGAACCATCTACATTTGCATGTTCAAAATGAAGTCGGGGCCATCAACGAAAACGGCATTGGTGTGGCCCGGTCGCTTCGCATCCAGACTTGACAGCCTTGGGGCAACAGATATGGTGCAGGGCTCGCCATCGGCACCGCATTATCATCCACCTGCCCACCCACCCCGCTCAGATGTAGCCAGCTCATCAACTCATTGGTAGCCAACACAACCCAAGGTGACACAACCACTCACCCGCCGCAGCCAGGTCCCGCCAGGCGCCCGTAGCGGTATCCAGCACCGCCCCGTCCGCCAGGTCGCCAGAGCCATCATAGCCGCCGTGCACCACCAGGTAGCGGTCGTCCACGACCTCCGCTGCATGACCCCGGCGAGGACTGGGTGCAGAGCCCTGCACATGTCCGGCATGCCGCAACGGAATGGGAGAGAAAGCTGTCCAGTGAACAGGAAGCGATCCAGGGTACGTCTAGGGCAACAATCCAGCCCTAGCTAGGCGCGTGCCCTGGTTCTGGGGCCTGCACAAAATGGGCGGTACATGGGGCTGTACATTGACAGCAGAGAGCTGTAGCGGTTGGCGCCAGGACGAAACGTCCTCCAGTGCGTGCAGCGCCTTGCTCAGTCGCAGGCAGCAGTTAGCTCTTACCGATGTCCGCAGCCGCTCCCAGTGCCAGGTCTGAGGGTCCAGCATCCACGTGTCGCTCAGGCACTCCGTTCCGTTGTAGCCGCCGTGCACGTATAGCTTCCCGTTGACCAAGGCCGCCACGTGGTTGCGCCTGGGGCCCGGCTGGTCGCCTGTAGGGGTGCATGTGTGAAGTGTTTCAGGGTTGGCATTGCGGTAGACCGCCCGGCCCGGAAAGGTGAAAGTGATGCAATCCTAAGTTACTCCGCAGCATCCAGCCGCAAGGTAAGCCTCCTCTGTTACAACGCATACAAGGCATAACATCCTTATGATGCCATAATGCCACGAAGTTGGTAGTGGTAGTTCAAAGCGGAGCTGGTAATCCAGCATGCCCCATCCAGCCGCAAAGGATTCTCCGGCATGCAACACCGACGAATGCCTTGCATTCCGCGCCATACCTGTCGTGTTGGGTTGCCACCACTCTAGATGGTCCAGATGAAACACCCAGATCTCCCCCAATGTGCCCCGTGAGCTAGCGTAGCCGCCGAACACATACAGCGACCTGCCGGACTCATGGGCCGTGACTGTGTGGTGTGAACGGCCTGGAGGTATCCGGTTGCGTGGTACCACTGTGCGCACCGTCGCAGCCCAGCCCACGCTGCCTTCTGCAGAGGGTTACATTTGGGCCGTACGGGGTTGGGCGTGGTGGGGCCAGTGGCTCGGTTATTAAGGTTGGGTTTCGAGATCATGATGGCGATGGCATGATACGAGCGGAAGAGCTGCAAAGACGTTCAGCGCCTTATCGGGAGTTTTTTTTAATGTTTCAGGGTGAGTGGGTGTGCTTGGGAAAGCTGCAACGCAGCAACGCCGCAGCAGTGCAGCGGTGCAGCGGTGCAGCGCGCCAGGATGCAGCGCCAGCCACTTGTACACTGCTGTGCTTGGGCAGGTCATGACTTGCTGCGCACTGCTGTGCAAGGTGCAGCCACGCCGCGCTACTACTACCCTTACTCGTGTGAGCTAAGCCGGTACCCTGTAGGCACCTACCGGCCGCGCGTACGGTGATGGCGTTGATGTCCATGACCTCGGAGGTGCCGTCAAAGCCGCCAACTACCACAAACTGGTTAGGGCTGGTGACACACGCTGCATGATCGCGACGCGTGGGCAGCGGCAGCTTGCCGCTGTGCTGTCCGAGGCTTCCTTCCGCACCGCCAGTGGTAGTTGCACCCGCCGGCCTGATGTCTTCCAGCGTACCGGCCTCCCTGCCTCCAACAGGCTCCACCTCCAGCGCTACTTCCACTTCGTGCCAGCGGAAAGTGGCGCTGCCGCCCTCTGGGGGAAGGGGACGAGGAGAAGACGTGGCCATGACGACTAGAAGCACCGGAAGGGTAGGTTAAATAACAGATCCAGACGATAAGAAATTGCACGGCAGCTGGGGCCTGGGGGGGAAAGACGAACCACAAACGAGTGAAGGGGGCTGGGGGGGTGGGGGGGTGGGCAACTGTTGTCACACATGAGACGGACTTGCAGGGCCAAGGTGGCTGGGGTAGCCAGAGTGGCGCGCAAACTCTCGTTGCCGCAGCGACGGGGGCGAATGATGCACTGTCTCCAATGCAAGGTCATCACAGAGGATAGTATCCATTATTCTGCATGCCTTTGCACACTAGCCGCCATCCATATGCCCACAAGGCGCACCGCGGCGCTCGCCATCATGATGGCCTAACGTGTCTCTGCATGCCGCAACCTCCGGTCCTCCCCAGGACGGCAAAATGACGACGCCAAAACGGCGAGGAGACGACAAATACCAGCAGCACTTTGCTGTACCTGCGTATGAGACCTCCAGGACGTGCAAGTCTCGAAACCACTCGCCCTCGTTGACACCGCCAAACACCACCACTACGCCCGCCACGTCCGGGATCACTGCCTCCACCTCCGCGTGGTGGCCTTGCACCAGTACTGTGCCTGTGAGCTGCAGTGGCGCCGTTCCCAGATGCACTCCCCGCCCCGTACCAGAACCCAAGGTACTGTCCGGTCCCGTTCTTACACCCGGGCCAGTGCCAGCGCTGCCTGCGAGAGTTGCGCGCATGGTGCTGTGGACCGGCAGAGGCTGCGTGGCGGCGCCCGGCGGCGGTGCGTGCGGCAGCTGCAGCGCTCGCAAGCAGAAAGTGCTGTGGCGGTACCGCGGCGGCGGCAGCCACTGCCCCGGGTCTGGCGGCAGGGATCGCCAGCGTAGCGGTGCGCCCAACAGGCCTTTTTCTGACCACATGACAAACCCACGCAGGAGCTCCCCTCGCAGCAAGTTGAGCTCGGCCATGACGGCACGCACATGGCCCTGTACGGCCGCTCGATCTTGCCGTACGAGCTCCATTTGGTGTTCGTACATGGGCTCAAGTTCCTGCGGCGGCCGAACGCGGGAACACAAATCCTTGGGAAAGAGTCTCAGGCTGAAGCGCATGGCAAGATGTGTTTGTTCACGCCAGTGGTGTCGGCAACACGCACACCACGGAATCAGTAGTGAGGCGGCGGCACTGGCCTGATGGAAAGGCCCCAGACACGGATAAGAAGGACTCGTTCGAGTTATTGCAGCGCCTTTATAATGCGTATACTGTTACCTGCAGTCGGTGTACCTCCCTCAAATGAAGCCTCACAGATCGCGCTTTGCCCAGCACCCGCCACGCATCGAACGCCGCAGCCAGCGAGGCCCGGTTGCGCGCCAGCCACCTGGCCGCTACGATCCGCCGGTTGCGGACGACACGCCGAGTCAGGCCGCACCATGCGCGGAACGCCTGCACGCCTCGGCGGCGGCCCCAGGCGCGCTCCCTTGGCGCCAGGCGCAGGACGGTCAGTGCGTGGTCCATGGCGTCGTGTCTGCCAAGGAGAGGGGCAAGGACGGCAAGTCGTGGACGCCTATGTGAAAAGGGATACATATATGATCTTTAGGGAAAAAAATCCTTAGGGCTGACTCCCCACCCCGGCTGTATGCTGCTGTAGTGCGCGAATAAGGGACGCACATATGTGTGTGTGTTAATACAGGCGATCGCTGGATGGGCATGGTACAGCCAGACAGCTCGCACTGCATCTGCATTTAAGAGCTGAGCCGTCTGCCCACCTGACTGCCGCCTCCAGTGCGCGGCCTGCGACGCTCAGCAGCGCCAGGCGGCGGGCGGCGGACGCCCATGCCGCCAGCAGGGCTGTCTGCCGCCGTCGGCGCCATGTGCTTTGCAGAGCGGCGAGCTTCCGGCGCCGGATGGACATGCGCGCTGTCAGTGCCGCCCAGCAGCGCATCGCAACGTGCAGCACGGCCCGACGGTGCAGTGCGTCTAGCCGCCGTCCCAGCCGCGTCTGTGCAGCCCAGGTCTGCGGAACAACGATGGAAGGACGATGGAAGAATGCCATGAATCTGTGCTCTGGAAAGGTCATCGCTTTCCACCCAGCCACCCAGCCAGTGCGTCTCAGCCTTTACGGCAGCCTAAGGATCGTCAGAAAGCACATGCGCACGACTGCGGCAGGCAAAGCAAAGACAGGAGGTGGTTCGTTTGAATTTCGTCATGCTATTGACAGGGAGGACAATCGGAAGTGCGCAGGTGGAGCGAGCCGCCGTCCGTTTCTCTTTACCCCTGCTCCCTCTTCCCCCCCAACAAGAGCACGTGTGTGAGCACCTTAAATGCCGTCACCAACGCCACTCTGGCCAGACGCTGGCGCAATGCTGCCTCCGCCTCCCGGCTCTTTCGTAGCGCCGCCGCCAGGCCCTGCCAGCCATTGCGCAGAAGCACCGTCAACCGGTGCGCCTTGGCTCTATGGTGACGCACTCCCTTGTCCCGCAGCTCCTTGGCGCGCTGCGCCCATGCCGCCAGAAGCCAGCGGCAGCGCACCTGCGTCGCACGGTGCTCCAGGCGGCGCAGCCGTCGACATTCTTGCGATGCGGCCGCCCACGCCAACAGCACAGTCCTGTTATAGCGGGACAATGCCCGCCGGCGCGCCTGCCGCTCGTGCCTGTAACAGGCACGACACAAGGTACCCCGAGTGGCGTAGCCATCATCGTCATCAGATGAATCGGTGGAATCCATATCCGGGTGTCGGCTTCCGTAATCCGCGTACGGCAGCATAATCGCACGCAGCATAATCGCGCAAAATACAAGCCATGTCATTCTTTTCGAGGCTGCCAATGCGCCCAACTTGGTTGGTTTCGGGGCCACCACTGTACCATCGCCATCGTCGCATCCAGATTGCACATACCTGTTCGTGAGGTACAGCAGGTGCCACTCCGTGAAGACCGCGCCCAGCTCCCTCTGCCGCCAAACCGCTGCCGCCCAGACGAGCCGCCTGTTGCGTGTGGCAATGCGGCGCCAGACGTGCAACGCCCGGCTGATCCTCAGCGCTAGCAGCCTTTTCGAGTAGGCCACCCAGGCTGAGCGCATCAGCCTGTCCAGCTTACGCCCCGTCAAGCCCTGCGGCAAAAAGCAGGCAGGCAGGGAATCCGGCAGGACATGCCCCCCAAAACGTTGTGCACGTAATGGCAGATTGCTCCACGCTTACATGGGTGAAGTGTGTTCGGCCAAACGTGGCGGAGACGTGCTGTGGCCGCTCAGCTCCAGGCCATATAAGGCAGCGACCCCAACCAAAATCCGAATCCACGGGCACCACGCTTCATCCGTCAAGCAACATCAACCACATCCTGTCACGCACCGCCGCGTCCTGAAGGTCCCGCCGATGCTTCTCCTGCAGCTCTGCAAGCTCGCGCCTGTGCCGGTCCTCCTGCCCCCGGAACTCCTCTATCTGCGAGGCGGCACGTGTGAGACAGGGCGCGAGGGATTGGATGGGTACCATGCAGAGAACGTGAGGAGAAGAAGTGGAACCGGAGCCGCATGGCACGGCCGTCTGCTCAATGCGGTGACCAAGGGTTTTGGAACGGTATCCTGCACCCGTGTTGTCCTTGTTCTGCCGACTCATCGCAGCGGCTCCTGCTGGCCGCAGTCACAGACGGGATTGTGTGCATCATGCCCGATAGTGACATGTCGATGCACCGTGTACCTGTGCGTGCAGCGCATCCCGCTGCTGCTCCAGCGACAGCAACGCACGCATCTTGCCCTGCTCCCAAGTGCTGCCGCCCGTGCCCGGCGTGCCCACGGCCAGTGCCGCCGCCACCATGGGGTAGGGACCCGCCGGCTGCAGCGGCCGAGCCTCCCGCAACGCCGCCGCGTGCACCGCTGCCGCGGCCCTGGCGGGCGCGCTGGTGTGACCCAGTGGGGCCGAAACACCCACACTACTGGTACCAGTTGCTGCGCCTTCTGCTGCACCAATATCCGCAGCACCGCCTCGTCTGCTGTCGTCGTCCGTAACCTGCGGCTCTGCGTTCTCGTTTCGCCGTTTGCGCATCATCACGGATGGCACGGTCGCGGCTGCAGATGCCGTCACAGATGCAGCCAGCGCCCTCGCCTGGCCTCGCAGCCCCTGAGCCGCCTGTAATTGCACCAACGCTGCCTCCGGGGTCGCCGGCTGACGCCGTGGCAGTGATGGGTAGTATAGGACGGGCATGGGCTCTGCGCCACCCGCGTGCATCCCGTCATACGCAGCTTGATGGGCATGGCTGGTGTTGCCCAGCACGGTTCGCGGCATGGGCAAAAGGTCTACGGGCGGCGGTGGCATGACTTCTGCCACGGCCACATCAGACGAAACCTGATCTGGGTCGGACGGAGCTTCCCGCTGCAGCTGCTGTTGTTGTTGTTGCAGCTGATGTTCAAGCTCTTGGACGCGGTCAGCGAGGGCTACTACTGCCGCGTTCTTGTCGGCTTCCCACACGCTCTGCGGCGGGCCGAGGTCCCTGTGCGGTAACCCCTGACGGTACAGCCGAAGCGGTACCTCTGTATCGTTGACGACGGGCGGAAAGGGGAGAGTCGAAATGTGAATGCTGAACAACTCCAGGTAGGCGCGGGGCTGGATCGTGATTCCTTGTATAGGCACATGAGGTGTGGCCGCTTGTCATCATTCACGACCCAAGGGGCTTCATGCTTTTTCTGGACCTGGACATAACCATGCCAAGAGTTTAATACTATATTGGTGGACCATTAAAGGCCCAGTGTCAGTACTGGATAACTTCACTTCATGTGGCATCTGAAGGTCAACGAGGTCATGACGAGGTGCTGGTGCAAAGGTGGCCATATTGGCTGTTATCGGCCCTTTCTCAGCGAGGCGCAGCAAGGGAACCCGTCCCCGATGCGCACCAGCAAATGTATTGGGCCGAGCTGCAGGAGGCAGTGGTGGCCGTGCTCGAGCTTCAGCAGCGCCATGATGTGCTGGGGACGCTGCTGGCTCTACGCCGCCGAGGTGTGCTGGCGGTGGCGGCGCTGCGCTGTCTACAGCCCTTGCAGCACCTGCACGACCGCCGACGGCTGGGGCCGAGGTATTTTGGGTGGAGGAAGCCGCGAGATGCATGACTGGCCGGCGGTTGGCCGTACTTCCGGCACCGAGCGCTTGCGCCACTGATGCAGCATTGGGCCTTGGCTGTCCAGCTGGATTAGCGCTACGAAGGGATATGCTCTCAAGGGAAGGTGTTTGTCCCGTGGTAACGCTCGGGACAGGCACTGCGCGCAGCGGATTCCTTGGCAACGAAGATAAGTCCCCACGGGAGCCGGCGACATCGCTGGGCTGCTCGGCAGCGCTCGTCGAGTTAATCTCCGGAAGAGGTGGCAATACCTGCGGGACTTGGAAACCGTTGCTGAAGCGTTCCTCAAGCTCGCGGAGGCGAGCGTCGAGCGACTGCGAGAGCACAGGCAGCGGAACGATGAGGGATGGACGCCCTGCTCAACGAATTCAAGGAGCTGCAGAACTACCTGGACACGTTCGCGAGCTGTCGCCATGTTGTACCTGTGCAGGGCAATTCCTGAAAATGTCCGAGCTCGTCATTCTGCAAGTACATTAGAGCTATGTTGAAGCGACTGAGCATGCGCGTGATGAATCATGGCGTTTAAAAACAACATAGAAATGTAAATTTTATCTCACCTAGCCAACTTGCATTGCTTTAGTGACGGTGACAGAGGACGGTTAAAACGGTTCAGGTTTGGAATTTGGATTTCGTACTCCGCATGTGTCAGCAAGCAAAACCAGAAGAGTAACGATTACACATTGAAAGGTGTGCGCCATAAGCAGCATGATAACATGTATGGAAGCTATAATAGGAGTCCCAAGCTCAGAATCGACCTGACGCAGCCCTACGAAAGGGTAGCCAACAGCACAACTATTATGGTCGCGACTTCTTTGAGAGATGAGGGGAAACGATAGCGGCAGTATTCTCCGGGAGGCCTTGCGTCAATTGCAGCAAGCGCCTCCTGGCGAAACCTGGACGCAGCAGCAATGGTGCGAGGCGTTTTCATTCTTGGTGAGTTTTCATTCTTGGTGAGTGAACGTAAATGTACTGTAGGTATGCCTACTGTTAAGACCAGCAAAGCGCCGGACCCCCGTTGGGTCCTATTACTGTGGCTACCATTCACTGGTATATGAGTGTCGGTCATTTCCAACACCCCCCCGTGAGCGACACTCTCTCGCTACGGGCCTTCCCGTGCCTCATCCCGGTCTCCCATTCTCTGGGCAACAGCCAGTGGGTATCGATCCGGCGACCTCTCGGCAGCGCAATGCGCCATTCGGGGCTCATAACCTGTTAAGACCAGCAAAGCGCCGGACCCCCGTTGGGTCCTATTACTGTGGCTACCATTCACTGGTATATGAGTGTCGGTCATTTCCAACACCTACATTTAAAGACATACGTTACCCATGTACTTTGCAAGTGTGCACGAGTCCGTCGTTTGCATCTCCCCGCACGCGCTCCTCTGTCCAGGATAAACCAAGTCCTCTCGGTTGTTGCGATTCCCGCATGGGGATGATATCTCCTATAAACCCTAATGCCCACGTCTTACTGCCTTGACAGTGCCACACTGCTTCACCCGCCAGTTTCTTGCAGCTCCTGGGTCTCGTCATGCCCTTCTGGAACACCAGGATGACATGCTGTGGTTCGTCACCGCCACGAACGTACTTGGCCCTGGCACTCCCCCAGTAACATTACGACGCAATACCTCATCGGAGCTGGCACCGGAACTACGGCTTGGCGGCTCCGCTTTCACGTCGGTGGACTGGGCCTTAAGCTTGCAGTTAAACCTGGTCGTACAAGCAAAGTACATACTGACTGTGGTCCAATGCAGGTGGGGAAGCGGGTTTCAAAACAAGATGCTTCAGCAGCAGGTTGCTGGGTGGCGTTCTTCGGGTCGTGTACCCTTTGGGGTCTGGGTTGCTGCACTCTTAAGCCGTTAACGCACGCTGGAGGCAAGGACTGCAACAATTGTCTGCGTGTGCACGCCACAATGCTATTCCTCTGCTTCATTGCGGTGGCTAAGGGGAGGTTGCTTGCCTCGCTTCGTCTGCAGGCAGGAAACCCTTGCTGCTGTAGCGCAGGGCCACGCAACCTCGGGTCACTACAACCCCAGCAATCAGCAACGGGACCAGCTAAACACAGTCGTGGCGCAGCGCCGCGTCTACGCAAGCCCCATGGCGGCAGACGTAAATCTAGAGGAAGCTAAGTCGGGTCAGCCTCTGAAGGCGTGCTACCCAGACGTGTGTTTCGCCGTTGACAACTTTGAGGACGCCTTCCAAGACGTGGTAAGTGCAAGCTCGGGTGACTCGCTATCATATGTCCTTTCGATGGCGCGAAAACCTTGCCTTGCTGACATCCAGCCTCTATAAACCACTGTGTACTGTGAAGACAACTATTGCGTCACCGTCGTATATTGCACATCCACACGCAAGCTTAAGATATGGGTGCACTGCCTTCCCTCCACTCCCACGTGCCGCAGATTCTTTCCCGGTCCGATGACTGCTACTGCGTAATGCTGCACGTCCACTCCAGCACTGACGGGAGTACTGAAATCCCCCAACTGAGTACTGTACCTACGGAAGAGGGTGCTAATAGTGTCAACCAAAGCGCAACCACGTTCTCGACACCAGCTGCTGCACAACTGCCCCTGGACATATGCCCTGTGGAGCGACGCGCCGTCCTTTTCTCCGCCTACGTGACGCGAGAGCAAATCGCCGGCTACCTCGCCTCGCGTGTGGCGGAAACCCCCAAACCCAGCATCTTGAATCGCCTGCTGGCCAGGCAGCGTCCGGAAGACGTCAAGCCCCGACGAGAAAAAGTCGTCATGATAGGGCCCGGGTCTGTAGGTCGTGCGGAGGTGCTGGCAGCAGCTACATCGGCCAATGCGGGAGACGCCACCGGGCGTGTGACACCATTGCAGCTATCGCTGATGTGGATAAGCTTGCCGGCCGGGGCGTTGGCGCAGGCTGTCCTGCGATTTGCTTGCACGGGCAATTTGTAGTCGAACATGAGGGCGGAAGCAGCTGACTTGCGTCGCTGCTCTAAGCAGTGGAAGGCATGTGCAGGGCGCCACGCCAACGTAGCATGTGTCGCTGTGGTGGCGGTGGCATTTCTCGGATAGGCCGCTGCTACTGCTAGATTAGCCGTCGTAAGGATCTGTGCTGACATGAACCCCTCTTCGCTTCACAGCTCCACCACCGAGGGATTTAACCTGGGGCAAATCGATTTTGGACTTCCGCCTGAAGCCGATCCAGTGACACATGACGGTTCCCGAGCAGCTTCAACAATGGGTGTAAAATGGACTGTCGTTTCAACGCCAGTATGGACCGACCCCTCAGCCGCCCATTCCTGCAAATAGGGTGTTCTCTTGAAGCTGCTCCTGCTGCTGCAGTATGTCCTGCCATCGGGCGACCTGAGCGCGCGCATGCGCAATGAGTCGGTCCTGCAAGGAATTCGATAGAGTTGGCATGTGGCTTTGAATTAAAGTCGCTTGCCTGTGTGTAAGTGGACATGGCTGTATCGTATGTTGCAATGCGATAGGATGTGTAGCAGCTGTTTTGGCTAAGGCAAAAGCCGCATGCAGGAGCCACTCCAGGAGCCATTCTTATGCGCCCTCGTGTAATGACAACCCAGGCACGGGCGAAATTAACCCTTCACATAGAACCGCACCTTCTCTTCAATCTCAGCCTGCAATTCTTCGACTTCAAGTGCCTGGGGAGAAGGGCATGGGTAAAATCCTATCAGCTAAGCTTCATACGGCGAAAGAAAACATGCGGTAGGCGCAGACGAATCCCCCCGAATCGGAACAATGCGGGTACGTGCTTTGGTACGGCAAAATGCCTTGCCTGCACAGGCTCATTCCTCCCTTACAATCCCGGCTTCCAGCCCAGGCTAACCAAGATGCATGTCATTTCACTGCGTGTGTCACCGGCATCTAATTTGTGATCGTATCACATAAGCCAATTTGAGCTCGCATCGCGTAAGAAAACGCGGGCTCGGCTTGGGTGTGGCGTGTGTGGCGTGGCGTGGTGTGGCGTGTGCGACGCCTGACGAAAGTCATGAAAAATCAACACAATGTCCCTTGAAACATGCCCTTAAAGTCACCCTGTAATGGAACACGCACCTGGGCAGCCGCAGGCCCCTGCGGGATTACCTTAAGCTCCTGAAGCTGCCTGAAGAACTTCTCCAACTCTCCAACAGCTCCCGCAAAGTTGCGGACTGCTTCTGCATATCCGCGATGATTTTAAAATGGTCTCCCGAAACAGCAGCACGCAGGAATGATGCTCCTCACCAGAGGCCCGTGCACTGCCGGCAGGATCATTCGGGCGCGGCAACATGTCCGCTACCGCCTGTTCCATCTTATCTAACAGACCCAGGACATCTCGTTGAGGCAACGGATTTGCCATGGCTAGCCCTCGTTCCACTTGAAAGTAAGATAGCAGAGCTGGAAACGGGAAAACGCGATTAAGAGCTGTTGTAAGCTGTATCATACACGCATGACCGTCATGTGCGTCTCTGAAAGCCACGGCAATATTGGACTTAATCGGGCGTGATTCGGTGTTACGAAATTCGCGAGTACGGCAGAGTAGAGTTTCACGGCTCGTCAATGCAGACGCTTCTGACGTTAAATAATTACAAGTTGTTGCGATCTACATCTGTGCGCGATCACCAGTCGCTATGGCGCTGTCTGCGGCACTGTTACGCAACTCTACTCCCGCTAGTTGCTCGCGTCGTTGCCAGCCCACGTTTCCATGTGTACCGGGTACGCCATACGACGTCTTGCTGTAATCATTGCGCTTCCGGGTAGTGCTTACTATGTCTTGGCGTGGCGCGTGTGCTCAGGCGTTGGAGCGCGTGCGCGGCGGGTCACTTGCGCTGCTACAGCAACTGAGACTAATAACTATGTCCTAGCGAACGGTATCGTAGACTACTATGAGGTTCTCGGGTGAGAGTTCTGAGGCTGCCTCTCTACCTTTCTCTGTCGATGTTTGGCCCTGTTCAGCCCAGCGCACTTACTTTTTACCTGCTCTTTCGCGGCTGCACAGTGTTGATGACGACGCGCCTGCCGAGGAGATTAAAAAAGCATACCGGAGCCTGGCAAAGGAGTGCCACCCCGATTACCTGGGTGACCGGGGGCACAACATATGCATTTTACTTAACGAGGTGCGGAAAGTTTCTAGTTGAGGTGCGAATATCATAAAAAGCATATTGGCGGAGTCGGGCGGACAGTTGGTTGGGCTCGTTTCTAGGGTTCTCATGACGACGGCCGCGTCTACGCCACTGAGCTACGCAGGCATACCAGGTCCTGTCAGATCCAGAGCAGCGCCAGAAGTACAATGCTAAATTGGAGCAAGCGTTGCTGGACGAAGATGACAAGTACACGGGTACGTGTCGGAGGTGGTCGCACAACATCGTTCCCAGCAGTAGGCACGCATGTCAGGGGCACTCCCAAAGTTGCCCTAACGCTATCCGTGTCGTAACATTGTTGCAGGGCAAGCATTGAGCCGCTGGATGCCAACGGTGAAGCCCGCCATGGTGCGTTACTGTTCATACGTGTTCGTGCACATACATGCCACGATGTTAGGTATGATGAACATATCGACTCTTGATGAACAGCCGTCGCTGTGCATCGTCATATGCAAGCTCACTAGGAGGAGGCTTTCAAAAGTACAACACACACGTGGGTGCATTCTGGTATTGCCTACTGCCGAAGGCAACGCGTTGCGGGCCTCAGGCTTTGCCAGCTAGGTCATCCAGTCTCATCCCCCATGCGCCACTTCCTGCCAGCCCTTTGGAACGCCACCACGTCGCCACCTCACGCCTCCGCCTTCTTTGCTGTCTAAACATATCTCAAGTTTGCGCTTTGCCACTCGGCACTTGTCATGTCGGTGTTAACAGGCGAAGAACGAGGACCCGGCTGAACGGCGGGCGGTGTTCGTGGTAAGGAATGTGTTCTAACCTTAACGGGGCTGCCGGGACAAGTGCCACTCGCGCTGTGCGTGTGTGTTTCGAAGAGCAAGCTTCTGAGCTCTTTAGGGAATGAAGTTGGAGACATGCACCCATGGGTTTTTTGAGGCACTGAAGCACCTGAAAGGATCACCCTCACGTGCGCTCGAGGCTTGGTGCTACATCCGCTCTTACCACGCCGGCGCCTCCATGGCGCCACGGTTTATCCCGCGTGCTCAAGGGGAACTCGGAGGGTGTGGCAGGCAGCGGGAGATCAAGGTAGCGCAGAGACCTGTCGAGCTTGGTGCGGGGTGCGCAAAGAGTGGTGGGGTTAGGACCGCACAGGATCGCACGGCAGGGCCTGGCGGTAAGGACCGGTGGTCGTGAGGGGTGCGGCAGGGCCTGGCGGTAAGGACCGGTGGTCGTGAGGGGTGCGGCAGGGCCTGGCGGTAAGGACCGGTGGTCGTGAGGGGTGCGGCAGGGCCTGGCGGTAAGGACCGGTGGTCGTGAGGGGTGCGGCAGGGCCTGGCGGTAAGGACCGGTGGTCGTGAGGGGTGCGGCAGGGCCTGGCGGTAAGGACCGGTGGTCGTGAGGGGTGCGGCAGGGCCTGGCGGTAAGGACCGGTGGTCGTGAGGGGTGCGGCAGGGCCTGGCGGTAAGGACCGGTGGTCGTAAGGGGTGCGGCAGGGCCTGGCGGTCCTGGCCTGTGCAGCATGGCCTCCCTCGAGCAGTCTGGAAGAATGGACATCGGGGGCTCTCGCGAGGTCCACCGTTTCATGTGTTATACCGACCTCTCTCTTTGCTTGTTGACAGTCCCCTCTTCCCATGCTGCCAAACAAAGCGCACGGGACTTCCGATAAACATTTTCCTGCCCTCCACACCCAGCGGCTCGAAGGGTGAATGTGACTGTCTTAAGGACTTGCTACTTAAGTATTTGGTGTCTACCCCACCCTACGTTTTCCACCTTCTCCCCATCCTATTACAACATTCACTCATATGTACGCGGCTCAAAAAGCTGTAACATGGCGGAACATACGAAGGTTGTTCATGTAACCTCCATCGGTATTTCCCTATATCGCGGCTCTGAAGATGATTACAACAACACACGTACGTACAACATGCCCGCCCAGGACGAGTTCACGTGCATTGGCTGCAAGCAGTGCGTCTGGTGCGCGCCAGCCACGTTCCGTATCGAGCAGGAGCATGGCCGGTCGCGGGTGTTCGCGCAGTGGCTCGATACGGAGGATAACCTGCAGGCGGCGATCGGTGAGTCATCATTACAGCGCGTTGAAAGGGGATTCCTCCCGTCTGCCTGACGGGGACGGAAAGGGAACATGGAGGGGACAGAACACGGAGGGACGGACTGGGCCCCTCTAGGCAATGGGGTTCCGACTGATCTTCTGAGGTGAGGTTCCCCTCTGAGAAGACGCAATGTGACGCAATGTGTGTATCTGAGATGGGGCGGTAAGCGATCTGGAGGGTCCCACCAGTGTTGCTTCAGGTAAACATTGCCCCCCCGTGGGGCTTCCTTCATCAGCCGCCTCCATGGCGCGTGATTGCCCGAGGCGGAGAGCATATCTAATTCGTGTCATTAAGCTGGTTTGGAGATCCTACATGGCAGCTGCTGTACATGCATAATGTCTTTTAGGTAGGGTTGTTTTAAGTTGTACGCCTCGGCACGCGCTCGCGCCCCCTGCCCAGCGTGTGCGTGTCCAGTTTTTTTCCAGCAGCACGCACTCACCGACCTGGGCTGCACACCCACCTATCCTCTTCCTTCCCACTCGTCTCCCCATAACCCACAGACGGCTGCCCGGTGAGCTGCATCCATTGGGTGGATCGGGCGGATCTTCCAGCGCTCGAGTTTGTGATGCAGCACAGGATGACCACCCGGTAAGAGCCAAGGGGCTACATTATTCTGGGCCAAGTGGTAGTGAGACCGGTGACTGGCGCAGGCGAAGGGTAGACTCAGGGGAACGAAGACCTTGCCCGCAGGTAGATCGCAAACCGGACGGAACGGAATTATTCCGCTTGGGAGTCCTCCGTTTGAAGATTGTCGGTCTCCCACGTACCCGCATCAATGCCAATGTACCGTCCATGGGCCCCCGGCTTTTTCGGAAACCCCTCGCGCGTGTGGGACCTGTAACTTGTATCATCAAGGACACTGTGGGGTTGGTCGGCAGTCCTGCCGAACGGCTTGTCAACGCCCCCTCCGGTGCGCGCTGGTGCACTCTCTGCAGGGTGAATGTGGGGGTGATGATGGCCGGGCAGGGGGCACAGTTGGACGTGTTTGCGGCGACGGCGTCTTTCCTGAAGGAGCGCCGCCGGAAGGAGGAGGCGCGTGCACGAGCAAACAAGTATTACAGTCCGCAGCAGGAGGAGGCGCGCAGGTGCGTGCATGTGCCGGGTACGATTTCAGTGCTTATTTTTTGGAGGGGAGGGACGCGTCCCAGAAAGGATTGGGTTTTTGAAGGTGCGAAGGTTACGAGCAAGCGATGAAATAAACATACTAAAATCGACAAAGAAAGCTTGCGGTGTCCTTGCGGTGGATTGCAGGTAGGTTAGCAAATAAAAGCTGGTCGCGATACTATTTTGTCGTGTTTTGCTGGTGTACGAGTTTCGAGGCTGCAGCATGAGGTCGTGCTGCAGGTCTAGTGATCTAAGGAGGCTTCTTCAACCCGCTAGCTTGGTCTTGCTGCTGCTCCTGCTACTAGCCCTGCTGCGAACCTGCCACTCCACTCCTTTCCACCGCCACATTTGAGCCATGTCACCGTCGTATCAACCGCCCTGTTATTTGCATCGCTCGTTTTGGTATCCCCAATCAATCCTCTGTTGGTCCTGCCGTTACTAATACTGAGTTGTATTCATTTTCCTTTTCCGCCAACTCAGACGCGCTGCGCAGGAGCTGGCCAAGCAGCACCTGGGGTTCTTTGCGCAGTTCACCAGCGCCTTCGAGACCGCCTTCGCGGGCATGAACCAGGTGGTGTCCACTGGCCAGGACACGGAGGAACTCAAGCAGGTGCGCAACTTGTATGATCCCTGGCTCCGTGGCTTCCTGATACCGGGGTGACCTAGTGATTGCTTGCAGAGGCGCCTCTTTTAAGGCAGACAGGTGGTGGTGCTTCCAATGGGCCATACCTGAAGCAGCGCACACACTCAGGAATGTGCCGCATGATATCATCATCATCATCATCTCGCCCGTGCTCGGCTTGACTCCAGTTTGTTGCGTCGTTCCTTTCTTCCCTTCCTTGTTTTCTTTCCCTTACATTCCCGGCCGACTCGGTGTGTAAAATTCCTTGGTGTCTTATTCTCACACTCCCTCCTTCCCTCCCTCTATGCCTACATGTCGACATGCCGGGGTCTCTCCTCGTCTCCTAGGTGGGTCGCCGTAAGCGGTCCCAGCGGGCTCGTTGGGACTGGCTGGAGCAGCAGCGGGCTCGGGGCGGCTGGATGGTACCTCCGGAGCGAGCTCTGGTTCCCATCAGCGTGTATGCCGAGTCCCTAACGGAGTGAGGAGGAAGTGAGGGTTTGGGTGGGTTTTGAGCACCAGGGGAGTTGGGCCAGATCGGTGTGACCCGGTTGCCCTCGGTCGCAGTTGCGGCGGGTGCGCGGCGAGGAGGGGCAGAGGAGGCGGGTTCATCCGCTTAATGGAGCCATCAGCTGGCAATGTGATGGACGGGCGACTGTGCGGCGGCATGGTGATGGATGTATGATGGCGGAACGTGAGTGAGTTCCTGGTTCATCCTGTGATGTGAAGATGGGGCGTTGCAGCTACTCAAGAGCCGGCCGGCAGCTGTTAGGCGCTGGGACGGTGAGGCATGCATGATATATGCTGCATGCATATATCGTAAAAGAACGAAACGAGCAAAGAGGCTGGAGCGATTTGGAAGCCGCGTGTGACCAAAACATCCATCCCTTATCTTTTGAGGTAATGCATCGTCGCCATAATGTGTAATTATGTGTCCGCAGTTTAGTTGTTGTTATTTTCTTTGTTTGATGAGAAGAAATCAAGATGACATTCCTGTCCAATATATATATATATATATATTTGCGGGCATGGCCTAAAACGTGTCTTCTGTGCGATGTCTCGTGTATAAGGTGTGCCACCACCAAGGGCTCAAATGAATCCGTCTATTCGTATGTATTGCTCGTCCTGCTCTTGCTTTAGTTTGTTTCATTGCGTGCTCGGCTTACGATGATGACATTGTCGTAGACTTGCCTTTGGGCTCTCTCGGCAGCGCTTGCATGGGCTCGTTACACCTTCGGAGAGTAACGCAATTCAAGGTGTGACACACGCACACATTATCTTGTTTGTTCACAAAATGAAGCCTTGGAGCGGTTCCTGCGGTCTGCGTAGGATTTGTGTATGTGTTGAAAGATTTGGGGGAGTGCGTGGTGTGCATGCATCGTTGGTGCTTACGAACAATATCATCATGCCACAGCTGGCAGCAGCTGTTGAGGCTACTGCAGGAAGCTCATGATGTTGCGTCCATTGCTCTCCGTTTGTTTTGGGTTGGGGGAGAAGAGTGGAAACAGCTTGACCGGAACTTGACCATGTGCAAGGGAGCACGGCGCACAACGAAGCCACATAGGCAAACCTGCTTGATTCCGTTAGGATTTAATGACGCGTAGATTGCAGTACCAAAACGTGTGTTGTCAAAAGACGGTGTTGTAATTTAATTGGTGCTTTGATTTGAGAGCTTTCCCTGATGTTGTTACAATAATGTGTGGACGGCAATGTCTGACCTCGGGGCAGCTGAAAGGTACGTGTTCTATGTTTCAGTTTGAAATAAATAGATATGTCTAGCGGAACGATGGAGACACGTTGCTATGCGGTGTTGTTCTGTGTAAAATTCGTGTGTCCCCAAGCGGAAGGGTAGCAGGAACTCCACGCTTCGAAACGAAGAGCTTAACAAGAGAGACTGATTTCAAGGTTTTTTTACCGTGGGGGGGAGATACGGGAGAAGCTATGGGCTCCCGAAGTCGGCTGTACGGCATAGGTGCTTTTGGAGCCCGAATAAATCCTTTAAAACACACAAGGCTAGAATCCCCGGTTCTGTATGTGAATTTCCAAAGCCATTAGCTTGCTATGGGTTAGGAAATCACCTTCGAATTTTGCACTCCTTTTACATCAGTTTAAAAAGATTGATCCTGTAACACAGCTGCACAGTGCCGATCCATTGTAGGGTGGAGTTGAGCGGTCGCGACCTAGGCACTCCCACCACCGTTTAGCGAGCTTCAGTAGAATATGGCCACATCAAATCGTCACAGACGGGGCCGCCACCGCTTTACTCTCGAAAAAGGAAAGCGGCTGTAACATAAAGCCAGGGACAACCACGTCACATCTCCCCCTGCTCCATGGCCTTCCCTGACCCTGACCGTGCGTGCGCTACCTCTGGGTTTGTACCATTGCCGGCATGATTGCGTGCAAAAGCTACCAGATTTTACGGCTGTACAGCCACTGCTTTCTGACAAAGAATGATAGCTTGATTAGGCAGCATTGTTATTAATTTGGTTGCCTTGCCGTGGTGGATCACTTGTAGACAGACACCTGGCGAAATGTGGATGGTCTGCGCCCAAAGAGATGCCGCAAGCTCCCCCATGAGAGGTACTTGACTTTTAGCCGACTGAGCACCTTCGCCAGGAGCGGCAGCAGTCGAATGAGGAAGTGGTCCGGACAAATCGTTCGCTGCGTCTATCGGTCGTAAGGCTCCCATTGGGCCCTGTGCCTTGCTGTGAAGTCAAAACGCCGTGCGACTGGTTTTAAATGATGCCTGGTCTCGGTCTCGACACTCAATGCACTAGCGGGGTCTGCATGCGGAGTGCGGCGAGGTGTGGCGCGCCCCACCGCCATTCCCTTCCGGAGGAAGGAGATTCTTCAGCGAATAGGATGCGTGAGGCTTTGGTCTTACACACCGCCCTGTGCTGGTCGAGAAGTGTGAGCAGCAAAGGATTCCTTGCTGAAAGGAAATTTAATGGCAGGGCTGTGGCTGGGTGTGACAGATACGGAACACGTTGAGAATGGGATGGCTTGAGGAGCTCCTGGTAGGATGCGCTTCGTCACGGTAAAATCATAACATATAAGGCTACAACTCATCTAATCCCGTAAAATTGTTGGCTTCTTTTACCTCCAAGAAGAATTGTCATCGATACTCATCGATCTCAGAATGTGAATGCTTCACATCTTCTCCCTGCCGCTCGCATCAACCTCGTACTATGCTGAACGTCAAACCTGGTACACACGAACTTCGTATGATGCGATCCTTGTCAACCTCGTATGCTGTTTCCACAAGAACCGCTGCACGGCACACCAAAACATTCATTGCGCTGTTCTGAGCTGAGAAGAGTTGTTACGTTTCGTGTAACAGTTAATCTGCTGCAGTTGGCGTTCGGTGAGAACAATCGACCTGGCAGAGTTGCCCAATGTTACGGCATATGACCCATGGGGCTGTCAATCAACGCGATATAACGCCACATGTCGATCTGGTCTGCAGCTATCGTGACTTATACAGCACATCCCGTATGATTCCTGTCTTTTGTTGGGCATGACTACGACAGCTGCGTGTCTTTTCATACAAGTTGATCTCTTCCGTGTATAATTGCTCAACGATCAAGGTAGCAGCTCTCGCGCCTTGCGCCACCAGCAACAGGCAAAGAGCTTCTAATATCGCAAACGAGTAGGTGTAGTCGCAGCAGCGAATTCTAAGTGAGAACCCAACCTCACACTTCACTGTCAGAGCGGACCGAACTCGTCTCCGAAATGTTCAAGTTCAAGTGTGACCCTGTCTACCTCCTAGGTACGCTGGCACACGCGAGGCGCAGGGACTGCTATGTGCGCATCCCTTGAAAGGAAAGGCTTAGGGACCAGGGTGCGCAGCGGGTGCCGGGACCCTTCATGCGGTGGAGAAGCGTTGGAGAGGGGAGCTCATGGAAGCGGGTAAATAGGCAGAAGGCATGTAGAAAGAACACCAAATATACGTCCTTGGGTGGAGGCAATTGCTGCTGTTGATGATAGATGTTACTTATTGCTGTTGTCGGTGCTGCTGTTTTCGCTGCGCTCAAGACTTTTACTGCTACAAGCCGTCCGAGGAGCTGATGGTGTCGATGGTGGACATCGATGCCGCATGGAACGAGAAGCGCAAGCAGGAGGGCAGCGTGAGTGATTACTGAAATTTGAATGTGCGGCGCGTGGTCTGGCCGGGGTCTTAGGCACTTGACTGAAAAGCCTTTTTATGTCACCTCTAGGCTCACCCTCCGATCTGAGCTGTGAACATAAGAATATAAAAAGCATGGTTATAAGTGAACGGCCCTTCAATTGAATTGCCATTATAGCAAGTTACGATAGACCTGTTCTCACCGTAAGCCTATGTTGTGCGGGCCCGAATTCCGTTCCGTCCTTCCGTTCCGTCCACATCCACATCCTCCCACAGATCTTCGGCAAGCATGAAGTAACGGCGGAGGAGGCCGCTAAGGCGGACGCGGAGGCCCAGGACATCATCGACTTCCAATATCGCGTCTGGCAGAAGGCAGGTCTGTCCGACAACGCCACCTACCTGCCAAAGTCCATCCACCCCAAGTTCTGTGGTAACACACCCCGCACCGATCTGAACGCCTCCGCGGAGGAGTGCCGCATGGCGGTGTGCGGCGCAGTGGAGGGCGTGCTGAAGAAGGTATGCGAGTAGGTCGATGAACAATCAGGGAGCCAGGAGCGAGCCAGCCGGCAATCTCACCATCTCTTCTCCTCGTCGCCAACGTAATCGCCAACGTAACCCACAATACACCCACAACGCTCCTAAAAGCAACCCCAACCCCAATCCCAACCCCAATCCCAACCCCAACCCTTCAACTCGCGCAGACGGGTCTACGCGCCACCGACATCGACTTCCTCATCACCACCACGTCAATTTACTGCCCCACGCCTTCCATCTCGTCTATGGTGGTCAACGCATTTAAAATGCGCAAAGACGTCAACTCCTACCACCTGGGCGGCATGGGCTGTGCCAACGGGGTAGTGGCGGTCAACCTGGTGGCGGACCTGCTCAAGGTGCGGGTTTTTGCCTTGCCTTGCTTGTAAGGCACCGCTTACAAAAAAGAATGGCGAACTGCGTAGAGGGCCATGCCCCCCTTAAAGCCGCACTTCAAGAACGCCTTTTTGTCAGCTCTTAACGTCTGGTACACTCTTGCCCTGGCAGCACCTTCACTCGTTCACCTGGTTCGTCTTTTTCCCCCTTCTGTGAGGGGGGAGCCAGCGCCAGCGCCGTGGATTTAATCCGTGTATGGGTGCCTCGAGATAGCGGCGCCCCCTTAGATGCTGTGCCAAATTCGCGCCCTGTATGCCTGCACTTAAAGTGCACATGCACAGGGTCGGGGGGTTTGTAGCGTCCACACAGCCCCCTAAATTACCGCACGGTCTCCCCCGCAGGCGCATCCTGGTTCCATTGCGCTTTTCGTTACCAACGAAACGACCACTCCCGCCTTTTACAAAGGCCGGGACAAGCATCGCCTGGTCACCAACGTGCTGTTTCGGTTGGGGGCTGCGGCCATGATCATCACCAACAAGCCCTCCTTGGTGCGCAAGGCCAAGTACCTGCTGGAGCAACGAGTGCGGGTGCATATCGGGGCAACGGATGACGCGTACAGGTGACGTTGACGGAGGAATGGTGACGGGAGTGGTGTGGCGTGGGCGGGAGTGGGGGGTTGGGTAGGATAGGATATTTGATCGCAATCCTGTAGAAACAAGTTTTGAGTAAGGGATGTATAGGGGGTCTGGGTCTGGGTCCAGCAGAGGGCACTTCGTTGTGTTGCGGCGGGGTGGCTGCGCGAGAAGGGGTTGCCTGCTGGCGTGCCTGCCGGCGTAGGGGGGGTTTCCTTGGACGATGGATCTCACTGCCTATAGGAGAGGAGAGGAGAAGAGAGAACGACGTTGGTACTCGGTAGTGGACGTGAGAAAAAGGGCTGGGCCTGTCAGTTCAGCGGCTTTGTGTGTTGTATGTGACCGATAATGACCAGGATGACCGATGTGCAAAAGAATTTGTGCATTCCGACGGGCAGGTGTATCTGGTACGGCCCAGACGAGGAAGGTCTCAACGGCATTTACCTGGGCTTGAACGTTGTCAAGGAGGCGTCCAAGGCTCTTACGCTGGCTATGACGAAGGTGCAGTTGGTGGTTGGTGACGGTTGGCGGTTGGTGGTTGTCACGGTTTTTGATTGCGATAGATGGCGACACACAGGAGCGTTGCAGTGATCCATTCGCCCGATGGTCTTCCGCGCTTCTCTGCTCCTCCTCTATTCCTGTTCTCTGTCGTGACCGGAAACCACGTAGGGCAGTTCGGGATCTCTTTGTTTTGTTGTTGAAGGGGAAAGAGCAAAGGGGATATAACACCAAAGGGGAACCTTTTTTGTAAAGAGATCCTCGAGGTTATCTTTAGATTGGGCTGCTATTAGGAAAAAGGAAGGGGAATAAAGTAGCGTTAAACACCCGAAAGAGAACACACCGTAACCTGTCGCGCGCGCGTGTTTTTTTTTTGTGTGTGTGTGTACCACACTTGTTCCGCGACGCAGGTGGGTTCCAAGATTCTCAACTGGGACCAGATCGCCGCCTTCGCCTGGAACCGCATCCAGCGTAAGGTCCTCAAGAAGCCCGGAGTGGAGCCGTTCATCCCCTGCTTCTCCGATTGCATCCAGCACTTCCTCATTCACGCAGGTGGGGAGGACAGCAACACGCTGGTGGTTGTACCACACCCACCAGCAGTAGTAGAGGAGGCGGGACCGGGCGAGTGGGAAGGGAACTCAGGGAAAGAGGATTTCCAGATTTTCAGAAGAATTGAAGAGGAACGTTTACTTTTAGTGAAGTATAATGTAAGCCAGTTGGGAGGCAACTTTTATTAAACTAACGTTTTTTTTCAGACCAACTGGCTGTTGTATTGCCGCTGGCGCTGGCGCTGCCGCTGGCGCTGCCGCTGTAGGGGGCGCCAAGGTGTTGGATAATATCGGCAAGAACCTGAAGCTCTCGGAGCGCTATCTGTGGCCCTCCCGCACCGTGTTGCGCTACTTCGGCAACGTGTCCAGCTCCACCACCTGGTACACGCTGTCGTGCGTGGAGAGCCTGCGGGGAGTACGGCGGGGCGACAAGGTCCTGCAAATTGGAGTGGGTAGCGGCATCAAATGCGGCGTCAACGTATGGCGGGTGCGTTTTTCTTAAAAAAAAAGAGGTGTGCCGCAGTATACTCTTTACAGCAATGGTGTCCACGTTCTTTGCTGCGGCCGGTAAAAAACAATCCTTTTGGGCCCTGTGATTTTTGACATATTCTTCTTCTCTTTCAACGGCATTTTTTTCTAAGAAATCCTCTTGAATGCACCTCAGGCCCTACGCGACATCGAGGATGTGCATGACGCCTGGCGAATGCGTGCCGACGCCGGTGACCGCACCCGTCTGGCCAATGTCTCCCACGGCAGTCTCCACATCGCCCTCCGGCTGCTGTCCCTGGCCATCTTGGCGGTGCTGGTGGCGGTCCTGTACCGCTTCTTCGTCGAGAAGGGCGGCATTGTGCTGCCAGAGGACGGCATCATCTCGCGCTTCTGGTAATTCAAGAATTCTGGTAATTGAAAAAACTACTACCCTACTCTTCAGGTGCACACTGAGGATCTACATCACGCTTTGCTGCCTAGGGGGGGGGTGTACCTGCTAGCGGGGGATATTGATACCATGTAAAAGGACACCGCAAAGGTGCGCTCCATGGATGCACACTCGCCCAATAGGAGCGCGAGGCATGGCGCGATGCGGTGCGGAACTCGCGTGTTCGTTCCAACTGGACATGGGTCGAGACCCATGGGTCGTAAGCGGTCTGTTGGGTGGCAAAGCACTTACTTGCCGTTTAAAACAACGGCTGCGGCGGCGGCTGCGGTGACTGGAGGTTCAGTCGCCAGGGAGGGTGGGTCGGATAGGTGTGAATTGGGTGGTGGGAGCTGGATAACACTGGCCTGATGTGGCACGGCGACAGGGCAAGGAGTCGCGTGCCGTGGAGGGGTCCTCGGGACCAGGAATGGTAGAGCGTGTTGTCTATTGCCTCCCCTGAGTGCTGTTGGGTCAGGATAGGAATCAAATATTTTTGCCCTTCGAATATTTTTGCCCTTTATCAATTAACCTACTAATGATTTTTTTGCGTAATGCGTAAATCAACGGTACGAACGGTATTGTGGGCTGTTTCCCAACAACCCAACGGGATTGCGTTTCGTATAATATATATCTGTATGTTTGACATTTGCCCGCGTGGCCAGTAAGCGTAAGTTAAGTGCATACGCTGCTTGACGCATGATAACGGTGGGTAAGGTAGTGATAATCTGTTGCCTTTGTGTCAGTGGTTGTCAGTAAATATTATAATCACGGCATGCGTCGTATGTGTATCGTATTAAAGCGACTGTGGAGTTGGGCGATGCGGGCGATGTTGAAAGAGGAGGAGCAAGCTGCTGCATCTGTGTACTTTGCGGTCGTGCCAATTTAAATGGATTTGTAAAGATGACTTTGTGGTGGATTATGGGAGAGGGTTGGAGGCTGTTGTGTTAATGGTGGGAATTGCGACTACTAGGCTTCTGGCTGCCTCGCCGCGACGCAACATGTCGCGAGCGTGAGCTTGAATGTTTACAAGCATTCCTGAACTGGTGGATTTGGGTCGTTACCACCTTCTATCATGATAATGAATCTTGATTGCCGCAAGCGGATCCAGACGATTTTCGTGAACACCGTACAGATGTATGGTCGGATTTTCCGTACCATGTTTGCAGGTTGTTCGTTGTACCCTTGAAAATTTCGAGGCTGATTTGCTGATGTTGACCGATATGCATTGACATACGGATATTAGTCTGTCGCATGTACTGCCGTACACCTGTACATGTACGTCCACAACACGTACAAGCCTGCTGCAGTAATTACCCAATTAACCACCAAGTCCGGACATAACTCTAATGCACTTGTGACGTATGCACAAGCACGCAATGCCGAATTTGGCCCTGACCGAGCGCTGAGTCCTTCCCTTCGCCACACGAGTTGCCACCGCACCCGCCGCGGCCGATTTACGGAATGTGACGACGCGTGTGCTGAGGGAACACAGCGTCAAACAAAAGACTGGTCCACGAATTAAATGACGGACCAACGGACAGATTGAGCGACGTGAACAGAAAGCCACAGAAGTTGAATGCACCACACACATAATCATCGTTGATGCAGATTAGTACAAGATATATACTAATAATTACGTTCAATGGCAGATGAGTATCGTCGCAAAAAAGCGCAATTCCGCTAGCTGCCTCCAAACAATTTCAACCCAAGCTGCTCAAATCGCTGCAGAGCCTCCTCGTAAACTTGACGATGTGCCAGGTTGGGAACAACTACCTAGAGCTCGTGCACCACGTGCCGCAAGAGGGGTGTGGGGAGAAGGGGAGAAAGGGATGAGAGAGAAGTCTGTTAGGAGCGGAGCAGAACAAAACTGCCTCGTAGCTTTAATAATAGATCTCAACCTGGTTGTCGCATCCGATTTATGTTTATGTATGATGAGGGTGTTAAAAAGATGGCAGCCCGCGCCTTCAGGATTTACAACTACACATCATAGCAATATATACGCGGTGATATCTATTTATTTATACCTACCTCGTTATGTAGGGGCGGTGGGTACTTGGACACGTAGGATGCTACGGATTCTCCCGTCACCACGGCAGCAGCCTGCAAGGGGCACACATGCGTACGGCACGTACGGCATGTCACAGCTGGCGCGAAGGGAGACGGGAGATGGAGTTCACAGAGGAAAAGGGGAAGGGGCCCAGCGTCGCCGTAACGCTCGCAACGGCGGGGGGCAACAAAACACATCTGAACGCACAAGGACATGACGACTACGCGGGTCGGTTAGTTGTGTATCGTTTGGTCAGGGAATAAATGCCGTACATGGGTAGTTGAACCCTCACGCTGCAACACACCCGTGTCAAAACCCCAGTAACGCCCCCCTTACATCCAAACACAGACGCACAGACGCACAGACGCACACACACACACACACACACACACACAGACGCACACACACACACAGACGCACACACACACGCACACATCTCCAAGCGTCATTGGGTCCATAAGGGTTCAGCGTTATTGGGTCCATTAGACCCATACCCTAACAGCGCCCATGCAGCTATCTCCCTCCACGCAACATCTAGCTAGACGACACCACGTGGGTCACCTTCATCCCCACGGCCTTCCGCAGCCCCCCCCCTACATCACCTGCAACGCCGCCCCCAGTGCCGCCGAGTCCGGTTCCGAGGGCAGCAGCACCTCCATCTGAAACACGTCCGCCACCATCTGCCGCCACAGGGGGTTCCGAGCGCCGCCGCCCACCAGCCGCAGCCGGCGGGAGGGCCGCAGACCCGCAGCCACCATCCGCCGGAAGCCGCTCAGCAGCGACAGCGTGGCGCCCTCCACGGCAGCCCGGTACACGAGACCCGGCCGCAGACAGCCTTTGGGGTTTTGGGTTCCAATGCGCGCACGTGTGTGTGTGTGTGTTTTGGGGGGGAAAGGACGGGGAGGACGGGGGGGAAGGAGGGGAGGGAAAGGAGGGGGAGGAGGGGAAAGGAGAGGGAAGGAGGGGGAAAGGGCAACATGGGATGCATGAGGCGGCAGTCAAGGAAAAAACCAGCGCCGTTAGCAGTTGGGCAGTTGGGCAGTTGGGCAGGCAGGCAGGCAGGCAGGCAAGGGAGGGCAGGAGCAGGAGCAGGCACGTGCACATATCCAAAGGCGCAGACTGAAAACAAACATACATACATACGCACTCCCGCACCCGGTCGAAGTCCCAGCAGTGCCCCGCTGGAGTGCGGCCAGCAGGGGGTGCGTTCGCCGATCATGTACGGCAGCCACGTCACCCCGCAACAGCCCGGCGGCTCCTTTCCTGCCAGATCCGTCAGCGTCGCGTGATCCATTCCGAAGGCCCCGCACACCTGCGAGTGGCGGCGGGGAGGACGACGAGGAAGTAGAGGAACTAGAACCGTGTGCGGATCTAAACTATGCACTATCCATGATGAACACAACGTTGCAACAAAAAGCAAAAAAGTCAAACACACGTAGAAAAATCGCACGAAGTCCGTACCAGTCGGGAATGACGAGCAGCTGAGGAGCCACATGCCGCCATTCCAAATCAGCGGACATCCTCACCACCACATGTTCACAATTCCGCAAGGTGTTTGTTACTTTGCTGGCCCCTCCCCTGCCTCACCCCCCCTCCCCTCCCCCTCCCCTTATCTCCCCTCCCCTTACCTCACCTCCTCCAATACCCGGGTGCAGTTCAGTGTACACAGCAGCGGCAGGTAGGATCCCGTGGTGTCACAGAAGGAGCAGATGACCCCCGTGCGGTCCAGCAAGGGGCGGGGGGACTTGGAGAATATGGTCCCGGAGGTGCCCAGGGACATTACCGTGGCGCCGTCGCTGGGGGGGTCTCACAAAGCGGTGGTGGGAAGGAGGGGGAAATGGTGGCGATGAAGGGGGCGAGGAGGAAGGGGGGGAGGAGGAGGACGAGAACGTTGGTGGTGGTGTGTGTTTTCTCAACAGAAAGGACGTGCCCTGCCTGTCACTCTCTCCCTCCCTGCTCTCGCCTGCTACGGAGGGAATCTCTCTAACAACTCATTCGTGTCATTCGGCTGCTACTGCTCCTCATTAAAACCCGCTCCCCTGACATGAGCCCATTAAGCAACGGCCCAGGAGAGGGCACCAAGATATGTAAAACCCTAAAACCCCTCCCGCTGCAAGGGTTCTGCACCAAGCCCTCCACACAGTCTGTCAGTCTGTCTGTCAGTCAGTCAGTCTGTCTGTCTGTCAGTCAGTCAGTCAGCCCACTTACCCCGCGGCACCCGCCCCCAGCGCGCTCATGGCATTGTCGCCGCTGCCGGGCGCCACCACCACCCCTGGAGCCAAACCCAGCTCGGATGCCACTTCGGGTAGCAACCCACCTATCGCCTGCAAGGATTTGTTGGTTTGTTAGTTGGTTGGTTGGTAGTAGTTGGTTGTGGTTGTTAACGCACACCTACCCACCTCCTCCGGACTGGCCACCAACGGCGGGAACATGTTTCTGACCCGTGGGTCCACCACCTCCATGGCCTCCTCGTCCCACCGCCGAGCAGCCACATCCAGCACTCCCGTGCCGCTGGCGTCGCCACACTGGGGGTAATGTACGACACACCAAACACACACACGCGACGGGCGCGTGTCTCGTGTGTGTATTGTGGTAATTATGATTACTCTCCTTACTCGTACCCCCAGGCCGAATCCTCGAAGCCCAACCACCAGGCCCCCCCCAGCCGCCCACGTCTTAATTAATCCCCACACGCACCTCCATGACCCTCCTGCCCGTCATCCAATAGTTGATGTAGTCGTGGGGCAGCAGCACACAACGAACCGCTTCGAACACGGCGGGCTCATGTCGCTTGAGCCACAGCAGTTTGGTAATTGTGAAACTGGGAACCTGGGGGATCAATAGGGATTTCTTGTCACATGACCATGAAAGCATACATAAATACATACATGTACATACATGCCCGACATACATACATACATACATACGCGCATACATACATACATACATACATACATACATACATACATACGCGCATACATACATACATACGCAACATTTGCAGCTTTGTCAGTATAAGCAGCGGCTCAGAAAGATGTAAAACACAAAAAAAAACACTGCCCCACCAGGGTCCACCCGAGCCTCTCAGACAGCTCCTTTGCCTCAGCAGCGCTCTCCGTGTCGCACCACAGCTTGGCGGGACGGAGGACCTACGGGTGCGGTTGCGGATGTGGCCGCAAGCACCGCGGTGGGCGACGACGCGGGTGAGGGTAAGAGGGTAAGAGGTCCTCTGGAACGGTGACAAAGTTCAAGTGGCTGCGGGCAGGACGTCCGGCATGCCGCTGCGGATTCCTACCGCCTTTAGCAAGCCAAGGAGCCTTAAGGCTGCAAAGATGTAGGTAAATTTGTCGTCATACGTACCTCTCCGTCATCTCCCAGAACCACCAGTCCGTGCTGCTGACCGGAGACGCTGATGCCCACCACGCGCGATGCATCGATGCCAGCTAGCGCCTGAGCGATCACTTCTTTGACGGCCTGTTGGGGAGTATGCGGTTGTGGACGCGCTGATGCACATTGACACTGTTGCGATAAGGGCTTAGGAGATCTCGCCAGAGCGTGCAAGCGAGCTGTCTCTGAATGGATACCTGTCGCCAGGTCTCTGGGTGCTGTTCTGCCCGTCCTGGAATGGTGGATTCAATAATGCCGTAGGAGTAGCTGCCTTTCGCTACAATTGCTTGAGTTTCGAGGTCATAGAGTAAGGCTTTTGTGCCCTGGGTCCCTACATCTAATCCCAATACTAGTTTGGAAGCCATCGTAGTATTTGTAGGAATTTTTCATTATTGCTGTTCGTTCCGGTCGCCTTTCGAGAAAGAATCGGGGATCCAGACAGGTATGACAAATGCACCTCAGAATTGCCCTCTCACAGTTTCCCTGGTCACTGCTAGGCATTTGATACAGTTACATACAATGTACAAGGTAATTTCAATGCCATAAATTAGCTGATACCTTTCCAAAACAAAGAAGAGCAGTGTGACCCCGGGGACCGTGTGTTTTAAGTAGACCCGAGAGGTTCAGGGTCAAGCCAAATCTCACCCAGATCACGTCCAGGGATAAAAGTTAATGAATAGAACACATCCGACCACCATATACGTCAAGCACCAGCGCCACAACGCAATCGCACACCAGCCACTGCCCTGCTGCCCAGCCACATCCCTTCCCCCTCCTTCCCCCTTACATTTATTTCTATGGCTCTGCACCCCTTGCCATGCTTCCTCATTCCCCCCGCCACCGCTACAATCCGCCTGGCTTGGGCTACGATAACCATGGCCATTCATGGCCGCATGGCCGTCACGAAGGTGCCGGTGCCTGTGCCGGTGGATGCATCCATGCCGGAAGCGGGCGCTGCGTGTCGCTCCGGGACCTCCATGGGCCCCCTGCCTCCCGAGCCACACATGCGCCATGTACCAGTAGAGCGGCGGACAGGCGGACAACAGGAACCGGGTCGCCACCTGAATGTGCATGGTGACCAGCGCCACGGCAAGGCTGAAAGCCCACGGATACATGAACACCGCCAGCTCAGGGTCCAGGTAGCCACCACCACCATCACCATCACCATCGCCGCCACCATCACCGCCGCGGCTGTTGCTGCTGCTGCTGCTGTTGCTGCCCACACCGAACGCTTTTTCCCGTCCTCCTTTTCGGTTGCCGTCGCGGCCACTGACGTCGTTGTTGTCGCCAGGTACTGCCACGGGGTTTCGGGACCCCCCCCCGACCCCCTCCCGTCGGCCCAGGCCAGATGGAGCCGCCAATAGAGAAGCAACCAAGGGCCCTTCGGCGCGGACGGCCGCCGGGCTCCAATCATGTGACCCGTGGGTCCGTGGCCCGTCATCCAAGGCTGATGACACAGCGGCGCCATCGTCAGCGGCAGCGTCGTCTTGAGAACAACCCGCCGAATCCTCCTGCCGCTGCCGCCGCCTCTGGCGGAGGCCGGTTGAGCTGTCGGGACCAGGCGCCTGGAATCTGGGCTGGCCACCTGGCTCCGCCTCAGCAGCCTTGCCCTTCTGGGGCTCAAAGCCTGCTGCTGACAAGGGCCCACACGCCGCCGCCGCGCCGTCTACCCCGACCTCCTCATCCCCTCCCTTGCCATCGCTGATGTCATCCTCCTCCTCCGCTGCCGCCGCCGCCTCGCCGTCATCGCCGTCATCGCCATCGTCGTCGTCGTATCCTGGATGTGCGCCGCGCGGCGGCGGCTCTGCCGGCTCCAGGGGCGTCAGGCCCAGTCGTAACATGACGTGGCGGCAGTTGGCGGTGCAGTACACCGCCAGGCCGGACACGGACAACAGCACCACCGGCGCGGCCAACAGGAAGTTGGGCAGCTGTGTAGTCGGAGCCCGAGGCAGAGAAGAGGGGGCCAGGTGGTGGCGTGTCGGGGTAAACTAGAGGTGTGCGAGTTATATACACACCTGAGGGGGCTGCGAGGGGTGTGAGCCGTTACGTTAGGCTGGGGGTTGGGGGCCCCGGTTCGTCGAACCTCGTGGGGTTCGCCCGGGTGAGGGAGAACCCGCCCCTGGAGCTCCGACGCCGGGTCACCCCCGGGGCCACTATCTCAACTTCTTACAAAAATTCACCAGCTTCCTAGGATAGGCGAGAAGAATATTCTCAAAGAGTAATACATAGAAACGCTTACAGGGTTCCCGTTCTTAAAGGGGCAGGCGTGACACGATACAAGGGTTGATTCCAGGGTTGAGCTTAAGTAACTAACCGCACATATTCTGAGGGGGTTGAGGTCTGGGAGTCTAGGAGGAACTGCTGGGACCAAATTGGCGGGCTCTGGTTTCCAACTAAGAAATATCGTATTTTCAATTCCCTCTCCGTTCCCACACCCGCTGCTCTGTCGAGGCAGACAGACAGATAGACAGACAGACAGACCTGCTGCCACGTCCAGTACCGAAGGAAGCCCACGTTCCAGTACTCGGATTGTACGAATCCGTACACGTACGGCACCTGGGCTGAGCACCAGGGCCGCGGCCAACGGTTATCGATGGTCCACTCCCGGTGTAGCTGCCGCATGCGGTCCATGTCGCCAGTGGGGGGAGATGTGGATGTGGATGTGGATGTGTTGCGGAGGCAAAACGTACTGTAAGCTGCGTGTTGGAAGGCGGCAGTGGGTAGAACGGCCACGACGGCAGTCATCAGGCCCAGTAGTACATGGCCAAGAGCCCTCGCCTGCGTGGACAGCATTTAAATTGTTTATTAGGATTTATTTTATTCGTTCTGTTTGGGTCTGTCCGTGAACCGTGGAGAATGTATTCTTCGTAGATGAGCATGATATGCACGGAAGAATGAGCACTGCGTGCAGAAACGGAAATGTACAGCACAACCTTGATTGAATCCATTGTACAAACAATGCCAGTACGACATGTACGAACGGAGCCCGGTGGCCTGGTATACCTTGCTTGAGGGCCAGACCGCGACTGCCCTCCGGCAGCAGTAATGCCCCAGGTAGCCGGCGTTGATAACCCCTGGGTGTGTGAATGGGGGGGTACGGAGACATGTACGGCATGGTGTGTGTGGGGGCCCCGGGAGTTAGGCACGTGGTGGACCACGACCGACGGTATCCCGGACGCTCCGAAACCACGATTGGCTGGCTCGTTAGCTGGTTGGCTGCGGCAGTGAGAGGACGGCATAATGACATACTGCTGCCATTTGCTGCCCGTTGCTCTGCGTATTCTGGTTGCTCGGACAGCCCCGTGCTCGTCGAGGTGCGAGAGGGGTGATGAAGACGAGCTTAAATGAAGAGGTGTGTGGGTGTGGGTGTAAATCCCCAATTATACGACGGCACTACCAGCCCCTCATAGTCAACATCCACTTCCACCACGGCGGACATTAGCAGCAACACGCGACAAGCCGCCCATGCTTAGCCCTTGATGCCAGATTAGTGCACCATATACCCTCTACACACGCAAACAGTTGGACCCACCATTGGACCGCAGTCCGCAGGACACTGCCACAGCCGCCACCGCCGGGGCCAGGCGGCCCCTGCAGTACAACCAGTAAAGCGCCGCCAGGGTAGCGGCGGTGAAGCCCGCCTCCGAGTACGGCGCCGCGTGAAAGATGGTGGCGGGGTTGAGAATGAAGAACAGACAGGCCAAGGCCGCCAGCTCTCTGTCACCCGTCAGACGCTTACCCAATCTTTCATCCGCATGGTGGGGTTGGTGGGGTTGCCAGGGAACAAAACCTGGTGAGTATGCAAAGCATGTACGGCATGTACGAAAGCGGCATGCATAGAACACGTTGCAGCTTAGGAATTCGGGATGCAGGAGGTCCAATCGCAGCTGTATGGGAAGCAAATCTCATTCTAACCAGGATACATTAAACTCGTGGGTCGGTGGGTCAGTCTTCTGCTTCTGAGCAGCGTGTCCATGTAAAAGGACACCGGGTTAGGCAGCCACGTCTACGTCACATCACGATCACGTCACAGGGGCCCCCGAATACGTGTGCCGTACTATCGTACATGTACAGCAGTACCGTGGCTAGCACTGATGCCGCCGCGTTGATGGCCAGCGCCACGACAGCGAAGAGGCGGGTTGGGGCGACCAGGGAGACAAGCCCTACGAGTGTGAAGAGGAGGGGGAAGTTGTTGGGATGGATAGCGGTGAGGAGAACTGGTAGTGGAGTGGCAAGCTGAATAGCAGCAGGATATCACTTGTGATGGCTGATGAGGTTGGTGACACACATGCGGGGCAGCGTCAGTTCAGTGTTGTGGACCCATACCTCAAGGATTAGGCAAAGCGGGGCCCCTGCACCATCTGGGTGGGCGACTCCGTGCGCAGAACAGGTCAAAAATCAAGAATCCTCAGAATTACCCATTACGTACGTTGTTTGTTGGTCATATCTGAGTCTATCTAGTAAAATTCTCGCTCCCACGTTGGGCTGGTGTAGCGCAGCGCAGAGAATCTCACCTGGCAGCAAGGGGAAAAAGGCATAGTACTGTTCAAATGCGTAACCCCGAGCAGCAATGTCCGCGAAGAACACCGAGTCCCACACCAGCCATCCTTGCAGGGGCGCCGAAGGAGTCCTGGGAAGCTGGCCAGCAGTTCTGGAGGAGTGCAATGGATCGCACATTCCACGGGCTGCCATGTCTCGCATCCCCACCCCGCACGGCCAGGCGGAAAGGCATGATACTTTCGTGAGTTTCAGGTATTTGGAAATCTCTGGGGTGATGAACTTAGAAGTGTCATAATCGGGCAGAGCTATATCCAGGGCCGTTGTCAACAGCACCACTCCGCTGCGAACGCAGACTGCAAGCAATGCGAGGCGTTTTTCGTCCGCGAGAAGCATGTCGTTGTGTATGGCAGTATCTACCTATCATTTATTCATAAGCCATCTCGACATGACCAAGGGCCACTCGGAGACGTGCGAATCTTGATCAAAAATGTGGGTTCGCAAGCCGCATGATCGTGATGTATGCACTACGAAAGATAGTCCTGTGCAAAACAAAAGCTTAACGAGACCGCACCAGGGATAGGTTTGTTTGCACGGCTCCGAAACTGAAATTCTACAGATACAAACAGCGCGATGCTGTCAAGGATATGACTGAGAAAGGAAAGCGCTGTTGCCTTTGACAGTAGGCTGGCATCAATTAAAGCGTGGCACTACATATTTAATCCCCTGTAGAAGCTTCTGCTTCGTGCGCTCCGAGGTTTCAGTAAATCGTGATTTCTTGGCACGACTGCACAGTTGCAAAAGCTAACGTGTTGCAACGATCAACCTGTTTTAAGCTAAAGTTGGCGACAATATGATGGCCCCCAACGTCCTTGCCATACCTAACCGTTCCTCTCGACCTCTCGTCGGTCGCCAACCTACACGCTGCAAGTGTTTTGTTGTTGCATCATTGCAACATCAGAAGGACAACAAGAATTCTGGAAACTCAGACAAATTTCCTTCTGCAGCCTGCGGCCGGCGACAGGCATTGACGGGCCTCGGGATCGGATTCGCTGCCCTGCAACTTGGAACCGTTGCACCAAGCGCGGCCATTGCAAAGGGCGCCGAGAAGAAAAAGGAGCCGACAAGTTGGGTATTGTTTTGGAGAACCGCAGCGTTCAAATTTCGAGGTTGCCCCAAGACCTCCTCCCCTCAGGACTACCGTACCCTCCGCACCTCCTTCACACCATCTTTAGCCAGTTGCACATATCCTTTCCCTTGCCTGTACCCAACGAGCAAATGAATACAATCCGACAGGCTACCGTCAACGCCGGGTGAACACCCTATCCTTTTCGGCTCGCAGTTATCAACGACCCAGTTGCTCTCAAGGCTCAGTTCGAGGCTCAGTACCAGCAGTGGTCGTCCGGCCAGTTTGAGGCCTGGCTGGCCACCCAGCCGGAGACCCTCAAGTGGCAATCCACCTACAACGGCACGCTGGTGAAGCTCAAGGGCAAGGCGGGGGCCCAGCAATACTTCGCCATGCTGAACGCGGACCTGGACATCCAGTCCTACAAGGTACGTGAGGAATAGGCGCTCCTGCCTAGGGTAAGGAGCATTCAGACGGTTACCAGGATGGCTGTGAGTATTGTGGCACTGAAGAGCTCCATGTTTTCTGTCCACCTCCAACCTACCTACATCAGTGGATCCATGTTGGCTCAGTGCCCTGACCCGGGCCGACCGAATGCCCTTAACCCCGGTGTACAGCCGCTGGCGATTTTTGTGGACAACGACGGAGACGAGGCCACGGTGGTGGTGGAGGCCGCTGGCATAAGCCGCCGCACGCAGCAGCCCTTCAAGACCGTGTTCCTGCACGCCTACACCGTGGGGCCCATGGGTCAGATCCTGAAGTTCAAGGAGACAACCGACACGGCCCTCATGGCGCAGCTCGTGCCGCCGCCGCCGCTGCCGGCTGCTGATGCTGCTACAGCTGACACGGGCAGCGCGGTGGGGACTACTGCCGCGACGGCGGGGTCGGCGGCGGTCGTCGTGGAACCGGGTTCGACTGCGCGAAGTGCGTGATCTGCAGACCGCTTCTTCTTCGCGGTCCTTACGTAAACCGGGGAGTCATTTCTGGAAGTAGTAGTAGTAGCTTTATGATGATAAGTATCCTGCAAGACGGATATTAGTTCTTTTTGCGCTTGGCGTGATGTGCATTAGGAAGTTTGGAGGATATTTTATTGAAGGTCTTAGGGTGGACTAAGCGAGGGGTGAAAGCGGGAACAGTTGTGTGAGTGGGTGGAAGGAAGCAGGATTAGGATAGGCTAGGTTTGGTCCCCCATGTGGAGGGATTGGGGTGAGAGAAAATTTGCCAGGAGATAGGAACATGGCCCGGCGGGACTTTGGGGGAAGGAGCGGGTGCTGTTTGGAGAAAAAAGAGAGGACAGCGGCTAAGGAAAAGCGCGCAAGAAAAGTGGAGGAGCATCGCCGAGCTGCATTGCGCTGGACATCTTTTACGCATTGCTGCTGGTTTTCTGCTTCATCGTAAGTCGGTGGAGAACAGGAAAGGGAACATGGGTCTGTGTTATGCTACCAGTAGGGTGCCATTTCAGAGCGGCGTCGATCCTTTTTTAGGGTGCAATTTCCTGTCACAGGATAAATTTTGATGCCGTGGGCTCCCGTATAAGGACTTACGGTGATGGCGTGATTTAATTTCCCGAGGATAAGCGATCCGCGGCACGTCTTGCACGACTGCAGGGCTGCAGCTCGGACTTATGGCCGAGAGTCCCGACGAGAGGAAGTAACGAAGGGGGTGTTACCTTGTTGTGTAACCTTGGGTGCCGGGGTTGGAGTTGCCTTCACGCGGGCTGGGAGAGACACTACTTGCAAATTTCAGCTGCGGTCCGCGGCAGCTGAAGCATGGTGTGTGCATCAGTCGGCATTGCGTGAGAGGTGTTAGCTGGGATTACAGGGTTGGGAGGCGGGTTGGGAAATAGTGAATACAGGCTTGGGAGGCGAGGTTGGGAATTAGTGAATACAGGGTGGGAAGCCTCCAGTTCGTGCGTTGCAATATTGCTGAAGACGTGCTAGCATTGCGCAAGTACTGTATAGTCTATGCTGCAAAAAGTACATCTGGTGCACCTTTACACGGTGCATAGTATCAGTTGCATTTCTACACCGTGCGCCGCTGTACGAGAGGTTTCGGAGGCGCTACGCGAAACCTGACACTAAGAAGAAAGACGTTTGCCAGAAGTTGCAGTAGATATGCGCAGACGTCCTTAAACCTAGGTTTGATCAGCGTAGCGTGCCTTCGCGTTGGACTCTGACCAACGGTCTAAAGCACGGCTATTTCAAGTGTGACGTGGCATCTCAGAGTCGGTGGCGATATAAATAGACGAGGATAATCTGAGAGTCTTGGCGCACAGGGCTGGCCTTGGAGAGCATTCGCGCGTTGAAGCGAGCTTGTAACCCTAGACCAGCCATGCACAGCCTTCAGCGAGGAGCGCAATGGCAAGTGACTGCAACCGATAGCTTTACTTCTGGCGCTCAGCTCTCTGTGCATTATTATATTTGACGTTCCTGCAACAACGACTTTGTTTCAGGCATGGTCGTCGCACCCAACAGCCATGCGTGTCATCAACTGAGCGCGAGGTAAGGATCAGAGACAGCTAAGAAAAGCCATGTACCATTTATCAGGTTCATGATGTACCCACGTCCGTCAGGTTTCCTTCCATGGGCGTTTGAGGAGCTCACAAGTGCACAGGAACATCCAGGTTTGTGGATAGCAAGGGATATTGCTTTTCCGGCGTTTCAACCACACCATAGCATCAGCAGCCAGAGCATCAGCAGGGCTTGTCACATCGTGGGGTTGCCTTGGTCACATTGTGGGTTGCGATGTTGTTCTCGTGTGATTGGATGGATAGTCAAATACCTTGAAAAAAAACTAAATCACATTGATTACTTCCCTTCCACTGTGCATTTTTGTCGCTCGTGCGGGTGTGCGTCCGTTGAGGGTTTTACTAAGACTTGACCTTGGTGTTTCGACATAACCCTACAGCAAAAGTCGCGTGCCATTAAATTCATAACCGCCGGTGCGACAAACTTCTAACTATCAGCACCCGGCCTGCAGCCTGCCAACGCTTGTCCCCAAAGCCAAGGGCGCCCTTTGTTCCTCCTTTTCTCTACAATTACATATCTCTCGCACCTCCGAACCCTCAAAGCCAACTCCTCATTCACCATCCAGGTTTGTGCAGCACACGCGCACCGCCCCTCCACCGACGTCGTAGAGCCCGGATCGGCAACTGGCTCCGCCACCGCCATCGCCGCGGCCTCAGTCTTCTCCTATCTGGGTGTCGGAAGTCGTAACAGCGACAGCATCGATGACGGCGTCAGTACCAGCTGTGCCGAAGACGCCGCTGGCGGCAGCGGCGCCGCCGCCGTAGCAGCTGGTGAGGCGCTGCTCCGTCAGCTCCGGCTCGCTAAGGAGCGGCTGGGCACCTCCTTGGAACAGCTCTTCTTCGATGGGGTTGCGGAGAGCCTACCTGCATGTTCCACCAGCCAGATGGCCGGTGTGCTCATGAGCCTGGCGCTGCTGCACCGCCGCCCCGACGACTCCTGGCTGAACGAATACTGGTCCCTTACCACCGCGCGACTGAACGAATGTACGACAGCCGACCTCGCGATGTTGAGCTATGGCGTGAGTGAGCTGCAGCTGCAGCCGCCGCAGGAGTGGACGGAGACGTTGCTGTCGGCGACGATTCGGCTCGCAGAGATGCGGCCGCCGTCGCCGCTGCCGGCGGCGGCGGCGGCAGCGGGATCTGACGTTGCGGCTGTGGCCCCGGAGGGTGCGGCGGAGCGATCCTCTCTGGCTGCTACACTTCAGCTGATGCTACAGAAGCTCACAGGGAGCAGCGGCATTACCGACAAGATGACGGCGGCAGCGGGGCGCCAGCGCCAGCCCAGGCCGAGGAGCCCCTGGCTGTCGTCCACCGCGTCCTCCACCTCCTCCTCCTCGTCATCATCGTTTTCAGCTGGCATTGCACGTCGGTACGGGCGGTCGCTGCCTGCGGCTCTGGGCAAATTCCTCCCGGCGGCCCCCGGTGGCCGCTGGGTCGTCACCGACCAGGTAACACCCGCCTCGCCCGTGTCCGGCCAGGCTGGAGATCCCGTGGAAATGCCCCTCCGGGGGGTGCAACAACGGCTACCGTCGGCATCGACGGCAGCATCGACGGCAGCATCGACGGCATCCGGCCTGAGTGGCGATGTCGCGCCCGCAGCTGCCGCGACCCGCCGACCGAGCCCCATCAACAGCGCGTACGATATGGAGGATATGTTTGGCGCCGAGGGTCCCGAAACCAGTAGCAGCATTGCCGAGTTGGTTTTGGAGCCAGTCCAGGCGCTGTGGGGTGGGCTGCGGAGAGCCACGGCGGCGGTGTCGGCGGCGTGGCGGCGGAGGCGCAGCGGAAGCGAGCTGGTGACGGTGGTGTATAATTTGACCGCGGCGGGGATGCATGTTGAGGAGGCGATGCTGGCGCGATTTCTAAAGGTAGTGGGGTTTTGCGTGGTGGGGTTGTTTTGTGGGGGGATGCTCTCTCGCAATGCGGTGTGTGTCTGGCCAGCCTGGCCGCCCTGGCCACACCCGTCCTTTCCTTGCGCCATGCTTCTTTATTCCCACCCATCCGCCCACACACCGTGCCGCGCCGCGCTCTGTTCGATCCTTGTCCTGTGCTCTGTTCGATCCTTGTCCTGTGCTCTGTTCGATCCTGTCCTGTGCTCTGTTCGATCCTGTCCTGTGCTCTGTTCGATCCTGTCCTGTGCTCTGTGCTCTGCGCTGAGAAAGCCGTTACCGCTCTTGAGAACCTACTGCCCTTTGTCACTGTGTTGCACTGTGTTGCACTGTACTTTGCGCCTGGGTTTGCTTGTATCACTGTATCTCATTATTAATATTGTAATTGTTACTGTCCTTACTGTTTTTTGTTGTTCTTGGTGCTCTATTTGTTGTCGCGGTTTTCCTGCTCTCAGGCGATGCGGCCCTGGCTCTCCGACTTGTCGGGTGACGACCTGCACTGCCTGCTGGTGGTGGCGGCGGGGGCCGCTGACGGCGGCAGTAGCAGTCAGGGGCTGTTGGAGGCGGCGATGAGCCGGGACTGGCAGGTGGCTCTGTTCGGGCGCATGGACGGAATTCCCTGGGCACTGCAGGGACATCACCTCGTGGGTGAGCTGCAGCAGGGGCTGGGATGGAGGGGTGCTAGCGGCTAGCTGTCTGCCTGCCTGCCTGGCGGGCTGACTGGGTGGAATCATGTACAGAGTTAATACAAAGGCCAGGGCAAACCTTTTAAAGAAAATTTACTAAATGTGCTGATGGGTGAGTGAGTGGGTGGGTGGGAATGGTACCGCCTGGTTGTAGGATGGGATTGGATCGTCATGTTGGTTTTAGGGTTTTTGGTTTTTTTTTTAATTTTTTTAACTTGGAAAAAAGACTCTTTACTCCCTCGTCCGCCTCCCCGTGGTACCCTTTTCGCCCCCACAGGCTGCCTGGCCTCCCTCAGCAGCCTGGGACTGCGGCCGCCCCCTCCCTGGGTTCGACGACAACTTCGCAGTCTTCAACCCGGACTGCAGTTTCTGCCTACCAGCTCTCTGGTGGCTCTGGGGGGCCTCCTGCCCCTGCTGCCCCTGCACTACGAGGGCGAGCTGAGGACAGCAACACCACAGCCTCCTGCGCCACCCGCAGCGACGGGGAGCATGGCGACGGCGTCCGCGCCAGTGTCCTCCGGCCCATGGGTCGGTGAGGACGACCACTTCTGGTTCGAGCGGTGGCTGGCGGAGTACAGAGCGGTGGTTTCGGAGCGCCGTACAACGATGGATGCGGCTGATCTCTTGGCGGTTATAGCAGGTGTTGCTGCCGTGGTCGCTGCCGTACCGCCGCCGCCGACCACATCCTCCTCCTCCGCCGCCTCCTCCTCCTCCCAGGCCGCGGCGGCGGCTGCGGCGGCGGCGCCGCATCGTGATGTAGCGTCTGTGCTTCTGCCTCGTGCCGGCGATGCGGTGTCGTACTCGGAGTGGCAGCGGGTGATGGTGGAAGCTGTGGTCGCTCGGCTGCCGGAGGCCAGCCTGGCGGGGCTGTGCGAGGCGTGGCAGGTGCTTGCGGACGCATCCTCGGGAGCGCAGCAGCAACAGCTGCAATATCAGCCGCCGCCGCCGCAGCAGCAGCAGCAATTTGTTCTGGAAGGCGTTGCGGATGTGGACGAGGTAGCAGGGCGTTTGGATGAGCTGCGGGACCTGGTGGCGAGCAGGTACGTGGCGTCTCGGTGCGGAATTCACTGGGTGATATGGTACGGGGCACCGTACCATGCTTTGGGATATGGATCAAGGCCATCGTTTTAATTCTCGATTTGTTTCTCTCACGACGGGCAGCATTACGGTCTGGATGCCCGAAAGGAGTTCGCGTCCTGACGGATTCTTTCCTGTGTGCTTTGTGTTTGGTCGGGGTCCCCGCCGTCAGGCTTGCCGTGCACCACGCGCAGCTTTCCACTTCCGACGTGGCGCCTGTACTGTCCTCCCTCGCGGCGGCGGGACTACCCCTGCCCGCCGCCACGCTCGACGCACTGCTGACGTCAGCACAGCCGCTGCTTCCTGGCCTTACCTCCTCGGAGCTCGTCACCGTAGCGCTGTCGCTCGTACGACTGTCGTACAAACCAAACTTGGCCTGGCAGGCGGCGTTTTGCGCCGCCAGCCGCCGCCGTCTAGGCCTCATGACTCCCCCGCAGCGTTGCTCGTTGCTGGTGGCATCCGCCAGCCTGGGTTTGCACCTGCCTGACCCATGGGTCAGGGACTTTTTCGCGGTTTCGGAGCGTGGTCTCGGCGAGCAGCTGGACGGCACGCAGCTGGCCAATTTGCTGTGGGCGGTATCCTGTGTGGCTTCGGAGCCGGCAGCCTCCTGGCTTGAGCAGTGGGAGTACGCGTCCATGCCGAGGTTGAAGGAGTTGGGTCCCAACATGCTCGCGGTGGTACTCAAGGTAGGAATTGCGACTTTGGGAGTGAGTCAGGATTTGAGTCAAGAAGAGAAGGATTTGTTTGGAAACGCGGGAGGGAGCTGGCGAAAGAGGAAGGACAGGAAAAGGGAACGCGGAGTTTGTCCAGGTGAATCGGCAGTGAAGGGAAAGAGGAGGAGGAGGAGGAGGAGGAGACGACCCAGAGGCCGAAATGCGCGACACGGTCAACGCCGGAGGGGCGGCGGCGTTTGGGAGCAGCCATGATTACGGGCGTTGCTACGTATCTATTGTGCGGCATCTTGTGGCATATGAGTTGTGGCATATGACACACACCAAGGAGAGAAAGTTTTGGAGTCGTCGTCGTACGTCGCCATGTTAGGCCGTCATTCTTGACTTGAAACGTGATTTGGATAATTGGGTTACGGTAGAGCTGATGGCCACCATCTGGTTCCACCACAGTTCACGAAACCTCAAGGGGAGGAACACCGGAGCCTTCCCCTTTGACTCGGGCGCTGTTGTACCGGTCAGCTATTTGCGAACCTGCGCGAGCCCATCGCGCCCTGCCCTGTCTTGCCATTGGAGAGCCCTGCGCCTCCCTCCCCCCCCCCGCTCTTCCCTCCCCCCCGCTTCCCTCCCTCCGGCGGCCCCCGTCAGGCTATGTCCACCTTGCACTACCGGCCGTCCCTAGCCTGGCAGAGCGCCTTCTTCACCGCCTTGCAGCGCCGCCTCTTCGCTGCGGGTGCCGCTCAGCTGACGCCGTGGGAGGTGAAGGAACACCTAGACGCCGACAGCAACGACAACGGAGCAGCTCCATCATCATCATCATCGGCAGCAGCAGCAGCAGCAGCAGCAGCCTCAGCAGCAGTACAACACGAACGCCAGCCCTTCGCAGTAGAAGGCGAAGACCCGTCGTCCTCCTTCGCCACTAGATCACCTTTGGCATCCTCCCTCTCCGCTACTAGCAGTAGCAGCAGTAGCAATACCAGCAATGGCAGTAGCAGCAATGGCAGTAGTGGCAGTAGCAGTGGCAGTGGCATGCTGTCCTCGACGGTGACGGTGGAGGCGCTCAACAGTCTGGTGTACAGTCTAGCCTCCCTGGACTTATCCCCGCCGCCCGCGTGGCTGGACGAGTTGGCGGACGCCATTCGCTGCAAGCTCAGCCTGCTCAGTACTCTGGACCTGTCGGTGGTGTTGGCGTACCTTGTGGCCAGGTCGCACAGACCGAATGACGAGTGGTGAGTGGGGACGGCAGTGGGGAACTTGCGGCGCAGTATGTGTGCGAGGGAGAAAGCGGTGACCAGCCCCACTCTCAACCACACCTCCTTAGACCTCTCAAGAATCGCTTTCATCATGCCGTTGGGAAGCCGCTGCCGATGCCGATGCCGATGCCGATGCTGTTGGGAAGCCGCTGCCGCTGCCGTTGCCGTTGCCGCTGCCGTTGCCGTTGCCGCTGCCGCTGCCGCTGCCGGCTCCCCCTGCATGCCCCCTCTTCTTATACTTTCTGCTCCCTCCCCAATGGCTGTGTGTCGCGTCCTTGGATTAGTCCTGGGGCTGCTGAGGGTCCCCTCCTCCCTTTGCTCCTGCTCCTGCTCCTGCTCCCCCTCCTCGTTGCCGTTGCCGCTGCCGCTGCCGGCTCCCCCTGCATGCCCCCTCTTCTTATACTTTCTGCTCCCTCCCCAATGGCTGTGTGTCGCGTCCTTGGATTAGTCCTGGGGCTGCTGAGGGTCCCCTCCTCCCTTTGCTCCTGCTCCTGCTCCTGCTCCCCCTCCTCGGCCCCCTCCTAGGTGGGAGAGCTTTCTTGAGGCTCTGGAGAGCCGCTTCGACTCCCTGTCCTCCTCGGAAATGTCGTCCCTGCTCGTGATGCTCAACGCCCTCCGGGTATCCCCCGCGGCCCAGTGGCTGGACGCGTTCTGCACCGCCACAGAGTCGCGTCTGAGTTTCTTCCAGCCCAGCCACCTGCTGCAGGTGCTCAGCTGCCTGCACCTGTTCCGGCACCGCCCCGGACAGGCGTGGATGGGGGCGTACACGGCGGCGGTGGAGGGCCAGCTGCCGAGGTTCACACCCACGGAGCTGGCGCGTGCGATGATGTTGTTGGATAACCTGAATCAGCGACCCAGCGTGGGCTTCATGCTGCGGTTCTATGACTATTCCAGACCGGGGCTATCGCAGCTCGACACGCAGGAGCTGGTGAATGTGGCTTGGGCGGTGGTGAGCTGCTCCAGCTTGCAGCCGGATATCCGGTGGACGGAGGCGCTGGTGGAGGCGGCGCGGCCCCGTGTGGCCTCGCTGCAGCCGCCGCAGCTGAGGGTGCTGGTGGCGGCGCTGGGGCACATGCAGCGTGGGGCGCCGTGTGTGGCGGCTGAGGACTTTCTTGCATTCGCCCGGGAGTTCTTGCTGGCGTGAGGGAAGGATTGCTGGTGTGGGAGGGAGTGTGGCCACACTGTGACTGTTCCGATGGTGTGCTTGCGATCTATCTTATTCTCCGGCCTGTCCTACGTCGCAAACTTTAATTTGCTCTGGGAGACAGGAGGGGCCTAATATATGCAGCTAGGAGGCAGGTGATGGCAGGCTCCTCTTCCACAACCATGTGGGCCGCTCCACTCAGCAGCAACGTCCATGTCTCCTGGCTCCTCCTTTGTGACTGGATTGGTGTAAATCCACTAAGAGCAGCAAGCTGGCGATCGCACACACGGCTTCTGTCTGCCGATGGAGAGCATTCCTGCACCCCCCTGGAATACAAATTTCCCCCTCCCCCAGCCGACTCGCTGGGTACCTGCCTAGGCGGTTTCTCCGTCGAGGGGTGGGCGCATTAAGAGACGTGGAGCTGGACGTGAAAATCTGTGTACTGTATCTCTTGATCTGTCTGGACTCGGTAGTGTATAAACTGAGAGTTGCGCCGGGTATGTATGTATGTATGTATGTACGTATATATGTGCAACCCGCTGAGTGTCTCGCCATACGATATTGATTGGGAGCGGTCGTTTGCTTGGCTGGAGGCGTGAGAGGTCTGAGAATTTAGAGGTTTGAGAGTTGCTGAGTTAAATAAGCTGGGCCGCGTGATGGAATCGCGACTGGGGATGTCAACCAAGATGCGCAACCTTACCCCAACACGAGTAAAGTAGTCCAGCAGCACAGTGGTGAAGTGACTTTTGCTGCGTGTCAATGTGAACACATGCTACAAGGCAGGGTGCTTCAAAGACTTCAAAGAGAGAGAGAGAGGGAGTTTGTGTACCACACCATCGCTCCCCTTGCCTGGGGGAAAAGCTATGGTGTGTGCGAGTACGTCCGGATCCGCGGTACGTACTCTGACACGGATAGCGCGGTACTGGCCCCGCTAAGGTGGCCTCGTGCGCGTTCCGGTGCTCCTTGAGGCGGCGGGTATGCCGCCAGCAAGCCGTCGTCCAAGCCGCCCGTGTTGTAGCGGTGCGCAATGCACAGCAGCAGGAGACCGAGTTTCCGCAGAGCTGACTTGCTGGCGGCATAGCCCCGTTGCTGCTGCTGCTGCTGGTGGCTATCAGTGGAGACGCGGACGGCCGCGAGTAGGTTGAGTAGAGTGTGTATGTATGTATGTATATATGTATGTATGTATGTGCATGTATGTATGTGTGTGCGGGTTTGTGCGAGAACAAACTGCGAGTTCCTAACCGAGGAGAGCCCGGCAGGAGGAGGCGACGAAGAGGGAGAGGATGAGCGAGAGAGGGTGGAGCTTGGAGCGAGGGAATGTCGGGACAACGGCTGAGGGGGGAAGGCTCGTCGCGAGGACGGGACCCTCTTCGCTCGATCAGCGCGTGTGAAATGGGGGATGGCGGTTGTGCGCGATGTGGGTACTCGGGAGAAGTCGTCTTGAACGAATGTTAACGCCAGTCAGAGGGCCAGTGTACGTACGTACTACGTATGTATGTATGATTATTCGGGAAAGGTATGGCCTTTTTTACAGTTGCCCACTTCCCTGTATGTATGTATGTATGTATGTACGTATGTTCGTTTTTCATGTGGGCCGTGTGGCATGAAGAATGTATATACATATATTAATGCATATCTACCCTGCAGTGGCCCAGTCGTACTTCCGTACCATTTTCCAATGGGAGCGAGGAGCGAGTACCTGTCAGATGGTGGGAGTGGTGGGAGTGGCGGGTTGCATGGAGACCCTTATTTAATGATCGTCTCCTCTGCGGCGGTGCAGCGGTGATTGCCATGAGGGGTGTGACGCTGGTGCCTGTCAGGGGGAACACAGACCCAAGCTGAGCCAAGCCGCGTGTCACCACCACCACCACCACCACCGCAGGGAGTGTTCTGAGGTGGCTTCTCGTGGCCTAGTGTGCTTAGTCTAGGTCTGGTGACTGGCGGAGTGGCTGGTGTGGTGGCGTTGGGTATATGCAGGCGCCGGGGACACAGGCGCCCAGAGCCGGGGCAAGTCTTCTCTTTGGTGGTGTGGAGAGTGGATGATGAAAGTTCACGAGTGATAGGAAGAGGTCAAGAGGATGGGAGGAGTCACAGTCGCACAGTCGCACTGCAAGGTGCATTGTGCACGACGACAGGAAGGGAGCGGGAGAGGCAGAGGCAGCCGAGAGAGAGAGGGAGGGAGGGGGAGGAAAAAGATCGAGGGAGAGGAAGAGAGAAATGGCGCTCATGAATTCAATACCCCCTGCGCGAAGGGGGGTCGCCTGGAGACTTAACTACCGTACTGGCTGATATCAGCAATGGTCATTCACCTGACCCACGCGTTTATAAATAATAATTGAATCCACCATTTCCGTAGCACACGTTCCTGAATGTAGATCGCCAGTGTCGTACGATGGTGCAATGTGAGCACTGGGAACCGAGCAGGAGAGCTCCGGTGCGTCGTCGTCGTCGTCCTTGTGTTCCGCTTTTGTCCGCGTGCTTGTTCTGAATCCCGGTGGGGCCGACCCTGACTCTTTTTGGCGGGTTGTTCCTGCTCTTGCTCTTGCGTTGGGCCGTAATCCCCCCAGTATATATTCCAGTGCTGAATTCCACTATGTATTGCGTGCGGAGCGAGATGAGTCCAGGGAGCGCTTACCATTACCTGTTGGAGGAGCACCTATGTGCGGAATATACCGTTTATTTGTGTAAAGTAATATAGATATGATGTGGAGGTGGGCTGAGCTTGCTCTCTAAAGATAGTTTGCGAGAGGAGCGCAGGCAGGAGGCAGCGAGAGCGTGCGTACGCCGTGTATGTACGTATGTATGTGATTATGTGATGTATATGTGTAGAGCGAAAGGTGAGGGTCCTCTGGCAGAGCTGTCTATTTATCTATTTAGCTGTCGGTCCGTTTGGCAATGCACTGGGTTGCCTGTGGTTTGTTTGTTTTGTTGCTCCGGATGCCGTCTTTTCTGCAGTGCTTGCTTTCGCAGTTTGATGATAGTGGCATCCCCTTCGCGCCTGCATGATGCGGCTGGTCCGTGCGGTGCACCGCTGCTTTTTTTTGAGAGTAGTAGTAGTGGTGGTGGTAGTGGTGGTGGTTGGGGTTTGTGCTTGGTGGTGACGGAATGTGGTAATGGTCGAGTAGACGTGCGTGCGCGAGATTACCTCTTGCCCGTCGTAGCAGCCCGTTCGTAAAATGCCCCTCGTACATTCATTTCCCTCTTTTTTCCCTGCGCCTCTTTTACATCATTCATCACCCCCTCGACCCTCGATGCATTATCCCGATGCATCACCTGCGCCGGCTCCCCAAGCGTCTCCTCACCCGCCAAAACCTCCCCCTGCCCGTGAACACCAACCACAGCTCCGAGCGGCTCCCCGTTAGTTACGGACTCCATCATATGCAAATTTTGACTTTCTTGGTTTTTTCCCCTTGGCCAACTCTGGCCTTTGTATGCACGTGACCAAACGTAGCCATGTATAACCATGTATCAGGTTATATGGGTGTGTGCGCGCACGCATGCATGCAAGCTGCAGAGCCCTTCTCACCCGCGAGCTCCATCATCGCAGCCACATCAGCCGCCGGCAGCCGCACCTTGACACGTCCACTCGCGCGAACAATGTCGTGCATTCTTCTTCTTCGTCAAGAATGCGTATTGCACGTGCTTAACAAACACAGCGCTCCTGCGAGCTTCGTCAATAATCATCATGCCAATCAGCCTCCCGAAGCATTCTCATTTTCCCCCCTCCCACTGCCGCTCTGTTGCTCATTGCGCACGAGGTCATCATCTCTATATCGCCGTTCCGTCACCCTCCCCCTTCCCCCACCAGTACGTTCCGCACCGCGGAATTGTTTTCGACTTTCGTTGCGATGTGTGTATGTCTATCCCGGTCACACAGGGGGGGAAAGTAGGGGTCTTCTGGGGTTTCACCGGGAGGGAAGCTGCGTCCCTCCTGCGCCCTCGTTATGGGCCCGGGGGAGCTGCTGCTCGCCGGAGGTCGTCAGGTCCTGCCGTGCGACGAAAAACCCAGCCAAGGGATCAGAGGGGTTTTAGCTTAGGGTTTCAATTCAAATCCGCGGTTTAATTTCAAACCCTCCGCAGTGGGGGGAGGGGGTTAAACTCAGGAGGCGGAGGAAGAAACTTCAAGAGCAAGAGCCCCTCCTGCAGGTCGACTGGTTTGGGCCGTTCGTGATCATCACGCAAATAGTTGTTGCCTTCCATTCGTCCATTCGGTCTGCTTCCTTTATCCATCTCTTTCCGCCCTACCGCATCCATATCATTACAGCGCACCTGCAACGCCACGCTCCCTGCGTTTCGCCGGTTGGCTTGTCGGTTGCTGCCAAAGTCGCGAGTGTTGGACACTTTGCCGATGCGGCTGCCGAACTGGATGGCTCGCTTCACACGGGCCGCCGCGCGAGGCAAGCCCAGCAGCACCAGAGCGCGCCGTAGCAGCCGCTTGTCGCCCTGGCCGGGAGGTTGCCGAAGGTCTGCGCAGGTCCCACATCCGCGGGACCATGTTTGGGACCAAGTCAACCCCCTGATGAGGTGATGTGAGGTGCTCTTGAGGTGTTAGTGGTGCGGCGTGAAGGTAGGGGTAGGCTTGCGTTGGAAGTGAAAATAGACGTATAAACGTGTGACGTCCATAACTGACTTTCAGTTAAGTCAGTTAAAGCAGCGTTACCACCTCGTTGATGCAAAGACTACCACTAAATTTTTAATTTAGGATAGAAACTGGTACAATGATTGAGTTACCAAGAGCTGCTCTTATGGCCGATAAAATTGCACAGAGAGAAGCGCGAGTTATACCACAACACAACAGAACAAGGACTACTTTCACCAAGCCAGCACTTACCCACGATGTGCTCGAGCGGCGCCTGCAGCAAAAACCGCATCACGTCTTCGTCAAGAAAGGGATGCCGGCCCTCGCGGCCCCAGTCCGCCACCAGACGGTCATCACGACCCAGGTTCCGGAGCCACAACCGCCGTACATCCACCTCCAACTCCTGCGACAGCCCAACCCAACCACCGCTCCGAAATCGCGTACGGTGACGGCCGTACCCGCCGCACTGCTCATCTGCGCCGTGTCCCAGCAGCACCACGCGAGCGGCGGAGCCGTACAGCGCGCCGGGGGCCGGCATCAGGGACTCTGGCGCGCCGCCGTTGGCGGCGGTGGCGGCGGATGGCAGCCGCAAGCTGCCCTGCCCGGAAGCTGCCAGCCACAGCGCTGCCCCGATGTTGAGGTCCATAACGGTGTGTGCGGGTCGTAACAGAGCTAGCAGCCTCGAGCTAGGGTGGGGAGATGTGAGGGAGGTGAGAGGTGAGAGGGAGAGCACAGCTGCGGGTTGGCCTGACGCTCGGCAGACGCACGGTTAGATACGCATATGCGTGTATGTGTGCGTATATCATAGAAAGGTCGGGAGGTTGTAGGTACGAAGCCCGTACATGCAATCCTGCTGCCCGACACCGGCCACGAAGGGGACCTCAAGGAGCTTCCCAGTGCCCCTACCACCGCCGAAAGCGCCCTTGGCAGGTAATCGCACAGCACAGCACAGCACAGCACAGCACAGCAGGAGGTAAAAGGAGAAGAAACACACACAGCCCCATGCGACCAAACGTAATGGGCCCAACACGGTCGGTGGTCGGTGGGGAAAAGCTAATATCGATCCAATTAATTGCATGTCACAAAAAACTGGACCCTCTCCTCCACCCCTGTCCTCCACCCCTTTCCTCCACCCCTGCCCAATCCCTACCGGTGCCGGTCCACATCCCGCAACGACGCATTCACCTCCACCAGCCGCCAGCACCGCCCCGGACAGCTGCTGGCTAGCTCCTCCAGCGCATCCCGTGCGGCCTCCCGGTCGGGTGAGGGGGAGCCGCCGCCCGCAAAACACACGTTGGACAGGTCTAGGGATGGGAAGGGAGTGGTTTATTTCTTTATTGTTTTTTGCATCACTTCATTTTACAGCAGTTTTCAATCCTTCCCTTCCTGGACCTGCTGCTGAGGCGAAGATGCGATGTTGATTACGTTACAATGAGATGTTGTCATAATGCGATGTTGATTACGTCGTAATGTTTTTCTTCCCAGGGTAACGGTGCATCCCCCGCCATGCTGTCCGCCCTCTCCCTTCTCCGCCTGTCCTTCTTCCTCCATCTTCCTTTTTCCCTACCTAGCTTCGTCTCCTTCTCCTACGCCTCACTCGTCTTACCAATGGGGACCTCCAGGGGCAGTACTCGGTGCGCCAGAGCCGCCAACAGTACCGAGTCCACCCCCCCACTGAACAAGATCATGACAGGCGCGTCCCGCCAAGCTCCTGCCTCCCCCACTGCGGTTGCGCTGCTCCGAGGATGGCCTCGGTGGGAGGCGGCCCCAGGTGGGGAGCCGGCGGTGGTGCTGCAGCTGCTACTGCCGTCGGCCGAACCGACTGTCCGCAGGCTGCTGCTGCCGTCGCCGCCGCCGCCACCGCTGATATCTACATCGACGGCGGCGTCCGACGCCACCGCAGTAGCAGCAGCAGCAGCAGCAGTAGCAGCAGCAGCAGCAGCAGCAGCAGCAGTAGTAGTAGCAGCAGCAGCAGCAGTAGTAGCAGCAGCAGTAGCAGCAGCAGTAGCAGCAGCAGTAGTAGTAGCAGCAGTAGCAGCAGCAGTAGCAGCAGCAGCAGTAGTAGTAGCAGCATCTTGCTGATTCTCATCCGGGGGGAAACTAAAGTCGAGGGGGTCTTCCCGTGACCAGGAGGGTCGTGACTCCTGGGTGATAACTGCTGCTGCTGCTGCTGGTTGTGGTGGTGATAGTAGCGATGATGATAACGACGACGACGACGCTATCAGCGCCGCCGTCGCCTTCCGTAAGGAGCAAGCCGCCGCGTACGCAGCGGAGGGGTGTGGCGAGCGAGTCTCCACGCAGGCGCAGCGGACGCGCACCGCGGCCTGCAAAAACGGTCACCACAGCGCGGGAGAGAGGGCACAGGGCGCCGCCGGAGAGATAAAGAAAGGAGTTGCGGGAGGGGATTGCAATACTGTACTCCCGGACTAGGTCCCTACCTCCTCACCAGCAGGGCGTTAAGAAGTGCGTGAACCAGGTCGTCATCCCCAGCCGCAGCCGGTAAAGGCCAGCGGCCTGGGTGTGCCACCAGGAGGGCATCCCCCGGGTGACCAGACGATGCCCCGGTCGGCCCACCCGCCGCCTCCGCCTCTGCCGCCACGGACTCGTCAGATGCACCATGCGGGCGCACGGCCGCCGCCACCGCCGCCGCATTATCCGCCACCGCCACCGCCAGAACCTCCGCTTCTCCACCGGATCCCCCGCCGTACACCTCCCGCACAGCCTCTCCCTCCTCTCCCTCACTCGCCACCGCCACTGCCGCCGCCGTGGCCACAGCCACAGACGTATCCACTGGCGCCTGCTGCCGAAGAAGTGAGCTCTCCGTGCGGCAGTACGACTCCAGCTGCCGCAGTAGCGGATCGTGCCAGTCGTACCGCTCCAAGGACAACCCCCTGGATCCCACCATCACCAGACGTCTTCTTAGGGGCCGAGCAGATGGAGACCCCACAGGCTCGCCACACGGGCTGACTCCCCCCCGCCCCTCACCCCCCTCCGGCCCCATCATCGCATTCCAGTTGGAGCCGTCTGGCCCACTGCCCTGTACTGCAAAGCTGATACCGTACAATCCCGGCGGCATCTCAGTCCAATAGCCGTCGCAGCCCGACGGCTCCGCATCCTCGCCGTCGGCTGCACTGCCGCCACCACCGCCTGGCGGGGCTGTCCCGGCGGCAGCGTCACCGCCAGCGGTACCCAGCTGCCATCCTCCTTCACTCCCACAGGACACAACCCCACCTGAGCCATCGCCACCAGCGGCGGCCGCCGCGGCGGCGGCATCTGAGGCTGTGGCAGAAGCTGCCGGACCACCGCCGCCTGCTGCTGTAGTGGCTGCTGTGGGTACTGCTGCTGCTGCTGCTGCTGCTGCTGGCGATGCAGTTGTTGTACTGCGCGGGGTTTCCTCCAGGGTCCGCTCCGAAACCGAACTGATGAGCAGCCTGGGGTCGGCGGCGTCCGGGAAGTGCACCAGGAGGCTGCGACGTCCTGAAGGCAACACGAGTACACAACGTGTGCAACCCGGGAGTGATAGAAGGCTGAAGGGGATGACAGAGCAGATCACCGGATCAGAGCAACACATCAGCCCACATACATACATACATACATACATACATACATACATACATACATGCATACATACATATATACATACACCACACATACATACATATAGGCAGGCGGCTGGCAGAGGTTAAGGCCTGACTTCTGCTCCCAGTCGACCCAGTCGACCCGGGTTCAAATCCGCCTGCCGGCTCCTCGGGTGTTTGAGGAGTGATGAAATGGGAGGTGGCCCCCCATCATATGGACGGTGTAGGACGTGATAATATCAACTTGCGAGCTGACCAGGAACTAAGTTGATGCGCCGTTGATCCGCTAGATTTGGTTGGATGCTGGTGGTGAGTTGCCGAACCCAACGAATACATTCTGAAGTCGGATGGGGTGACGGATTAGGGTGCCCCTCTAGCAGGGGAGAGCAGGGACTGCCCCGGGAAAGGGGGCCGCTGGCGAAGTTAACCACCCTGTAACAACATACATATGTACCCACGGCTTTTCCACCCCTCTTTCCTCATACACCCATATGCACGAAGTTACGTGTGCGCCACCGTCAGCGCGTCATTAAAATACACACACACAGGCACACAATATCCCTTTCTCACCCAGCGCATCCCGCCCAAACCACAGCTGCTGGCGGCTAGGGTCCCAGAACAGCAGCGCCCATGGGCCCCGCAGCTGGCTCAGCACTTGCGGCACTGCAGTGATGAGAGGAAAAGGGAGGGAGGCAGGGAGGAGGAAAAAGAGGAGGACACAACGCCGAGGGTGAAGCGGGTGGATGAACGGCGGAAGACGGGCGGCAGGAATTGGGAATTTCCTCCCCCATCGGTCATCCATCCAACGGGCTGAGCTGCCGGGGAGACGAAAGGGCGAGGCCAACGAGGCGGAATTTGGTTCTTCCTCCCCTTGACCCCGGGGTGAGACCACTCCCCATTAGGTGTCCGGTGCCACCGGCATCCCGGGGTATCAGCCAGTAACTCCGACGATGGTGGGAGCAGCAGGTCAAGCCGGGCAGCGGTGAAGCCGGGCACCTGGTCAGCTCACTAGCTGCCGCCAGCACGGCAGGCATTAGCCCCAGCAACCCCAGCCGCAGCCAACCAACCCGGCCACATGCACATCCGCTATTCCCTCCGTCCGGCAGCCAATCTGGCCGCCCACCTATAGAGGCGCTGAGGAGGCCTAGCCCGCCCTCGGCCCCCAACCGGACAGCTAACCAACCAGCCAACCAGCCAGGTAGGTAGGTAGGCAGTGAGGGACATCAAGCGAAGCTTCCGGGCGGGAGCCCTACTGTTACATCACGACTTGTTTAGAGAAGAACCGATCGGTGGATGCAGATCCCGTGATATGCCTAGGATACGACAGCCGTACATTCGTACCGGACGAGGTGGACGCGGTGGAGGACGCGGAAGCCGCTAACGCCGCCAGAAGACAGGCGCCATCATTCTCGCCGGGGGGGACCTCCAGCCCGCCAAACAGCTCCCCTGCAGACCGGCAGCGAGGGAGGTAGACGGGGGTTGGGGCTGTGTGAGGTGGGAGAGGTGGGCGGGGCGGCAGGGGTTCGGGACGGGGTGCGCGGCAGTGGCAAGCACAGGCAGCTTCGTTCTGTTGTGTTTTGTCACCCCCAGGGATCTAACGGGGCTCAAGTCACCTAGGCCGAGCGAGCGCGAGGGGAGCTTCGGCAGAAAGCTGAATAGCGTTCGCATCGCGGTGTGGAAGTGGCGGTGGCCAACACGCAATTGAGGCGGCTCGGTCGATGGGGTCAACCCCGCACCGGGTCATATAGACTTGGTATCGCTTTGTTTTGTGTGTTTTGCTCGCGTTTGGTATTTTTCCTGTGTGGCGTTTCCGCTGCTGCTGCCTGCGAGAGGCTGATTGCTGAACCTCAAAGGGCGCACGCACCGTTGAAGCACAGGATGTGCCCTTGGCTGCTGACGCAGGGGCTTGTGCGCGGGACCAGTCCGCGCAGCTGCAGCAACGACGCGAAGAAGTGGAGGCGACATGCGGCGCCGGGAACGACCACCTGCTCATGTGACCCAAGGACCGGAGGATGCTGTGAGAGGAGCGTGGGATGTCTGGGCAGAAATTGGCCGCACTGTCGTTATATCACAGTTTCATTGGCAAGTAACGCTGCAGTTAAGAGTGTAAGGGAAGGTCTGTCTTCTGGAACGACAGGACCGACCACGCCCGACAGTGTTGCAACAATTTTGATTGATCCCATAGCCAGGAAAAGTGACATACGCTTAAATTGCCTAGGAAGTCTGGCCCTCGAGCACTCAGCGCCGCGAGCAGTTGATGCGACGCCGTTTTTTTGTCGCGGTCATCCGATACTATATTTCCACAAGCTGCGGCAGTTTCATCTCCTATACAAGCAAGGGCAATGCCACACATTGTGCGTGTAGTCAAATTCGTTAGACTAGCAAATTTGGACTAAGTCCTAATGTACACAACGGATGCCATGAACGCGGAGGATGCCAGGAAAGTCGTCTTCATTACAAAGATATGGTTCGGGGCGTCGTGCTGATAACTGAATCGCAGCAAGGCAGTATCGCAGGTGACACCTCGTCCTAACGTGCAACGACTACCGAACCTGTTGCATTGAATCGGAACATACGTCGGCAGAAACGACCGAAAAAGACATCTACCGAAACACCACGTTACACTGATGCGCTTCAGGATAAGTGTTTGGCCCTTGGCTGTCAACCGACCGCATGACAGAGCGCGTGCGGCAAGGTGGTGTCGGATCTGTAATGGATCGTCAGGCAGTCGGTTGAGGGCGAGCGATACGTGTTGTTCGAATGTTCTGCATACGCAGACATACGCGCTGAGCGTTGGAACTTAGGAGCGGCGCCAGGGGTGACATTGGATGCGGTGCAGGGTGTTGACTTAAGGATTATCTGTGCGGAATGTAGCCACTGATGTGACGTACTTTTCACATCTAGCAGCAATAGTAACAGCAGCACACTTTAATGTTCGGGTCCCGGTCCCTCCGCCCAGCCGGGGTCGATGAGTCAAAATCCCTGCCCGTTGAGAGGGTTCGACACCTGAAACGAGATGAAAGCAAAAAAGGCTCGCACGTGTGAACTTCAGGCTGACGGCTTCCCTGATCGTCCTCAAAAGGCTTTTGAGTCAAAAAACGACATACCAAATTGTTCAGACAGTGCATTCGGCAATATTCGGCAATTGTTCTGCTAATAGCGTGACGACCCAAGAAAAACATGCTATGCGTCCTCAGTAGGAGGTGGCATGGATGGTAACATGAATGATGAGGCCACTTGCAAACTCGTCTGAGCGCTGCGACCAAACCATGCGACACAGCTTCGAAGTAATACCGCAGCTCTGTGCTGCATGATCCAGATATTAAACAACAACCTTCATAAGGAAACATGGCCAACCAGCTCGTCGCCGTCCTTGGCCATAACGAAATTGCATGTCGCCGTGTTGAAAAGGAACTTTTTCAGCTTTTCATGGATAGGCGAATCCGCGAGCCAGAGGGTTGCAAAAACGGTCTAATCCCCCAATCCCGGGGGGTGGTAGTGGTCAGCCATCCCCCCATCCTGGCTGGGGTGACCGACTCCCATCTCCCATCTTAGAGGCCCGGTGCTAATCCCATCCCTTGAGACAGGTTTCCCATCCTGCCAGCCTGGGTCCCATCCCCAATCCTATGGCCAGGGTTTCCAATCCCATCCTGCAGCTGTGTTCCCCCAATCCTCATCCTGCCAGCCAGGGTCCCTTCCCAATCCCTTCGACCAGGGCCATCCCCATCCTGCAGCTGTGTTCAGATCCGAAAGCTGTCAGCCAGGGTCCCATCCCCATCCCTTGCCAGCTACAAACCTACTCCTTACGTTTACACAGGTGCTGTAATATCGGCTTTCTCTTTAGGCGTAAATCAGGGGAATGACCAGGGTTATTTTCTCTTTCCGCGAGATATTTTTCTCTTGCTCTATGGCTTATTTCCTCTAGCGTCAAATTCCGCCCGGCTGTGTTCGTTCCGAAGCAGACTGAAGCGACAAACGCTCGTTGAAGCGGATCTCGACTGAGGAAGAACTCGCATCACAGAGGTCTACATATCTAATTGCACACTGGCTGCTATTGCAAATCGCGCGTCCTAAGGGGGGAAGGACTGTTATGTTCGAAGGACGGCCACAGCAACAAATTATAATGCTGTGGTTAGAATGGCAGAACGTACAAGGGTGTTCTGTCAAAATGTCCATGGCTGGGAACGTGCACCATTGGTTCAGGTTCATAGCGCAGGAGTTCAGCTGCACATTCCGGCGTCAACATTCCACGTTGGGTGCGCCAAAGCGCTACGATAAACAACCTGATAACATTACATCAAGCCAGACAGTCCAATTGGAATGCTTTTGAGTCGACTTGGACTTCTGCGCAAGAATTGCTCCTATGCACTATAATGTGCAGAGTTACGTGGAGTTGTGCCACAACAAAACAATAAAGACTGCAAACTTTCTCAGAGTTGTGCATACTGGCTTGGGAATGCGGTGCGGCATGATGCGGCCAGCATCTTCGCGCCTTGCAATTTCAGCTCAGTTTGCATGAATAAAACCAATAAAACATCACAGTACTAGAGAAGCAGTTTGTATGAGCAAGTAACATGAAAGCTTAACTTTGTTGTCAACTAACTCCAGGGTGGGCCTCACTTTGAGCCAGGACCCCCAAAGCGGCTTGCTGTTGATAACGTTTTGTTGGCTTAGATGCGACGGAGCGAAGCGACCGGATCTTCTAAGGCTGGTTCTGTGGTGCTGTCGTACAACTGGGTCGCAGTGGCGACTTCATTCTTGCTGCTCTCCTGGTGAAGTCATTATGCCTTCACGCAGAAGAGCATACAGCCTTGTCCAACTAGTCAGCGTGACAGGCTGTACTTGGACCCCAAACCGGCTTGCTGTTGATAACGTCTTGCATGTTGATACGCCTCCTGCGGACTTGTCCCCCAGTAGGGTCTGCAGATTGCATACAGATTACGTTCGGGTCTTATTCAAAGTGTCCCAAACTTCGTCTTGGAAGACGCCCACCTTCTTAAGCGCAAGCTAGTAACAGCCCGACGATCGTTTGTTATCTCTTCCAGAATGGCATCCGATGGTGCCCTGGGTGTGGATGTGCATGGGCCGGACAAGGTAAGAACGGGGTTGGACTGCGTCTGACTGAAGAACTGGCACCAATGGTGCACGTTTCTCACATTTACACCAAGTCGCGTTCCATGCCTGTTCTATTCCCAATGGTGTTAACCTTCTGCAGAAGCGTCAAAAGCTGGCAAAATTGACGGGGTTAGGCTTCGCCAGGGACATGGCCGAAGTCATCGTGGAAACGCTTGGGATGGACCCCATCGGGCAGTCGGCCGATGCCGGAGCAGGACTTCCTTGTGTTTGAGTTTGGTTAGCTATGGGACGCGACTTATAAGCAGAACTTCCTTGTGTTTGAGTTTGGTTTGCTATGGTACGCGACTTGCAAGCAGGACTTCCTTGTGTTTGAGTTTGGTTAGCTATGGGACGCGACTTATAAGCAGAACTTCCTTGTGTTTGAGTTTGGTTAGCTATGGGAAGCGACTTGCAAGCAGGACTTCCTTGTGTTTGAGTTTGGTTTGCTATGGTACGCGACTTGCAAGCAGGACTTCCTTGTGTTTGAGTTTGGTTAGCTATGGGACGCGACTTATAAGCAGAACTTCCTTGTGTTTGAGTTTGGTTTGCTATGGGACGCAACTTGCAAGCAGAACTTCCTTGTGTTTGAGTTTGGTTTGCTATGGGACGCAACTTGCAAGCAGAACTTCCTTGTGTTTGAGTTTGGTTTGCTATGGGACGCGACTTGCAAGCGGAACCTCCTTGTGTTTGTTTGAGTTTCCATGTAAGCAACTATGGACAACTAAACCATCCATCCTTGGCCTGTTTTGCAGTCCTGTCAGTATTCCAAGTTCTGCACCTGCAGCCTCATTTTACAGCAGAACACCCAATTCTATCCTCCAACTGTGTTCCCAATCCTACGGCAGCGACCTCATCCTAAACTTGCGAAAGCCTGCAATCCCCGTCCTGTCGACCAGGGTCCCATCCCCATCCCTGGCCAGGGCTCCCAATCCCCTCCTTGGTCAAGGTTGCAATCCCCATCCCTCAGACAGGGATCCCATCCCCATCCTCACCCCTGACAGCAATCCCCATCCCAAAAGTAGTGTAGCACGCCTAATCCCTAATCCTCGCCCTGGGCCCCACATCCCATCCTGACGTCGTCAACCCTATTCCCCATCCCGCCTGACCAGTACCTGCCCCCAATCCCCCATCTCTGCAACCCTCTGCGCGAGCCAGCAGGTGCCGAGGCGGAGAGGTCAGGTCGCAGCCTGGCCCCATACACCATAATGCTGAGAAAACAACTCCACACAGCATTCAAATTCTTTCACTGTCACCTCAGCCCAGGAGGGTATATGTAAACTAGATTCCTTGAAGTCGGGCCGGTGCACATCGGTCATCAAACGCCTTTCAAAAAAGCTTGGGCTTCCATGCGTCTGCACGCAATGACCTTACGCTATATCGACTGGTCTTAATACCACGTATATAGTGGTCGGGGATGGGTCTCCTTAATCCTGGAGACAACAGAAACCGAAGCAAAACCGGCATTCACTATGGAGCCCGAACAAAAGCGAATTTTGTACGTATTTGAAAATGGATCAAGGATGGCAATGTGAATGCATACATAATGAATCCCAGATGAGCCATACATCGCGTACCGTATTACGGCATATTACCGAATACGGCGAGCAGGCCAAAACCTCTGATAAACCATTTATGATATCAGCGCATTAACCGCAGGATCTTATCTTAGGATTAATAACATTATGAAGAATCCGTAATTGTTCAAGGGAACTGTTGGAAAGCTGAATTTTACTACCGTAAAACCGTTGTGCGATCCGGGCAGAGGATTAACTCGTAAGACAACAGTCCACAAAGCCAACTTTTCGCCCAAAAATTTTCCCATGATTGATTTCTTATAGTACGGTGAATGGAGTAGTTCCGGGCGTGGCGCCCATGCCCGCTACAGTCGCAACCAGGTAGGAAGGGCCCATGTCTCCCCTGTTCGACAATCGCGTGGGCTTATCGTGCGAGACGTGTCTCACGCGAGGTATTTTCTTTCTGTGATTCCCTCGACCGGGAAAACAGAAGGAGGACACAGACTTTTTCAACGGAGATTGGAAAGGTTTGGCGGTCGGGCTACGTCGGGCTGGAAAGAAAGCAAGGCAAAGGCTGCTTAAACACTTGAGGTGCATCAGGCGCGTGAGATGTCAAGTAGTTAACCTGGCCGCGCATATAAGGAGAACGAAAAGACAAAGAGCACAGCACAATGCTCGCAGTATCTCAAGCCGGATAGCCGTCCAGGCACTAATTTCAAAGACTCGCTTACGAATCGGATTTCATGCTTTACCTAAAACACCAATTTGGCGCCGTTACCGATGGGCACCTCGTCGTACGAATAATGAACCTTCACTGCTACTGCTCAATGAGTGCCCGTAACAATCATTCTCTGAGCGGCCAGGCTCCGTTCACAGGGTAGAGGAGGGATTCGCGTTTGAACCCCATGATGGGTCGTTCGTTTCTTTACACTGCTCACCAAACCGGGAGCCGCGACCTGCATTACAAGCCCAAATGGCAGTCATTGAGGATCTCGAACTTTGATGGAATGCAAAACCCAGTTCCATGGTAACAGCCCGGCGTATCCTCCGGCAATATGCAACTGCGGCCAACAATGCTGAGCCCTACTTGCAGCCCATGCAGGATCCAGAAACTTACCCCAACCACTACATCCAGTTCACAATGAGGGGTCAACCAGAAGTAGGAAAAGCGATTATCGCTTGGCACGACCAAGGAAAGAGCGCATCGGACTCTCATGAACCTGTGGTCACATGCCGTACAGGCATAGGTCATCATCATCATTCACTCAGTCACATGCATGCAACCATAAAGACAAAATGCATTGGTCGATCAGTCAAGAGGCTTCAGCCATAGTCATGCCTAGTTCCCAGCAGGGTTCGGTGATAATCCTCCAACGAACACCACTCATCTTCCACGATGCACATAAAAGGACGAGTCCCAGCACCACTGTCAAGAACGGGGACGTAGACAAAAAGCCATTCCCATCCTCGTCAGGAAGACAACAGGAGCGACCAGGAAGGAGACGACCAGTCCAGTCGAAATGAAATACTGGGGTCATTAGCCAGCCTACCATCAGACATCATCAGGGTGCACCCAAAGCAGCAAACTGTCAGCCCGCACCCAAGCACCTTCCTTCACCGCCCTAAATGGCTCGGAAGCGCGCGAGACAATCCCTTATGCATACAAACATGCACGGGTCATTCCCCACACCATGAGTCAAGCAAGCAAGCAAGCAAAAGCAGTTGTCGCCCGGCGCTTAAACAAATTCGCCTGGTAGTTGTGGGCAGAAAGGCTCCTTTTCCATCCCCACATATTTAGTACACAACACAGGACGACATTCCAAAGCTCAAGCCAGGTGAAGCCCATTGTCATTGCTCCGTCCATTCGCGACAACCCAACGCGCACTCTTAACATCATCAAACCCGCGCGCGACTATTAATGAATACAGTCCATGTGCCGCGATCATGCCCCAACACCCCATCTGCCACACGCGGGCGTCCAGCGAGCACCATCACAGCCGTCAATCAAAGCACTACGGACCAATTTTTGGCCCTTAGCCAAGACTCCTACTACAGGCCCGTCACTCTAGAAATGACCGGGGGGCCCCAGTCATTTCCCCACAGAAACGCTGCACCCAGCACCAGCGCCACGCATTTCCATTTCCCCTGAGACTCAGAGTAACGCCATGTGACCCTCCCGGACAATTTCTGCGAGATCCAGGTCCTCCTCCTCACCGCTGGCGTAGACAATCCTGTGCCAGAGAGGGCGCAACGCGTACGCCGCGTCAGTCTAGCGAGCCGCGTCGCACAGCCAGCCAATTCAACGAATTGGTTTACAGGACGTGTTGGACGCCTCTTCTTCAGGTCCCATACCGGCGAATTCATTTCGATGGAGACATGGCCGGGCGTATGGACCCACATCGATGTGAAAACTGGGGTTCAGGAGGTAACCTTCGTCTCAGGTCAAAGTGCGACACTGATAGTACTTACTTGGCCTGCTTTGTCTTCGCGTTGACACTAATAATTTCCACAAGGTACCATAGCTGGTTGTCAGGCCAGAACAGCTGTCAATGGGACCGGGAAGGAAGCAGGGGAAGCCGGACCATGCCTCTCAAGTGTGAACATTCGTCGCGCAACGATGTATGCACGACAATACGATGCGGCTTTTCCAGTTCATTGCACGTGCCGCCCTCACCAGCTTATTATTGCAATTTCGCCCTTGATCTTTTGAATTTGGTCTCCTAATTTGATTTCTGAACCAACCGTTCGTGCATTACAAACACCTGCCGCACACAAATACGAGGCAATAGGGAAACCGCCACCGCCCATCCAGAGCTTCGCATACCTCAGCTTGTCGCCCTTTAAGAGCCGGAGAAACATCATCGGCCTTTAAGAGCCGTCCTGACGGATACTTGCTTTCCACAGGCCGGTCCTCGAACTTCTTCTTTTTGACAACAGGCCCCGGCTGAGGTTGAGGAGCTGATGATTTACTGTACTTGTTACGCTGGCTCACACTCTCAAACAAAGTTGGCATAGTGTTGATGAGCTTGAAGAGCCGCATCCTACGCTCGTAAACGCGTGGTTAATGCCTGAATATCCTTGCCTCTAGGAACTCAGATGATTGTAAAACATGCATCTAAGGACGCTATAAACGCCAGTTGAACGCAATCCCCACCTGCCGGCTGCATCCAACTTCACCGCGTAGAAGAACGCGACTGCGAGAAGCCATGAGTCCGAGTGCACTGCAACGAGTGCAACCCAGTCCCTCTGCGCGCAAGCAACGTGAATTGTCGTAGCTGCTTAGTCGGCCAGGGCGACGAGTCAAGGCCCCTAGTTAGCGACAAGAAATCCGAAGATACCTTTGCCATTCCATCTCGCGCGAAATTGATGCCCAGGCACGGCTCGGGCAGCTCAGGTGGCACTTCATCGGCCGGAAGTTCCACCGCCCAGGTCCCTTCTCGCGTACCTGCGGGGAAAAGCAAAGCGTCTGTACTCCGCACAGCCCTACTTAGCTATATCTAAACCTACTTTGGGCATGTTGAATTCCACGACAGCCTTTACAAGCGAGCGTGACGCCCACGACTGTTCAACGCGCCCATGGTCCACAACCCGCCCCCGCACGTACCATACAAACATAAGTTCTCACGCTCTGGGTCTGCCTGTTGGTAAAGCTCCTCAAGGTCTGCAGGCCACCAGCTTGGCAAGTGAGCAACGCGCCTCCCGGCACGCTCTTTATGTGCCCACGATAATAGTACTTGCCGTCCGTTAAGGCCCGAAGCAATCCGCTCCTTCGTCGCTGATAATCTTCAAATATCTCCTCGACAGTCTTCGGAAAATCCATGGCCTAAGCTGAGTCCACCAGCTCCCAAGCGTTCTACGCGGAAGGTCAAAGTCAGCCACTGTGCGCAGTAGTAGTCATAGCGCTAGGGACGGGTTCCTTTCCAGCAATTGCTGTCCTCCTGACTCTGGTTAAGGTCTTCGGAGCCGGCGTACAGCGGTGTTACAGAAGTCAACATGTTGCTCATTGTGCATTTTTTACCAATGTAAAAGTTTTGATTGCTTACTTTCCAAGCTTTTGATGCCAAACCTGTGGCAGCATGCACGCACTTGCGAGTTTGAATCCTCTTGCTCGACCTGAGGTCCCGAGCAGCTCATTTTGTCCTCTTAAGGACAAGCAATCTCGAAAGTATGTCAACAATTCAAGGCTTATAATAAATCAGACAGTACCTTTTCGACAGGGGTGTCAGGAAGGACGCATAACCGTGCGCTGCTTTGCGTCTTATCAAGAGGCACAGCAGCATGAGTTTTCTTGGCAGCATGAGCAGCTTCTTACGGGTCCGCAAGAAGATTTCTCAGGTCCCCGTTCTCCGCCGTCAAACCGAGCTGTTGTCGCAGCGGCGGCCGCCACACGTCGCACCAAGCGCCGGTGGACTCAGCTTGGTCTTGAGAAGCCATTCAATTCTGGCAGCGCTGCGGCACCGGTATCTACGTTTCCAGCTTATGTCCCAGTCACGGCGGCAGCCCTTCCGCGCAGCGTCACGCGCGTGCGGCACGCCGCGATCCCCCCGCCTCCCAAGCCTGCTACCAGCAGCACCACCCTGAGTGACTCGGTCCTTTTACGTTACGAGCGCGATGGTTTTGTCGTGACCCGCCGCCTATTGCAACCCGAGCATCTGGCCGCGCTGCGTGCTGCGTGTGAGGTTGAGGTCTCCGCGCGGCGGCTGGAGTCCTTTCGCCATCGCGTGCGCGTCCTGTGCCCCGGAGTAGACCCCGCGACGTTGACCTCAGAGGCGGAGGTCGAACAGGCGCTCCAGAACCATGCTACGGACGCACTTGGCTTTCTACAGTTCTTCAATCTGCACCGGACCAACCGAGCGGTTTGCCAGGTGAGGGAAGCTGGTGTTGTTGAACTGGGCTGAACTGATTTGGGCCGGGCAAACATTTGCCCTGATGGCACCTAAGCGCATTGGGCGGCGTGCTATTGAAGCTATTGAAAAGGGGCTATAAATTCTGGGTCGTTCCCGGTGGTTGGGGAAGTTGCGCCGGCAGCTGTGGTCCAAGATGTGCGTCGAAGCAGAGACCGCCAAGACAGGAACACTACATAAGCTGGCTCCACCTGCGACCCAGATCAGGGCGGAGTGGAGGTGGAGTAATGCGTGATTGCCTAGCTCGTAACTGGCACGTGCAGAAAATAGGTGCATGGGCGCCCCACGGCGGGCGCGGTCTGGCCGGAAGGGTCAGACAAGGCTTGGACCCAACACCACACGGAGGGCTTGCCATCTGAGCCCTGCGTCAGCCGTTAACCTGCCCAGCACCACAATCCGCCCGCGCCTGTGCCTCCCCAAAACCGATAGGAAGTTCCTAGCAAGGCGGGCGGGCATACATTACTGTTTTTCGGTAATCCGCCACGTGGTCCCAATAATGAGGTGACCATGACGTCTTGCACGCAAACAGGACTGGGAAATTGCCACCAGGAAACCGCCGTCTTGAAAGTTTCCCACCTTTGGTGCCCCGTCTTGTCATCTGATGCAGGTTGCCCTGGGGCCGGAGCTCGCAACGGTTGCTGCTCAGCTGCTGGGTGCTCGCCGTGTGCGAGTGTATCAGGTGAGGGGTCCAAACGTTGCAACGTGTTATGAAGCGAGGCGCCAGGTTGGATTAGGCTGGAAATACCGTGACGACACGGCGGAGCCACACCGCGTGATGTCTCGTCGGTCATTTTGCAGGCCCTGATGCCTCCACGTCAGGCGTGAGCATCTGTTGCTGATTTGCTTTGCCACAGTCCCAGTCTCGACATACCTCTCCTTCACTCTTGTCCTCCAGCATTTGCAGTATCTACCCGCCATCTGGGGTGACGGGCATGGTCTGGCCATGCGAGACGCCGTGCATAGTTGGCGGGATTCAGACAGCAACACTCGTTGCGGTCCGACGTTCTTGCTCCGCCTTCAGCGTCTTTGGAATTAGGTAGCCGTTTTTTTGCGCCTTGCATATGATTCTTCACTCCTCTGCACATGTCGGCGGCTTCCTTTCCAACCCCTGTACTGTCTGTAAAACCCAGGACTGCCTGTTCCTCAAGGAGCCGGGCTTTGCAGAAACCAACTGGCATAGCGACCTGCGTATGGCCCCGCTGGACACCAACGACTTCGTGACCGCCTGGATTCCGCTGCGACCCGTCCGCGGCGCCTGCGGCGGCGGCTCCTCCAAATCTCCACCGGACTCGGGGCTTATGTTTGCGGCAGGCTCACACCGCGATTTTGCGTTGCCTTTTTGGCACAACATGGAGGGTCGCGACTTATCGGACCGGGGATATGCCATGAAGGACACCGGTGGGTGGATGGGTGGAGGCCTGGCTACGTGGGTGATCGTATAGGTGCTGGCTTGGTGATACGGGTAGAGGGGTGCCAGCCTGAGGGCAACGTCGCTGTCTGGTTCATTATTTGACAAACACACGTCTGGGCACATCGTGGCACTTGCCTACTGTTCGCTCTGACACGTCCCCTGTCCACGCTCAGGTCCGATGGAGGTTGGTGACGTCAGCTGGCATCACGGCTGGACGTTGCACTGCGCGGCGCCACAGCCCGTAGGCACGCCGCCACGCCTGGCACTGACGTAAGCTTACGTTGTGGGGCCAGGGAAAGGGCTTGCGCGCATAATGAGGACCGGATGCGTGGTTATTGCTATCTCTGGGGGCCCCCCAAACCCGTGGCATGGGGCTGGGTTTATTGCTGGCCTCATCTAGCAGTCCTCGCTAGGTTGAGGCCTGCTGCCCTCATTGCGCCGCTGGGTGGGTCTGGGTGCCGCTCCGGCCGAGATTGCCGCTTGCAGTCCCATTTGGGTTTGCAGCTCATCATCCATTCCTTTCCGGTCGTTGCTTCTCCGCTTTCCAAAAAAAAACACCGCAGGACAATTGAGCCTTTTCATTGCCCATATCTCTTGCGCGCCCGCTGTCTCCTGCTGGCCTGAGTGTGTATGCGTGTCCGTGTATTGACTTCGTCGGCGGCTCGCCATCGCGGCAGCTGCACCGGGGGTTCCGTTCCTCTTGTCACCAAGCTTCGGCTCTCCTAAAGCTCCCTAAAAGCGAAGCTGCGTGTAGTGCAGAGCATGATCAATTATACTGCGGGGCCGCGCACCGGGTGCGTCGGCAATACATGTGCCTGAGCCCGTCAGGCGCGCGTGTGTGCAAGGACCCGCCACATCGCCGACCAGTCCCGTTATTCTGACATGGATGGCGCGCCAACGCCGCACGTGTATTTCACCGCGGGACACATTCTCTTCCTGTTATGCTTGTTACTTTTAGGTCAGACCCAAACTCAACGCAACGCGATTTCCAGCACTTCCAAAGTGGACGACGGGTTTTCGTTCCTCTTCCCAGTCCATGTTTCTCGGCTGGCACGTTACGATCATTAGGCTTTCTTTAACAGAGTATCTTAAATTATTATTGTTATTATATTAAAAATCTTTAACAGAGTATCTCGCACCCCCATAAGCCTGTATGTATATATGCGCCTCTATATGCCTGAGCATCCCAGGCGCGCACGTGCTTACGCCGGGACCCGTCTCCTGTGACAGATGCCAGTGCGTGTAAATGAGCACTGAGCCTATGCATGTGTGTGTATTTGTGCGCCCCATCCGGGGTCCTGCCCCCGCAGTGTGGCTTTCTTCGCCGACGGCGCTCGGCTGCTGCCGCGCACTTCTGATTCCTCGGTGCGCTCTGAGCTGCTGCATGACGAGGACGCGGAGAGCTACTCCGCCTGGCTGCCTGCACTCGCCAAGGGCAAGGGCCGCGACGGTGCTGTTGCGCGTCACAAGCTCCTGCCGGTGGTATGGCCTCTGGACGCCAACGAGGCAGGCAACTTTCCGCTGTCCTAACCACCTAAGCAGGGCCGTGGGGGCCTTAGCTATGTCTTGCGACAGGAAACCGAGTCCTCCCCTTATATTGTTAGAGAGAAAGGAGGTCCCATATTTCCCTCCGCGGAGGTCAGGGGCATGGGACAGCGGGTGGACGGGCGAGCGAGTGACAGCGTGATCATGGACCAACGCTGACCAGCGGGGAGTTAAGGCCGGTAAGAAGGAATGCCCTTGGCAGCGAGGGTGGATAACCTTTGCGCTGCTGGGGAGCGTGTGCTGCGGTTTTCTGCTAGGTGTGGTGCACGGTCCCAGCTTTAAACTTGTTGCTTAGTAGAAGGGTAGGTGACTGGGCATGCTGGATGGCCTCTTTGATTTGGTTTGGTTTCCGTTGGCTAGTGTGCCTCCCATACGCGGCTGTCGTGCTTTGCTCATAGGGAGCGCTAAGTACGATGCAGACGCAGCCCTACAGGAATCAGGCTGTTAGATACCTAACGAGGTTGGAGTTTTCCGATTTGTATTGCCTAGAAGTTTTGAGCGTGTTTGCTGCCACGATTGTGAAGAGAGGGAAAGAGGAAGTGAGAAAACGAGCTTAGTGACATAATCATCCCCAAGAGGTTGTCTTTCGACAGTTGTGTATCAGGACAGACTAGTGATATCCGCCAGCCTAGCCCAGCAGAGTAGGTAACGTACTTGTGATTAAGGCACAATGCCAACTGTATCAATATTTCATCCAAACCCGCTGCTCCGCCTGCATTTTGTGCATCAGCGGCAAGGGTCTTTTTCTTTTATTGCGATTCGATTCGTTGTTTTTTCCCAAGGTTCCCGCGGGCCATTTACGTTGGAACCGGAAATGGTCAGCGATAACATTGTGATTTGGCCAGCTGGCAGTTGCCATAAGTTGGCATCGTTTCTAGGCTTTAGTGTTGCGTTCTGGCGTTATCACGCTGGCATTCACTAATTTGCATGACGTTGCCTTGAGCACACGACGAACGATAGGGGGATTGATGGAGTGAGAAACAGGAGCTTATCTTAGTGTGCGGTGTGTACGTCAGACAATGGTAAGGACGTGTGGACAGATCAGTGCATGTCACACGGTACGGGGTAAGCATGTTCGTTCTTTCCCCTATCAATCATCGTCAATTGTTACAATAAGGATTTGATCCACTGATATATTACACGGCATCGTATGCATTGTGGCCTTGTCCTCCTTACTATGACGTAAAACTGTTTGTGCTAAAGTAGCATTCCACAACCCCAGTCATGTCCCGGCACTATGTCAATACCTAACGCTGTTGTGCCGTTTAACGGACAGGTAACGCGTAAGCACCTCACCCATTCAAACGGGTAATTGACATTATCGTGCAATCCTAAATAATAATACGACGTCGGTACGACCAAAATTCCTCGTCTGCTCAAGAGGAGCTGCCATTAGCACCCTGCTTTTCGAAGAGCAGGATTTTGCGTTCAGCCTAGAGACAACCCGCGAAAGTGCACACCGTCCGACACTGGTCACCCTCACCCTCCTTTTCCCGAGTCCTAGGGACATCACTTGTCAACATTTTCACAAAGATCCGCACCCAGCGAGCAATAGCCACGTTCAGCAGCACTGGCTTTTCCCCCTAGGCCGTCGACGTACCACTGCTGCCAACTCCCGCGTGATCCCCGCCAGCACCTTCACCAACGGCACCACCACAGCTGCTTGTGCCGCACGCAAACTCTGATGCAGCGCCCCCAGTCCGCCGTGCCGCACATCAGGACCCCATGACGGCGACAGCGCCGTTCCCCCCACCTGTCGCCGCAGCCCCGCTGGCAACGGCACATGCGGCCACACGGTTTCCGCCAGCGACGACCACGCCGCCGACAGCTCGTCCGGCGTGGCTGCATAGCGCCGTACAAGCTCCAGAGAGCCTTGCCGCAGCCGCCGGCCAGGCCAATGCCTTGCCCTCGCCTCCGCCTCCGCCACCGCCCGGTCTGCATCGCTGTCCAGGACAGGGCTAAGGAGAGCGACGGCACTGCTGCGGCCGGTCGCCGTCGTCGCTGGCAGCGAGCTTGGCTGGGAGACGCTGATGATGGTGACCGTGGCCGTTGCCGCGGCGCTAGGACCCATGGTACCTCGAAATGGGGTTAGCTCAGTGACTCGCTCAAAAAGATCCAACTCGTCGTCTTCGTTGACAGCGGTCATGACATCTGATGAGGTCTTGACGGCGGCGGCGGCGGCAGCAGCAGCCGCTGCGGCGTTGACCTGCGGATGCTCCGGCGCCTCCGTCCACTCGAAAAGCCCGAACCTGTGAAGCCGCATGTTCAAGGCCACGGTGCGCAGTGGCGGACGGTGTGGCCCGTTTTACAGGTTTTCTAGGCATGTCAGGAAATTGCCAGAATTGTCGGCTGCGGCATTCGGCAATCAGTTCGGGTCGGTGCGCTGCGCTCTGCAATCCCCGTATATCGCAACTGTGGACTGCCACCCAGCCCGCAATCGCGAAACATCTGCCATGAAGAAAGCCCAATAGCCAACCAAATGCGGCGGGCCACGAAGTAGAACATGCAAGGGAAAGACGCCGACGACCGCTCCATTTTTGCACTATTAAAAAATATAGACGCCATCGACTGCCAAACTTTTCGCCGCAGGAAGTACGGCACACCCACTTCATGTTGTAGCCCAGGTGCCACTCGAAGTTGTCGCACAAGGTCCAGTAGTAGAAGCCGCGCACGTCATGACCGTCCGCCACCGCACGCGCTACCTGGGCGCATGGAGATGGGCGGGTCTCGGTGAGAAAATGGCGCGTCTGGAGGGTCCTAGATGCGCGCGCGTCTCTTCAAATTTTGCGCTATCCTCCCGCCCAGGCCCCCTAGTCCATTCCCTAACCTTGCCCTGCCGCACCCTCACCACCTCTGGTGCCCATAACACCAACTTTCGTAGCGCCTTTTTCGCCTTCTAAAGGAACACTTATTGCTTTTATACAAGCAGCGGATGTAACATGCTGGTGGTGAGTTGCTGAACCCAACGAATACATTCTGAAGTCGGATGGGGTGAACGGAATAGGGTGCCCCTCTAGCAGGGGAGAGCAGGGACTGCCTCGGGAAAGGGGGCCGCTGGTGAAGCTTAACCACCCTGTAACGACATACATACATACACATGCACACATATGACACACACCTGCTGCCAGTAAGCCGCAATCAGGGGCGCTCTCCTGTCATCTCGGCCGTCCGCAATGCCCGTCTCCGTGACGTACAGCGGCAACCCCAGCTCGGCGCTATGGGCAATGGCGTCGTACAGCCCCTCCGGTACGACAGGCCAGCCCATGTCCGTGAGCACCTCCCCTGGACGGCACGTGAACCGCAGCCGCCAGTCCAACACCACTCGTGTGTAATAATTGATACCCAGCCTGAGACGATGAGTGAAAGAAAGGTACAATGAAGACGAATTCCGGAAAGGCTCTCTTTAACAGGTTGAACGGGAGAAGGGTGCAAGGAAAAAGGGAGTACCAAGGAGAAGGGAGAACGAGAATGGGAGGAAGGTGGGATTTAAGAGGAAGGATGTGCGGAAGGTGAGAGGTCACAGTCCCTCACGCCCACACGCCCAGCAACCCACCAGTCACAGGGGGGTCGCCCCTCCGGCTCCTGCACCACCATCTGCCGGCCAGCCGCCCTCAGCCGCCCCAACAGCCGCCACACGAACCGCCCCGTAGCCAGGTATTCGTGCACGAGGTGCCAACCGAAGCAGTGGGTCAGCCAGTCCGCCGTCCAGCGAGACGCGTGACTGAGGGCGCCAGAGCCTGCTGGAACCAAATGTCGGAGGAGGAGGAGGAGGAGGAGGAGGAGGTGCGGCAACACGGTGAATGTGGGTGTGCGGGTGGTCAGGGTATGGGTGGGCAGCGTGCAACAATTAAGTTGGTAGGTTGTTCGGGTGTTCCGGCGGCTGTACGGTTGTACGGATGGTGGTGTGAAAGGACCATTTAAGCTCCATCTGCCTTTTTTCTCATTGGACTCATTCTCACTTACACCCCTACCTACACCCCTGGCAGGTACGGCGTGTGATGCGATCTCGTCTCGTAAGCACACACGCATACACCCATGCATACACGTCCTACCTACCCACCTACCTACCTACCTACTACCTACCTAGCTACCTACCTACATACAAACTATATTTGGTTGGATGCTGGTGGTTGGATGCTGGTGGTGGGTTGCTGAACCCAACGAATACATTCTGAAGTCATATGGGGTGAACGGATTAGGGTGCGCCTCTCGCAGGGGAGAGCAGGGAACTGCTTCGGGAAAGGGGGCCGCTGGTGAAGCTTAACCACCCTGTAACGACATACATACAAACATCCGCACCTACCTTCGGCCTCGAAACGTATTTTCTGGTGCACCAGCCCCACCCGCATCTCCTGCCCGCCGGGCTCCTGCTTGATGGCCCGATAGGCCGCACTGTGCGCTCGGAGCATGTGAAGCAAGACAAGTCCCGCGCCGCGCACCGCGCCGCGCCGCCCGGGCGCATGCACCCCCACTATATGCCCCGTAAAGGCGGCGCATGTGGGTTCGTTGAAGGTGGCGATGAGGCTCAGACCGTGGGCGCGAAAGAGCCGGAAGGCGGTCACGGCCCAGGCCACGAAGTGCCTGTGCCCCGGTTTTTCCATGGAAGGTGATGGTAAAATTTTTTGTTTAGAAGGGCAGGGTGGGGATGAATGCATAACGCAGATATGGCGCCGGTATGTGTGTGTGTGTTGTTATTGTTACAGGGTGGTTAAGCTTCACCAGTGGCCTCCTTCCCGAGGCAATTCCCTGCTCTCCCCTGCTATAGGGGCACCCTAATCCATTCACCCCATCCGACTTCAGAGTGTACTCCTTGAGTTTGGCAACACACCACTAGCATCCAACCAAATCTAGCGGATCAACGACGCGTCAACTTAGTTCCTGGTAAGCTCACAAGTTAGTTTTATCACGTCCTACACCGTCCACAAGATGGGGGGCCACCTCCCATTTCATCACCGCTCACACACACGAGGGGTCGGCAGGCAGATTTGAACCCGGACACTTTCGGCGCAGAAGCCAGGCCTTGTGCGTGTGTGTGTGTGTGTGTGTGTGCACGTGTGTGCTATTTATCTGCGCCATGATAAGGAACAGGCCGAAGTGGGTGCACACATAACCTGTGTATGTGTGTTTTGGTGCTGTGTATATTAAGAACTCGGTGCTGTTTGTATTAAAAAAATATAAAAAGCGGGCCAGAAGGGGCTTTGACAGACGCCGTGTGGTGCCCTGGTTGCTGTCATGCCGTACCTACCTTTCTTCTCCCGCGCCCCACCCCCACTCCACTGGGGCGCTTAACAGTTCTCCCAGTAAGCGGTACGACACGGTTTGCATGCATTGCGTCCCGTTCTTATATGTTAAATTTGGATATTGATAGCCGGCAGTTAACAGTCGATACTTGAAATGACCGCAGCCCCAGTAGCAGGGTATGAGCCCGCAACCGGCAGGGGTGCACGCGCCAACGCCTGTCTATTTTACAATACAAAGGTAAAAAGGAGCAACTATTTTTAAAAATATTATTCCCTCGCTTTTGACTTACGTAATATTTTCTTCGCGCTCAAACCCTCCGAGCGCCTCGAACCACTGAGGATGTACGAAATGGTGCAATGTAACCATGGGCTCTAAGCCCGCCTCCAAGCATCGATCCAGGATGTCTCGGTACCGCTGTACGGCAATCTCATCCACACGGCCGGGGCCGTACGGCATGACTCGCGACCACTCTAAAGAGAGCCGCAAACTGTTGCTGCCTAACTGTCGGGCGCAAGCGATGTCGTCGTAATATCTGTGGATTGGAGCGGAGGTAAAGATGGGAGAGTTCGGAAAAGAGGCTAGAAGGAAATCTGCACGACTTGGGAACAGGTGCAAAGAAAACGGGGTGGAAAGAGAGGACCTGGAGAGGCTTTGAAGAAGGTTTGCTGATTTGGGTGATGAGGAGTTGCTCTGTCGCCTGCATCCATGCTGTGCTGTGTTGAGCTGGGCATTAGGAGCAGCAGGTGCAAATTGCATCGGTGGTGATGTGGCGACGGTGGCGATGATGTGGACATGTATGGCAATGGCGGTGGCAGTGCGCAGCAGCGAAAAGGGGCACCGCGAGGATGTGGGTGCAAACCCAGCAGGGTTTGCCGGGCTAGGTGCTTGAGCCTCTCTTGAGTGGAGGCTCAGCAGGGCGGAAAAAAAACTCCGCGACATGGCGATCACTGTAAGATGACTCTGGGCTTGCAGGACCTCCAAGAGTTTCAACCATGAGCTGGAATATTTTATGAAGTGGTGGGCTATGAGAGTTGACCAACAAAGACTCATTAGGGCGTTCCGGACTCATTCACAGCAAGGCTTGCTAACGGGGAAGCACGTTGTTTTCGAGCGCGGCCAATCAAGCTTTCCAAGATCCGCGATATTTTTGGAGAAAAACTTATAATAAGAACAGCCAAGGGTAAGGCTTGTTGCGGTGATTCTATGTGAGGTTCCAAGAAATGGAACATAAACCTGAAAAAGGCTGTTCCGTCGCCGCTGCAGGTGCTGCGTGAGCAGGTGCAGTTACCTGTTCCAAAAATCAGGTGATGTGTCGATGGCAAGCTGTTTGCTTTTTCCGCGAAGTCGCTCCAACAAGCTGTGGGGCCGACGGGCGAAAGCTGTCCACTGCGATGCCTCATCGGGCGCGTTCTGCCAAACCGATATCGCTGCACCCTTTAGAAAGCGGCGTTCTGCAGGCAGCTCGTCTCGCTTGGTTCCAGCGTCTCGGTCTGTCAACAGAGCAGGGGGAAAATCGTTTATCGTCGCCGGGAATGAAAAGCAGCGGCCATAGTGGCCGATTTTAAGCCCAGTGCACGTGTTGCGATCTGGGTTCCATCTTTTGCCGAAGGACTTGCCTGGATTTATTACTTGTGCGTCGCTTAGCCTCTCGACGGACGATGCCGGCGCTCCGTGGCCTACGCCTCGGCCAGGCGGGGACGGCGAAAACGACATTACGTCCGAGGGCTTCTGCGGCTTTTTAATTAAAAATAAACCTAAACCTTTTTCTGTGCTCACGAAGGATTTAAATACGAAAGGGGTTACATGAATTTACAGTGCCTGGAAAACGTTGCGCGGGGCTCGTTGTACGAGGTTTCGCGCTCCATGGAAGATTTTGGGACGTACGGCAAGGCGGGAAAGGATGCTCTGATGCGGTTTCCCGGCTGTCATTCCATCAGCTATTGGATTGCAAACAATCAAGTTATTGGTTTCCTATCTTGATTTTGCACGAAATCATGGCTAGTAACTCATCCGAAGACGATGTTTGGCGAGTTATCCTGCTCCCAGGTCTGATGCTTGGCGTCATCATGTGCACTATGAAAAGCAAAAGATGACTGTTTGTACTTATGTTGGTGTCAGGACTTGAACGGGGACAGGCGACGACCATCAAAAGTTTCACGCTTCCAGACCCACGGACAGGTACACAGCGGGCTGCAGCCGGATGAAAAACAGCATCAACGGAATTTATTTGGTGCTAGAAGCACTGAAAGTCCCAGTGCAATAGGCTTTGGCCCCAGTTTAAGTGCTCCGAAACCGGCACGAATTGGCAGTCAAACCATGCAATCAGCCTCCTTATCCAGCACAGCGTACAAGCTTTGGGCACAATGCTCTAAATCAAGCGCATTCTGCCTCCTCCTTTTGAGCCAATGCCAAGCGAAGAGGTCTTGTGCAACATTCAATACTGCATTTATCCCCGCTCACCGGCACGCGGCTGCGTGCGCTTTGGATTCCCCACGGCTCCCTCATCTGCTCCCTCGCTCACCTGCTTCTCACTCTGCTCATCGCCAACTGGCTCGCTCGTATTGTTGTTTGGGCTAAGGTCAGTTTGTCTTTTCCTCGGCCTTTACCTCTTAATACTTCATCCTCCCCTGTTCCCCCTGTTCTTCCTGGTAACGCATCCCGGTATTGCAGCCCTGCAACAAGCAACACCGTCCCCTTCTCCCCCTTCTCCCCCTTCTCCCCCGTCTCCCCCTTCTCCCCCTTCTCCCCCGTCTCGGAGATAAACCCGACCACACACGCCCTGCGGCCCTCCCACACGACGTGCATGTGCCCCTAACCTCCCCGCAACTTCGGCCCCGGTCACCCATTCCACCCTCAGCGCGGCCCCAGGGCTTCCTGCTGACCCACGGGTCCCTTTTGGAGGTAAACCGCTTCAAGCAGTCCCACAGCGCTTGGCTCGTGGGGGATCGCCTACTGGCCGGTGGGTGGGTGGTACTCGGTGGGGCCCCCCGATTAGGTGGAGGGGATGCGCACTTAAGCTGTCGACAGTGGGTTCGATACCTGCTTGATCGCCAACACATCTGAATGCAAACCCCGGGGGGCGGCACGGTAGGGGTGATGATGATGATGATGATGATGATGATGATGATGATGATGATGATGATGATTGCGGTGCTGCTGATGCCGCTTCTGTTGCTGATGATAATTTTGAACCTGACTATTGGAACCTCCGAGAAATCTGAACGCCGTTGTTGTCTGCGCGCCATGATGCAGACGGCGGCGTGTTTGTGGCGACCGCGTACGACCCACTGTTCGTACTGCTGCCCCTACTGGACCGCGCAAGGGACAAGGTACGACATGTGGGGCTCTGGCAAGCCGTGGTCGATACACACATATCTTCGCCGCGGATGTCACGGCGAATTTTCCGTGTTGCAGTTCTCGGGGGTTGCGGGTTGGGCGGCGTAACGGACGCAGTGATGGAGACCAGCCCCAAGCGGCAACAGCACTGAGGATGTCAAGGTGGCTGTGGAGTGTGTGTCATGGCACACTGTCCGAGGCATGCGCGCCTTGAGCTCATTATGGCCCAGTTGAGAAGCGGTTTTGCATCACGTGGTATTTTGCCGTACGTAAACTGTAGGATGAGGGCTGTCCAGCGGGCAAGTTTAAGGAGCCAAATGAGCTTCTGTACGACGGAGTCACGCCGGGACTCAACGAGCTGCTGCCGTACGTTCAGGGTAGTGGCGGCACCACTGATCCTAAGCCTGCCGTCGACGCTGCCATTGCCGGTAGCAGCGACAGCAAAGCGGCTGTGCCAGGGTCCTTGGTTTCGGAGCGTGAGCCTGCAGGAGGGGATCATCATCATGGTGATGCAAAGGAGGTGGAGGAGGCGGAGGAGCTGCGGTCCATTCCCTTAGCGACGCTGACCGGCCTGGACCAGCAGCTGGCATGTATATGTGACGTACGTCGGATCGATGACACAACCTACTATCGCCTCAACGAAGATCGGGTGAGTCAGGAAGGAAAATATATTTGGCATTGGGTGAGCCCTGTGGTTGGCCTGGGGGGGTGGATGGGTGGGGATGGGTACATAGGCGTTGGTAGGGTTGATGTGAACCAACATAACCGTATGGAGAGCTTCAGATGTTTACGAGCACCTCCGCTGCCAATGTCAAAACCCTAAGCCCCCATATACCCGGTCCATGAAACCGCATTTACCTTCCCACCCTTAACCCGCAATCCGTGCGTGCCAACCCCCAACTGGCAACTGCCAACCGGGCGGAAGGTGCTTGCTTGGCTGTGCTGCAAGTTCCGCCGCATGCGGGCGGCGCTGTCAGCGCAGCTTATGGGCATGGACGCACCCCATGCGGCTGCCTACGTGTTGGGCTTCCTGTCGGAGTACGTAGGTGACCCGTGGGTCCGTCGCGTGGCGAAACAAGTGGGCATCAGCGAGGAGCTGCTCGCTGGTGGGATGGGGAGAGGGCGGGAGAGAACGAGGTGCCCCTCGGTTTGGGCCCGCGTATGGACACGGCAGAAAGCATACTTGCTCGTAGCGCTAGCGAGGGGGTGCGTTGGGCGGATGGATACACTCCATCAGGTTGCAAGCGACAAGTACACAACGTGCGTCAACGCTAAAGTGATGAGGCATTAATGGAGGGCTTCGTTAGTGTTGAAGGTCCATAGGTCCATCAATTAAAGGGGGGGGCCCTCTTCATTCCGTTCCGGGCCCGCCCGAGGATCCACACGCTCCGTTTCGTTTCCGTGAGAAGTCTTCGTTACAACAAAAAGGAAGAACTACCTGCAAGCTATAAAAGCAGTCTTCGTAATAGGATAGGGCCGGGTGTGGGAAAGCACTACCCCGAAGTAAGCGACAGAACTAGGCCTGCAGACCAACCTACGCGTCAGCGCAGCACCCAAACATAGCTCTACGCAAACCCGAGGTAACCAGCACAGCCCCTCGCAATGTGTAGTAGCTGGCCCAGCTGAAAAGGCCTCTCGAGATGCTGGTGGACGCGCTTAGCGCGTGTTTGCAGTTGTTCACGGTGCCGTACGGTGTACCGGCTACTACAAAACGACACATAACCACGCCAGTCCGTACATCGTATAGTGGCAATCCGACTTCACAGAAAACCTTGGTTTTTTAGATACATCGCTTAGAAAACTATCAGTTCTGTTCAGTTCCGGCAGGCCTCCCTTGCCATTTGGCGACTCGTAGCCTATTTGCGAACACTGGCACCACGCATCCACCATCGCCTGTGCGAATATGGTCTCCACTGGCCCCGGGCCCTTTTTTAATCCTATAAGTATCCCAATCTACTTTCCGTGTCCCTATGATTTGTTGCCTCTGCAGGCAACACGACACTGAGGCTAATGGACCCAAACAACATGCAGGCCGCGACCCGGCTGGCGGCGCCGCCGCCACCGCCGCTGGCGGGTGAGCCGCCGGAGAAGAAACAGAAAACCCAGGACCTGCGGGTCGCTGCCAAGCAGGCTGCCCTAGCCAAGCAGGCTGTTGGCACGAAAAAACTCACGTCTTTCTTCACCAAGAAGTAACGGCTACCGCAAGAGGACAGCCTAGCAACCTAGTACTCGCGTAACCGATGAGGATGAGCAGCGCTGGGCTGTGCGCTATGTGCGCTATATACGCATCGAATTGAGCGAGTAAAACGGTGCGACCGCGACGCAAAACAGAAGCATTGCGTGCTGGCAGCGAGGAGCACTGAGTGCTGACGACGCGCGGCGGCGACGGGAGGAAAGAGGGGCATGTGTGGAGCCCCTCGGGGGCAGAATGGCTGTGATCGTCTCCGGATCCCTGGAGCTGGGTTGGTTCGTTGAGGTGGCTTGGAGTGGCAGGTTTGTAGAATTTACTGGACGGAAGGTAATGGACGGACAACTGGCGACGTGCTCGCTGCGGCTGCAGCTGCGGCCGCAGCGACCACTAGCTGGTGGCCCATCAATGCGGATTCCTCTGCACGAAGTACGAACACGTACGCTAGTGCTGAAGTATAGCAAGCAGTTGGTTACAGAGTCCAGTAAGGGAGAGGCGGATACATGACCCAAACTACCCCTTATGTCCTGACGAGGCAAGCTGGTTACGTTGAGGCGTTGTGATGGGCACGATCTCGTTGCTTGGGGAGAGGGCCAAAACGAGGAAGAATGCACGTTGCAACCATGGCCGGTTCTGCGATAAAAGAGGGACTGCAGTACAAGCCCATAATAGAGCAAACACGGACCAGGGACGCACAGGCCAATGAGCTGCTGCTGCAGCTGTATCATAACTCAGCCAGACACATGTACCCCTGGCCATTCAAAGTTTTCACACGTACAGCAAATCTTTGAGGCACCCCCCATAACGGGTATTCATGGATAGCTTGGATCAAAACGATGCTCTTCATGCTTATAGAAGCTATGGAGGCATCCCGGAGGATGGATGGCCTAGCCAATTTGGGAGACATCGTTCTCCTGGTCTCGCCTATTGCTCCCCAGTGGAAGGGGCTCTGGGACCGACCACAATGATGAGTTTAAACTGTGCCTTAAACGTTGCTTTAAAAACGTTTTCTCCTTAAAGACGCCTGCACTGGTCGTTGCACCCGTCTGAGTGGCGCAATAAATGTTGTTCTGGGTTAATGATCATTTGGCGGCGGAAAAGAGGCCACCGTATGGCATCCGGGGTGGCATACAGCATGCACACGTGCCCAAGACCCAACAACACGGCAGCACGCCCCCCACCAGGTTACGCCCTTGTACTGAATCTGTCTGTGCAACACAGCGCATGGCGGACAGCGCATCCAAGCCATATCAAAGTTTCGTTGAAGACTGGGGTCCCAGGCACACAGGCTCTCAGAATCCCAGCATCCCAGGAGGGCATGTTCGAAGCTTGTTTGAAGGATAGCGCAGTCCAGCTGCAGATTTTATTAATGAGGCAGGTAGTGGGGGCGGCACGGCCATCCCACCGGTTGTTGTATGCGGAGCTGGCTGAACTCCGCTTACAGTATTACATGGTGAAGCAGATCCTCCGTTTCTGGAACCGCCTTCAAAGGCAAGTGGGGTCCATTGCTCATGCAGTTTAATGGCAGGAGATAACCGATGCTTTGACCAACCCGGAATGGGAGGGTTGGGGAACCTCAATGTTACGACTGTTTTCCTTCTTGGAGTGCAATATTTGGAGCGGAATACCACAACAAAACACGGGGGTAAAGGAGCGTGTTGACTGGTGGTTGAGTAGACCTCTCCCTGAAGGAGCGGTGATAACGGCACTAAGGGAGCGTTTGATGAGCGGCTGAGACCCTGCGCGTCTGACTGTCTTGCCAGAGGAGTATCCATCAGATGGGAAGCAATCGGGAGTGCAACTGGAAAAGTATAAGCACTCGATGGGGCTGCCCTTTTCGGGAGCCGCAGCCGTCATGTGGCCAACACATGCTAAGGTTTTCATTCCTCGTTTAGCACATCGTAAGCTAATGCAGTTTCTTTTATGTTGCTGGGCTTTGGAGGCAAACAGAGCACGAAGGGGCAACTACCATGTCCCCAGGGGGCAGCGGTTTTGCCGCTGTTGTGGTACTAATAGCCAAATCGAGGATGAAAAACACGTGTTATTGGAATGCCCAGCCTATTATGATATTCGTGCGGAAAAGGGAATCCATCATCAACAGAGCATGTTGGAGGCCATGAAATGGCAACCAGTACGTCTGGCGAGGATGTTGGAACGTATGTGGGCTCACCGCAACTCAGTTATCCCCTTTGGGCGCTATTGTGGGCTGATGTGCGGTGTTTCCTGTTCTCCGTGGATTTTAGGCGTATAGATATTGCCCTTGGGCCTTCGGCTCGTTTGGGTAGTTTTACAGGTATGGGGTCACGCACCCCCAACCATGTAACACACACACACACACACACACACACACACACACACACACACACACACACACACACACACACACACACTCACAGACACCTACACGCACGCACACACACACAGACATACACACACACACATACACACACACACAGAGGTGGCTGTGTGGTCCAAGTCAGGCCCCAATCCGCCAGATAAATCTGCTCCTAAATCTAATTGACTTGCTGCCTGCTAGGTTTAGCTTTGTTTACTTTTCATGCATTCGCTGGCGGCAACCGCTTGCATCGGCGTGTGCATTGTGCATTGCGTCGCACTATACATAAGAAGATTATAAAGTTCACTTTACTATATGCACAGGTAACGGCTACGTAAATGGGCTTATCTGGACGCAGTTTGCATGCCACGCTTTTTGCTTGCGCAAGGAATCTCTGCGCGCGCTCCACGTCCCCGCGCACCGCGAGCACCAGGATAAACTACACAGAAATGTCTTTTGTTTCGTGCAAAAATATGTTGGTATGTGCTGGTATCTGTGGGAGCCAAGCTGTGCCGGACGGTCGTCCGTCCGGCAGACCGTCCGCCATGGGCGGTCCCAGCGTCCGCCAAGGGGGGTATATGAACCACACCTGCTCGCTTTAGCATGGACCGATTCGAATATTTGATCAGGAGGAAAAACACGTTTTTCCTTATATTTTATTAAAATCCCTGAAAAACCCGTAAGCCCTCATCATGCCATTTGCCAAGTGAAAGGCGGCCTACAATAAAACCCAATCACGGACGGACTCCTCTCCCCCGGGCTACTGTAACGTGCAAGAGCAGTTACGTATCTCTGGAAGTTTCTCTTCAAAGGGGTTCAGGTAGCTATTCTCAAGACTTTCCTTTTCACGACGGACGTCATGCAATAGTACGGGTCGTACACTGGATGGCTACATCTTCGCTGGTGTATCGCATCCGGTGTCTTTTGACACCACCTTGACTGGTTGTGATAAAGGACTAACGTTGCATTGGCATCGAGACGGTTAAATTTTTCTTTCTTGGGTGACGGCGTTGACGGCCGGATCAACGGATGCTCCAGTATTCATTCTGGGTGAAGATGTGGAGACGAAGAAAGTGGAAGAAGCGTGGGCAAAGCGGATCGGCGATATAACGCAAAGAATGGTCGCAAGAGCATAATCCCAAGGAAGAAAAATTTAACCGTCTCGATGCCAATGCAACGTTAATCTTTATCACAACCAGTCAAGGTGGTGTCAAAAGACACCGGATGCGATACACCAGATAGCCATCAACCACTTCTGGGGGATTTTTGCTTCCTTCCTGTGGGCTACAGCGCGTTGGCGTCCTCTGCTTGCAGGCATGAAAAAGCTTTACGAGTTCCATGTGGGGTATCACCTGTTTTCTGTGTCAACGGGAAAAGGTTAAATGCCTCGTGTGCTGGGAGTTTCCTGGCCGATGGAGTTCTGGTATGATGCTTCTGTCGAGTCTCCTTCGGATTCGGCTGTTTCTGCTGCAACAACCGTTCCCTTTTCGGTGTCTTCCAGTTTGGCTATGCAGTTCGCAGGTTCTGTTTGCCAACAGGAGGCGACCATCCTGATTTACTCTGGCAGTCAAGCCGCTCATTTAGTCAGCGCAGGTTTTGCACGGCGCCTGGGCTTGGTGGTGAAGCCGCCTGACGGTTCGACTGCAGCACCTAAGATCGTCGTGGGTATTGGACAGCATGTTCCTTTAGTAGGCTTTGCTGATGTGCCTGTTCGTGTACAGGGCTATAAGGCTCGTCTGCAGTGCGCTGTCGTTGAGTTCAGTCCCGCGTTCGACCTTAATTTGGGTGAACCTTGGATTGCGGATACTGGGGCTATCCTTGAGTTATGCAATAATGTTGCTCGCTTAACTCGTGTATTGAGTCGCCCTGTTTTGCATAACGGTCCTTTTTGTGCCTATTCCTAAGCCATAACGGTCCCTTTTCCTAAGCTATACGGTCCAGACATCAGCAAACGGGGTATTTCTGGTTTCGGGAAAGGTTATATTTCTGTCTTCCAACACAATGGCTACATTTCTGTCTTCCAACACAATCATTGACGGTTTCTGGCCGTGTAACGCCTTTCCTATACGGCGTATGATCCTATTTCTGCAAGCCGGCCGGCTTCGGGAACTCTATTTCTGTTTTCGGGAGTTTCGGTACGACCCGAAACTCCCGAAGCGTTTGCCGATGACTGATACGGTCCCTTTTTATGCCTATTCCTAAGCCATCTATGTTTTCCCCTGAAGTCCCGGATGCAGTTTCGCATTGTTCACTTGCGCAGGCTATGGAAAAGAGTGACACTTTCTACTTATGTCTCGTCTCGGCTGCAGATCCTGTTTCGGATGCTGTAGATTCGCCGGGGGAATAGTCGTCAATTCCGCCATCGCATTCGTCTGTTTCCGCTTTCGCGCAGAAGGTTAGTGACGTCGTTCGCAGCGAGTCACCTGTGGATTTGCGACTTAAGGCTTTGTTGCTGGAAAAAGAGCGTTTATTTTCAGACCAGTTGCCTGCTTCGTTACCTCCTGATCGTAATTTGCCGCCTGTTGTTCCGAACGGGTCGAGTGCAGCGCCGTCCGGTGCTCGTCCACCTGCTGAACGCATGTTTCGCTATTTGCGTCCTGAGCAAGAGGAAATTCAAAGGCAAATTTCGGATCTTTTGGAAAAGGGTTTTATCGAACCTTCGTGTTCGCCCTTTGGTGCGCCATTCTTGTTCGTTAAGAAGAAGGATGGCACTTTACGCATGTGTGCTGGCTACCCCGCAGCCTAAAATGGCTATCCGTTACCTCGTATAGATGATTTGTTGGATCGATTGCGAGGTGCGACGGTTTTCAGCTCACTCGATTTAACGCAGGGTTATCACCAGTAACGGTTAAATCCAAGCGATGTGGAACGTACCGCGTTTCGCACTCCTTTCGGGCATTATCAGTACAAAGTGATGCCTATTGGCCTTACTAATGCTCCTGCTGTCTTCCAGTCTGCCATGAATCAAGCCTTGCAGGGTTTGACATTCTTCATCTTCTCGAAGACCGCCGATGAACACGTTGAACATCTGCGTGCAGTGCTTGAACGTCTGGAGCAACGTCAGTTCTACTGTAAGCTGTCCAAGTGCGAGTTGTTCAAACCGTCCGTTTCTTTTTGGGGGCATATCGTATTGGCCGACGGTGTACGGCCCGATTCTCAGAAGACTGCTGATCTGGATCTGGATTGTATGACTGATCTGCCGCCCGACCCTGATGGCAATACCTCGGTTTATGTGTTTTTGGCCAAGCTCACCAAGATGGTGCGGTTTGTGCCCTGCAAAGCCTCTGTTGACTCTGTCAAAGCGGCTTAGGTTTTCGTCAACACCGTCGTGAGTTCGTATGGTGTTCCGTCGAGCTCCTCAGACTACTCGTCACGGCCGTGTGATCAAGGAGCCTTCGCACTTCAATGCTTTTCTCAACCACTTGTCTGTCACCAGCGGGGTTCCGGAATCCCTGCTTTCTCCTCGCGTGTGGCGGTGAAGACAAGATTGGCTGGCTGCCGGGAGGACAAGCCATTTAGGGGGGGAATGATGCAACGTGCAAGAGCAGTTACGTATCTCTGGAAGTTTCTCTTCAAAGGGGTTCAGGTAGCTATTCTCAAGACTTTCCTTTTTACGACGTCGTGCAGTAGTACAGGTCGTACACTGGATGGCTACATCTTCGCTGGTGTATCGCATCCGGTGTCTTTTGACACCACCTTGACTGGTTGTGGAAAAGGATTAACGTTTCAGCTACGGTCTTGGGGAATTCGTACCAAGCATTGCAGAATGGTAAACTGCAGTTGAGATCTGAAAACCGTTGCATTACCTCTTTCTTCCTTCTCCCTCTCTCTTTCCACGTCTAGTTATATGTAGGCTAAAGACGCGGAAAGGCGAACCAGAATGAACCAGTACGTACCAAGCAGCAGCACCAACCAGCCGACTATGGACGACCGTATGCCGCGGCGCATCAGCACGTAGGCAACGAGACGGGTATTGTGACCTGGTGCAAACCCACTAAACTACCTCCGGAATCAGAACCTGATGCTCCTTTTTCAATGATCGACTCAACGACGCTCCAACACATCCATGATAATCTCATGGGCCACCAGTCTGGACCTCCGTTGAGATATGGATTTCTTAATTGCCGATATCCTGCGAAATGCGCCGTAATAATAAGCAGGAGGCGAATTTAGCGCTTTCAAGCTGCTACAGTGGCGGCGCGGGCCCTCTTCCAGCCGCCGCCGGCAAGGAGAGATTTATTTTTCGTCATGCAAGCATTTATGCAGTTTCGTGAAGGCATTCACTTGCAGATTCGGCATCCATCAACCAGAAACCCTCATCACAACGGGACACAGGCATGCTTCCCTGCTAACGCTCACACACAGCAGACGTGCAAACACATGCAGTACATCAGAGCGCCCGAGAAAAGCAAGGCCGGGAAAACGGCGCGAACACTCAGTCACCGCTCGTCGGGGAGATTGCCCAGGCCGTCAACATTTCAAAAGCAACTTCTCTGGCAGTCTGGGTACAGACTGGCTCCGGACAATCCTTCATTGCGTGATCCTGATTACCCTTGCTCTTGCTATATCCTGTACTTACAACACTTACAGCGCTTCTATAGGCCGGACTCATGTCACTCCCGCCCTAAAGGTAAAGCCAAGTTGAAGCTCTTGCATTCGGTGAAGAAACAACGAGCAACAGTGCGACAACGTTACAGATGACAACGCACGCGGGATGTGGATGGAGCAAGAGCCGCCTACTACGCCGGTTGACAGCGACAGGAAACCTCGAGATAAAGCCCAATGCCGCGACTTTGCAGACTAACCAAGTCAGGAGTGATCACGGAGTGTTTTGAGGATAAACCAAAGCCAGCGCCTTCCGGCGCCAGAGGCGAAACAAACTGAATATGCCACGGAAAAATCCCTTTGGCGTTAATTGACAGTACTGTTAACCATTGAAATATTGCTAAGATACCCCCAACGCGCGCAAACGAAACTTCCGCCACCGCTGTGTTGTGCATGCCGCGCGGATTGATGCAGGCTTTTCAGGGTGATGGTGCCAAGAATGCCGAAAGATATCACCAGTAAACGTGCGCATAGCTCAATCTAGGTATACAAAAAAAACGTCGTTTAAGAGCAAATAGTGCGTAACTTATTGCAAAGGTCGAAAGCTCAATAACGCGGAACGGCGAACCGGAAACGACCGTTTAGCGAATAAAGGCACCTCACACCAGCAGCCCCGATTGCTTTAACCGTATGAATTTCAGAATTGGACAGAGAACTTGGTTTTGAGCTTGAGGGAGTGGAGAGCGGAAAGCGCAAAAGCAGAGAAAACCGCAGAAATAAAACAATGCCAGATGAGATTGGGTCATGACACACGGAAATGCTTAATGTAGATGATCCAATCCTGCAGCCGTACTGCATGAACAACACTTTCAAACAATACCACACAATATCCCGATAGAAAGGAAGGTAAGAGTTCTCTGGGCGCTGGGGAAAACCGCAGGCCTGTGCACCTTGCTCCAAAGCGTGTATGCTTCTTCGAGTTCTGTCCCTCACTCTTTCCTTTCCCTCACTTTCCGATTCTCCCTCGCCTAATAAACTATCCCTGGTTACCCTTTGTAGGCCCAGGCGTTCAAAAGTGCCTCCATATATGATTCATACGCATACAAAATTTTGTATGCGTATGTGTTTTTAAAGACACATCATAGCATTGCAACTGCTATCCTCGCAGCACAAAGGAACAACTCGGCAGCCACCCGCCACTCTGTCAATGTCAGTCCGTCCGTCAGTCAGCCTGTCTGTCTGTATATCCCCTGCCTATAAGCTTTTAGTCATTCCTCCCTCAGGCCAACGAATGCGTGGCCCCCCTCCGAGGATAGCATCCATCCTGCCACACACCGCCGTCACGCCAAAAGTTGAAAAGCCCTAGAAGCGCCTCGAACAAACATCTCAACGACAATTTCACCAGCTGACCCCCCTCCTGCCCTGACTCCGCTCCACCTTTCCCTCAAGCATCTCTCGTTCCTCTGCGCTCTCAGCCACCGGCACTGCTTCTCATTCATCTCCTTGTTCGTTCTTCGTCTTCTTCTTCTTCTTCACGCTCACTTCACGCAAAACAACCCGCTCCGGCTAACCACATCCACAATGCCCTTTTATCCCTCAGGTGCTCTCCTTCCCACGCGCGCACTCCTTTCCAAACACGTCCACACACCCACACCACACACCCGCAAACCGGGGAGAGGGTTCATCCACTTGCCACCATCACAACTCGCAGTGCACCTCTTCCTGCTGATAATGCTGCTGCTGCTGTGCTTGCTGCTAATCTGTCATTATTACTTCTGTTCTTATGCAGAGCCCGAAGTCACAGTACGGCCGCAGGCACACCCGACGGCCACCCGACGGTCCAAAATGGCCCCGATTTCAGCGGTCGCGATCGACGCATGCGACCGTGATAGCTGCAAATGACTACGATGAGGAAAATGATTACGATAACTGCGCAGAAGAATACTTCTTATACATATGTGCACCTGCACATAGACACAAATGCAGGAATGTGCATTAGACCGCTAGCCCGCCACCCCACCAGCCCGCCACCTTCTATTCCCCCACGCGAATGATACCCTCCCTTTCCGCACCCGCGAAGTCATCACAGCCAGGATCTGCCCCTCCGCCCCGTCCTGAAGCCGCAAAGATTACGCCAACGCCAATGTCACCGCCAACGCCGCCACCGCCAGGCCCCTCGCTGCCGCCGCCAACGGCAGAAGTCTCCGTACTGCTGTGCGGCAGCCGCGACAGGTCCCGCGCCGTTCCCAAGCCTGGCGCCGCGGCCAATAGCCCTGCCGCCGCGGCGGCCAGAGGCGAGGGCAGCGGAACCGACCCCTTCCACTTGATCAACGTTTCTGAGCCGCCGCCGGTGGTGGTAGTGGTGGTGGTGGTGCTCGTGCTGATGAAGGAGGTGCGATCCAAAGAGCTGCCGCCGCCGCCACCACCAAATGGCCTAGGTGCCGTATCGGAGAGACCCGACACGGACGACATGAAGGGACTCGTAGGGCCCCGAAGGCAGCTGGAGATGTCCGTCGCCGGGCTGCTCATTCGGTGGCATGGGAGGGCACCAGAGTTGGAGATGGTGGTGAAGGCTGGGGAGTCGCGGTCCACCTCGAGTACGGCGGATTGTACGGATAGCCTGGCGAAGGCGTCCTGAAGGCAGGCTGCCTGCTCAGCCGGTGCAATCAAATAGGTCTGCGGGGTGGGTTGGGGGGGTGGATGTGAGATGCGGATGGGTGGGTGGTTCCGTCAAACACCCACACCCAGCCTCGCACTCCATCCAGACGTTGTTGCAGCAACACACGTGCGGTCAAGTAGCATGCTGCACAACCGCAAACTCGTCCCCCCTCGCCCACCCATCCAGGGTTTTACACACCGCCCTCACACCGCCACCCAAGTCGCCTAAATCCCCCAAAGCTCGGTATTCCTGGAGGAGCACCCGGGTTGGGTCACCGTAGCTCTCTAGACTCTATCATCTCTATCCTCTTAGCTGTCTCACCCCCTCCCCCCCCGTTCCTTTCCCAGGGTTGCGAATACATCCGACACGGAGATTCTCCATTTCCTTACCCGGGAATTATTCCCTCACATCTCAGTTACCAGCGCTGTTTTGAGCGCCGGCAGTTTTCTTGGTGGTTTTCTTAGGGTTCTTTTCATTTTGCTGGGTACAGAGCTGGGTACAGAGCTGGGTACAGAGCTGGGTACAGAGCTGGGTACAGAGCTGGGTACAGAGCTGGGTACAGAGCTGGGTACAGAGCTGGGTACAGAGCTGGGTACAGAGCTGGGTACAGAGCTGGGTACAGAGCTGGGTACAGAGCTGGGTACAGAGCTGGGTACAGAGCTGGGTACAGTTCCCAGGTCTCACCCCATTCCGCATACAGATCTTGGAGACTCACCCGCATCATGCCCTTGCCCTTTACACTGATGTTGCCCCGCTCCCGAATCGCAAAGGCCGCCTTGTTCTTGAGACAGGAGTAGCAGGCGTCGCTGATGTGGATCTGTCCCGGCAGCCCGTGGCTCTCCATGCGGGACGCCTGCGGGCCCCTCGTGGTGGGGGGGAGGGGGGAAGGGGGGAAAGATGAACCACAAACGAGTGAAGCTGCTGCCAAGGAAAGGAGGGGAAGGGGGGAAAGACGAACCACGAGCGAGTGAAGCTGCTGCCAAGGGGGAGGGGGGAAGGGGGGAAAGATGAACCACGAGCGAGTGAAGCTGCTGCCAAGGAAAGGAGGGGAAGGGGGGAAGGATGAAGAGGAATAAATACCCAACATTTCAAATCAGTGCGTGGGGATGTACGGACTCTTAATCTGGCAACCACAGGCACCTCCGAAACCTAACCCACAATGTCCCCGCCCTACCGTGTTGACCGTGTCTCCGAAGAGGCAAAATCTCGGCATCTTCTTGCCGACAACTCCAGCCACCACAGGCCCCGAGTGCATCCCCACCCGTATACGAACGCTCTCTCCTAGAGTGCACCGCACTTGACGCGCCTCCTGATGCATACGTACGGCAAATTCCAGCAGCCGGTCCGCATGGTTGGGGCAGGGGGTGGTGACGTTGGCCACGACCATGTAGGCGTCCTGGGAGTCCACGATGTTTTCGAGAGGCAGGGATGTCGGACATATGAATATAATAAGCAAAATATGTTTGTAGACGGAAGAGAGGAGTGTATGCACATAAGCAAAATGAAAACAATCTATTCGTGAATTGACGGAAACCGGCCGGGATCAGGTACCGGCTAAACCCGCGTTCGAGCCCGCGAACCTGCGAAAACTCCCCAGGCCCTGCTTAATCCCAAATCTTGCACTTCCAGTAATGAACATTACCAGCCATGTTGCACATCACGCCGGGGCCCCGCCCTCCCCTCTCCCGTCTCCATTACCCCACTCACCCCAATCGTTTCCACTTTGTACAGCTCCGGATACTGCTCTATGGCCGTATCGAAATGGTGGTACAGCTCGTCCAGAAGGGAGCATACCTCCAGGGGGGAACAGCGGGCGGCGATCTCCGTAAACCCTGGGGGAAGAGGGGGAGTAAGGGATCTTTAGGGGGTTTTCATAAATGACCAACCGATAAACAAACAGACAGACAGACAGACAGACAGGCGGGCAGAGTCAAGCTCTGGCCCAGTTGGCCCCAGGAGTCGCACACGTTAGGGGCCCAAGACGTCCTCCTAGTCTCCTCCTAGCCAGAGGCGGCCAGACGGACGTGCCAGTGGGAGACAGCCGGCGGAGAGGGGCAGGGAAAGAGGGAGGGACGCAGGCAGACAGGCAGGCACGCAGGAGTATGGCTCTAGTAGCACCTCCCCCCATACGGCAACTCATCGCGACTCTCACGAGTCCCCTCCCTTCAAGAACACAAACCGCGTGTGTTGTCGCTACTCACCTACAATGTCGCTGAACAGGATGGTGGCCTAGGGGTGTTGTGAGGGGAAGGAGGAAAGAGGAGGGAAACAAGGGTTGACAGGGGGGGAAAAGAGCAAGCAAGAGGCGCCTAAAAGGCATCCTAAGGGCCAGATGAGTTGGAAGGGGGGAAGTGGGCTTCACAAAGCAGCAGGCATCAGGTAACAGACAGGTCGGGGAAAGCGAGGCAGGTAGCAGCAGCCCGCAATCAAGGCAAGATACACTCGCAGCCGCACGCCCCAGCCCTAAAACCCCATCCGTGCCACTCACCATCCCCCACACCCCGCCCCCGCTGCACCAAACCCCCGCTGCTCAGCCGCACCTCAGGGTGTTCGCTAGCGGGCATCTTTGCTCCGCTTTTTAGTACTGTGGCCACCTGCCGGGGCAACATCTGGTACAGCAGTTGGTCAGACCGCTCCCGCTCCTGCTCCAACCAGTGGGTCATATCACACAGACTGCTGTTCACTTTCTGAGGGAAGGAAGGGAAGGAAGAGAGGGAGGGATGGGAGGGCACGAGAGAGGTGGCGGTTGGGGACGGAAGGCAACAAGGGAACGCGATGGGGAGTGAGCAGACGTTCAGCCAATAAAAAACAAAACATGAAAAATAACCGCCCTTAACATTAACAAGCTAAAATATTACAAATGGAAAGAGACCGGAAATTAACAAATTCCAATGAAATATTTGTCCACGAAAGACTAAAAGATATTAGCTACCTTGAGTTCCAATGTGAGCGCCTCAAATCGCTCCTTCAGTTGCGCCTCCGCCTGCCGCTGCTCAGCCAGCAACACAAAGTCCCGATTGATGTCGTGGAGGGGAATGTCGGAAAGAAACAGCCGCTGGTCACGCATGTCGTCCAGGCCAGACAGACGGACCGTACCCAGGAACAGCAAGCCCTCTCCGGCGCCGCCGTCGGCTGCGGCAGCAGCGGCAGCCGCAGCAGCGAAAGGGCAGCCACCGCCGCCGCCGCCGCCGCAGCCCCCGCCGGAGGATGACGAACAGTGGGGTGGTAGCAGCGGCACCGGCAGCATTTGCCCCTTGACCTCCAAACCCGTTGCCTTGGCTTTCAGCAAAAATGCGTTGTTGAGCTCCGAAATGATGGTGTCGTACTCTAGGGAAATGTACGGATGACGTAGCTGCGGCGGCGGCGGGAGATGGTCGTGATGAAAACTGGGATGGAGGGAATAAACCTGGGGAGGTGTTAGTCGGAAGTAGAGGAGCCCGGGGCCACCGGGCCACGTCTCCCCAGTCGCCCCTTCGGGATCCTAAAAGCACGATCCTAAACAGAGCTAAAACATAGCCATTGCTGACACACATCTGAATTAGAGTCCCACCTGACCCACCTGACCCACCTAAAACACACAGAAAACCCACCTGAAACGTATCCGCCAGATGCGTCCCCGCGGTCAAGTCGGGAAATAGGCGCATGAGTGCTGCCCCCGCCTGCACCACGAAGCACTGCCGGTCTAGCAGGAGGTGGAAGGGGAAGAGCGAGTAGAAGGTGTCTGGACACACAGTGAAGCGGTGGGGGGAGAGGGGGGAGGGGGGCAGGGGGCCTCCTTCGGCCGCAGGTGCTGCAGGTTGCCAGTGACTGAGGGCCTCCTGGTAGGGGTAGCTGGGGGGGGGAGGGGGAGGGAGCGGAGACAGAGGGGGGTGAGGAGGGACAGCCGGTAGGGGGGTGGGAGCATGCAGTTAGGTGGAGGAAGGCACACACACCTGCAACATCTTCAACCTTACGTCTCCCGGCTCAGGCACACGCATGCACAGGCGTGCATGCGGAGGCATGTATATGCACAAAGATGTGTCCCGTTGACACACACACACACACACACACACACACACAGGGCAGACACACACAGGAAAGCTGAACAACGGCATTAGTGCATTCAGTCAAAAGGACACCTCGGGACTAAGTCTTGCTCGGGCAGGATGCCGATTCTTGCCGAGTCCGCGGTTTTGACCCTCTCCTACGGCTTTAGGAGATTAGCTGGCTGGTGTGATTCTTCGAAGGCCCAATTTTTCGAATATATTTATTTTGAAACAAACCATATATAATGCTTTGGGAAAATAAAAACTAAATTTCATAAATTTTCACAAAAAATATTTCTGCTATTTAAGGTAGCCACGCTATTCCTGGGGGCCCTCTCCCCCCTCCCCCCTCAGATTACTTACGTCACTAAAAACACCTCATGATCCTCGCTGCCGTCGTCCCGCCCTCTCAGCAGTTTCACCCCCAGGCGGTCCCCCAGGCCCCAGTACCGCTCCGCCAGGCCCCGCAGCACCCCGACCACAATGGGCCCCAGCGCCGGACGGTTGCTGTGGTAGTGGAGCTCCAGGGACTCCGGGCCCACCCCGGTGCACTTGAAGGCCGGAGCTGACATGGCGGGAAAACTCATCGTGAGGTGCAGATGCAGGTTATTCAAGGACTGCGGCGATGGGAGGAGGGACGAAGGACAGGACGAAGGTTGTGGGGGGAAGGGACGAAGGGCAGGACGAAGGTTGTGGGGGGAGGGACAAAGGGCAGGACGAAGGTTGTGGGGGAAGGGACAAAGGGCAGGACGAAGGTTGTGGGGGGAGGACGGGAAGGAGGGGCCTTCTGCTACTCTTTCTTCCCTACTTTTCCTGTTGTCTACCCAGACCTTGGTAAATTTGTACTCGTCAGGCTGGCACCACCTAGCGAGACCAACTGGGCCTAGGTCATGAACCCTCTATTTCTAGTGGCCTGGCTGCTGTTTTTCTTAAGGTTATGTTACGTAGCGACATGAGCTGGACCCTAACACGGGTGTTAGGTTATCGATTAATAAAAGCATCTGCACCTTGGCCGTTCCCTTCACGCACCGCTCCAGGGGGTTTTCCCTTAGGCATCACCGGGCTAATCCACCCGGTCCCAAACCCCCCGACCAAAACACCCCGAAGTGCAGGGCCAAGCACTACCCAATCCTGGCAAGACCAACTGTACGACCCCACCTGCAGAAACTCCGCAATGTTGCTGCCCAAGGTATGAAGCAGCTTGCCGTACCCCTGCATGCGACACGAGCGAGGGGTGCCGGAGGCGGAGCTGGGGTTTAAGGCAGCGATAATCATCAAGCAGAGGTCCTGCCTTGGCCCCGCTCGGATGCGAATGTGAATGTGAATGTATTGAATTGTTACATATTGATTTGAACTGGTCTGGTCTGGTCGACACTACTGTCTTATGCAGTATAAGGTCCTGAGATTGAATCCTGGGGAGACCCCCGACATTGTCGGGAGCGTGAGATTATGGCTAGCTGCTGAGATGTGGAGTTGAGGTCACAGTTAATGGATTGAGATTCGCACGCTGGATCGGTGGCAATTGCTGAACCCTCTGTCTCTGCGGATGTTCGGGTGAATGGATGAGGAGTGATCCTTGTAGGCAGGATCAACCGCCTTGGACTTCCAGTTCGTATGGCGTAGTACAATGTGGTAATGGTGGATGGTGCTGTATGGTGTGATAAATCGTAGAAATGACAATGTGTTCAAATAGCCCAGAAGCCTCCCACTCTGTAACACTTCAATATATAGAATGTGAATGTGAATGCGAATGCGAATGCGAATGCACATGCAAGGAAAATGGCGTGTTATAGCAGTTGCAGGGTGGTGAAGCCCCTGGAGACTCAGGACAGCGGGTTGGTTGTGTGAAGCTGGCAGGTTGATTGACTGACTGACCTGCTTTGTCACGTAATCGACAAAGTAGACGCCGTACGCCTCGAGCGCCTGTGCGGGTGTCACGCCCAGCATGTTGGAGGCCGTGACTACGAGCTTGTAGGTTTCGCTATCCGGGTATGGGCAGGAAGACACCCATCCGCCGCTGTCGCTGACACCAGCGGCCGTCAGTACGGATGTCCAGACCGCATCACCGAACGTGTCGCGCACAAAGCTCTCCACGGAGTTATTGATCCACTAATCTTGCAGTGCGCCGTATCGGGAAGGTTGGGATGATTAGGGGCGAAGGTCGGCGGGCAAGTTGCGTGGTGGATGGTTGGATAGAGGAATAGATGGGAGCCGCGAGATACAATATGGCAGAAAAGGAAAGACCGAGAAACTTGTTTTACAGCTGCTGTTGATGACCGACGGCGTGGTTTCTGCCCTTTGCAGCACATCCACTACGTTCCCGGACAAGGAGCATGACTACCAGAATCTGAGGTTTGAAGAAGCTATCTTCTACAGCCCTATGACAGCTTAGCCTCTCCAGGGTTGGCGGAGCATGCCAAGACGCTATTCGGATTCCTGACAAGAAACCGGTGCGAAGACGGCAGGCTCACCCCAATCATGCTAGCTGTTTTGTAAAGCTCAAATCTATGGCACTTTAAATCAGTCTCGGCTCTCCACCTGGCCGCAGCCTGTGCTGAAGGTGCTCATTGGTATTGGATTTCAAAAAGGACGCTCAGTTCAATTCTCAGCGTTCTCACGGATACATATGGAGCAGATGCTTTTTGCTTTTGGTAAAGAGAATATGTAAAGTTAGATGTATCCTAAGCCAGCTATTAATATTGTGCCTCGCAATATGGTCCTTTAGTGAGCAGTAATGGAACAGCCATTCTGCTTCATGGGAAAAGTTACGCCCAAGCATAAGGTCCCCTTCAATAGCCACTCACTGGCAGGTGTTACCCTGACATGCCGTACATATCCGTTTTCGCTTCAGAGCAACTGAAGATGCGAGCAGCACCAGCCTTCTTTCATGTCACTACAAAATTCATGTATTTTGTATGCCAATTGCCAAATTAAGTAACCTACCTAGGGATGGGAGGCGATTTAGTGCATCTCAGCCGACTTACGCACCGCTCCGTTGCAGTACGGTACAGAGGACGGGACGACGATGGGGAGGCATGAAATATATATCAATAACAATGTATCACAGTGCAGGCAGTGTATCCCACCAACCCAGGACGCAAGTGCTAGTCACCACAGATGTTTTACGTACAGGACTACGTACCTATATAGTGGCTGCGCAGTGTTTATATGCTCACGAGTCTCACACAGGGTTCTCTAAACTCTACTTGTACCAACGCCAATATCCCAGCCGTCGGCGAGTAAGGCGTCGAGAGCACTCGGAAATGATAACAACTTCGCTTTCACTGTTTAGTTTAGTAAGGTATTCAACCTCATCGCATAATCGTTGTTCATGATTAGTGATTGCGGCATTAGCTTGGGGTCAGTTTGAGCTGCACATGTGCCAGCTTCCGCCATGAACATGACTCGAATCTTCCCCGCATAGGTTTCTGCGCCGCCGTATACACACCAGTGAATTCCAGACGTGATCTGCGGGCACAGAAATCACGGGCGTCACTTTACGTCAAGTCTGTAAAAGAATAACCTCCTGACGCGCAGCGGAGTCGTCTGCAACAACTGATTTCCCCGGGAACCAATGCAGGAAGCTAGTGTCACTAGTATTAAACAAGAGCGAGAAGATGGGAGGAGGACACCACACAGTCTGGTTTGACAGAAGAAGATTGGCGGTAAAAATTTGCCGGATTCCGGGCAGTACATGCGATAGGAAATACTTCAACAGTTACATTCCTATTAGGGATCATATCCTTAGCGCCGAATCTCATAAGTTATGCGGACCTCCATCCAGATTGGTTTGCCAACGACTGTGCTGTAATGATCTCGGCCGCGATGAGGGAACTGCCGATGGTGGCAAATACAGAAGTACGGCGGGCGGTACACGAATAACTATACCGGAGCGAGCTCCGTCATTCAGCAACATCCTAAAAAGTTAAAATGAAGCTCAAAGAAATGTTGAATGGAAGATAATAAGCGGCGCTGTAGTGGCGAAGGGCGACTAGGTCGTGGGTGACTAGAAATGTCGACAAACAACGCGGGTTACAAAATTCCCGACTAGATATAACGCCAAAACCTATCTTTCTATGCTAATTAGCGGTTAAAGGGAACCAGGAGCGGGTCATGCTACCGCAGCGCTTGCGTGGTCGACAACTAACCAAGGGTCCGGCACAACGAACCCTTCCCGTGCAAGCAAAAGATTGACTGACCTGTGGTTACAGTAAAAAGACAAAGGATGTCGTCACCAGCAGCGGGAGTTCGAAGGTGTTGATCGGAAGGTGCGCGCAAGCGAGTGCAACTGCAAAGGCAGGGATGTACGTGCGGCGCGCCGGTATTAACTTAGGGTTTAGAGGAAAAAGAAGTAATTAGAGGTAGAAAGCAAATGTCGGAGTAGTAAGTAAATGGGCAGCGACGAGGCACGGGAAAGGTGCTGGAGCCAGCTGGAGCAAAAGATAGACAGAGGGGTATTGTATGAAAGGAAAGGGAAGAGCCTTGATGCTGTAAGAGGGGTTTAACGACGAGGAAAATGTCGAAGGTGATGATTCTGTGGGATGTTGTTTGTGGAGGTGCTGGGGAGGACGGGCACGCGGGTTAGTTTGGTGGGTAGGTTACAAAGGGGGGGAAAAAGGGGGCGGAAAAGGAAGAGGAGGGAAGGGGGAATTCTTGGAGAAGGATGGAAGGGGAGCGGAGTTCAGGGGCCGCGTTGTAGGTCTCAGACATTTGCCCGAATGCCCTGTGAAAGGGGGCCATGTGCAAAGCCCGCTGGAAGAGCCAGAAGGCAGTGGGGTGCAGCTCATCGCTAGTCCGCAGCAGCAGTTGATGCAACCGGTGGTCCTGATCAGGCGCGTCATCTCTACGCAAACTGTCCACATTCAGGATGACACCCCGTAGCAGAAACTGGCTGGTGAAGATATTCCGTTTGGCGGTCTTTGGAGGGTGCCGGTACGTATTGGGGCAGACAAACGTGTGCCAACGCTGGCTGCTCCCGCTTGTCACAGCTATCTGGCTGAACGTGCGTCTTTAAATGGCGACGGGCTGGTGGACGAGCTAGACATCGAGGAAGGGGAAGTGCTCTGCTGGATAAATGCCTTTCAGTCGGTGTGGGGGTAGACGCTCTTTTGGTGAAAGAAAGCTGCAAGGTAAAAGAACTTATCGACCGAGGATAGGTCGTCAAAGGAAGCGATTCGTGAAGCTGAAGCGAGGAAGCATTGCCCGAGCAGCGTCCATAGCAATATCGATAGGCGGTTTGTAGTCTTCCGCAGGAAGTGAAACTCGAACCAGGCGAGGACGAGGTTGGCAGCGGAGGGGGTTGGGGGAATGCCCATAGGGATCGTGATGTATTCCCGCAGACGTAGCAAAACCCCACAACAAGTGTTTTCAAAAGTTAGGGCAAATGTGAACTTCGGCGCACTGAAAGAAAGAGAGAGCGCAACCCACCCTAATGCGCAGCAGTACTTTCTGCCAAACAGCGCAGCTGGCCGTTCAGAACATCTTGACTTTGCGGTAACTCAGCGCCGCAAACCTCCTCACAAAAGCTGCTTCACCTACTAAAAGCGTAGCCGGGAACACCACTACCACCAAAACCATCTAAGGTGTCCAAAGCACTCCAATCATCCGGCTGCTTTATCGAAGCCCAAATGCTGGGACCTGGGCGCGAGGGCGCTACCCCCGCACTCAGATGCACCCAGCAACGTCCTGCCTGGGATGGATGCCGCACCCCACCCACCTTTACCAAGGAGGGCGCTGCACCGTGTTCCTCCTGTATAATTACAGTCTTGCCTCGGCCCCTAGCTCTGGACTAAAAGCTATACAAGAGGCAATGGACTACGCCCATTCCAGACAGGCACCCTGACACAGACCCTGCCCAAGATACCGGGTTTTACACACCAGGAAGTGAAAACGCGAACCAAAGGCTCACGATACGCCACAACTGCTGCACACGCACTGCAGCCACCAGCACCAGACCCGCGGTGTTGTCACGTGTGCCATTGCCTGCGAAGCTGCCAGGGTCAGCCCGCCACCTGTGCCCTAGCCACTCCGTGTGCCCCACTATTGCTGGGTGGCGCCCCGTTCCAGCACATCTTGCCGGAACTGCATATCCCGCATCAACGCCAGCATGTTCTGGAGCTCGCCCTTTGCCCGCACCAGCCACGCTCGTGCCAGCCGCTTCTGCCCCACCCGATACACCAGCGCGGCTCGCAGGCGGCGTTCCCGCTGCTCTGCTTCCTGCTGCTGCGCCGCCGCAGTAGCACTGGCAGTGCCCGCCGCAGCACCAGCAGCACCACCAGTCGCTGATGGTGCCGTAGGCTGTGCTAAGGTCTGCAAGAGCCGTTCGTCTTCCTCTAACGGGCCTGTGCCCTCGCTGCCCTCCAGCTCTGTTGCCTTGATCTCTAGGAGCCTGCCAAAGGGAGAGAGAGAGACACAACGCAGGGGGGAAGGGGAGGAGAAGGTGCTGAAGGCAACAAGGACCTTGTTGCAATCTGGGAGGCATTTCATCTGTACGCCCGGGCAGTGGCTTCCAGCAACAAACTAATAAATCTTGGGGATACAGTGGTGGTTAGTTGTGCATGTTAAGGATCGCGATGCACGCCTTTCCCTGCCGTGAGCCGTAGGGACACTCCGCCTCCGCAGAGGGCGTCAGCGCGCGGCGCAGGTGACCGTGCGATACATGTGGAAGACGTAGTAAAGGGAAAAAGGCGTCGAAGCAGTGCAGCTTCCGGTCCTGCTGCATCTGCCGCTATGCAAGCTGTCATATCCCCGTGGCCTGCAACGTTTTGCTTCGGCAGGCATATGGTTGCCGCATCGTCGCGCCCTCTTGCAGTGCTACACGTAGATGCAAAAACGTACACCCCGCGACATCGACAGACGGTTGGAGAAAGGATACCCAGCACATCCTGGCATGACCATGGGGATCATGGTCATCGTGATAACGCCAGCCTTCCTGTTGCCCCCTCAATCTATCCCATGACCTTGTCCCCAGCCCCCATCCCGCCGCTCCCTTCGCCCCACCGTATGAATGTGGTCAGGGTCGCCATGCGCAGGCCCAGGGCCTGCAGGTAGTGTCGTAGCTCCGCAGTGCTCATGCGCTCGTAGCGGCTGCGCAGCGATGCCAGCTCCAGCACGGGGCTGTGCTGTGACATAGCAGCCAGCGGAGTGCCTGTGGACATGGTAGGAGGCGCGGGGCCAACGCTTGCGGGGCGAAGTGACAAACCCGGTAAAACACACGAGCTTCGAGGGTATTCCCATCGGACATAGAACGATGTGCTGACGGCCTGACCGGCGCACTTGCTTCGTTCACGTAAAAGGTGTAACGTGTAAATCAGACGTGCGAAATGGGCCACAAGCTGTGAAAAGCAGCTTCTCCTCCCCTCCTCCGTTATTGTTGGTCCTCTCCAGGAGGAAAAAGAGAGCGATGGTAGGGCGGTGGGTGCGTCACCGCACGTGTGATGCACACCACGTAGGTTCACACAGGAAGGGATCCCCGAGGAAAGGCGGGCCTGAAGGGGACTAAACACTGTAAATAAGATGCCGCGCGCCCCAGGAGCCCCGTACCTGCAGCTCGTGCAGCCCGGCGCTCCTCCATCTTCGCCTAGGGGTGTTCGAAAACGCGCGCCAGCATGGGTGCGTTACAGGGCAGGAGCAGGCCTCATTCTCTCCCTCCCCAACAGCACACAGGCCACACATGGGGCCGGAAGCGGTGCGCGACAGATGAATGGGACGGCAAGACCCTGCCAGCCTAATGGCACGCAAACCACCCAACAAACGGGCCCCTAAGAAACGTGGCCGCCAGCACATGGCCTCGATGAAACGCACAGTTTCACCGTGCACGGCAAGCGGCTGCAGCACAAACATGGACACAGCTAAGCTGGCTGGCAAGAGCTGTTTGGCTAGTAGCGGTAAGGATGGACCCAACGTTCCCACGCGAGGACTAGCCTCAGTCAGCCGGTGCATGTTGGCACCGGCAGCTTGCGCCGTCCTGTACACGGCCCCCTACGGCCCTCCTCTGGACGCCCTTCCCTCTTCGTACTGCCAATTAGCAAGGCCACCAGCCACCCGCCTTATCCAGACCGCCCAGATAGCGAGTACCCACGGGCCTTACTTGTAACGTCCCCCCCACCTGCAACGCGTTGCTGCGGACCGCCAGCTCCTGGAAGTTGAGCACAAAGACCTCCAGCGTGTCCAGGACCTCGGGGGGCAGCTCCAGGGGAGGCTTAGACGCCCCTCCCGCGTCAGAGTCAGCCGCATCCGTGGCGGTGAACCTCGTGGCCGCGGCCGCCGCTGCAGCGGGGAATGAAGCCGACACGAGGGCTGCTGCGCTGCCGCCTGCAGGGACGGAAGGAGGAAGTCACTGGCCCGGGTGGGGGGGGAGCAGATGCAAACCGACTATGGGAATATGGCGGTTCAAACAGCCTGAATGCAAAAACGAGCCATCCGCCCGCTTTCAGCCCCGTTGCTGCAGTCTCCCGAACACAGTGAATCCCTCTCAGACTGGGTGCACCTCTTATCTATCCAAAGGGGCCCAGATCCACCTGCTCGCTTGCGGTCGCTCGCCTTGCCTTTGTGACTCCCCACTGCCGAGCCTGACGACGCAGCTAGTACCAGGTCGGGATGTGGCAGAAAGAACTGCGGCCGTAACCCGTAGGCCTGCGCGGTCGGCCAAGTACCCCACGGAAGTCATACAAGGAAACAAGGAAACAAAAGGGTAGGGGCCCACAGAAGCCAGACACGAAACGGAATTACGCAAAAAACAACCGGACGGGGACGCGAGCGAATCCGCGGGGGGCGAATCCGGGAACTCGTAGTAGGTGTAGATAAAACAGACCCCGACCAAGAGCCCTGTCGGCTGCTGCGCACACTAATCTACCCGCCCATCCTCGTGTGGTGTTGGCAGGAATCCTGCCGCTGGACGTCAAACAAAAAGATGTCGCGAGGCATTGCACGCAAAAGCCTTCACTTCCTGACCACGGCGCGTTCTTCCTGCCTCTCCCAAGCACGACCGAGGTCCTCACCTGCAGCAGCTCCATCCTCGCATACATCACGTCGTCCCATTCCGCCTGCAGAAGAGAAAACAGATGAAGCCCGGTGCGCGGGAAGAGTCGAGAGGGGGTTTCGAACGTGCGTATGCACACTACAGGAATATAGTGTTGCTTACCCTGCAAAGCACAGCTCAGTGCAGCACAGCACAATGCCCCCCGACCCTCCACCACCCCTGCCTTGCTACTGGGTAGGTGCGAAGTTGCTCCCTCTGCTTCTCACCTACCCGCGGCGGCAGCGGGCAGTAGAGCATGAGGTGATCGTGCGGGTTGTCCTCCAGCGCAAAGCCATACAGCATCAGCAGCTCTTCATTCGATTTTTCGCCATAGCTAATGTAAAGCTCCTCTCCAGGCCTCACATGAGCCCCCCCATGGAGCTGCAACCGGACGGTGGGCCCCGCGGTGGGCCCCGGGGTGCTGACCGTGGCTCCCAGAGAAGCACTATCGGGGGCTCCAAGGCTGTGGCTGCGTGCGGATGAGGCTTGCAATGACGACGGTGACGATGCCGAGCAGGACGCGGACGCCGGCGAGCCTGCAGGGCGGCCGAGCGGAGCGACATAAAGAAACGACGGCACTGCTGTTTTCTTTCCACCGCATGTGCGTGGGTTGGCAAAACCAGGCGGTACGCAACCAGGCGGTAGGGGAGTAGGACGAGAGGCAAGGCACCAGAGCAATGCGGCTCACCGGGCCCTGCGGCTGGCGATCCCTTGGGTCGCTCAGGCGCCACCACCTCCCACCAGCACTGCGGAGGCGGCCCGAGGCGGTGGTTGCAGAAGTCCAGTCCTGGCACCAGGCCCTCCAGGATTTGAATGGGGATCTTGTCGCTGCCCTTCGACGAGTGACCCACAAGGGCACTAGACGCTGAGCGCCGGCGGCGGGGGGGAGACGTCGTCACAGCGGAGGGAGTGCAGTGGGTTGTGGGCACCGGCGGCGGCGCCGGCGGCGGATATAGAGACCGCAGATGACACGTCACGGCGGCGAACACGTCAGCCCAGGTCATGTCAGAGTCGGTGTCAGGAGTGTCAGGTGAGGCGCGGTCAGAGCAGGAGGCCAAAAGACAAGGGGATGGCATGGAACACTTCCCGCGAAGTGAAGAAGATGCGAAGAGAAGTGTTTTTTCAGCAAGGCGCTACGACTGCAGAAGGCGCAGGATGCGGCCCAGAGTGTGGCGAGGGGAAGACGAACCGCACGCGATTGAAGCTGCTGCCAGGGCAAGATAGTAGCAACCGAAAGAACTGACCGAAAGGCGTCCGTGGCGAGGGGAGGAGACAGGGCGGGTAAAGCCAGCCCAGGTCCGGAGAGGTGATCGTAACTCACTGGCACCGCTCTTCCGGCAGCCAAAAGAGTTCGTGACAGCCGGGGCCACATGTCATGCCCTCTGTAGTAGCTGGCCCGGCCGAAAAGGCCTCTCGAGATGCTGGTGGACGCGCTTAGCGCGTATTTGAGACGTTATGTGTGCCGTACTGTGCCGTACCAGCTACTACATTCTCTGCCCTCTCCTTTGTCCGGCGTTTGCTGTCAAAAGCGATCAGCTTCGACAATAACAAAAAACAAAGCCACTATTCGCCACCATCGCCATTACCACCATGACCAGCGCACGCACCAGATCCTGACTCCGGCACCGGTAAGCTCTGTCCTCGGCTCCAAAACACGCAATACGCCCACAGCCAGTCCTTCCAGCCTGGCGCCGGTAGCCCCAGCTCCCGGGCCACCGCATTCAGCGGCCCTTCCAGTCGGGACCAAGTCTCCTCCAGTCGCCTCACTACCGCAGCGGTGGCGCGGTGCAGCGCCGTGCCGCGAAGCTCGGCTAACTCCTGAGCCGTGAACGCGATGGGCACATCGAACCTGTGTACAATACCAAGCCCCGCCACAAAGGAAGCGGAATTTCCTTAGCAGAGCTGTTCTTTTGAGGTACATCATGCATCATTTCTCCGGTGCTCTTAATTGATCCGTCACGCAAATAAAGGTTTTAAAGGGTTGCGGCGTGGTGATAGAAGTAGGGTAGCGGAGTGGAAGGATGGGGAAACGGCAAAGATTTGCGAGTGACAAGGCGTTGTGTGCGTTGGGCAACACGGGCGTTAGGGTGAAAACGGGAGCCAGCGACTCTTCTCCAGGGTCGGCGTGGATCGGAGCCGCCCAGTGCGTCTACGGCGTGTACCGGATTGATACATACAGACACCCAGAACTGCACTCCTGCGCACCGCACGTGAACAGTACTGCTTTGCGATTTCACAAATAGTCAATTGCTGATTTACCCAAAGACCATAAGCGAGAAATTGCTGCCTGGAAGGGCAGCGTGTCCAACCGGCGATGTATATATATGGCGATGCATGGCGCTACAATTGTAGAAGAGGAAAAAACGGTAATGCATCCTCAGGACCAGGTGCCCACGAGTCCGCCTAGAAGCAAAACAACTTACGTAGTGGGCAGCGCGCGAATCCAAGGCGCAAATCGTGATTTATCTCCGCGCAATCGCTCGATCAGAAGATACACCATCACTGCCGTACGCTCGTCCAAAAGGTGCTTATCCAGCATCCAGCTGTAGCGCAGCAAGGCGGACGAGGGAGGGGCGGGAAAGGGCCCAGCAGCCGCGTCGTAACCTGTAAACCTTCTCCACGGCGCAGTATTGTCCTTTTTTTGAGGTATTTACACTCCCTTTGGGACGTAGCAGCAGCCAGACGACAGAAATTGTTAAAGTTGTCTGGCAAAAGGCAGGTCAACAAAAAACCCTAGCAACATGTGCCCCCAAACGCCCTGCATTCACGCATGACTGCCGCCAACTCGGAAATGATTAATGAGTTGCCGTTCCCAAGAGACGTGCACAGAGTGCCGCACGTACTCAACCTGGGCCGACCGGCGCACCTGAATTGGGCCCCCACCTGGGGGTCGTTGCAGGCCGTGCGGACGGTGATCGCCGCGTCCAGCGGAAACGAGGCCAACGTGGTGGGCTCACGCTGCGCGCCGGACGTGTGGTTGCGATGCGGCCACAGCCACGACCACCACGGAGCTCCGGGACGCGGTGCAGCGGCGGCGACTGCGGAGAAAATACCAAGGCCTGCGCCAGGGCCCGCCTGCACGAGTGGGAACCGACCCGATGAGGAGTCGGTAGGTCGGGCAGGAAGCGGGTGCTGTTGCCACTGGTGCATGGAAGGGGATAAAAGCAAGCCTTCTGGCCCACAGAGGTTTAAGACAGGGAGTGCGGCGTCAGTGGGCATTGGTTGGCTGGGACATCCCAATTTGCCTGGTGGGCTAGGGGTGGGAGACGGGTGAGGGAAATCCTATGCAAAATGTGAATAATCGGTTGGCGACGTCCGAGGGTAAGACGAGGCCCGTCTGGACGGTTTCAGCAGGGGGGAGATGTGGGCCGTTGCGGCGAGCTTGAATTACCAAAATGTTCTGAAAGGAGTTGGCTTTGTTCCGTGCAGGGAATATGCTCCCTGCGGGTCCTTGAGGCAAGCGTCACGATTGAGGCAACCGGTTGGTACCATAGGTGAAGAGTAACGCTTGCCTCGCATCTTGCACTGGAAGTTCATAGGCGCTAATCGCCCAGCGCCGAGATGCAGGGCCACACATATACGCTTCCAGTCCTGGGCGGCAAACCCGGTTTGCATGGCGCACGCCTACCCCGGGCACGAAGAAACAGCCAGACACCGACTTAGAGACCCCTCGAGGCGTGCAATGTTGGAATACACTATTTTACAGGGGTTGCATCTACCGTACCAGTAGTGGCCTTGCACGCCATGCCCATGCAGTCAGCAACCCACGTTGCCGTACAGCCACGCCCGTTGGAGGACGGTGGCTGTACTGCTGCACAGAATCCCACCTGGCTTTTCATGATCTTAACCTTGCCCAAGTCTGCGCCCTGGCTTGTTAGCCACTCGTGCAGTTGCTTTAGTGTCGCCTCCTGCTCGCCGACATCTCCAACCCCTGCTGATGGCACCTGTGCTGTAGGAGTTGCATCGCCTTTAGCATCAAAAGTGCCTATAGCCAGGGCCGCCACAGCTCCCACTATGGTAGCGGCTCCAGCCGCAGCTGCTCCCGGTAGCCATCGCCAAGCTGATGCGTGTCGCTCGTCGCCTTTCACTGCCTGAGAAGCCGTCGACAACGGCAAGGCAGCTGAAGCCGTAGCAAAGGCACGAAAATGTTGGTTCAAAGCGGCAGGGCTTTCCATGCATGCCGCTCGATAAAAGAGCAACTGAAGGCCTGCCATCAGAGCCCCAACTCCTCCGCCGTAACGAAATTCGTCAATAGCAAGAGCAGATTAACTGCTATAATAAGGCTCACGTGTGTAGCGTTATATTTAGTGGAACCTTCTCTGGCTCCGTTGGGACCTTCCTATTTACATAAACTGTGCCACTCGGGAACACGCCCTGAGGAAATTATTACGGGTAAATATACAAAATCAAATTGAAATCATTACGTACGTGAAGGTTGAAGGCTTTCAGCATCTGAGGTATTGCATATAGCAGTTCTTACAGCGGAGCCAGAACGGCTTTTAGTTGAATGCCTCCTGCCGTAAGTTGTCGTTGATGTCGTTTGAGACATAGTTTAATGTTACCAAAAGTCCAATGAATTCTACCAGCTAGCTTCTATGCATGTATGCATGCTTTTCACCCTTTCAAAAATCATACCAGAGGGACAAGGATGAGGGGACTTCTGCACCATCGACAGATGCACACGACCTAACGTTTTTCAGACACCATCTTCTTAATAAACACGTAACAATTTCTCAACATTTGTATCAAGGACTAAAAGCCATGTGGTTGCTCCGAGCTTTATGTGAGAGTTGCGCACCGTCGATCCTGTTTTGTTGCGGCCCGAAGAGCCGAGCGGATTCGATTATAGCACGCTACGCCATCGACCCTTCCGGTGGAATTTGTGGTCCCTTGGAAAGCATTTCTGTTGCGCCCTCGTAGACAGGAAGAAACGCTGACATAAGTCGCGAAGGCGATCGGAAGCAGATATGACCTCTATACATCACTTAGGGTTGGTAAAGGAACAGCCGTCCCGCATATTTCGATGCATGCGAGGTTGTGCAATATGCTGACGGCGATAGGTCGTGCGGCGGATGGTGTCGTTGGGCAGAGGTGTCTTAGGACGGCGACTGCCGTTTCAACACCACGCTGTCTGGGTGTCTCGAAAGCTTACAACGGACCCAACGAGGGGGCGTGCCCATGTTGCCCTGGCTGTTTGGAGCACCGGCTGCAAGAGACAGCTCAGTACACGGGCGGCATCAAGAGCCGAGTCGACCAACGAAACCCCCAACCTATCATCCGGAGCGGTGCCAGCACCTACCCGGGAACGCTGGTCAAGCATCGGTAGATGGAAATTTTCAGTTCCACCCGCAATGTACGTCCCAATGTAGTACAGTCTGTATCACCTGGGGTTTTCCGCCCACTAACGCAAAGTTGTAGCCACTGTTCCTTTAGCCAGGCATGCATGCTGTCCCTGCCAAAAGCAGCATGCGTTTTACTGGTTCGGACCATGTTTGCAAACAAGTGTTACAGCGGCTGCTGTGGCAGGGTGGTGGAGCGAGCCACCGCATGGGCACTGCCGGGAGCGTGCGGTGATCCTATCCCAGCCCGACCCACTGAACCCAAACTTTCAATGAAGGGATGTGTTTACGAAACCAGGCAGCTCGCTGCTGAACACAATAACCATGGCTGATTCTATCCGGCAGAATCAATCGCCTTGGACTTGCAGTTCGTATGGCGTAGTACAGCGTGGTAATGGTGGATTGTGCCGTATGGTGTTCAATCCGAGATATGACTATCCAAATGTGTTCAATTGGGCCAGAAGCCTCCCATTCTGACAACAAAAAGAACATAGGCGCAGTCGTGGCAACGGGCACTGGAATTAGAAGTTGGCCCTGTTTTTTACGGTGGGGCTCCTGATGACTCCGTGCAGATAGGCACCAGGCAGAGCATTGCCGGGGCCGTTGCGCGGGGCTCGCGTTCACGCCCTGGCTGGCCTATAAAGGGATCCAGGGAGAATTCCCCCGACAGGGATCTCATGAAGTGCCTCGCGAAGCAGCTAATCAGCCCTGGAAGGCTGACGTGGTGGAAATCATCCCGGAACCACTTTGAGACGGGATCGATGAGACTTGAGCAAGCCGAACCTGTCCATGGAGACACCAGCTGTTGAAACACCAATTTCACCACGTCAACAGTTGAACATGTCACTGAGGATATGAAAATACTATGCCAATGAGCGCAAGATCCAGTATGGCACTGATTCAAGACACCCTTGCTATCCGCAGCCGAGGGTGTGTGGTGGATAGGCTTCTGGTAAGATGCCCCAGGAGCATAACAACTGAGCGAAAATCGTTGAAAAGGGTTCCTCAAAACCCGGCTGGGAATATCAAGCATAGGAAAAGCAACGAAGGCCTTGCACGAACCCCCAAGCCTGCCCACAAGTCAGGGCCTCCTTAATACGTATGCAATTAGTACCCCTAAAGCAAAAGCCCCGCCTATTGCGGATGATAGTTGTTCGCACTTGCAGAGCCCTCCCCGGATGAAGCTAACTGCTGTGATAAACTCAATGCTTTTGCAGGCCTGAACTATATATGTAATTCAAATCCTTCATTGATTGCTATGAATAAGCCTACAGGGCCGTCTTGTAAAATACTTTTGGTTTCGACTGAACGTACAAATGCACGAAATTGCAGTAATATCAAGTTATTTAGCTGTAACTTTTGAGCGTTATTACCTGCTGCATGTTGTGCATATATATTAGGGAAGTACGTCGCCTTGATCCGCTGCGGTTACGTATGTACTCGAACGTTTGCCGTCCGCGTTGACCACTACTGATCCAACGCCTTTACACACAATCACGCATGACCAGGCGAGGGTGAATCAGAAGGCTTCCTTGTGTTGCATTATCCCAGACTGTAGGGGTACCTTATTGTAGTCTAGACCTGGGCCGACCAGTCCCCGACGTAATGGCCACATATTCAGGCGATGAACCAGTATACGCCTCATATGTTGAGGCTTACCTGGCAGGAAACAAGCTTAATATGCCAGCAGACGCTGGCTCGCGAACATCAACAGCACCCTATGGGTATGGGCCGTCCGGTTCAGCTTATCGGGTGCAATTAGCGAAGCACTTCTTGGACTGCAACCCACTGGTAAGTTGCTTACGCTTCTCTTGCACGTTACCTCTCAGCGACATCGCTCGTCGGAACTCTTTCGACCTTGCGCAGACTGTCAAGACCGTCAGCGTACTGCAGCGACCAGTGAAGCCTCCCAGCTCTAAGAATGCTGAAAACCTAGATGTCCAGCATCAGCGTGATAAGGCTGCGTTTCAACGTCGTGCGAATGTGTATCAACGACACGCGCATCGCCCCTATCACCATCATGCGGTACGTTTAATGAAAAGACATGGTTAGATCCATAACGTGCGTAGGGGACTCTTAGTAGTACGTATGCTCCTGTGGAGGATTCAACCCCGGCGGAGTGTCAACCTTCATGATACGTGGGCGTCGTGCGAGGTCCACGTGGCACATCCTGCGCAGCTGTAATTCACTGAACTACACGCAAAGGCACACGTTCGAAACCCAGAAACTCACGTATACGGAGATGCACCTGCGCGCGTCATGAGATTGGTTTGTGTTTCGCCACGTGGTGTGTGCCCAAATGAGGGGCACAAGGCGGCACATCCCAGAGAACCCGAAGCGTATCCTCGGCAAAATCAATGTGCCATTGTTGTGCTCTTTGCCTCTCAACTCTTGCCCGCAGCCAGCGGGAAGCATCCTGACAACGTTTGAAAAAGGGCACATTGTAGACCGCGGCCGGCGGAAAGTTACGCAGCACGAGGCGCGCGGAGTGTACGACCCCGTTATGCACGAATATCGCATAGATCCGTCGCCAGAGGTGGCAGCAGCGACTGTCGCTGAGGCAGCAAAGGAGCGGCCCAGCAGGTGCGGAGGGGTAATGGGCCCGCCCAGCACCAGGGCGATGGCATGTTGGTTTCAAAGTCTCGTGGAGGCATTTGGGTTGCAGAAGTGGGCAGCTTTCTAGACACCAGCTAGAAATCGCAATGTGAAGCCGTGGTTGCTGGGCCATGCCACAAATGTATAGAGGCAACACGCATTTCTTGATAATCCCTGTCGCGCAGTAATGCCTGACCCCTCGACGCGCATAATTTTGCACTCTATGCCCCTTGCCGTTTGCCCTGCTGCCGCCGCCGCCCTGCAGCGCACCACACAGACGCGAGTCAGCGGCCCCGGAACCACACCACAAACGGTCCACGACGCCCTTCGAGCACAAATACCTGCAGGTGCGGCAGCGACTGTGCCGCGCATAGCTTCCTGCCGCTATTGGTTAAGCATGCTCCCACGGCTCTAAGATCCCCCATCGACAGTGGTGCACGCGCTCACGTCAAAATGCATGCCGCTAAGCACGATAGGTCCCTTAGTCCCCGTAACTGGACCCGATGGAGGGTTGGAGTATGAGGATTTGTTCTGCACTACGGTCTGGAGGACATGGTCCGGTTGTGATTACGCTGCAAAACGCACGGCCATGTGTTCGTTAGATACCAGACAGTTATAACCTAGATTTTCTGGGGATGAGTCCGCTGCGAGTGCCTTGAGGTCGAAGCCCCCTGGGAGGCCTTACACTCCGCTGGGCCGCCCATACTGCAGGTTACCCGTGGCACATATAACCCGCTCACACATGAGTACATTGACCAGCCGGAGGCGGATTATGCCCAGCGCAAGGAGAAAGAGTTCGAGCGCAGGCACGGGCTGGGCGCAATGCGACGCGTGCAACCACAGACATCATGTGACCCAATACTTTGGTACGCGGCGAATAACGAATAGTGGATGGTTGGGACGGCGGCATGAGCGTTTGGTCTCCTAAGCGGCAAGAAAGGAGCCAGCTTAGAGCAGCCGTGGCGTGTCAGCCGGATGCCTTTTCCTTGTGGCCCCTCGATGTGGCAGCTGTTCACTGTGCGAAGTACTATAAGTACTTGCGGCTTCCAGCGAGTAGAATGAAGCTGGAGAGCAGGCATGCGGCAGTGTGTGCCCACCGGAGCTGATGGTCCGGCGAGTGGCGCGCCACCCATTCGTCCTGCAGAACGCGAAACGGCCTTTCAGTACCGGATTGACCCCCAACATTTAGCCCCCTGAGCCGTGTAGGGTCCTTCTTACTCCATAGGCCGTCATTATTGATGATATGCTGCGTGGGGCTCCATGCTCCTTGACCTCGCCCCATTACCGCGGCCATGCTTAAGTCGTCGGTTCCCCTTCTTCTTGTGGTCCCGGTCGTGTCCGTGTTCTGCAGGAATAGGGATGTATCGGTTCAAACCTCGGAGTCAACGCAAGAGGCATCCACGGCGTCCGCGGTGGAGGGAAGCAGTGCCAGCTCAGCACCAGCGACACGGCGGCAACGGCCCACGAGCGCACCGACGGCACGCTCGCGCAGGGCGGTGGCAGGCCGGGGCGTATACAATCCCCTGTGAGTTGCTAGGCGAGTTTCAAAGGAGCTATGGAAGGGGCCATTGGCTGGGTCACAGTGTGGATTGACTTAAAAAGCCCATGGCATCTCCCGTCAGCTTTCCTTTCGTGTTTTGACTGTGGTCTGGACTAGCGCACAGTCCTGGATATGGAGTGAATAATGGGGGATAATACGAGTAGGGAAGAGGAGGAGGAACTGTTGTTGATGGCGGCGCCGGTCCCAGTAAGCACCAGGCGTGATGTATGCCTCACACTTTCCCTAACTTGTCTGTTTCCTGGCATGATTGCCGGCGCGCCTGCTTGCTTCTTTGCTTGGCTTTGTAGGACGCATCAATGGAACATGCCGCCCGCGAACCCGGACCACGAAAAGGCGGATGAGGTGGCTCAGCGGCGCATGGGGATAAGCGGTAAGGGTGTAGGTCGCACCTGCACCCCCGGGCAACAGGGCGTCTACAACCCCATCCTCAACACCTGGACGGTGCTGCCCGCCAACCCCCGCCTGATCGACGGGCTGGCCTTCATGCCTGCCACGCTGTTCAGCAAGCCAACCCCTGCAACAATTCGAATGTGAGCAGGGGTAATTCACACCGGCGCCACCTTGTGGGACCTGTCGCAGCACAGCTCAAGTGGTGGTCCAAAGCTGCTTTTTCGCTCGGTTTAAATGCTTATGTTTGACTTGTTGGTTGAGAGATCCGGTTTCGGGGCTTCCGCTCGAGCGTTTGCTTACGTGTGTTGACAGAAGTAGGGTCGTGCCAAGACAGCTGCGGGATGCGTATGGTTATTTATGCTAGTTTACCTTGCGGTGCTGGGGTGCTGTGCTGGATTTCACGTGTTATCGACTAGCTGCAAGGGCAGCGGAAAGGAGACCTTGTACGTGCTCTGGAGCGAACGTTGTGAAGTCGGATGAAGCGGGATTACCGGATGCGGTTTCGGAGCTTTAGGAAGCCGTTTGGACGAAAGGCCTGGAGCATCATCTAGGGTTCCCTGGAGTGCGCTCTTGAAACGGGGGCCTCTTCCCAATGCGCGAGCCGTCATCACTGTTCCAGCTTTATGACAGGCCAGGCAGCAGTGGAGACAAAAAAAACAAGGATAATTGTGCTCGTTGCAAGGACCCTTCCAGGTAGCAGGCTGGGCCCGAACACAGCCGCAAAGTGACATGTTTAGTCTTTCGTGGCATGTGCGGATTGATTTGGGTTTAGATTGTCATTGGCATTAAGGCCGGGGTGGGAGTGGTGTGGACTCTGTTGGGGTATCTTGCTGTGGTGGTGGAGTGCAGGAATGCAGCTTTGGCTAGGACGAACGGATGAGCTAACGGACGCGGCGAGGGACCAGCTGGTGCTACTTGCGAGCGTTGACTGTTGACTGAAGACGAACTGCCTGATGAGGGCCATCACGCCGCGTCCTACGTTTACGCGAGGTCTGTGACAACGGACGTGATGGGTTGAAGTCGGTCATTCCATGATGTGTGATATCGGCTGGAAGCTGATCGGAACTAGGGGGAGCTAAGCAGTCCAAGTCGCCAAGCGTTCACTTGTTTCTCTATTTAAGTTGTTGTGGACGAAGGCCTTTTTGTTTACATGTCAAAAAGGCGCAGGTGCGACGCGCTAGATGCCTGGGTATTGGGCTTGTGCGCATGGCGTGGAGAGGTCGCATACTGGCCGTATTCATCAAAGCTGACAACGTGCTTGGTAATGGTACCGCACATGGAAACGCGCTGGGTAAAAAAATCGGCCCAGGAGCTGAGCGGCTCATTGTCCGCAGTGCTATTGCATTAAAAGGGTCACAGCGGACGCTCTGGAGGAGCCTGGAATCTTAGACCTTGCAACTCTCCAGGAAACACGTATTTGTGTTTAAGCCGCGTGCCTTGGGAGCTGACTGAATCCAAACCCGGCCTGCATTTGGGCTTTGGTACAACTACCAGCGGGTCATAAGGACGCGTAAGGATCCTGCGCAGGGCCCTTTTGGAAATGGACTTGTAAATCGCGACCCTCGAAGGCTCACCCCTGCACGGGGCGTCGGAAGAGTGTACCGCACTGCCCTCTGCTGCTCGCTGCCAGACCAATAACGGCTGCTGGCCTGGATATGCTTGTAAAGTGCCCATCACCTCACCTGTCCCGAGCGTCAACAGAGAGAGCGAGAGACGGACAACTAATTGCGCATTGCCAATATAACCAGATGGCACCCCGCGCAAGCGTTTCACACACCACTTCCTTTGGTAAAAGTACGCGTGTGCCATCCCCGCCACTTCTAGCCTGCGGTTCAGAATATGAAAACACGGCCCACTTCGACGCCTCCTTGTGGCGTCGAAAAAACATGGTTTATCAGGGTAGAGCTACAACACCTCAGCCGGAGACGTCATTCGGTGGTACACGACGCCATAGGACAACCTCTTATCAGCTTTAGAACTGCGAGCCTTCCAGCACCGCAGCCTTATTGGCCCTGCATGCCCAGCTTAGTTCAGCTCAGATGCAGAAGGCAGCATCATTTGGCAGCATTGAAACGTTTCACCATTCATCCTTAAGCCTAGTCAATGTAAGAAGTCTCCCGGATTTCTGAAATCTGCCATTGATCGTGCAGGGCCCTGTAACCTTCCAAATCAGGGTTTCTGCATGGCCGCCCCAACTTGTACCAAAACTGAACCAGCCCATAGCAAACCCCTGGCCCAGCCTAGCATTGCCGGCGAATCAGCTGCCAGCTCTCCGCCCGTGGGCTCGGCCTAACCGCCTGCCTTCCTCCAAAGCAATCATTTGAAGGCCACCGCCATTTCGCTATTACCGAGCACTAGTTACAAGGTGTAAATGCACCGGTTGATGTGGTCCTCGATCTCTTTGTACTTCTCCAGGCCTGTCAACTCGATTCGTGAGCCGTCGCGGAGGAAGACCACCTGTTGATGATGGCCGGGAGGGGGAGGCACACGCGGCGGAAAACACACACACACACACACACAAAATGATTGTCCTCCCCGAGAGGGATCGTGGTTGGAAAATGGATGGATGGATGAATGAAAGACGTCATCACAGGGGTATCCGACTGGACCGCCGGTACTGCCCGCACACAAAAACTGGAATAACATGACATGGATTTTTTGCAGATGGCTGCAAGGAGATGATATTGTTATATTCCCGCCCCTCCACAATCGTACCATGTCGCCCCACAGACCAAACCCACGGGGCCCGCTTCGAATCTCCTTGATGTTCTTGTAAGCAATCTCGATTGTGCGCTTGAAGAGCGGCGACGTGTTGGTGATGACCAGCCGTTTGTTGGTAAACTTGAAGCTGATCCACAGCCGTCGACCAATGGAGGCGATGGATAGGGGCGCATAGATCAGTGTGGGCAGCAGGATCAGGCTCAGGATCAGCTCTGCATTCGAGCCTGGGCCCTCGTAAAAGACCACCTCATCGTCCTTTCCATCCGCACTGCTGGAAGTTGATTCAGCGGAGGGGACGTCGGTTGCGAGCGTTTGCGAGTCCGCAGCTGCTGAGCTATCTGCGGGAAGGCGGGATCACATATCGGGTAGCAGCACCTCTAATGGGAGAGGCGCGGCCCGCGGGGGAATTGCACCGGGAGTCGCAGGCACGCCTTGCACGTTCACCTCGGCGGTCGGCCCCATACAGCACGCGCCCCAGATGGGTATTTGCTCATTCATGGGTGGGGGAAGAAGGGATCATGGGGTCTGTTGCGCTACGCGGATCTTGCATGTTGGCGGATGTGGGCCTTATCTGGGTGGCTCGATTAGTGGGCCCCAGGAACAGAACAGAGGCTGCTGCCGCATATCGTCTGTTTAGGCAGCAATATCACCCGCCGGACCTCCACCGCAGGAGTTCCTAAACCTCACGAGACACTTCGCGCCCTTGGCCGCGCGACGGGCACACCCGGCCTTTGTAAAAATCCGGATAACAGGCAAACCGTCCAGCGTTAGGTTTTCTGGTTACGAAGATACCTATGATATGTATGCATGACGTAGCGCCGGATTATTCGTGTGATTATTCGCGGCTTCTACCTTGAGTCGACGCCCTCGTCTTCACCATCCATTGTGCGCTCCTCCTTAGCGACGTTTCTCGGGATGCTGTGGAGCCAGATCTGAGCGATGGCTTACATAGGGGAAGTTTAGGCTGGAGTCTAGTGCAAGAGTGGCCTGTCAGTTGATTTGCTTGCAAGGAGCTGAGCATTGTCAACCTCAGACCTGATCAGCAGTGATTCAAAATGGAGATAATATGTTGCATATATGATTGACGGGATGGTATGATTACACTAAATGGCCATCATAGACATTGGGTGCCTTTCTATTGACCTGGTTCTGGAGCTACTGCTTTTGAGCGGTGACCGAAACCCGTAGCGACTGGAATCTGCTTGGTATCCATTCATTATGCACAGACGCGTGCACGACTGATAAGGATTAGCTGCACTCGCCAATCTCTGCTGCCTTAACTACAGTTAAACGTTGTAATGTCAACAACTATCACTCTTGTACTTGCGTTCTCATGTTAAGCCACTACCAGAGCCATGTCCGTGTTCGAAACCGAACGTCTGAATTACGCAGATGACGTCTACGCGATTCACTCCATCCCCATCGGCAGGGATTCTCAACGTCACAGACGCACCACCGCGATATTACTGGCCAGCTTCGGATTCGCATCATGCATGAGTGTTATACTCTCAATAGTTGCGGTCGTCAGGTCTGGGCAGGCGCTGCAAAGGCAAAACGCCCCGGGGTCGGCAACCCCCACCATCGACAACGCCACCACGCAACAAAACGCCCAATTCCAGCCAACCCGGAAAGTGGCCTTTGGCAGCTGCAGCGCGTTTGACCTTCGTCCACAGCCTATATGGACGGAAGTGAGCGCAAAATAGCGCTGTTGTTTAAAAGCCGCGCCGGTAGCTGTCCTCCTTCATTTCCCCTCCCCCCTGGACCGTTCCTGTGGAGTGTCATGGCCCCTAGACCATGACTATCTCTTGTCACATCCGGGGTCAGGGATAAGGTCCAGCTCTGCATCTGGCTCTCCAGCCCTCCTCTCCGCGCGCTTCCTCCCACCCCCTTCCCTCTTGCCCCTTGCCCCCCCGCCCCCCAAAACCCCTCAGGGGGTTATCCCCGCTCAACCTGATGCCTGGATTTGGGTCGGTGACATGGCGTGAGTGGTAACCCGTGCTTTCAATGTCGCTAGGTGCCGTTAATGTACCGCAGTTTCCTTTCCTGGTCTTACCGGTGTACTAGTCGTGGAGGCCATGGCTAGGGACGCAACAATGCTAGCCGGTTTCTCGGCAAAGTGGTGCTTCTAAGTAATTCGGTCTTGTCACTTTAATTGTTGTGACTGCTACTCCGGCTGCTGTTGCTGCTATTGTTGCTACTGCTACTCCGGCTGCTGCTGCAATTGCTATTATTGTTGTTGCTACTGCTACTCACGCACGCACTGGCCCCCACGCTCTGCACCCACGGACGCTCGGACCCACCCAACATGTCCCACGGACCCACGGGTCACCCGCAGTTACCTGGACACCCCCCCGGTATCCTGCGACCTGCTGGGGCCCAGCCTCGCCGCCCAGAGCCGGTGGTGCAACTGCAGCGGGGCCAGCAGCTACATCACCCTGCCGGGGCAGTGCATGGCGGGGGACGTGGACGCAGCCACGGAGCGATGGGTACATGCGGTACGGAGGGAGGGCGGGACGGAGGGAGGGCGGGACGGAGGGAGGGAGGGGAAGAGGGAGGGAGGGAGGGAGGGACGGAGGGAGGGCGGTACGGAGGGAGGGCGGTACGGAGGGAGGGAGGGACGGAGGGAGGGCGGTACGGAGGGAGGGAGGGAGGGAGGGCGGTACGGAGGGAGGGAGGGAGGGAGGGAGGGCGGTACGGAGGGAGGGAGGGAGGGAGGGAGGGAGGGAGGGCGGTACGGAGGGAGGGAGGGAGGGCGGTACGGAGGAAGGGAGGGAGGTACGGAGGGAGGGCGGTACGGAGGGAGGGAGGTACGGAGGGAAGGAGGGCGGTACGGAGGGAGGGCGGTACGGAGGTACGGAGGGAGGGCGGTACGGAGGGAGGGAGTCCTATGATGCAACTAACACAGTTCGACACGCGTCCTCGACACCAACTGCCGTACGGGTCCAATGCGAAGGGGAAAGGGAAGGGGGGTGGAGGGGGCCCAGCAGGACGATAGGACGGGGTCCTGAGATCTGATGCCTTGCCTGCGGCAAGGACATTCGCAGGCTGGTAGCAGTAGCAACGGCATTAAAAAAGCGGTAGGAACACGGTAGCATTGGGCGTTATAACCTCCCACAACGCCGGCGCTTTTGAAACCCCTCTCCCCCTCCCCCTTCTCCCCCATCTGCACACACATACGCGGGGCCCCAATGCCAGCTCGTCTTCGCCTCCAACCACCCACTCACCCCCCAACCCACTCCCCCAAATCGGCAGTTATTCTTTTCTGACTTTCGTACATGATTCTATCTTCTACTCATCACCCACCGACCTACAATCCCGCAGATCCACAATCCGGACTACCGAGCGTTCCTAGACTTCATGTGCCCGCCGACCCACGGGTCCGTCGGTGCTGCCACCACGTCCACAATCGGAGCTGAGCCAGGTCGCTTCCCGCCCACTGGCACCGACCCGGCGGTATGCCCCCGACCCATAATGGGGGTGTACGACGATCATGACTACGGCTGGGTGGGTTTACGTGTATGTGCGTGCTTTTGTGTGTATGTATGTATGTATGTGTGTATGTATGTACGTGTGTAGGTAGGTAGGTAGGTAGGTGTATGCCTCCAGGATCAGACGTCATGTGTGCGCGTGTGTTTTAAAGGTGCACTGGGCGTCTGTGTGCGTCTGTGTGTATGTGTGCTACTTTGTTTGCGTGGATGTCATTAAAGCTTAGCCGTGACGTGACGTGGCGTGACGTGACGTGAGGAAGAGATGCGGCGCAGGAGAGAATAGCGACAGACGCCAAGGAAACCGAGCCACGGTAGGTAGGTGGGGGAGGAGTTAATAAGTGGGACAACAAACAAATCACACAGCGGTGCCGTTAGCGGCCGTAAAGAAGGGGAATGATGTGTGGGACAGGGGGTAATATCTTCACCCTGCGGCCGCTACCCGGCGAAACCCTGCCTTCCCCGGTATTTCGGAGCACCATCATCTAGTCACCCTAGTCAACTTCTCAGTGGATCGCTCAGGTTCCGCACCCACCACCGGCGGAATATGTGGGCGAAACGCAAAGGAATGGGGCGATTTGGGGATCAGAACCTAACGACGTGCCAACGTACCGACTCGCGGCATCGAACACCATCTGCTAACCACCATAACCGCAAAATTGTTCGTTTCTTGGACGGTTTCCAACCAACTAACGAACAACAGAACAACGGTGATCGGCGTATGCCCAAGAAGGCGGAATTCAAGAGAATGTTTCTAGACGCGGTGGGGGAGGCGCCGGACAGCACTCGACGGGGGGGGGATTCGGGGCTGCAGGTGAGGTGGGGTTTCGTGCGGTTGTGGTGGTTGATGCGGTTGGTGCGGTTGGTGCGCAGGAGGTGACAGCTTACGAAGTCAGTCGTACCTGAGTTGAAACCGAATTCAGGTCTCGGGTCATTATCGATTATGAAGTGTTTGTGGGGGGGGTGTCGTCGGGAGAGAGAGGGTTCGCGCTGTAAGTAGCGCGTTGGGCCGCCGCACAAACTTCTTTTTATTTTATGTTTCGTTTCTTTTCGTTTAAATGATTTGGATGATTCCTTACGCCCTCTCCTTCCCCCGACCCCAACCTAACCCGATCCAACAAGGCTGCCTTCACACTGAACGGCGGGGGCCCGGATCGTGACATCGATGTCGTACTGCTGGACGAGCGGTGGTACCGCGATCCGATGCCGTGCGAGATGCGCCGTGACTGGTGGGTCTCCTGGGCGGCCTTCCCGACTGAAAACCCTCCCTTTGGCAATCCTGGTCAATTCTTCCTGTCACCATGCCATCCCCTTCCCCTCTCTCTCTTGCCCTGACAGCAGCTTCACTCGTTCGTGGTGAACCCGTCTTTCCCCCCCCACACCCCCCGCACTTCCCCCCTACCACCACCACCCCAGGTGCCAATCCGTAGTGCTCCCCGACCCCTCCCATCCCCGACTGGGCTGGTGTCGTGACTTCCTGTTGGGAGACGGCGAGGGGGCGACGGGGAGGGGCTCCTGCTGCAGCAAGGACCAGGAGCTGGCGGCCTGGTGCAGCCTGGTGCGTGAGGGGGCCCTGGAGAGGGGGGAAGGGGGAAGGGGTGTGTGTTTGTGGAGGGTGAGGGGGTGGGGTGGGGTGGGGTGGTGGTGGGTGAGGGGGGTTGTAGAGGGGAACTGTAAGGAATATAGGGGCCAAGGTGACGCCCTAGCTGAGCTCTTCCATTCCCCCTCTCACCGTAGACACCGTACAAGCCTTGCACCTCCCGCTCGCGGGGGAGAAGACACCCCGAGTCACAGTGGCCCCCGCACACTTTAACATATACACAAACACACAAACAGCGGCGCTGTTTCCCTCCTCCTTCTATCCCTCTTCCCCCTATACATACATACATACGTACATACATACGTACATACATACCTCTGCCCCCGCCCGTAAAACTCCCCCCTCTCTCCACAGCCTTCCAGCCGCGCCCACCCGCTGTACGGCGCTGCTTGTAACGTGGCGTCCTCCGAGTGGGGCCGTGTGCCGCTGGTGGTGGGCGCGGACAACACCTCCTTGGTGGTTCTGACGGGGGGTGGAGGGGGCCGCAACGGATCTGGATCCGGATCTGGGTGGGACGAGCTGACAGGGGACCAACTGGCCGTGTTGTGGCCTCGACTGGTACAGGTGTGTGTATGTGTGTGGGGGGGGGAGGGGGGAAAAGCGGGGGGGATGAGGGTTAAGTTGGTGATGGTGGTACGTGGGGGGAATTTACTTCGCAACAAGCCCATAACGCCCAAACCCCCCACCTCACACACATATGCACAGGCACATACACACACACACACACACCACATCCCCGCCATAACTGCACGCACACCGGCAGTTGTCCTTTTGCACTGGTTTCTCCCCACCTCCCGGCCCCCCACCTCCCAACCCCACCTCCCGGCCCCCCACCTCCCAACCCCACCTCCCGGCCCCCCACCTCCCAACCCCACCTCCCGGCCCCCCACCTCCCAACCCCACCTCCCGGCCCCCCACCTCCCAACCCCACCTCCCAACCCCACCTCCCAACCCCACCTCCCACCTCCCGCCCCCCCCACCTCCCAACCCCACCCTCACCTCCCGCCCCTCCCTTGAGGCCCGGGACTCCCCCGTGTGTGAGGTCCTAGGTGCCGCGCAGCGCACCTGGCTGTACGACCACCTAACCGCCAGCTCCGCACCCGTGCACCTGCTGGTCAGCGGCTCGGTGCCTCTGGGCGGTGTGGGGTACAAGGACCCCGACACGGGGAACGTGTGCTCGGGAGACGACTGGAACGTGAGTGTAATGGGGAAGGAGGGGGAGGGGGGGTACATGCAAGAATTTAAAAGACCACAGCCGACGTACAAAGAAGGGGACTGGGCCCCTTCGGCGTGTGTGTATGTGTGTGTATTGGGGTTGTCTGACGGCCGGGAAGGTGCTTTCGGGTGTGTGTGTATGTGTGTTTGTGCATGTGTGTGTGCGGGCTGGATATGTGTTTCGTTCTCGTGGGGTGAATGTTGCAAATCTTGCGGCAAGGTTTAGGTTATCGTCTGTTTGTCTGTCTGTTTCTGGTTGCCTGCCTGCCTGGTTATCTGTCTTGTGTCAGTGTCCCAATTTCATTTCCTGTGTGTGTTTCGTTCGGCCCCCCGTGGCCCGGGTAGTCGCGCAGCTCCCAGACTCCACAATCGCTGATACACCGTGTCTCCTCCACAACCCAACCCTTCCTTCCCCCCCCCCCGCACCCCCCGGCACCCCGTTCCTCCTCCATCCCCCCTGCCCCTGCCCCCCCCCACCGACCGCACTATTTAGTGCTGGCAGCCCGCCCAGCTCAACTTCCTCCACAGCCTGGCCAACGCCAGCTCGGGCTGTGTGGTGCTGCTCACCGGGGACTATCACTACGGCGACATCAAGGTGGTGGCGCCAGGGGGGGAAACACCCTACGCAGCAACACTCCAGGTACGAGGGCTGCCGTACGTGAGGCTGCCGTACGTGGGATGTGGTGGCGGTGGGTTCCTCGTGTCGGTCAATGGAGAGGGAACTCGTCTCCCCCCCTGGAGCAGCGGGGAGCGCTCTCAACAGCAGCGGGGGGGGGTCATTTGGTGAGGGGGACGATTTCTCCCCCGCCTGTAACATCGCCCCTCTTGATCGTGTGGCCGCCCGCCTGAGCTATTCGAACCCCCTGTGCCTTTTTGTGTTTTTGTACGTGTCGCAGACCAACAAGATTAAGAAACACATGTACCAGGTGAGTGGTTGGTTGGGGAGGTGGTTGGGTGAGTGGTTGGTTGGGAGGTGGTTGAGTGAATGGTTGGTTGGGTAGTCGGACACGGAACATGAGGCATGAGTCTGGACGGCGAGAAGGTTCCCGGCTGATGCCCGGCGGCAGTGCGAGTCGAGTGCCTCGAGCCGGTCATGGAACTCCATTAACAGCAACGTGGGTACCGCTTCAGCGGATACTGCTACTGCTACTGCTGTTGCGGCTGCTGCCGCCTTATTGGCCGGGTTTTGCTGGGAAGCGTATGGCTTTGGACTGGATGTGCACGAGCAAACCCAGGAAAAGAACCTGGTGTCACCACCCACCGTCCTCACACTGCTGTACGACTGCACTGTACGGCACCGTACTGCATCGGCACATACGGCGCGATCCTTTCCTTGTATACATGCCGCCACAGTTGATTTGGTAGCGCTATATTGACCACATGTTGGACCCACACCTTGACACCAGCTGCAGCGGCTGCAGTCGGTTGGTTAGTTCGTTGGTCGCACCTCACTCGTCATTCATCTTAGGGATTCAAATTAACTAGCTGGAACCGCTACGCGAGAACATGTTGCGCCTGAGAAATCTTGCATGCTCCTCTGAGAAGGTTCTTAAAGTTTCATGTATTTATTATTATTATAATATGTAATTTATATAATATTTATTTTAAGTCTATCTCCTTTTATTGTTCAGACGCAATTGTTTTCGCACACATTGCCTGGTGTCGAGGCGCACAGGTGATGTCCAGCGGCATGACGAGCAGTACGGCACAGTACGACGGGACGCCGTGCGAGGGCACCTTCCGTGAGGACCTGTTGGGTCTGAGACCTCTGGGTCGCTGTGGCATCACAACCAAACCCAACTTTGGAATGGTGGAGGTATGTGATGGGGGTATGCAGTGGGGGCTTATATAAGTTTCTCCCTAGTGATCACTTCCCATTAGCGATCAAAGATTTGAGTCAGTTCATGCGAAAAGCATGAAAAGCATCCTTTCGAAATACGCTAACCATGGATGCTCGTTATGGGCGGTGCCTCAAAGGTTTGCTCTACTTTTGAGAGCTGTGAATGGGCAGCTGGGGTGTCTAGGCTGTGCTAGGGGGTATGCAGTCGGGGTTATGTGCTGGGGGTTATGTGGGGGGGGACGCAATTACACGCTGGCTGATGTCCGGCTGCTGTGCACCCCCACTCCGCAATCCGAATGGGTTCCGGTATGCCTGCTGTTGGCTGTATCGGTAGGTCAACATGCATTACCGCACTCGACCAAACCCGCTCCCCTCCATTTGCCGTCCATACGGTCGCCTCATCAGCATCCCGCCACCTAGCCAGTCACCCTCTCCCGCGCCATTGCCATCGCATCACCGTCGCTGCCACAGTCGCCGTCACCGCAACCGCCTGCTCGAGCCCCAAGTTTTGGGGCGTCCTCAGCTCTTCACACTGGTGGTACATGTGGCGATGTAGCACTACTACTGGTACTAGTAGTAGTAGTAGTAGTAGTAGTAGTAGTAGTAGTAGTAATAGTACTACTATTACTATTATCACTACTATTTCTACTACGTACTCCTACACACTACTACTATGCACTCCCCGATTCATTCCCTGGGCTCGCAGGTGGATTGGGAGGCTGGGGTGGTGCACCTGACCATTCGGAATGCGGCGGGTGGTGACGTGGCCACCACTCAAGACTCCCCCGTGGCGGGTACCGGAGCGGCGAAGTTGCAGCACGTGGCCTTTTCGCTGCAGACTTGCAAGCCTGTGGCTGTGTGAGACCCCAGAGACCCGTCTCTCCTCCTCACCCTGGAAGAGGGGAACCTTCTCTACTTAAGAGCGGGCGGAGTGGCGCCGCCGTGCAAGAAGAGTGTGTGGCGGAGTGGTGCAGGAGTGGCGCCGGAATGGCGCCGGAACGAAGGCGGCGGCCGTTTGGAGGTTCTCATTTTCGAATTGAATGCGTAGACAGGAGGGGGGGGAGTTAGGAGTTACAAACCTGCTAACGCTAACTTGCTGTCAAGCGTGCAGGGCCCTGCGTGTGTCATCTGGTCCCAATGCGGCGGGGAGGGGAAGCGAGGGGAGAGAGGGGGGATTTTGGAGCCCTGGAAACGGTGTGGGCAATGGTGCATGATTTCCGCGGGGCTCCCAAGGTCGGGTCCTGTTGGCGGTGCTGTTGGCTGCAGTGGGTCAGTTGGGTTGGGGCATGGTACAGGTACAGGATCTGGGTTATTCTCCTGCTTGCATCCTCGACTTGCAGGTTACTTGGGGATTTTTACGGCTCGACGTGCAATCTTCCCGGACAATTCCCAACCACCAGCTGCGACAAATCCAGGAGGTTCGTGTAGGAGCGCACGCATGCAGACATGGTGGTGACGAAGCTGCAGCTGCTGCAGATGGTGGTGTGTTATGTCTATATGCTGGTTGCTTTGGTCAACCGCACACGGGGTGACTGCGGAGTGGCTTGTCATGAGGGTCTGTGGGAATTGGGGGGGATCCGGGGGGGGCCCTTGAGGGGATCAGCAGCAGGAGGCGTCGGATGGTGGAGGGAAGGTTGGACTGCCGAGGGGGATTGAGGTGAATGATGGATGAGGAAAGTCTGATGAGGAGCACGGGATGGAGTTGTGAAGGGCCGTATGCCTGATGTGGTTGGAAGCTCGCGTGGCAATGAATTGCGGGCCCACGACCCGCCGAGCTGACCCGCCGGTCGCTTTGCTGTAGTTATGGAGGATACTGTGTGACTTCATGGACGGGACGACCGCATCTTTGCATCAAGCCATTTGCGATGTGTTACATGCTTACGGAGACACATGCCAGCATGTTCAGGCCAAGGAACACGTCCTGCTCGATAGCAAGGTACTTTCTGCCCAGAAATGACGCTTCTTGCCGACCCACATAAGCGACTTTAAAGTTTTGCCTGTTCAGTGATTCCAACCTAAAGCATCTACGCAGTTGTAATGTACTCTCGTGTACGAATGTTTTGGGAGCTGTAGGAAGCATGCACAACGTTGCCAAATTCTACAGTCGGGTATCAGTTTGGTGTGATCACACGTTTGCAAGCACAGTCACTGTATCGATTCCGGATCCTCCTATCGTGCGTCATCACTTGTTGCCGTGGTGTCAACCCTTGAGTACCAACTCCTACTCACAACTACTTTCGATGTTATATCCGTAGAGGGACATTATAATAAGTGAAGTAGCTTTTGACACTGATACAGCAGAGTTTCCTGCGGCGCGCTGTTTGGCTCCTTTCAGTCGACGAATTGGTTAACCTAGGGCTTCGATATGGACAGGTTTGATTCTACCAATCTTTTCTCAATATTTAAAAACGAAGAAGGAGAGAACCTCCTTCCGTTTGATGAGATGGCAGCTCTGCTGGACCTAGGCGAAATTGACATTCCGACAGATGTTCCGCTGATAAACACTGCGCCCACTGTCACGACTGAAGGCCCTGCCACATCTGTTTTGAGGGACGGCCAAGGTCAGCTTCCAAGTCCAACCTCGGGAATTCGTGCACGGCCCTATCACACTTACGTTTGAGTGGATTACCGTGGCTTCCTTCGCATGCTCTTTGCAGTGCTGCCAAGCACAAGTGGGGCAGCTGAAAGTGCACACACAATGGCCGCTGGATGGTGAGTCTAGATTAACTGACTTTACGTGGAGGGTTTAAATTGACGCTGGCCCCATGCGGTTTATCTCTATTCGAACAAAGAAACTTACAGCCCTCCTCCCTAGCCACACGTCACACAATAATTTGGTTCTATACCTTGTAGGGCCTCCCGGCCATCTTCCGATGGCGGGGGCGAAACCGACGGCTCAGACATCGACATGGCACAGCAAGTTCCGCAAGTGTACGAGCAGCGGCAACCGCCGCAACCATCACAGCAACCGCACCATTTTCAGCACCTTCAACCGTATTATGACGAGAGGGATGGGGAGGATGTGGAGGAGGAGCCGCAGCCAACAAGCAGTACGCCCGGCACGGCCGCGTTCAGCGGTGGACCGGAGGGCCGACGGCGCCGCGGCAGCACCGGCAGCGCCGGCGGCGGTACCGGCGCACGAGGGGCTGCGAATAAGGCCACGTCCGGCGTTAAGAAACGACGGCAACGTAACGCGGAGCAAATGGAGTCAAATCGGGTAGCGCAGCAAAAGTACAGGCGAGCATGCAAAAGCCGGCGAGGAAGGGATGGAGCGGCTCTCTATCTCTCTCGCTTTCCCGTCTCTTCTGTGCCCCACAACGCACATGCCTCTCGACGCATATACAAGTATTACACGCACACACACAGGCGCCGCTCATTACTTGTCGTACACATGCAATCCACACAATTACACGTCAGCGATGTTTTGTATCCTGTAGTACACACATAGACACACCCACACACACATACAGACACACACACACACACCCCGACGCGCGCGCGCAGGCAGCGCAAGAAGCAGGAGCAGTCGGTGCTTCAGCAGGCAGTGGATTTGCTCACGGCACAAGTGGCGACGCTCAAGGCCGTGGAGGTGAGTGGAGGCACGGAGGGGCGGTCTGGGTCAGATTGATGGTTTGATGCCGTGGCGGATGGATGCGCATGGGAAACTCTTTTTTACCTCTCTCATTGTGGCGCCTCAACAATCGGTTGGGACACCACGTGGCGCTACCAAGCACCACCAACACCGCACATACCAGGATGCCACCCACCACCCACCACCCACTCCTCCCCCCTTCCCCCCCGGCTGGCGCGTACATACACCCGCCGTACAGGTCCGCGCTGGGGAGTTGGAAGCTACCAACATTTCTCTGCAGGAGACCGTGCGACAGCAGGGCGCCAGTATTGCGGTGTTGCAGCAGCAGAACGCGTCTCAGGCTGCGGAGTTGGAGGCGGTCCGGGGGGCGCTTCACAGCTCTCAGTCGCAGGTGGCGGTTCAGGGCAAGATCATTTTGGACCAGCAGGCGAAATTACGGTTGCAGGAGCAGGTGGGGGCGTGTGGCGTGTGTGTGTGTGTGTTTCCCGTTGCGCCGCTTCCTCTGTCTGTTCCGCTCCATCGCCATCTTACAGCTTTTTGTCATCTGATTCGCCAATGTTCGCGGCCTTCAAAAAATTGTTCCGTTTGGTAATGGTGAATATGCTGACCCAATATATTTAAAATTAAAATACATATGTCGCGTATGTAACGTACTTAATGTATGACGTGTATTCATCTGAAGGTGATTGCGTCTCTTAAGGATCGTCTGAAGGAGCGCATCGACGAGGCCATGCAGCACGTCGTACCGGGTACGGTGTGTGAGAAGATGGTGGCGGCGGTCAAGGCCACATTGTACGACGCCAAGGACGTACATGGACTGCAGGTGCATACTGCGTATGGGTGTGTTGATTTTAGGGTTTGTGGTACTTTGCATTTGCTGAGCTTCTGCGGGCTTTGTGTGGGTGGGACTTTTGGGGCCGGCTTGGGAAGGGATGGAGGAAGGGGGGCGGGCTGCGGGAGGCGAAGGGGTAAGACGGGAAAAGAAGAGGGGGGGTCCTGCAAGCATAGAAACGAAAGCTAAAAAATTGAATAATTTCTCCCAAACACAGCCCTATCTGCTGCTGTGACCTGTTGGCAGTCCATCCTTCTGCACCAAACCTATTGAAGGTTTACCGTCCAATACTTTCTGAACTTTCCGTCATATTTTCCTCACATCTTCCGACTGGTTTTGGACTTCCCTCCCCTTCCCTCTCACCAACGCACGCGCAATGGTGTCGTAATGAATGCCGGGCAGCTTCGTCTTCGTCGCTTTATTGCTCCATTACGTTTATTGGACAACTGCAGTGGGTGCCTTGGGCGGTAGTAGGCAGTTGTTTCCCTTCTTGACGTTTGCATCACATGTTACCTCTCCTAAGTTGCTCCTCGTCTCTCTCCTTCCCTCCTTGCCCTGCTCTGATCTTTTCAGGAGACCCTGGCCCAGCTCCCGGAGCATCTGGTCAATGAGATGTGCAAAAACATCTTCCAAGTCTGCAAGGAGTTTTGGCCGGAGATGCGAGCCAGATGCAGTCAGCAGGTCGGCGGCTCAAACTCATGCCACATGACAGGCACCGCATGAACAGTTTCGACGGCGGGTAAACACGGGGGAACGATGCGTATTGTGAAGAGGACTGCGCGGACAGCTGTCACTTCAGCTGCGCTGGACAATGCGGGCTGAATAAGCCCCCGGGGTTCGTGGGCTTTTCGCAGTTGGGGCCCATGGGGTTTTATGTGGCGCGCCTTGATGAAGTCGATTAACGGAGGCCAGCAGGGGTCTTTAGGATTGCGGGAGTGAAATTGATGCTAAAGTGCGGGGTACAAGGCGCGATTGCAGTATTGTTAACGTACAAAGAGGTTAAGAGTTAGAAGGTTATTAATGAAGGTCTCGATCAGAGGTCGGCAAATCGGTTTCTATGGCTGCGGGGGGGCATAATTTTGGTCAGTAAACCTAAAAGAACTTTCTTTTCTTCACCAAGCCGAAGTACTCGTCGAACAGCATGCCGGTCTTAGGATCATCGAAAGTGACATCCAGCACTGCGTGTGACTTACCTGAAATTGAGGAGGGAAAGCGTTTTGGTAACTGCAGCCATATGGCAGGCGGCTTCAGCCGTACTATGAACACATGTACGGCAAGGCGCACCTGCGAGTCACGTTGAATCATCCATCTGCACGGCGATGAAAGTCAGTGACAACCGTCGCCGAATTGTGTATAGGTGGTCGTGACAGTTTTTTACAAAGCCAAACACAGACTCAAGTCCAGCGCTCAGCCCTAATAGAGGCTGCAAATCACGTCTTTTGGTCGAATTAGGGACCCGCAGCCGGGGCCTTAAGCTGAATTTCGGCTGCGGGTACCGTGGTTCAGACCCGCAGGACCCGCCTTATTTGCTGACCTCTGGTCTCGATGACTTTGACGACTGCTTGTTAGGAAAACAAAGGTCTGATAGAGCGCTAAACGGACCCTCTATCGAAAAGTAACCAAAATCAATTAATGATTCGCTTTGGCTCTGCTCGTCTGCCTTTCGGGGCATATGTCGCAGGTGTGTAGTAGGCATGAAGACATCAGCTTGTAACAGCTAATAACAAGTTTACTTAGCATATTACACATGCGTAAACTTGTAGCTGCGCTGCCTCTAGGTTGTGCGTAGATCAGGTTTACGCATATGTGATGTAACGCCGCTAGCAGGGATCTAGCCGATACCGAAACATGCGTAAATGGAAACCTGCGGAAATAGGTTTCTTCCCACTTTCCGCAGAGAGCCTAGAATGGCGAAAGATACGTTACGTTTACGTTTACAAGCTTCAAGCTTGTACGGTCCAGACGAGCCAAAAGGCTCATGAACGACGCAGACATGGTTGTTTGCCGTTTACCGATATACGATGACGAAGTTTGAGGGCGCACGTCGGAGCCTCAATTTTCTGTTTAAGCGTACTAACTGAGGCCGTGCGTCCAGTGAAGTTAGTACGGCCTGGCCGAGTTCTTTTTGAATAAGGCCCGCAGTGTTGTGCGGGAGGCGCTCCTATGGGCGCTGCACTCGACCCGTTCGGGGTCCACTGTAACAATCGCATCTCATGAACCGCCAAACTGGAAACAGGAACTCTAAAAAGAAAAATGCCAATACCCAACAATAACAGATTGATTAATCTTCAACGCACTGCAACCTGCATCTTCTAATGTCGTCCAGGACGCGCGCTAACCTGCGTTGATCCTTGACGCCCATAATCTCGATCATGCGGTCCCCAGGAGTAACCCCCAGGTCCCAAAGCTTCAAACGGATATTCGCATACGCAGGACAATCTAGCAGCACATGACATTCATCTTCAACAGCTTGCCGGTTCCCACAGACCCGGCACCACCGGGCAGACCGTTCCCTACCGTGCGGTCGATTAACCGCCAAAGGCCAAACACACATCCTGAAACGCATCAGCGTGACGTGCTGTTTTGGCGAGATATAGCCGCTGCCATGCTTGGGCAAACCCATGGGCAAACCCATCCAATGCTTATAGCGACACATCATGGCGAAAGTGCGGAACGCATTCCCACATTTGCAGTACGGCGGAAAGTCAAAATACAGTTCCACGCCTGCCATATATGTACGTGTGCTTACTTCACTATTGATATTACTTATTGATATTACTAAGGTAAATGTAAACACTTAGCGGCCCGCTAAGGCAGTCCTTCTGCTTAGCGGCCCAACGGTCATCGTACCAACGGTACACCTCAGAACTATTGAAAAACTTCCAATACCAAACGGAATTTATCAATACCACCCTATCGTTGGATCAGTATCATCGTAACTGCTTTGCCAACTGCTGAGCTTTGTTACAATTTTGGTATTGAGTCCAACCGGCCAAAAGGATCTCGGAGTCGGGTACTCCATCGCTTCCGCATCACATTGGCTTTACATTTTCTTCCCTGAATTACATGGCCAGCCCATCACGGAACCCGTTGCGCGCACGGACCAGGAACGTTACCAACTGTGCCAGGTGAGCCCCACTATGGCGAAAAATGCTGGTACAAAAGGTCCAGGCCGTCTATGACAAGACGTGAGGCGCGCCCGCGCAAGGGCATGACGCCGCCGTCACACCTTTTGAAACCCTAAGAAAGCTCGACGAGCAGGATCACCGCATCCTAACGGAAGCCAACGAAGCACTTTCTTTAGGCACGCAGAAAGGTCGCTAACTGTGGGATCGCCTTATTGCTGCTGCGGATGGCGCCAACTCTGTCGACACTCTTGTTGTTGCCGGTATTGCCGCAGCTGCGGTTAAGCGATCCCGCAGTTCGCGGCTTTTCTACGTGCATACAGAAAGTGCTGCGTTCGCTTCCATTAGAATGCCAAGGGCGGTGCGGTGATCCTGCTCGTCGCAGAGCTATCTTATGGTTTCAAACAGGTGTGACGGCGGGGTGATGCCCTTGCGCTGGGCGCGCCTGACGTACTTGTCATAGATGGCCTGGACCTTTTGTACCAGCATTTTCGCCATAGTGGGGCTCACCTGGCACAGTTGGTAACGTTCCTGGTCCGTCTCCGCCGACTGTGCGCGGAACGGGTTCCGTGCTGGGCTGGCCATGTAATTCAGGAAGAAAATCTTTGTTTAGCGAATGTGATGCGGAAGCGATGGAGTACCCGACTCCGAGGTCCTTTTGACCGGTTGGCCTTAATACCAAAATTGTAACAAAGCTCGCCATGAGGCCCAGTTTGAGGTTTGGCAGCAAGTACTGCTCAGCACCACGAACTTCACGTTCCAGGCACCCAACACGAGAGACTTGCCTCGCCACTTCGGCCCGTTCCCCATCACTGGTGTGTCGCGTCATGCGACTGTAGCATCGAACAAAACACGTGCGTATGGCGAAGCAGCGGTTCAATTGCAACTACCAGCACACTTGCACATGCAGGACATGTACCAAGTCTCCAGACTGAAAGCCTTCAAGGCTGGCAGCAACACGGCACCTCCACCTGCGATTCCCGCAGCTGCGGGTGAATATTTGTGGAACATTTGTGGTCCATGCCCACTGACAGCCTTAAAGCGCCATGTGGCCAACACGTGCTAAGGTTTTCATTCCTCGTTTAGCACATCGTAAGCTAATGCTGTTTCGTTTATGTTGCTGGGCTCTGGAGGCAAACAGAAGAGCACGAAGGGGCAAGTACCATGTCCCCGGGGAGCAGCGGTTTTGCCGCTGTTGTGGTACTAGTAGCCAAATCGAGTATGAAAAACACGTGTTATTGGAATGCCCAGCCTATAATGATATTCGTGTGGAAGAGGGATTCGATTTTCAACAGAGCATGTTGGAGGCCATGAAATGGGAACCAGTTCGTCTGGCGAGGATGTTGGAAAGTATGTGGCACCGCAACTCAGTTATCCCCTTTGGCCGGTAGTCTAGACTGATAGTGCGGTGTTTCCTGTTCTCCGTGGCTTTTAGGCGTATAGATATTGCCCTTGGGCCTTCGGCTCGTTTGGGTAGTCTTACAGGTATGGGGTCACGCACCCCCAACCATGTAACACACACATATCACCACATATCACCAGTCCGGTGGCACAAACTGGGCCCAGAGTATGACTCCTGGGAGTCCGCAAAGGGCTGCAACCAAGGATGCCCAGAGGCAGTCCACACATACCATGGAAAATTGCACGCTAAAGGTGTGCCTCTACCCTAAATATCCACCTCATCTTCACGGTGCCCTGAGGACCGGTTCACAATCAAGAGGGGGGAAATGTAACGCCGCTAAGGCAGCCCTTGGCTCACTGGGCCAACGGTCATCGTACCGACGGTACACCTCAGAACTATTCATAAACCTCCAATTCCAAACGGTATTTATCAATACCACCATAATCGTGGGATAAGTATCTTCATAACTGCTTTGCCAATTGCCGAGCTTTGTCACATGTGACCTGACAGGTGATGTCCATGTGAAGGTTTGTCTGCGGCAAGTCCTTTCTTTATTTTCTGGATTTGTGTCCTGTCTCTCCGGCTGGTTCACGATGAGACCTACGTTTTGAAAGTGGATGGCTGGCGTGGGGCTTGGAATGAGGGATGCTGATGCATGAGCGAGGAAGCGGCCCCGCCCCCAAACAACGTGAGATGCGCTCTGCCGCTCTGAAAGTCGTCACTCACGTATGGTCCCGTGCGTGTGTCTATCCGTCATGTTGTACGGCAGTACCTAACGAAGAGTTGTGTATAGCTAGCAAAGCTCTCGGACGCATCTATGCTTACAGTATGTCTGTCCGTGCCGTGGAGAGCGGCGTGCGATAGGCTTCGAAGTCTTTAGCATGGAGTACGGGGTGACTGGATGTTCACTCCCTCCCTCAGTAGTTGCTAATGGTCTGTAGGTCTGTCGAAACGCGCGTGGGCCAAATCAAATGTACCGTACAGTTGTGCATGGCTAGTATCGTCTCTCAGCGTTCCTTCACGGCGCAGGCATTGCTGCAGCAAAGTGAATCCTGTGGATCGTGGAACTAGCATTGCGGATTGCATGGCCAACCGCCTGGCGGTTGCCATGGGGCCGCACGCAATCACCTAGACACAAGCATTTCTAGGTTCGTTCACATGGTATGGTCGAGCTGTCGTTTGCATGTCAAGATGCTTGTCATTAAATTTGAACATGGGGCCGAAAGGCGGTGTCCACATCGCTCAGTTTGGGCCTATGCTTTCGTGTGGCTCACGGACCTATCGAGCGGATTAGGCGTTCAGAAGGCCTAAGAAGCTTAAAGTTGTATGTCAGCCTTGTCACTGAAACCTGTATGCTGAGATGTCGCGCAGCAGTGCAGCATACAAGTCGGCTTGCAACCGCAGGGAAAGATATGCAGTTGTCCAGTGGCATGCAGGGAGCCGACAATACCGTGGATAAGTATTTACTTATGCGGTTCCATTACAAAGTTGTTGCCCTACTCGGCAACTAGTTGTGCTGGGTCGGTTGCGCATGTTTTTTAAGGGGCCCCCTAAGTCCTTAGTTCGCAGTGTAGCATGGCATAACAGATATGTCTTGACCCGGAAATGAAGCAGCAGCACGGCCTGCAGTATGCAAAGTATGGCGGGACCATGAATTGGTTGTCCTGCAGCCGCTTAAAATACATTCCGTCCTTGGGATGCATGAAAAGTCAAACTTTTGTTACAAGCTCCCACAGTTTTGACACCTGCAAAACTCTTTGTGCGTCTTGTTGTAAGAAGTTCCCAAGCCAAGTCCGCGGCCAAGAGCCAAGCGTGGGCTTGGCGCGATATGATATACACCGCCTTAGACAACTTTTATCTTACTGACGAGGAGCTAGCTAACAGCCCTTCAAGGAAGCACGATATAGACGAGGAGACAGAAACGACTCTGCGCATCTTTGGTTGCGAACTTATCCAAGAAGCTGGCATTCTGCTAAAATGTCCCCAGGCCGTAATGGCCACGGGGCAAGTCCTCTTCCAAAGGTTTTTTTGCAGGAAGAGCATGCGAGAGTTCAACGTTCGGGTGAGTGACGGCTGGGCAAGATTGAGGCGGCTGAAGGCGCGATGCAGCCGACTAAGTTTTTCTTATTTATCCTTCAGATTTTGGGGCGTTCCTATTGCGTCTCCGGCTCCCCCGTTTGTGCACGGGTACTTGAAGACAGATCCTGGGCTAACGTATTGGTAACCTTTTGGCCCTTCTTCCGTGCAGCGCATGGCCTGCGCATGCTTGTTTCTGGCGACGAAGCTCGAAGAAAACCACAGACGTACGCGGGATATCTTAATGGTCTTTGACCGCATTAATAAGCGACGTGATGGCAGTAAAAGTATGCCGTTACTTATACCGGAAACAAAGGTGAGTGCTACCGTGCTATACGCGAGGCCGGCTTTTAAGCTCGTGTGAAAGGCGGATTTACCTTGGCGTGAGGCTGCCAGGGGGGCGTAAGGAGGGAAATGCGTGGTCCTTTCTCTTTCTTCCTCGTGTCAGGCTGTCGACACATGTTCCCATGCAGCATTAGCTTGGGCACACCTGAACAGCCCCTCCGCCTGTGTTGCGCAGTTGCTGACGCGTGGAAGATGGTGGTGCTGGTATCCGGTGCGTATGTAGGAATACGACGTGATGAAGGAGCGCGTCATCACCTACGAGCGGATCCTGCTCAAGACCTTCGGGTTTATCATCCATGCGGTCCACCCGCATAAGTACGTCAACAGCTTTGTGCACAGCCTGGACGGTAGCGGCGAGCTTCAACAGCTGGCATGGAACATGCTGAACGACAGGTAAGACAATGGGTCATACCCGAAGTATTATGCGGCGTCTGTCTGGCAAGGCGGCGGCAGTTGTGCTGATCTCTTTGGCATGCCTTCCATATCCCCCGCTAATGCAGCTTGCGCACGACGCTGTGCGTGCGCTTCAAGGCCCATGTGGTGGCGGCGGGTGCTATCTACCTCGCAGCGAGGAGGCTCCAGGTAAGCGTGTAGTGTTGACAGTCCAGGATTTTGGCATGGAAGTCCGCAATCTGCCTTTTAGAAGCATGAATTTGTTACAGTTCAAACCTTGCTGGTGCTAATGCCCGCGAGGACTAGTGTTAGGATTACAGCAACAAAATTGCTCCTGTCATTGTGCAGGTCCCATTGCCGGAGAACCCGCCGTGGTGGGAGGCATTCAAGGTGCCCACCGACCAACTCGTCCAGGTTGTCTTAACCCTGCACAACGTGTACCAGCGACCGAAGGCGCACTACATTGAAGTGAACCCTGACGTGATTAAGCAGCAGCAGGCGGTTAGCGGCATGGGCATTGTTAAGCAGCTCACGCCGGGGCTCGAGGGTAACGACAGCCCTGCGGCGCAAGACTCGAGCGTCATTCGTGGGGGACCTGACTTGGCGTCTCAGCAGCAGGGGCCGCCCGCAACAGTTGCTCCTGTGGTAACGTCGACAGCAGGTCCTCCTGGTGCCAGTGTGGCAGCCGATATGTTGGCTGCTGCCGTAGCGGCGGCGCAACAGCGCTTACAAGGGGGAGCACTTGCGGCAGGCGCCCCAGGTACAGCATCTGCGCCGGCAACGGCAGCCGCGGCGGCTGTGCAGCAGCAACGGATAGAAACAGACGTCGTGTCTACCGTTCAGCAGGTGCGCTGACAGGTAGTGAGCTGGTGTGGCTCTTGATAACCGTGACGTTACCTCGCCCTCCAAACCTGTGGCGCTAAAGATAATTTTTTGGCCTTTGCGGATACCTGACTTTCCAGGGTGCGAATGGTGCCACGACGACGGGCGGCGCTGGGCAGGCGAACGGCGGAGGCGCAACGTCCACATTGGAGGGGATGGCTCAGTCGAGGAAGCGGAGTAGGAGCAGAAGTCAAGACAGGACCAGATGGCGCAGCCGCAGTTCGTCGCGCAGTCCATCCCACAGCCGGAGCAGGAGTTTAGATCGAGACCGCGATCGGGAGCGGGAACGGAGCCGTCGCAGCAGAAGCAGGAGCCGCGACCGGGAGCGGCAAAGGTGCGCTGCGTTGATACCTGAGAGCACATTCGTCTTGGAATTGCATCTAGTATTGCGACGAGGTTAGTGTCTAATGCAACTATTTGCGGTTGCTTCTTTTCTTCGGTCTCCCATCCACACGACAGGGACTCTCACCGAAGAGATGGCATCAGGCGTGATCGCCGCAGCCGCAGCAGGGATCGACGGGACCGCGACCGGGATCGGGACCGGCGGGATCGGGACAGGGAGCGCGAAAAGGAAAGGGACCGTGGTGACAAGGACCGGCGAGAGCGCGACGTGAAAGTTGAGCATCGTGGTCGAGACAGGGAAAAGGAGCGGGAGCGAGGCATCGAGAAGTTGGGAGATCGGGAGACGCGGAGCACGGGCGCAAACAGGGACGAGTCGCGAGGTGAGTGCGTTCACCCTCCATCCACCCTGCTGTAAGCATCCTTGGACTATCACACGCCCGATGATGTCTATCGATATATACGCTATTCCTAGGGGACGCTTTCGCAGCGAACCTGAGCGGACAGATACTTGCAATGAGGGCTGTGTTTTCTGCAAAATTACCCGTGCTGTGTCAAGACCATTACGACGTTTCGTTGGCTGTCAAATTCCCACATTTTCAATGTTCACGGTATCCTAGGGTACGCTTCTCTGGTCAACACCAAGCGGACAGAATGAAGGTCTTACCCCGTGTTGTGCCATGCACATCGTAATTTACTGTTAATTCATCAGCATGACTTATTCCTCGGATCGTCGCCCAATGATGTTCTATCAATATATACGCTATTCCTAGAGGACGCCTCCGCGGCGGACTTGGGCGGACAGATACTTGCAGTGAGGGCCTTGCATACTTGTCAGACTCGTTTTTAAATCACAATCTCTTGCACATTACCACGTGTCCGTATATTCAATACTTAATGGCTCTCCTGTGTACCTGTGCTTTTGTCTTGGCTGTCCCCGTAGACCGGAGAGACGATGCCCTTCAACTGCCATTACTTTTGCCGCCAAGGCATCCAGACCGACATCGCCGATGAGAGTCTTGACTGGACCTGCACCAACCCAACTTTCCGGCGGACCTAAGGTTGTCTGTACCAGTGCTCAGGTGCAAACTCGTAGCCTTCAAACATACACGCTGGTTTTGGTTCGGACGTTTTTGTTACGGTTTTCAACACGTTAAGCTGCGTGCGCTGGGGCCAACGGCGCAGGTGGGACGTCGGGAGCAGGGTTTGCATTACCTGAGCCCGAACTGTGCGCAATCCTGACTGCACATCGCATTTTTCATCCGAAAATATAAAAACCCAAAAGACAACGCATTGTTGTTAATACTGTTATGACTGATCGTGTTCGTGTCAAGGACGGAGCGAATTCTCCTTTGCCAAGAACTTTTGTGAGCAGGAGCGGAACACAGCGGTCGGGAGGCCGGTGTTGACAGTTTTTGAGGCATACCAGGTGCGAAGTCGCGGTCGGCCCACACAGGGTGGTGGCGGCAATAGGGAGGAGTGCGTCTTGGGAACGTACGAGGGCATGGGCATTAAGGACTGCGCGTCGTGTCGGAGGTTGGTGCCTTCGTGGCGTGTATCTAAACTTGTATCCTCATATGTGCCTCTGGTGCATTATGCGTGCCATGGGCTCATGGCTCAACTAAAGGAGCCGCAGCGCGGGGCCCCTTATGTTAACTTTCTAGTTCTACCAGTTTCTGCGCGTGTTTTGGCGCACGTGGCAGGGCGTATTTGTTGTGGATGAACGGCGCGGCGTATCCCGTCATGCGCAGGTGCTGTGCAGGCGCATGATTGCTGGCGCCGGCAGCCGCATGGTGAGAAGAGCCTTTTCAACGGCCTAACGTGCCAGGAACGTTGACATCGAGCATCTTCTACTTTTGGACTTCTAACGCCTGCCAGCTTGTGGTAGGTAGGTGTGTTTGGTGCATTTTCACGACGGTTTGTTGGACGTCGATCGTGGCGAGTGAGCATGAAGCGGAATCTGGTTAATTCATTATAAACTTCCTCCGAATGTATGCTCGACGTGTAAGTACAACGTTATAATCTTAACCACTGGTTATGGCAGCAATGGACAGCAGCCTTAAAAGAAAAAGCTTCACTTCAGGTACGATCATTTTTGGCGGGGGCCCCAGCGCGAAAAGCCCCATTATCTCGCCCAGCTGTTAAGCCTTCTGCATAACCTTGTCTAAGCTCTATGTCTCTATTTCAAGGTATCTTTCCTGTAGCTGAGAAACATCAAACAACAAGTTTGCGGGTTTCTTGGACCGAGGGTCAAGGTAACATCACGTTTCTCGCGCTATATTACGGTTCACACGATGCCGTGTTTCGTATTGAAGGAACATGCAGTTGACGACCTTATGCGAATCGAACATGCAATTTGCGCGGACATCTCTCCGCGACCTTTGCGGCGGCTTGCCGTGCCCATGGCCTTGCGCATTACGATTTGATTAGCGTTTCCTTAAAGAGATTGTATTTTATGAACAAATGCTACGCAAAGCTTAAGACCTTCGCGGGACCCCACCAGTGCAGCAAGGCGCTGTCTGCTATAGTGCGTTCATCTTCACCGGTCGGCGCTTTGGCGGTCGGATGTGTCCGACTTGTGTTCAGTAAGCTGGAGCCGTATGGAGACGTTCGGAGGTGATGTCCCGAATCTGGCCGCCGTACTGGCATGCACCCGGTATCCACGAGTTCAGCGCACGGTACTGCCGATTCCCATTCTCAAAGTCTCGATTGGGTCGGCGACTGACGCGCGCCAGAATTACGACGGATTAGCTTCCCGAGTGCTCTTGTAATGTGTGCCGGCTTACGGAGTGCTTTCGCAAAGTGCGCCGACCTCTGCACAGCGAGACAGCCCAGCAGTTTGCGCACATGTGGCTAAGCGGTAGGCCTGCACGGATTAAAGGGGCCTTTTTCCGGCTTTCTGCCGACGCAGCCTTGTGGTAGGGTAGGACCATCAGGCCATAACGGATAGTGCACTGCACTGCAACACCTCAGACGGAAACGCAACCTTTAACAGCAATACAGCTCACCCCGAAGCTTGAGAGGCTCTGTCTGGAGTGACTTTGCCACCCACTACTCAAGAGGTAGCCTGAAGGGGCCCCAAGAAGCAGCATAAGGTATCAGTTCCCAATAGGGGCAATTCTCAGGGAAACAGCAAGCCGCGGCTTGAAATCATGGACACTCCCAAGGCACATAAAATCAGGACAGCAGAAATTAGCAAAACTTGTATAGGAAACACAGCTTCATGTGGAGCCTCACACAGAGACACCCAGAAGTTTACCAAAGGTTTGGACCCAAACCTCTGGATGCATCTGCTCTTCGCCACCTGCAGCCGCATCATTCTGCGGCCACATTCCATGGCGCTAGGATCCTTAGGACTACACCCCAAGCACATTGTTACATATCCGTCAGGGCAGACACCAGCCACACTTGCATTCGCGTTATCGCTTTACCGGTAGACAATGTTCAACAACCTATTATCACTTGTGTAGCCAGGCATGCCCAAAAGTGATGACGGCGGGGTGATATGCTCTGTTGATAGGGGTGGTGGATATATGGAAGCGTAGTGGCGCCTTACTGTTGGGGTGTTACACTGTTGGCGGCTCGCCCCGAGAAAAGGACGAGCACCGGGGCCCCTGACCGGGGGCCGAAACACAGCGCAGGGGCAGGCGCGCGGCTCTACGTTCCTCCGTGCGCGCCTCACTCCCTCACTCACGCCAACCGGGACGCTCTCCCAGCCCCTGGCTTGGCAACGCAGCGGCCCAGAAGACTGCAAACCGAACTAAGCGAGAGCCGCACGAGGTGGCAAGGCATCTGCCGGAATGGGTTGTGTCTTCTCTTTAAGTGTAATATTATCCTGTAAAATAACTGGTGGGCTAACAATGCGTTTGTACTGCATGTCGGAGCGGTGCCTCGACGCACCGTAAATGTTTCGAGGCTGATTGCTCGAGATCCCTCTTGCCTCCAACCTAACCTCCCAGGAGTTGAGTAGCTTGTATGAGGGAAGGCGCAGATGCGGGTTTCTGCAAACCTGACTGGCCGATGGATTGAAGAGCCGCCGTCCGCCATTGATTTGGTACATCACCTAATAGGGCCTCCAAAGCACTCGTACAATCGTGTGCCATTTTCGGAACTAAAGGACGTGACGTGCATTATTAGTTTTGAGCGTTCAAGCAATATTGCACTGCCCTGGCCTTTCCACTGCAAACTCTACCGCCGTCATCCCGTTCATACTTCTTCAGGATATTATTAAGAACATTATATGCATGCAAAAATCACCTAGTGTTAAACCCCAACAACCCAACAAGACCTCTAGACAATATTTCAACCCTGGACGAACACGCATGGGATTAGGTACTACATCCTGACGTATGTGGGAGCAATGGGTTCCCCCTCATGGGGGGACGTTGCAGCACCATGGGCCCGGTTCCAGCTGCAATATCCTCCACAGGGGGAAGAACTGCTAACGCCGTGTGGTGTACACAATACGCATTCATCAGTTAATCCCGCCCATGTAATGCGAGACGATATAAATCTCAAAATGTCCGTCTGCATCACACAGCTCGACTTCATTTTTTCATTTTGCTTTGCCCTCCAGCTGTGCTTGATGGCCCTACAGATAAGGTTCATGGTGGGCCACGTGGGGAGGATGTCGCCTGAGCCCTCGCCAAGCCAGTCTTCAGAACCACCTTGATGCACCCATCAGTCTGTACACCGAGGGATCATGGACAGAAAGCACGAGTTACTACAGCAAAACGTTGCAACTACCTTCACCACTTTCAGAGGAACACAAGTAAAAATACAGCGGAATGTTGCATCTGCCATCGACGACCTTCACCTCCTTACTTTGTCGTTGAACATCTTGTAGGCGTGCGGAGCGTCCTCGATAGGCAACTCGTGCGTTATAACCATCGTGGGATCCAGCTTGCCTGTCTTAACCATATCCAGCAGCTGGTGCCAATATTTCTGAGGGAATAAGAAGCGTCGTTAGGATCAGGAATCCGAGCTCCGAGCGTAAAGCGCAATCAGATTATGCCTTACCTCTCCTGCATCTGATATGCGACCTGCGCTGTATCTTATCCACTGACATAACAAGCACCTAAGAACAAGTGCTGACGCCACCCACTTCGTACGGCTGCATGCAAGCATGAGATACACGCACCTGTACTGGAGTCTGGCCAGCCTTGAGGGTAAGGCCCTTCTCCATGAAGGCTCCAATGTTGAACCTGCACAACCGCCATAAGCCCCGATGCCGTCGATGCTGTAACGATGCTGCGCTGCATCATGTTTTGTAACATGGGTAATGGTTTGGTGATGCACATGGCTTACCCATTCGTCAGGCCAACGTACACACCAACGCACGCGATGGTTCCACCCTTGCGGCAGCAATAGATGAGCTCATTTAAAATGTCGGCTGTGTCCGTCTCCATCATCGTCTGGAACGTAACGTTTTGCACAGGGAGGTTGTTATCAGCGTTGGCATATGCACACATCCATCGACACCGCCTATCAAAGCGTTTAGCGTTTCATCCTTCCGCCTGATTGCGTACCTTGACCATAGCGGCGTGTGCGATGCTCTTGCAGTAGTGAAAGCCGACTGCCTCAACGCATACATCCGGGCCACCGGGTACAATACGCTCTAGAGCCTCTTTAACCTGCAGGGTGAGGCACGTGCGTGGCAAGGGCTCGTCCCTGTTCCGGTGCAAGAGTGAACTACCATCTGGGCAAATGGTGGCGCAGGTTATGCAGGGGACAGGCTATTTGTCCCCTCTGCTCCGGCCACCTGGCAGAAGCCACGGACGTGGCGGCGTCTGTCTAGACCCTCTACCAGCTGCACCGCACGACCTTGGTTAATGCCACGGTACATTTCGAGTGACCCCTGGGCACCGCGTCTAACCCATGCTGCCAGGCTCTCACTCCCTGCATCTTTGCCAGCACCTTTTCCTTTCCGAAGTTGATCGTAATCAGGTCGGGGATCTTGCTGACGGCGTGGTCCAGGCGGTATTGTTGGGCGTCGATGAGGATGGTCTTGTCTGCGCCGCGAACTTGGCAGCTGTGGGCCGCGAGGATGCCCACTGCATGAGTATTATGCAACCGGGAGGAGGATGAGCAGGGTAGTAGGGTTATTGCCTCGACTTGTCCCAGGGTCAGCCTGCATTTGACAATGGAGCTCTGCAGTCCGTACGGGCCTGGCTCCCATGCCGTACAACATTGCTGAATTCAAGGTATATAAGCTAGCCAGCTTGGCAACGTTGGCGTTGTCCTTCTCACGGCTCACGGCGCTAGGCCACTGCTGGGAAAGGAGTGTTCTTAAACACGTCGCACCTGGGCCAGCTCCCCAAATAGCCACCGTCTTGCCAGGGCCGACTTCTCCCAACTCGCTCGCAAACCAGGCAGTGGACATGATGTCCGACAGGAACAACACCTGCAGTCGCAGCAGCAGGACGCCGAGAAAAATACTGCTGGTCTAGGGTTGCCCCCAGGTGCTGCATTGCATGTTGCGGTAACCGAGCTCTGTGGCATCCGTCACATCGCAATGCGATGTTTGTCCCAATCAATTTCAGCGCGCTTAACGATGTCTGAATGATGTTTTAAAGGCTATCAATACAAGACTAGGCTATATCTATAATCCGGACCCTCAGGAAAGTGCATGGAACACATGACGGTACGCCTGCATCCAAGACTAAATTTCGGCCCTTTCCCCCCTTGTCATCGGTCCTGCAATACATGCACGCCTGGGTGGCTGCCACCATGCTACGTAACTTCATCCTCCAAATCCCCACGCGGGGCAGGAAACGCACCCACGTCTCTTCCCACCGTCTCTTCCCACGCACCTGGTCATCCGTGAGGTCGGTCGGCACGTGGAGCAGGTTGTTGTCGGCTGTTGCCATGTACAGCGGTGAAACAGCAAAAGCGTAGCAGCCGCAGCCGCGGTGGATGCAAATGCTGGCAACAGGGGCTTTCTAAACTCATCACCACAACAACGTCGCTCTGGTCCATAGCACCATCATTAAGATACCCGCCCACTGAATACGACGTATGACGGAGACACTCGGACCCATGCGCAGCTGCTAGACCCTGCTCCCTCAACGTCTCCACACGCCTTCTGACACTCTTATGAAACTCTGAAGTCCGAACCCCCGTCTGTAGTGTAGTCATATGCACCATGCCGAATCAAAGCATCAGGGTAACCAGTGCCGCGAGCACCCCCGCCCTATTCCGGATATGGTTCAAAATGTTTATGTCTCATCACTGCTCAGGGCCTCACCGAAGGGCACTCGCACGTAATCCGCCTGGCCGCCCTCGAAGCCGCCTGTCACGTGGGCATAGCCGAACAAGCCCGCGGTGCTGCAGGCATCGCATCATGATTTTGGGGGATGGCGAGGGGTTAGTAGAGGCGGTCAGCAGTGGACAGCCTACTACAGCCTACTACAGCCACCAGAGCGACAGTCTCTCGACGTTGCCTACCTACGTTATTACCATTGCCACCACAATTGGAACAGTCGCCGCCGACGCCGCGTGAAAACTACCTCATAACCTCAAAACTAACCCACCGTGCGCCGTACAGCATCTCCTGATCCTTGGAAGGATTGGTTACATCACAGCCGCTGAAGGCACCTCGCTGGCAGCTGCGACAGCTCCCGCACGCGATATCGAAACACGCCACCACGCGGTCCCCGGGGCGCACATTGCGAACCTGTGTGTGGCGAAATGTAATTAGGGTTAATTTGGGTGGACCCCTTGTTTGAATGAGGTGAGGTGAGGTGAGGTGAGGAGGCGTTGAATAGGATAGATATGCCGTTTGAGACGGTATCAGGGGCATCAGGGGCTTCCCTGGATTGGTCCGTGTACACGTCGTCGCTAAAGTACCAAGTCACGGGAGCCATCAAGTGAGAAAACATGCTTTTGGGGAGGGGGGTTTTGCGGCCCCCCTAAGAAGGGAAAACAACTGCCGAAGACAAACGTTGGCTGAAGGGTGACTGGGATCGATGTCCCTCGTGTCTCCTCCTGCGGGCTGAAGAAGTTATCTTCCTTTTCCTACAAACCCCAACAACGGCCAACCAGCCCCAACCACCAACCACCCTCGCACCTCTCCCCAACATACGCCCATGCACACGTGTAAAACGTGTGCATGTACGTATGCTCCTTCTGAACAACCGACCATTAAGCATACATACACATACACACCACCGGGCTTCAGAGCTGTGCACTCGTAAGGGGGCCTACCTAAGAGAGAGAGAGACAGAGGACCGAACCGCACCTCGGGGCCCACGGCCTCTACGATACCCATGAACTCGTGACCCAGGATGTCGCCCTTTTGCATTCCCGGAGCACTGCCCAGGTAGAGGTGCAGGTCGGAGCCGCAAATGGCAGTGCTGCTGATGCGCAACACCGCGTCGTGCTGTGGAGCCAGGGGAGAGTGGGAAGAGGAGGGAGGACGGAGGCACGTAGGGAGGGGGTGTGGGGAACAGAGAAGCAGAAATCCCTCTCTTCCCTTAATGTGCGGCTTAAAGGAATGAGATCGCTGCGGCACCAAACTAGGAGCGCGTGTTCAGTTAATTGCAGGACGTGATGTGCCAGGAAAACATTCGCCTTCAAAACGTTCTTCCTTTACGACATGTCAAAAAGGTAAGCAGCGTAGCCGTCGCGAGGTACCAGCGGCTTTGGTCAAAGTGGTTTTGGTTGCGGCGCTTGGTAAGTCGCCTTTTCCTGAATCCACCACATACACACACGCGAAGGCCAAAGCGCCTGGCACGCAGTCACCCCTTCCACTTCACATCGGGCGACTCCGCGTCGCCGAAACCACAGCCGACAGTCCCCTAAACTCGCGCCAGTTCCCCCAGTCCCCCCAGTTCCCCCCAGTCCCCCCAGTCCCCCCAGTCACATCTCGTGGCCTGCACGCGGCGCACCGGGTCGGTGATCAGGGGTCGCGGCCTCTCCTCCACCACCACACTCCGCGGGCCCTCCCAGCACACCGCCCGCATGGTGTGCTGGGGGTCCTTGTTGGACGTAACCGTCACACCGCCCGAGGTACGGATCACTCGGCCCCCCAGATTTCCCCCGGAGCGCTGACAAGCCGTGAAGCAGGCAGCCGAATACCGGACCCGGGCGCAAGAAGAAGACGGCATAAGGGAGGAAGTGAAGAAGGGAAGGAGGGTTACTAGGGTTGGGAAAGGAAACCCCGCCATGTTGCGAGCATAAGACATGTACCTGTGTGTTTTGCTCCAGGGGGTGCCCCATGAGGTCCTGCAGGTTTCCACCTGTGTCCACCTGCTGGGGGTGGGGCCCGCCAGGAGAGGGAGGGAGGGGCGGGGAAAGACGAACCACGTGAAGGAGTGAAGCTGATGCCCAGGCTGGACTGATGCGCCAGAAGTAAGGAAGCCATAATTAACCAGTCGGGGCTTGTGAAGAGGTGGGGAGGGAAGGGGAGGGATTCAAGGTTACCAAGTGTGATAACCCTTTTATTTCCTCATCGCGTCCTAGTCGGGCCGCATTTTAAGTAGAAACCAAAGAGTTGCCATCTCCTTTGGTTTACCCCCTTTCTGTCCTCATCGACGTTCGCCGGCGTGCACCTACCTTCAAATCGATTGCAATCAATGCGTTCAAACGCAGCAATGATATTAGGCAGGAAGACAGATAGATGGCTGGACAAGCAAGGCAGACATAGGCTTGCATGACATCAGTACCGACGGGCTGCCATGCACATGTCGGATAGCACGGTGTAAACGCCGAGGCTGGTGGTTGTTCGGGACTTTCGAGCCATTAACTGACTAAGTGACCCACGGGTCATTACCTCAAAGGATGTTATTTTCCTGGGTGTTTCTCTGTCTGCAACGTTATGCTGAGCAAACATGCAGCTGCAGCAGCATCAGCAGCAGGAGCAGCTACTGCTTTAACGCTGAAGACTGTTTCCATGTGTTTACCTGCGTCTTGCACTCGCCACCGCTGCCGGTGACGGCCGTCTTGAGGCTCTCCATCGCTCTTGTGACTACGTCCATTGCGATATTACGGTTTCTAATTACATGCAGATCTCCACTGCATACGCGACGCGTTTAATGCACGCCTGTGTTTCCAGAACACGAAGTGAAAGAAAGAAATCGTCAAACAGCCAAGCCGCAGTGTGATGTAGCTTCTTATATGACCCGCCCGGTGTTTTACTCGATATCCTTCTTCGCCCATCAGTGCCTACGTCCCGGTTACTGGTACGGTGAATAATATTTCTGCCAGCGCGGCAAAGGCATGACGACATGTCTGGTCAACTGGGAACACGGAAAAACAAGATCCTTGGACATCTCATCTTAAAGTACCGGATAGGTCAAATAAGGCTGACAGAGACAGCAAAAGAGAAAGGACTGAGGAATGGAGGGGATCTGACTTGCAAGGGGAAAACGCGCGCTCCGTTTGCTACAAGCGCAAACCACCAAGTACGAGCTCTTTAAGTTTACAGGCCCAGCGGCTCAACAACATGGCCGTGCATACTAAGTTCCAGCCCTGCACCATGCCGTTACCCCTCAACCGGCTTTTTACGTCAACTATAGCCCTTGCAGCAAAGGTGCGCCAGTCAAGCGACCGAGTAAGCCGGGCATGCGACGCATCCATTTTTTCACACAAAACTTCACGCCACGCGAAAACGTACTGTAAGCGTCGTTGTTTCCTTAAGAACAGCAAAGCAGCTATACTAAAAGTCTGACTTTCCTTAGCGTGTACATGTTCGAGCGCCTAGGTAACCAAAAAAGCACTAAGCTGTGCCGCTGATGGCGTGCTGCTGCAGATCCCTACGCCGAGGTTTGTCATCCCCATCACGCAACGGATGTGCCAGCCTTTCCACCATCGTTCCAACGCGTCACCACCGTCATCACCACCACCACCATCCTGTAGTCACACATATACACGCACCACACAACACCACTTCCCCCCCAATGCTCTTCAGGGCCATTTTTTGCATAGGGGCCCTCTCCCCCCTCGTCGGCCTCATCCAGTTCGTAGGAATCCCCACTACCACCCGCCCACCCGCCACCACCCAACCAGCATCCAGCGCAGCCAGGAAACGCAACCCATCCCGCTAAAAGCCAGACCCACATTGCGCCTTTGGCTTCTTCCGGTATCGACGGCCCCCTGCCCTCCTACCTGCAGCCCGCTGCTGCTGTCCTTCTCCTTCTCCTCCTCCTCCTCACCCTCTCCCGCCTGCTATTACATGCTATAGTACTTAATTACGCTACTACCACCGCCACCATCGCCACCACCACGACAATAGGTATGATAAACTTCCGTTCTCCAACCAAAACCACCGCGGCCACCAGACGCTGTACAGCAACAGCAAAAGGGCAGAACGGGAGTTGTACGGCGACCCCTCCTCCTCACAGCTCCCGGAGCACCGTGGTGGGCCTTATGTACTCCAGCAGAGTGTTATCAGCTCCGGGATTAAACCTAAAGCTCTCCGACAGGAACTGCTGTTTGCGGCCCCGTGTTAGGGCTGCCAGTGCGGCGTCCCGCGCCTCTGAAGCGGTTCGCACGTTGTTGGACGCAAAGACCAGCTTGCCCTCGAAGAACATGAGGAACATGGGAACCGTACGGAAGCCGTACTTGTCCTGCAACGTGTTGCCCTCGCTGGCATCCACCTTGTATATCTGTCGTCGCATGTCGTCCCGTGGGGCCGGTGTACCGACAGGTACCGGGGGGCACACGCAAGCACACATTGGTTTCGCTCACCACATATTCGTAAACAACAGCTCAACCAGCATGCCCGTGATACTCCACCCTACTACTCCACCAAGGTGGTGTCGGTTACACCATCACCCAAATTTCCCGTGGCACAAGGACCTGGAACAAAGACATGGTGAAAAACACACAAGACATACAGACAACAAGGCTGTAAAGTCTAATTACAAACACAGGTGTCACGAACACGAATTATGTCACCCCGTTACGAACGTAGTTGGTGGATGCTACCCGCCAGGTAGGGAAACCCCAGGTACAGGAGTGAAGTGTACCCACATATGTGTTTTTGGGTAGGAGGCCCCAGAAGGGGCGAGGTGGACCCTCTGGTGAACAGGGAATGTTTTCATTTCACCATGTCTTTGTTCCAGGGGTCCCCACGGCGCCCACACCTACACTGTTTCCCGTACCTTTATCCGAGCGCTCTCGCTGCCACTCCGCGCCGCCCCTTCCTCCACAAACTGCCCATGGGCCGCTTCAATCTGCGCCTCCACCCGTGCGCACACCGGGTTCCAATCCGCCAAGACACAGAGCACGATGAGCGTGTCGGAGGGCGCCGTCTGACCAAGGACCTGCGACTCAAGGTCTCGGAGTCGCATGTACGGCAGCTTCATGCGCCTGCGGGCGGTTAGGTGTTGGTTGGCATGGTGTAGAGGGAGTTGTGAGAAGATGTGGCGCGAAGCCGTTTCTAAGAATTTTTGACCAAAATCCATGAGACGTCGGGCATTTCAACCAAGTCCCAAGGCCCCGGCCTCATCAGCTTGACACACAAGCGCTTCCTATGTGATTCCCTCTCCCTCCAACCCCAAAGCCCCCCTCCACGCCTGGTCTCTCTTCCCCCACCTTCGCCATCTACCAACCAGTAGCCCCCAGGACTCTCCACATTCCCCACAACCCCATCCCGCACACAAAACCCCTTACTAAAACCCCTGAACCCCCACCTGGCCTTATACTTGAACTCGACCGGCCGCAAAGCATTAGCAAACCGCTGCTGCGTCTTGCTCAGCTCCGGGCTCCCGTAATCCTCCAACCGCCCACAACTGCTGCCGCCCGCCAAACTCCCGCCCCCTGCTCCTCCTCCCCCCGCACCTGCACCTCCTCCCCCCGCTAACGCCCCAGCAGATGCCGACCGAGCTGTTCCGTACAGCACCCGGCCCGAGCCACCCAGTCCCGAGACGCTGCTAGTGCTTGTGCTGCTAAGCCCCAGCGTGTCAATCTGGCCCAGGCGGGCGTCCAGATTCCTGAGGTCGGTGACGGTAGAGGCCAGTGCGCAAGAGGGGTCCATGCGGCGAAGGGCTTTCTTCAGGGAGCCCACACCCGGTCGCTCCGTCTCCACCGCGTGGGGCCCGGGGGACACGTAGACACTGCCCAATGTCTGCGGTTTTGTGGAGCATAAGAGGTTGAGAAAGGGATGAGATGATTGGTGAGGTGGTTGGCGAGGTGTGTCGGTAGATGAGATGGGCGTGATGGGCAGGAGAAATGAATGAGCGTGGTGGAGATGAAAGGTGAAGTGGTGACGGCTAACCACGCTGCTCCAGACATCTACTACGTTGGCGCCGCGTTTTGACGTACGACATGTCTTCCCCACGTACAACGTGCATCACGCACGTCTCGTGCACCTTTCCCCCGCCTAACACACAAGACGTCTCACTTGTCAGGTCCTGCTCGCGGCTCAGATCATTAAACTGCACCTCTCTTGTTTTCTTCGTATGATTTTTTCATATGATTTTCCCCTTCCCTTTCCTTCCCCTCCCCTCCCCTCCCCTCCGCGCACTCACCTGTTGCCGCTGCCGAATGGCGGCCACATCCAGCTCCAATTTGCCCCCTGGCTGGCTGCTCACCACCTTGGCGGTATAAGGCCCCTCTGCACGCCGCGGTGACTCCCCGCACTGCCACTCCCGTACACAGTCCGCAGCTCGGAATGCTGCCACGATGTTCTGTCGGTTGGTAAACCGAATCGTCAGATTCGCTGATGCCTCCAACCTGAGCGTTAGGGAAACGTACGGGCTATGGTTTTCGCTCGTGGAACGAGGCCGCAGAAGGAAGGGCGGAGGTTCCTCATCGCGGAGAGGGAGAGGGCTGTGGGGAGAGGGGGGAGGTTGCCAAGCCTCTGACGTTTCTTGCCGCCAGCCAGCCGACGGCTAGTGGTGGGGCCTTGTTGCTTGTTCGTGGGCGCGATTTCCCACCCTGCTGCGCACTGGTATCCACCCCTCGGACTGGGGAGTTTTATGTCCACATTTTTTGTGTGATCCCCCGTTCCTTTGGCCCGTCCTCCCGGAATTCCATCGCCCGCAACTCACGTGATGGCCTCATTGCTCGTGCGGGGGAATTTCCCTCGATCCACCACATTTCCCTTTTTGTCGGATAGCGTATAGCCTGCTTCTGTGACCACAAGCCTGCAAGGGTAGTGCGTGAAGTAGGCTAGGCTCTGGAAGGGGAAGTGCTGGGCAGCGCGTCGGGGGATGGGGGTACAAATTCCCAGCACCAAGGCGCGAGGCCTAGGTCCGATGGAGCGCAGTATCGAGGCTGCGCAGAGGTTGATGCTGTCACAGCTGAGGAGTAACATAAGGCATTTTGAAACACATGTGCACTGCTGTATGCCATCCTGACAGCGCGATGTGGCCGTGGCATCATCCCTTGCGGCCATGATCCTGAACACTTACCAAGGCTTTCCCGTTGGATAGTAAACAAACCCAACTCCTTGTGCGTTGAATGAGGCTAGGATTTCCGACGATTTTGAATCACTGAAGAACGTTATAATCTGGCCGCCAGACTGCTTACAGACAATGACAGCTATGTTGCCACTCTGATAGAAGATGGTCCCATCCCCTGTTGACGGGTTTGTCTTATCAAGGTCGGAAATGGCCACATTCGCTGCAACGCGGCCTGACGTTGAAGGCTCATGCTTATCCAAAGCCATTGTACTTTACAGAGCCAAGCCTTATAGACAGTGAAAAACGCAAGCCACAATTTACCACCATGCTCGAAGGCATGTACGACGGCAGTTTGGCACAAATCCACTCGACAAGTGCTCAAATAAGCACGTCGACATAGTCTATTGTGATAGCTGCTTAGGTTAAGCCAATATGATGACAATCTCTTCACCACCCGGTCACGGCACTTCGTCGGTAGCTTTTCCTAGCCTACGTCCAAATCCCTTACAGCTTCGAAACGCAGTTATTTGCTCCAGGCATATACGACAGTTGACATCGGCAAAATCCAATGGTCTGGAACTAAACACTAATGGGACGAGCATTGCGCAAAAACTAGCCTTTGGCCGCAACCGACTATCGAGTACGGTCCACACCAGCAGTCCAGGATAAACGGGACGCCCGCTTGCAGCGGAGCCGTCCTCCTCTTCACGAACTTCACACCGTTCTGCCCCTCGCGAGGCACTACGGTAACCCACACTCCCTTCCATCGCCCGGAAATGGAAAAAAGAGAAACGCACCCCTTCACAAGCCAAATTCATCCCCCCACACTCAACATAAACCATGCGCAACCTCGTCTGCACTGCGTAGCCAGGCCCAACCTGCCATCCATCCTAAGCTCCTTCCCATCCTCCAACCTCCAGCAACCTGCTCATCCACCCAACCCCATCCTTTGTCGCCATGGCGCGCCCAGCAAAACGCCTCCCAGCCAACGCCCGGCAGAGTGAAAAGGCCGCCATGCGCATGCTTCGGTAGTTCACGAACTCATCCCTCAGCAGCACAGAGTCACGTGGTTTCCACATGGCCTAGGACAGGTCCAAGGATAGAATCAAACCGCAATCCATTGGGCCTGGAGAACGCCGTGTTTCCATGGCAACAGTGTTCCTTGCAGCATCCACCACTTCCTCAATTTGCCGCCGAGACACCCGTCTGGAACGTGTAGTCGCTGGTTTCCCGGTCCAGCAGATAGAACAGCCGCTCCTGCAATTGCCACGCCACCCAGCCAGGGGTTACAGGGAAAGCGAGTCAAGGCGAGACCCAGGCATGACCGCAACCTCTATCCGGGAGGTGCCAGATGCGACATGTGAAAAGTGCTTGCGAGTGGCAGACTGGACAAGGGAGCTGCAGGAACCGAACACAGCGCAAGGGCCACGCCCCGAGTAAGGCCATACAGCGAGGAAGAATCGTAAAGACAGCAAAACCTGTCGAACACGACATGCAAAACTGACGTGGAGGTTTTCTTCCCACGGCAGTCAAGGCAAAGCAAACAGGGCAAGCTCCCAGGTAGAAACCACCTTAGGGTTTCTTTCTACTCCTGCTGATGAATAGCCGTGCATCTCAACCCGTTCCTGGCCCCCTATCTTGAAACACCCTTATCTCTTGCACCGCGGTAACGGATATGGAAGCAGTCAATGCGCAGGCGGAGCTTCAGCTCGGGCAGAGGCCACCCCACCTGCGACGCCGGAATGCGGCCCACGACTTTAATCCCCATCAAGTCAGGCATGTAGAGCGGGATGTGCTGCACCACGCCACCGCACTCCGGGTAGACGTTATAGATCTTGAAGGAGCTTCGAATGCCCTTGTGGTAACGGGCAATGCAGACGCCGCGGTAAATCGTAACCTTGCGCTCCGCCTCTGGGAGCATCATGCGGACCTCTAAGATGTCCCCGGCTCGGAAATCCGGCAGCGGCCGTGCTCGCCGTATTCGCTCAGTCTGCTCCCGCTCCAAGATTTGCATGAGAAAACCCATGCGCTTTCTGATATGCTTCCGGCGCTGAAGCACACGTGTTGGCGTCCAAGGCGTGTACAACGCAGGAGTCCCCGTGGGCCGCTGCAATAGAGTAGGGACTAGCTGGTACGGCCGAGTGGGTGGTCGTAGGTCGCGGACCACAGCAGTTGGCATCATTGGTTGCTGCAGACTGAGGTCAGGAGTCCCCTCTGCGAGCACAGTAGGGCTCATGCTGGAGCTGACTTGAGCGATCGATGAATCTGTTTGCTCGGTTGTGACACCGAAGGTATGCGGCGTATGTCCGTCACCTTGCACGCCCTTGTTGGCATCCACCGGTGTGCCCGCTCCGTGGCTTAATGTTCGCCAATACTGCAAGATAACATTGGAGACATAATTTATCTTTTTAACTCTAACTGCTGCAATATGCACTGGAGTTGACGATGATGCGGCGTAATGACTCAAAATTCGGGCTCCTAAAATTGTTGAAACTACACCAAACATGACAGCCGAATAGGCGGTAGCCTTGACGATAGGCGAGCGAGCTTAAACGTGAAGCTTGACCGTGTTGCGCCCGCTCTACACGCGATGTAAAAGGGTAAAGCCCTTTAGGCCAGTGCAGGACAGATAAATGAACATATATCTTGTTTTGCTTTCTGCGTCTTTGACACTCCAGGATTGTTGAAGGCAGTTGCCGACATGACGGATGGGGCCAATGAAAATCACGGAGTATGATTCCATGTGGCGCTCAGGTTTGCTATTCTTGTAATAACACATCTATATGTAGCGCTTGTAATAAACAAATTCATATTACCCTATCCGCTTCGTGGTCTTCAGTTAGACTTGTTCTGTGCAGTCCTTTTTGTCTCGCATAAGGCCAATTCGCGTTGCGGAGCAGGCGCAACGTCCTCTGTGGAACGATGCGATAGCATTATTGAAGAGGAGGCGCCGCTGGGGGCGCGGCGAGCGGATATGGCGAACGAAGGAGTCTTGGCCGCTCTGGAGAAGGAATTTCGGCCGCTCCTGGCACCAAAGCTACTTGCGGAGGCTAAGGCTGCACAAGTCGTATGGGCACGGGTGAAAGGTTATCCAGCGTGGCCCGTAAGTTTTCGGTAATGGAGTCTCTCAGGGGGGCGTTAGCAAAGCGCGCTGGCCTTCCGCGTTTGACCTCCATTGTTTTGATGAGGAGATGTTGTGCATTGAATCTAGACATCAGTCCTTGCCCGCGGACCTGCAGGCACAAGTCCTGACTGAAGCTGCGGCATTGCGCCGCAAGGATCTGGGCCAGGAGCGCCACAGCAAGGGGAACAGTGTTCCGGTCATGTTCTTTGGTACAGTTGAGGTTGCCTGGGTCAAGGATGCTGATGTTGTGGACTTCAAGGAGGGCTTGTACCAGGGCTTCTTCGACCGGAAGACAAAGCATTTTCGCCTCGCACTGGAACAGGTAAAACGCTTGCGTCCTCTTGTTGATCATCTTGTATTTGCATCCTTTTCACCAGGTCGTTTTGTTTGGTTTGGGGTTGTATAGGATTTGGGTTCTTGACTCAAGCGCGAATGAATGAACGTCTAGTTTCGCAAGGGGTGTCAACTGCCCTCAGCAGTAGAGGCACACGACACTGTTTTTCTCCGTTCCTTGCTGTCAGGTTTGCGAGTACTTGGCGCTTGACCGGAAACGGAAGGCGCCACCGAAGTGGTGGTGCAAACCTCCGTCTAATGGTAAGCTTGTTGTCTAAGCGTTCATGCTGGCGATGGTAGGGATACAGGTTTGGAGCACCTCGTGTTGGGACAGCGCTGGGACGTCCGTAGGGCGCCCCGTGGGTCACACTTCCGGGCTGTTTCTTTGGGGCCTTCGGTGTATGGAGAAAGGAGTTCCGAAGAGGGATATGATTGGCCTTTGGCTTATACATGTCGGTGTTCTTGTCGCTCTATGGTGATGGGGGAGAGCGACGTCGCTGGAGTAACGCCAGCTGATTTTCCGCGGGTTGCAAGACCGCAACTTCATATTGCAAGGGTGGCTGAATGGGGCCGTGGAGTAACAACATAAGGGACTGGCAGGCAACAGACACATCTATCCATATCCCCGTCGCAGGCCTTGATGAGCAGTCGGACGGTCCGTCGCCAAAGCTGGTCTCGGCGTCTGGCAATGGCGCTGCGAAGGGTGCAGGGCAGCGGCAGGACGCATCCAAGAGTTCCCGCCAGCGCGCTATAGCACCTGAGTCTGGCAGCGGCACTTCCTCAGGAGAGGATGAAGCTCATGCGGCGCATGCTTCTGGGAGGAAGGGGTCAGCGAAGCCTGCAGGTGGAAAAGAAGCAGCTGGGGGTAAGCCGGTCAAGGAGGCAGCTGCTACTGGCCTTCCGGCTAAGCTCCGTGATACCTCAGCCGGACGCGTGCCGCGGGAGAACGGCTCCACGGCTGCGTCAACCAACACCGCAGCCCAGGCGCAGGCAAAGAAGCCGCCTACGGCGCCGCAGGCAGCTGCTAGTCGACAGCAAGTGCTGGTCAAGGAGTCAAACCCGGCTGGGGACGCGGCAAGGGAAGTGAAGGATACTCGTCAGGGCGCATCCGCAGCCAATTCCGAAGGGAGAGCCCCGCCACCACCCCCGCAACAGCGGTTAAGGTCAAGCGCCGGGGCCTCTTCCGCCTCCGTTAAGGCGGGCGATGCTGGCCTGCCTCCACGGAAGCGTGTTAAGGTCGAAGCTGGTGCAGGAGCGGTGGTTGGCCCCACGGCGGCTTCCGCGAGCAGTCTACCGCCGCCACCTGTAGTTGCGGCAAAGCGGACGGCTTCGGTCGGGGATGATGCGTGCGAACTTGGTGCTGTCTGTACTAATGAAGTTGACGTCCTGAAGCTTCCAGCGGAGATCCGCCGCCTCGCGGGTATCCGCCTGCCTGCACTCCCCAAGAAGCCAGGGGCGAGAGTAGAAGAGTCATCGCGGGAGCAACCTCTTCCCAAGACGGAGCATGCCGCAGCTTTAAATGTAGCCAACGGGCCCGCCACGGCATCTAAACGTGCATCAGCTGTTGGCGAGAATGCCGGCATGGAGCTACGCTCTACTCGGCCCAAACGGACGAGCAGCGCTGCCGGGGCTAACCAGCCTGCCGGCGGGCGCTCCACTGAAGCTGGTCAGAAGAAGCGAAGCAGGGGCCGTAGCTCTAGTGGGGAGTCATCTCAATCTGCTGCGTCATCTGACGGCCAGGAAGAGGAGGAGGATAAGGAGGGGCAGAGCAGCGGAGAGGAAGATGATACCGACGCGGCAGCTTGCAGTAGCAGCAGCGGTAGCAGCAGCGACGAGGAAAGCAGCGCAAGTGAGGAAGTTAGCGACGATGATACGGCGATTGCCGCTGCAAGGCGGAGTGGCAGGGGCGGAGTTGCGCAATCGCATCGAAAAGCTTTGCGGTCAAAGTCGCTTTCGCAACCGCCGCCTGCAAGGGACCGTAGAGGGGAGAAGCAGCGGCGGCTTGCGCGCCTTGCAGCGCCTGAGCCTGCGAACCGGCGAACAAGCTCCCGCCTTGCACGGAAGCCCCCAGAGGCTGCCCCGTCGAAGAAGGCCATCAATGAAGACTCGGATACCGCTGACAGTGGCGATCCGAGCGACGAGGCTAGCGATAGCGACAGTGACGAGGGTGGGGGCGGGGAGGATGAGCGGAGTAGTTCGGAAGCGGCCAACAGCAGCAGTAGCAGCAGTGGTGAGAGCGACAGCGATGACGAGGTGACCGCTAAGGAGTCTGGCGGTAGCGGTGATGTCGGTATCAAGCAACGCCTGCGCACGCGGGCAGTGCAGGCCGCGCATGTGCGGCCGCAACGTGCTCCCGCTTTACAGAAGGCTTCAGCGGGCCCATCTTCGCAACCTCCGATTCGGGAGGCGAGCCAGCCTGCGGACCAGCTTGCAAAGGCTAGCACAGGTCGAGCGGATCGACATGTTGACACTCCGGACGATGACAAAGGGGCCCAGCGGCGCCAGGGCAGTGGCAGCGTCTTAGCTCCCCCGCCCAGGGCTATTCCTCTGGAGCTCCGCCGTCTCCAGACCAGTCCGTCGTCGGGGATCCAAGCGGTGGATACAAACGAGCCACGCACGCTGAGAGACCGGTCATCCCCTGCTCAGAGGACCCTAGCCTCAACTGGGGTCACTCCAACGCAGACCGCGACGGCGGGCGCCTCGGCTGGTTTTAAACGTGGTGAGGAGCGCGTGTCAGAGGACGGCAGCGGGACCAGCATGTCCCGTGTTGTCGAGCGTTCAATGTCGCCAGAGCATCGTAGGGATGGCCAGAAGACAAGCTCTGAGGCTGAGGCGAAGATGCCGCCCAGGCCTGCACGATCGCAAGTTGTCGACGGACGCAGCAGCAAGGCCGGCTCGGTGGCCGGCTCCGCATCTCCTCCACCCGCGCCAATGCCTGGGGTCGTGCCCGTTCGGAAAAAGCCGGCGTCCTTGGGGGTTCCCAGCACAGCAAGATCGGCGGGACAGGTCGGCGCCCGGCAGCTACCGGCCATCACGCCTGCAAAGGCTGTGCTGCGCAGCTTGACGTCCATGGGTGATGGGCTGCCGTCAAGTACAATGCATGCAAGCGGGTGCGGGGGGACCTCTGCCGCAGGGGCATTGATAATGCCGATTGCAGTTTGTGTTCCCAAGAAGCCATCTACCGGGCCGCCGACCCGGAGACTCGTGGAGCCGAGTCTTGAAGCCTCTGCCTTCTCAACAGGTATGCCTGACGTGGTGTCCGTGGATTGTGATGCGGACGCCAAGCATGCGTCATCGCCAGACATTGCAGCAGCGGGTGCCGTGGATGCTGGGGACGGCTATCTTCCACGATCGCCAGATGTGTCAGCAAAAGTCTCAGGAATGCGGATGCTGGAGGAGGGATTGGCAGGGGACAGGCAGGGAGTTGCAATGGATGAGCAGCAGCAAGTCGAGCTACTGGTGCATTTGCAGCTGGGGCCGGCAGAGCATTGCGCAGAGCATGACCGGGGGCAGGCTATGCCTTTGGCGGACGAACGGGCTAGCTCTGCCGATGCGGAACATGGTTTTGAACATGGGACGGTGCCTGGAGCCGAAGCCACCGAGGCCACGAAGGATCTCGCTAAGCAGATGCAGCGGCAAGCGCCTGAGCAATGCGAGGCCCCTGAAGCTGCAGTCCGGTGCATACAGCCAAGGCTGGAGCTCGATGTCAATCTTGCGGCGAAGCTGGAGCAGCAGGACCAGGTTGACCATCAACCTAGCTCATGCTGTCAGCAGACGCTAACGAACACCCTTACGGATCCCGTCGAGCAAGCGGCGGCCTTGACCTCGCGGAGCTCCGTTGTCCACGACCAGGAGAATGAACCAGTGAATCGCTCACCAGCACGTGCACTGTCAGCACCGGCGCAGCTGCAGCAGGTTGCCGCGGTGCAGGCGGCTTCTGCACTGGGGCCGCAGGTACGCAGCAGCCCTGGATCGCCCATTCATGACGAGGTGCTGCTTTCGGATGAGCAGCTACCGGATCAGGGTGAAGCCATGGCGGAGCACGACGGGTACGCTTTGCCGCCAGAAGAGCGACTCACACTTGGCTCCAGCGGCGGCATCAGGGGCTCGGCTTGCTTGAGACAGGTCGCCGTGGCCGATTCAGAGGCAGCGCGCGAGGCTCCGACCATGGCCAGCCCTAGTCTCGCCGCCCCTTTTCCGCCACTAGAAGGCCACGGCGCTGTGTCGGCGCCGCCGGCCTGCGCTGGAAGCCGCGCAAGCAGTGAAGCCGGGTGTGGCGATGGCGCGCCTGCGGGCGTGTCGGGTGCAAGCTGTAGCGCCACGTTATGGGGTGGAGACGACGACGCAGCCGCTCGTGCACGCGCGATGGAGCTGGAGGAGCTCGGAGAGGTGGCAGCCGCGCTTGCCGACCTACAGCAGGCCGAGGTTCCGCGGCCGGCCGCGGAACTTCGGCCTGCTTCCCATCCAGCAGCTAGCCAGCTGCCGGCCGCCCTCCAGGCGGACTCGCTGCTTATAGACCGCTCGCGGAGTCGAGGGTCACGAGGCTTGCCGCACAGCTCAGGCAGCCAGGGCAACCTGGTAGCTTCAGAATCGCTTGTATCAGAGGTTTTCAGGTGGCCGCAGGTATGCCGGGACGCAGGCTCCTGGTGCTGATCTGGCTTAAGATCTTACAGTCGTGCCGAAATGCACATCTACGTTCTCCAGGGTGTTTGCTTACAGAATAAGGCTTCTGTATGTAGTGTACTTGGCTCATAACCCTGTCATATTTGTTTTGCCTGCAGCCCGAGCCCCTCTTGCCGGCCCAGGACCAGTCGTTTGCGCTCCCGCGTGACTGGCTGGTGACAAGGCCGCCGCGATACGAGCCCATAAGACGCAACGTTTGGCTTTCGCGGAATAAGCCCAAGCGACTACCTAAGGTGAGAGGGCTTCTTAACGCATTGGGGTTGTAGATCCTTGAGCGGAAAGTGAAAGCAAGTTGCTCCTAGGAACGGGCCCACTGGCGTACATGGTTACTTCTGGCGCCGGACTGACGGTCACACCCTATCTTCCACCTCCCTTCACCTGCAGGACGAGATCAACATCTGCGCGTGTCGCCCGCCGCCGTTTGCAGCGCCGGGAGAGCTCCAGCGGATGGGCTGCGCACAGAACTGCCTCAATCGACTATCATCTGTCCTATGCGATGCCAAGGTCAGTCGCACATGTGCGTTGAGCCGCTTCCTACAGGCGGCTGTGCGTTGGCCCGCAGTATCCTGGGCTTCAATGGGATTAGTTTGTTTGCTTTATTTTAACCACCCATTTTTTTCGCAACTGTGATGACTGCTCCAAACCCTCTTTGTGGCGCGCAGCTTTGTCCTTGCGGCGAGCTTTGCAGCAACCGTTCCCTGCACCTGCTACGGCAACCCAAGACCGAGGTGTTTCTGACGGAGAATAGGGGCTGGGGCGTACGCACCATGGAACCGCTGTCCAAGGTGGGTTATATTACATGTTAAGATACACTGCGTTAGGATAAGGATGCTGAGCAAATTGTGGGCAGGCTTTGACTGTTAGATGTTTTTGCGCAGGGCGCCTTCATCATCGAGTACGCAGGGGAGGTCATTGACGACCGGGAGCTCGGGCGGCGCATGGAACATGCCCGAATGAACGGCGAGCCCCATTTCTACATAATGGAGCTGGCAGCAGGTGAGATGGATTCTAGCCACGTATTACGAAGTCTGTATGATACTAATTGCTGACGTAAGAGACAGTGAACAAGCTTACACAAGTGTTACCGGCCCTGTTGGCAGATATGCGCGTTTATACCCATGGCGCAAATATCTATGCTTTTGCGGGCCAAAGTCAAACGAGTCCTGGGCTAGAGCTGCGGGTAACCTCTGCTGCGGGCCCTGCGGTGTAGGACTTCAGGGTACATCCAGCATTTCCGTATTGCTCAACTGTTCACGTACGTAATGCCTTCCTGGGTTGACTTGGCTCCATTTTATTTTCACGTTATTTCGTTTTGGGGGATTATTATTGCTGCATGGTGGTTCTGACACGTGGGACCCTACGACGCGCTTACCTGGGCGTGCATTGAACTGGCCGCGTGTGGTGACCCTGCAGGGCTCTATATTGACGCTCGGCGCAAGGGCAATATAGCACGTCTCATCAACAGCAGCTGTGACCCCAACTGCGAGACGCAAAAATGGCACGATGCCTCCACCGGGGAGATCCGCGTTGGGATTTTTGCATCCCGTGACATCCCACCGGGCGAGGAACTTGTATACGATTACTTTTTTTCCACGTACGGCGCCATAAAGCAATCCGCAGCGTCATTTGTGTGCATGTGCGGCTCCAAGAACTGCAGGTACGAATTAGATCCAGAACTCCGTTTGCTGTGCTTCCGTCTTCATGATGTCGGAGATGATGGGGGGGGAGCATCAGCTATCCACTTGATCCTGTTCACCGTCTGTTCGTTCCCGTCAGACATCTGCAGCTTTCGTAGTGACATGGTTGCTTCTGAGATTTAGTGGTAGTTGATTCGATTGGCATGTAACTGCTTAAGACGTGCATCCCGACTTCCCCTGCCTACGCTCTCAGGGGCACCATGGACCTTCATCCGGAAAAGCGTCGCGACCTGGGACGCCGCGTGGAGGTCTTCTGGGACGCCGACGGGCAGTATTATCGCGCCGTGATCGTTGCCTACCACCCTACCAGCAAGAAGCACACTGTCATGTACGAGGACGGTGGGACCGAGAAGCTCAGCCTGGACGAGGTGCCGCACAGGTGGGCTGCGCAGAGCCTAGCTTGCCGTTAGCGCATCAGGGTGCTAAGTAAACGTTTCTGGTATGTTTCTGTGATCCTTCAGGTGGATGGACGATGACCAACCGCGGACATCTGCGCAACAGCCTGAGTTGCCGCACGGCGGGCCTAGCGGGGATGCGCAGACTGTGGTTGCGGATCCGCCACAATCCCAGCCTCAACCGCAGCAGCGGCTGGGTATGCAGACACCTGAAGTTGAGCTCCCGCAGCAGCGGCTACAGGAGGTTTCGGCGGTGGACGACGAGTTGGCAGATGTGCTCCCCGGAGGCCGCAGCGTTCCAATCGCAGCGGTACCCTCACAAGTGCCGCCACGCCCACTCATACCCATAGATCAGCGCTGTCTACTGCCGCCACTTGGCAGCACTTCCGTAGAGGTAGTCGGCATCCAAAGCCATGGCCAGGTGGGTAAGCACAGGCAACCGGGGTCGGAGCTGCATCTGCCGTTGAAGAAGAGGCCTCGAATGGTGCAGCACCTTACTCTGTCAGCTCACCAGTACGCTGGCCTCCAGCCGTCGCCGCTGTCGAACACCCTTGGCACGTCAATTAGGGCTGGGGAAACCGTCCAAGAGGCTACGCAACCGCAAACAAGCGGCGGCAGTGCAGGTGCTGTCGTCCTCCCGGTGTCGGGACACAACCGCTATTCCATTGGCGGGGCCGACAGTGCCGATGGCGAGCCGAATGGTCTGAGCGCCCGGACTAGTGCTAGGCGCGAGTCCAGCGTTACGGCCAGCGGACGCATCTCCAGCGTCGCGGCAGATGAAGATGATCTGAACGAGGATCTGGATTCCCTGTTAGAAGCTGCAGAGGCTGTAGCAGCGCTTCGCACGGCACCCATCAGCAATCCCGCGGCCCTGCACGCGCAGCACGAGGCGATGTTGCCGCTACAGCCTCGCCGCGTGCGAAGCGGATCTTTGGCGGCAGCTGGTCTGGGCACCGTGGCCATGGTTCTGACAGCGAAGGCAGCCTCACCGCGACACCTGGCCGCCGTGCAGCGTTCCGGCCCACCGAATGGTCTGCCTCCTCACGGCGGCAGCCGTCCTAGCGCCACTACCGCGCCCCACCCGAGTAGCAGCAGCTCGGGCTTTATACCCCATCAGGCAGGGGGCTGCAGACAGCACCCGGCTGGCAATGGTAGCGGCCACCATACCAGTGATGGCGGGGTTGGTGGGCTGTACGAGTCTTATCAACATCAGTCGCATGGAAGGAATCGGCGCTTGAGCGGCGAACATGACGGCGGCACCGGTCCGGCTTCGTGGAATCGTGGGAAGAACGGTAACGGATCACATTGTAGCGGCGACGTTAACAGAGAGGGTCTATTATGGAAGCTTGTGGGGATTGAGAAACCTAAGGACTTGTTGCCGCTGTTTTCTGGCGAGTGCGAGAAGTCGCGCAATGGAGGTGTCAAGGGCAGAGCTGCCAGCAGCGCTTGGATTCCGCCCACACACCCGTATGATAAGCTCTTACGCGCGTTGGAGGCTTCGGAGCTCTTGCCGCATGCGGATCAGCTCAGGTTGTTTGCACACCAGCATAGCCAACAACAGCAACTGCAGCAACACCAACAGCCGCAGCATCAGCAACTACAACAACACCAACAACCACCGCAGCAGATACAGTCCCCGCCGCCGCAGCAGCAGCAGCAGCGCGTCCACCAGCAGCAGCAGCCCCAGGTGCAGCCGCAGCCGACCCAGCAAGCCAAGCCAACGCCGCCGCTGCCGCCGCCGCAGCAGCAGCAACAACACGCCAGCAGTTCAAGTGGTTCCGCGATCGCTGCGGAAGCCCTGGCACTGTCCGCTTGGCACCAACACGCACAACAGCACGCACAACAGCAGACTTCAAACGGGAATTTATTGGCGACCCATGGGTTGGATAGTGGGTCAGTGGCGGCGCTCCTCCATCACGCACAGCAGCAGCAAGCCGCGGCAGCGGCTGCCGCGGCAGCAGCTGCTGTAGCAGCGTCCAGTGGGCAATTGCATCACTTTCATTCGCTCCAAAGTCAAGGGTCACATCCTGCGGCGATAGCGGCGGCTGGATCTGGCACAGCTGGTTTGTCCAGTCGTCTTTCGGGTCAGCAGCCTTTGGCGGCAGCGACGGCAGCGGTGTCCCACTGGCAGCAGCGTGTTCACGCGCAGCCTGGTTCTATAATACAGGATCTGTTTCAGATGTACGTTGCACATCATGCGACAGGATCGCACCCCGTCCTGGCCGTAGCTGGCACAACAACGGTGGGCGGTCCAAAGGTCTGAGGTGCTGCAAGCTGGCAATCCCAAACGACCAGGGCCTGGGTGCCGTCCTAGTTGCTAATGTGCACTGTGCAGGCTGCTGGCCGTGCCGACTCTTCCGCATCGTCGCATGCGTGCATTGCGTTTTAACAGGCATTTCGGTCCACCTGCTTCGCTTTTCGCCGTGTTTGGAAGACTTTTCAATGTTTGTACCCCTAAGGTTTAGGCTGGCCTGGAGGAGTTGCGCTGTATCTGCAGCCCGCTTCACTGAGCTCTGGGCAGGAGCGGCGCGTGCGAGCTTGTGTTTATGTCTTGACGCCTGTCACGGATTAAGTATTTGGATGGCGTGTGTCTTGACCGTGGTACGATGACGAGGACAACAACAATTGCAGCGGTTAAGACGGCGGCAGTAGAACGGACGAGGGCAGTCAATATTGCTGCTGCGAGGCGGAATGTTGTCGGGCATACCGGGTCTGAATGGACGGCTGTGTGCACGCATTGATGCTGCGTATCGACGTCCAGATCAGCTATGGGCAACAGGGCATCGCCGGCATTGGCGCGTGGCTGCTTTTGCTGACGATCCAAAAGCTCCGTAGTAGGCGGCAGCTCGCATGAGACTGGTGCCCCGGGAGAATCCTTGCAGCGCCTGTTGCTTCGACTGTGTAGTGGGAGTGCGCGGACCATAAGCGTTACATGTGTTCGTTGGAGGTGTGTTGACTTGTGACAAAGCACTAGGCGCTGTCTGAAGATCTTGACAGCGCCTTGCGCTGTTGTGAATGCTAAGACGCGGATCGTGTCACCGAGCAAAGGTACCGTCCAGACGGGCTCCTTCGCAGCCGGTTCCAGGCTCGCGCTTTCCTGAGTATGTACGCTTATCATTCCGTCAGGGATGTCCCACACGGATCCCAGCGCGGGGGCGTAGAAATTGCGACGCAGGACCAGGGCATGTTGATACACGATACGCAATTGCTGGTGGTACACGGCCATGGCTGAATGCATTATCATCGAATGCCAATGTCTCGTGTGTCTGTGCGTGTAGGCCATCTGCGGTTGTCTTGGACCGGATTTCCGTGGCTGGCTATTAGGCAGCTGCCCATGGTGGTGGGCATGTTGCGGTTTGGGTGCCTTATTGGGTAGGAGCCAGGCCAAATGTATACGTCTTTCATTGTTCGGTTGGGAGGGCTTCTGCAAGGCGAGAAGGCTTGCCCGTTGCATTTGTTGCTGCGTGGCGTAGCCCTTGATTTGGGTATGGAACTTGTGGAACCTGGGTTTATCCTCGTGAGGCCTCTTTTTTCTGTACAGAGGGGTTGGATTGGGGCTCTTGCTATCACTGGATCTGTGGTGTACTGGTGAAGTCTTTGTATTAGGAGAGTGTGCACTAAGTTTTTTCTTTGTATGTGCGAACGGTGTCGCCGTCAGGGTTCTGCGGCCTGAGAAGGTTAACCTGCGAAGCGCGTGGCTCCTGACCTGCATTTGTGCACTAAAAGGCGTGCTGCATTCGTGTGCAACCCCTTTGAGAATTGCGCCAAATGGTGCTAAAACTAACAGGCGCTAGGAGTTGCGACTTGTCGGTGGCTGTCCCTTTTTAAGCGCGCATTGGTGCTTTCTCTCAGATGTAACATTTCATTTTTTATTGAACATCATAATCTATCTCGCGTACAATCCCTGGCTCAACAGAAACACAGGCCAGGATATCATAAAACCATAAGGTCGCACTCAAGTCTTTCGGTCTCTTGTTATCTCCTGTTGCGTAATGAGAGATGGCGACAGAGGTAGTTTCTTAACAGAAAGGAGCTGTAAATCAGGTGCCAGCAGAGCAAGACCTCTGGTATCAATGGTATGGGGACAGCCTTCAGCGGCATCTCAGCATCGAGTAATTGTTTGTTGCTTTGGCGGTGGTCGACCATATATGGCGCTTGCATAACTTGGGCGCAGCGGGCTCATCGCATTACTAATAATGTCAGCGGGTGCTAAAGCTAAGTTCGTAAGGATGCGCAAGGACCTTCAAGGCAGTTTTCATTGTTGCTCAATCCACGCTCTTGTTTCAATGATCGTACAGCCCAGTCGCAGACCAGAAATGGCGGGTCATCGATTTCACACCAGCATTAGCGTAGTTGCGGGCTTTCCAACGTCTTTGGACTTGCCTTATCATTATAATAAATTAGGAGAGGAATACTTTCACAGCAGGAAATTCTGCTAGGTGGAACGCTTGCTTGCGTAGCTGCTCAGGAAAATGTCACGACGACGAACTGAGTTCGTTGAGCACCCTTACAAACCGTATCCAATACAGCAACAGTTCATGGAGGAGTTATACCAGACATTAGAGGATAGCGGTATCGGCCTCTTTGAGAGCCCCACAGGTGAGCTACGGCACCAGCTTCGACAGCCACGATGTAAGTGCTACAAAGCCTGACGAAGTTGAGCCAACCAGGAACTGGTAAAACCATTAGCATTATCTGTGGCGCACTTCATTGGCTGGAGGACTTCAGGCAGCGCTCCAAGGAAGCGGACGCTGTGCATGCAGCAGGTTGGAATTACTTTTCATCTACCTTCGCCCTTTCTCTCCACGTCCCTCTCCCTTGCTCACCGTCCATCAAGAGACGCATACCGGTACTACAGCTGCAACTTTCTATCCTCCCCCTCCTCTGCCTCCTTCAAGGCAGCGGCGCCGAGGACGATGACCCAGATTGGCTGCGGGCTCATCACACCACCACCGCCTCAACGTCCGTCGAACCTGAGCCTCATCCGTGGTTGAAGAGGCGTGGCCTGGCCAGGGGGGGTACTCGGCAACGTGTCGTCCAGCCTCACACTCTCTGGTACGGGGTGCTCGTTGGGGAAGAAGACCATTATACTGCCTCCAGGCTTAAAGACCATTGTAGAATGTAAAGGTCAAGGTCTCAGAAGATTAAAGGCGACCTACACGATTGCGGCGTTTTACAGGGGAGCACACGGACAACACCGTATTATGGGTAGCCCGGGGAGCCATTAACCTCACGGTTGGTAACTCAACTGCCGCCGCCGCCGCCGGGAGTTTTAGTTCATTCTGAGCTGAGCGCTCCCGAACAAGATTTTTGGTCTTAAACTGCCACGCTTACCTGTTTGTCGTTGCTCTTTCCTTTTGCCAAATATGGGTTTGATTTGGGTTTCCCCAATTTTTTACGGAGCTGTCAGCGCCTCACGACGAAACGATGTCACTGGGGAAGGCGGCTCTGGTGCGGCGGCGGCGGCGGCGGCAAACGGGGCCACAGCTGCTGGCCGCGGCGACGGCGGCGGCAGCGGCAAACTGGATGATGACGAGGCGGAGGACGGACAGTATTTACTGGCCCCCACGGCTGCAGACGCCGAGAGTGGAGGGACTCGAGACGGCGGCGGGAGCGGTGTGGGTATTCGGCGGGCTCGCGCCCGGGTGTTGCTGGGGTTAGAGGACGACAGCAGCAGTGACGGGGAGGGCGACGGCGGTACGGCAGACGACGTGCGGGCGGGTGCGTTGAAGGGATGCGTGTCGATGGGTTGTGTGTATGTGTATCTTCAAATTTTGTGATTCGCATGGCTGTCACACATTAAGCTCACGTGCATGACGTCTTGTACTTCAAAGTCCACATCCCGACGCTTGGAAAGTTCCTAATGGCGTTGAGGGAATAATGCGTTGGAGAGGGAAATGCGTCGAGCATGCCGAAGCGCGGGCAATTCGCTGGTTCAGCTGCTCGTGGGCATCCGTGCACTTCATCTGGGGAATGTGACTGTAATACTGGAGCCATTACCTGGGTCGGAAGCGTAAGTTCTTCTTACTCCACATATCTAACGGCGTTTGCTCCTGCTCCTGCTCCTGCTCCTGCTCCTGCTCCTGCTCCTGCTCCTGCTCCTGCTCCTGCTCCTGCTCCTGCTCCTGCTCCTGCTCCTGCTCCTGACGTTTACTGCTACTTCACTGCTCCATGTAACTACTGCTCCTCGCTGCCCCTGCTCCTGCTCCTGCTCCTGCTGCTGATTGCCACCACCACTGCCTGGTGACACCGGTGAAGCTCTCCGGGATCTGCGGGCCCCGCCGGCACCCCCCACACGGCGGCCCCAGATCTTCTTCGCCAGTCGGACACACAGCCAACTCGCTCAGTTTGTGGCGGAGCTGCGGCGGGTACGGTGGGAGGGAGGGAAGGGGGGAGAGAGGGAGGGATGGGGGTAAGGGAGGGAGGGATGGTTGGGGGGAAGGGAGGGATGGGGGGATAAGGGAGGGAGGGATGGGAGGGATGGAAGGATCTGAGGACCAAAACGGCTACTCTCATTGTGTCGCTGGGAAGAGTTGCTTGCGGCGAAGGCAGACAGACGGAGCCGCCTGCACAGGTGCCTGCATTCCTGCTGCCTAAACCTGGCTTTACCACAAAACGACTTTCGGCCCCTTATTCCTGTTCTTCGCGTTGTGGCCCACACGCCGCACCCCGCTTCTCCCGCTTTTTGTATTTCTTGTTCGCTTCACTATTTCTCTCCCCCTCCACTCTTTATCCCCTGCCCCTCCAACCCTCGTAACCAGAGTTATGTCCCTCCATCCTGCCATCCCTTCCCCCGCCCTGTTGCTCATATTCATCAGACCGGCTTTTCCTCCAGGCTCCGCCTTGTCTCGCTGGCCAGTCGGAGGGGGCTGTGTGTATACGAGCCCGTGGCGGCCCTGGGGGCGGCTGGGGTCATTGCGGAGCGGTGTACGGAGCTGCAGGTGCCCCTTGTGTGCTCGTGCTTGTGGTGTAACCATAACGGAGTTCTTTGCACTTGAGTGCTCCCCCTTGAGCGCCCGTTGTACTAAGTGCCACTTAATGTGCGGGAGATGGGGGGCTTCTTGTGTACCCCGATGTTCGTGGCGGTGTTTGTGTGATTTGTGAAAAAGATAGAGCGCGACGCGGGGCCTCCGCTATGCAGTGGTGGTCAGATGGCAGAGTGTCGTGGTCGATGATCAGTGGCATCAATAAGGAGGAGGAGGAGAATATAAAACCAGCTGGATCGGAAGGGGGCGGCGCAGCAGGTCTAGCAAATCGCAACCGCCCCGATTTTTCTGAGTCGTGACATCATCCTCGCATTGCCGTACTGTACTGCAAGCCGTACAGGAACGCAGCAAGGGCAGCAGTAGCAATACCAGCAAGGTGCGGAGGATTGCCGCTTGTGGCGCCGGTGGTAGTGGTGGCGGCGGCGGCACCTGCGAACGAGGAGGAGGAAGTGGATCTTGCTCGGGCGGAGGTTCGAGATGCCTCGACTCCGGTCGGGGTCCTGGCGGCGGCGGCGGCGGCGGCAGGGCTCGCGGCAGGTCCAGAAGAGACGCCGGCGGGGGCAGGGCCAGGGGCGGGGGCGGCTCGTGTCCCTATCTGGGTCCCTCCCTGGATACGGCGGAGGACTTTGCGGCGGCGGTGCTGGGCGAGCCGATGGATGTGGAGGTGAGGTGATGGTGACCCTTAATGCGTTGTTGTTGTTGTTGTTGTTGATGATGTTGATGTTGATGTTCTTAAGGGGTGCGGGTTGGCTGCTGGGAGGGGAGGTGCCACAACAAAGTGTGGATGAGTGTTGTGTGTGTGTGTGGATGTAGTGTTGTGTTACTCCTTGAGCGTTACTCTTCAAAACGTGTGGCGGCCGACTGGGTCGACTGGGTCGACTGGGCCGACTGGGTCGACTGGGCCGACTGGGAGGGGGATGAAGTGGACTCGGAGGAGGGACTGGAGGGGTGGGTGTGGGCGGGAGCGGGGTTTGGCGCACTCGGGGGTATAGCCTGAGGACGCCTACCTAACCCTACCTAACCTCCCGACCTGCCGACTACCGTGCAACCTACTCCCAAACCTACCTACCTGGTCTCTACAAGGCTATGGAGTCTTAGCCACGTCAAATCCGATTTCATGTATTGAATTGAATTGTTACAGAGTGGGAGGCTTCTGGGCCATTCTGGGCGATATCATTAGGCTTTAGACTTGATATATATTGGCAGACTTCCGCGCACCAAGCGACCTGCATCGGTGCCAAACAGGATTTGGGTCGTACCGGCCGCCGCCTGGGGTTGTGTCCGTACTACGGCAGTCGCTCGCTGCTGTCAGAGGCCGACATTGTGGCGCTGCCGTACAGCGCGCTTCTGTGCGAAGAGACCCGTGGGTCACTGGGTATTTGGCTGGAGGGCTCGGTCGTCATCTTTGACGAGGCGCACAACCTGGTGGACGCGGTGACGGGGACCCATGGATCGCAGCTTTCCCTGGAGCAACTGAAAACCGCCGTCAGGTTGTGTGTGTGTGTGCTTGTGTGTGTGTGCTTGTGTGTGTGTGTGCTTGTGTGTGTGTGTGCTTGTGTGTGTGTATGTGTGTGTGTGTGTGCTTGTGTGTGTGTATGTGTGTGTGTATGTGTGTGTGCTGGGACGTTTTAGGTGAGAAGACACAAGGGTGAACCCGCAGTCGTGAGCTGTTGGGTTGCGAGTGCTACGCAATGCCATAGAGGGTTCCACTGACACTCATTGGGGGTTAGGGACTAGCTTAACCTTTACACCCTCTCTCACACCCTCTCCCACACTCTCTCCCACACTCTCTCCCACACCCTCTCCCACACCCTCTCCCACACCCTCTCCCACACACTCTCCCACACCCTCTCCCACACACCCTCTCACACACTCTCTCACACCCTTACACCGGCACACTCACCCCACCATCCCTCCGACCTCTACCCGCCCTCCACGCACCCATCCCCGCCAGGCAGCTCTCCGCCTACTTCTCCCGCTTCCAGTCCCGACTCGCCCCGGCCAGTGCGCGGAACGTGCAGCTGGTGATGCGACTGGCAACCTCCCTGATGCGATGCCTGGAGCCGCAACTACCACAACCGTCACAACCGCAACCGCAGCCACAATTAAAGCTGCCACAAGCGCCACAATCGCAGCAGCAGCAGCAGCAGCACCACTCGCCACAGGCTGGCGGTTCTGGGGGTCATGGCGGTGGCAGCGATGGTGCTTTCGGAGTGGAGGTCCTAAGCACACATGATTTCCTGACTTCTACCCACCTGGACCACCTGAATCTGTTTCCCCTGCTCACCTGGGTTCGGGAGTCCCGACTGGTGATGAAGGTATGTATATATGTATGTATGTATGTATATATGTATGTATGTATGTATGTATGTGTGTGTAGAGGGGGCCCTCAACACCTCTCTATCGGGTCCTCTTGTGCAGGTCGCAGGGTACGACATGGCCGCGAGTACGGGGACCGCAGCGGCAGCCACTATCGTCGACGCTTCCGTGGACTTGTACGACGATGAGGCCGACGCTCGGTCAGCCACCCGGCCCAACCCTGCTGCAGCTGCCGCCAGTGGTGGCGGCGGCGGCTTCGGAGCCCGCCGCTCGTCGCTGTTCGCCTTGGTCTCCTTCCTTACTGCCCTCACGCATCCCAATGCGGATGGACGAATCGTCGTCTCGCGCGGGCCCCCTAGTGGCGGCGGCGGCAGTGCTACTGCCGCTGCCGCTGACGCTGCCTCCCTTCGCTATACCGTCCTCAACGCCGCCACGCAGTTTGCGTCCATCGTGAACTCCGCCAGGTCTGTCGTACTTGCCAGCGGCACGCTGTCGCCGGTCGAGGGGCTTATGGCGCAGCTGCTGCCCTGTGTGCCGCCGGATCGTGTACGGCACTTTTCATGCGGCCACGTGGTGCCGCGGGAGAATTTGCTGGCGCTGGTGGCGGCGCGGGGACCCACGGGTTTGGAGCTGGATTTGCGTCACGGCCGGCGGACGGACCCACGGGTCTGTGAGGAGGTTGGTTACGTGCCGTTGTGGGGTCCAGCTGCTCGTGTCCCTAAATGTGTGTTGGGTTAAGTGCCTTTCAAGCCTTTTGTAACCTCGAAGCCTTTTGTAGGCTCGAAGCTGCAAAGTCCAAACCCGCGCCACCGGGCGTATCTTGAGGAAGAGCAAACCCCTTCGTCGTGAGTTACGTGCCCCTAACCGGAACATGGACCTGACTGACAGCCACCTACCCCAGGCAACCCCTTCCTTTGCCTTTGCAACCCGCATCCGGTCTGTCCTGCAGCTCGGACGGCTCCTCGCCAACATCTGTACGGCAGTTCCATCGGGCATTGTCATATTCGCGCCGTCGTTTGCGTACCTCGACCAGGTGTGTGTATATGTTTGTATGTCTCTCTCTGTGTGTGTGCCTCTGTCGCAGACTCGCCACACAGCGCCTGACACAACTGCTAAAAGGTTAGGTGGTGCTATGGAGAGCAGCACCAGAGTGCGATAAATAGCTTAACGGGCATGAGCAGGCTCGGGGTACGTTGAGGACCTGAACACCCTCAACCGCCTAAACGAACCCGGGGGTCGCTCGCAGCTCGTCACCGCTTGGCGCCGTACGGACGTCTGGTCGGCACTGACCTCCCGCAAGCACGTATTTGTCGAGCCGCGATCCGCAGGGGAGGTGGAGGCCGTACTGACGGCGTACGGCACCGCCATCCAGCTAACCGCACAGCCGCTGCTGCCATCGCAAGCCGCCGCCGCCGTAACGCCACTCTCAGCTGGATCGGGGTCGGGGTCGGGGTCGGGGTCGGGCCGGCAGCCGAGCGGCGCAATCCTCCTTTGTGTAGTGGGGGGCAAGCTGAGTGAAGGCATCAACTTTGGGGATGAGCTCGGCAGGTGAGGTGGTGGGGAGGCTGGGGTTGCGGCGTTTGGGGCCGTGGCGGGTTGCTCCTAGTGGTGCAGGTGGTGTGTGGGTGGGCGGCATATCGGCCAGGTGTACGGCACCGTACACGACCACTATTGGGGCCCTATGGGGTGCCTCACCCCGGTTGATTCGTGAAGGCGCTGTCAGGGAATGTTCTGGGCCGGATAGGGTGCCGCGCGGGAAGCTGTCGTGTGACGTGGCACCCAGGTCGTAGGTACGGCACACACACAGAGGGAACTGTACGGCGTGGGTGACCCAAACGTAGCCCATAGAAGGAGGGGGGCCCCAACCCAAAGTTGGGGCTGAACAACTCCCGGGCTCTACCCTCCACATCCGCCAGGGGGCATGTGACCCCCCGATATTTCCCCCAAGGGTTCCGTGTCATGTGGATCCGGAA